CTATTTTATTTAAATATAAAGCTTTTTAAGTAAAAAATTTATATATTATATATTATAAAATTAAAGCTATTATATAAAAAATTTTCACTATATTTTAGCTTAATATATATATAATTCCTTATATTTAAAATTTCATGCTTATAGCTGTAGTAGTTATGAAAATGAGGGGAGTAGTTGTGTGTGGTGGGGTGTGCGTCAGGTGGGGCCGAGCGTCAGCTGATAAAATACGGTAAGCAATAATGCCAAGATATTTCGCCGATTACCTGCCCTGACAGATGCTTTGAGCCGGGGTACAAACACAACTGGGCGCTTAGGCTGAAAAGCGGGGTGTTGTCTCGATTATCTCAGGTGCTCAGCGGACTGTACAGAGAAGCCCAGAGCCCCTAAGGACCCTGCAACTAGGAGGGGGACAGTAAAGACTCTCTGACGGGTAGTGAAGACCCTCTAGCTGGTAGAATCCTCTAGCGGGTAGTAACGACCTTCCTTTCGGCGCGTACTTACCTGACGCTAGTAGCGGGTAACAAAGTCAATTCTTTGCGGGTATTGAGGGCTTTTCTGCTCGCAGTTTGTATGGCGCACGGGCCACTCGGACGGGTATTGACGTCAATACCCTGGGTTCTGATACAGCGTAGATATTTTAAAAGTAATAGAATAATATATTAATACTATACCACAAACATACATCATACCTATTTTCTGACGTCATTCTTGAAAATGGTGCCCGTAACATGCCTACACAAACGCCCTGTCACACACTACACACACACGAAGCGAAAGGGATACCACCCACTCTCGAGACCTTCTCTCCATCTTTAATTTGGCTGATAACACCCTGCCTTGTCAGGGTAGTCGCAAAACGTTTGTGAGGGATTGTGCCCGGTATTTGGATTGAAGTGAAGGGGCCCATCCGGACCCATCGGACATGACATCTCGTATGCGTATTGTTTTCCGACACATGCAATATACTTGTGGCACGTGAACGGATGGGGATAGTTGCCATCTTCCTTACCACTACAATACCAGCCGAAACCAGGGTTTTGCGGAGAAGGGATTGCACTGGCCCCAACTACTGTACCACGAAATTCAGTATATTGGACCATAAAATCAGTGTGGTAGCTTACTGGCCGGCAGGAACAATAATGAGAGGGCAAGAATTCGAACCATATTAAATTAAGTTTCTTTGATAGGAGGTGATCGTTGTGTTTCTTATCTTGTGTTGAGTTTGTTCCATTCCGTGAAAGATGGCAAGGCAACTATATACGCGGTATGCAGGCAAAGACTTAAGATTATTGCTCGACTTAAATCAGCCAATGTCACCCAATGTTGAATGATAACATATAGCGGTGGGTTGCTTATGGTCACGCTATGAGAATTTGTGCGCAGCTTCGGTCACGCGCATCCCAGTATGCAACATGTCTCGCGATTTGCCTCAACCTTTGCTGTCCAATTTCAAGTGCACAACCAGTCAAATTATTCCTAATTAAGTTGATTTCATATCTGATATTTCGAACCACCCACACCTCTGGGTTGCATCACCTTCCATTTGAAGAGATACGCCGCAATCGATCACGAAGCAGAAATGTAAGAGACAAAGGTGAAGGTATTTATCAGTATTGACAATGTACAACCTATATATCGAAATCAAGCACCAAAAATCTGCTTCTATAATTGATAGAATCAAGCGAGGAGGGTACTTACAGCGGATTTCTAGATTCGCAAAAGCATAACTCTCTAATTCACCCTCTTAACGTTGTTCAAGGCTTGTGGTGGGTTAGTCAGCAACTATTCATTCTATACATGGCCTATGCGCTATAAAAACCGTGAGCAGAGAAGCGCTTAATACCTGGCAAGAAATGACTTCGCCCCCGCTATTAGGGTGAGGTGAATACACACTAAAAGGAAGGTCGCCACTACCCGCAAGAGAGTCCTATGCTATACTAGAACCCAGGGAATTGACGTCAATACCCATTCGAGTGGCCCATGCGCCATACAAACTGCGAGCAGAAAAGCCCTCAATACCCGCAAAGAATTGACTTTGCTACCCGCTACTAGCGTCAGGTAAGTACACGCCGAAAGGAAGGTCGTTACCACCTGCTAGAGGGTCCCCACTACTTGCTAGAGAGCCCTCACTACCCGCTAAAGGGTCGCTACTACCCGTAAAAAAGGCGCTACTACACACACAAAAAATACACTATGTGAGGCACAATGGGTAGACCGTTGAAGATTAGATGAGGCTTGTATTGTGAGACGAATGTGTTGCGTTTGCCAAAAGGTCAAACTCCCAGCTAGCACAGCAGAAGGATATATATAGACGGATAGCTGTACGCGACAGAATGCTTGAGGAGTAAGCTTCAGAGGATATATAGAATAAATACAGGTAAGTGTCACGTGGTCTCATCACGTGAACTATGTAGGTCCTGCCCACCGAGTATATCCCGGTGTGTCCCGTGGGTGGTCAGGAGGCCCTTAAGGGTATGTGTACTGTGGGGTGTGGCACTTTTGGCGGGTAGTGAGTACCTTCTAGCGGGTAATGAAGTCAATTCTTGCCGGGTATTGACCGCTTTTCTGATCATAGTTTGTATGGCTCATGGGCTACTTGGACGGGTATCGACGTCAATATTATGGTTCTAGTATTGCAAGAGTTTATTTGGTGTTACGCTGGCATACTTTATTCCGGTACGCTTGAGCAAGAGTACTTGGCGTACATCTAGATGGTCCATGCGCTAACATTCAGTTTATAAATAGGGTAATCAACCGCCCCTCTAAACCTAAAGCACTCGTTCTCCTCGATAAAACATACAACACATCTACACAAGTGTAAGAATATGCCGCATGTTATCTAATATTTTTCAGAAGTTGGCCTGTATGTAAACCTATAAGCCAACAGCCCGCAATTTATCCCGCGCGATTGTCTCTAGCTTAGGATACGGCTCCCCTTTTAACCTAAAGGTACCCAAGTGACTGGGAAAGACTTGTCTCTATGCATCCATCCCCATTTCCATTTTATGTGAGTATACAGGCTGTGAAAGAGGTAATCGAAGCGGTGGGGAATGAGCTGAGTGACAAATAAGTATTAATGGTTTTGCTTAGCATCCAGGCCATGGAGTTTGGATCACAGACGAGGTAGTTAAAGCAGCGGTGGAGAACTGGAAGTGTTGGATAGAAGTTATAGGTCTTCTTCTCAAGCAGGTAGTAGGAAAATTTGAGATATCGGCTGGACTTGTAGCTGAGATAACCAAGTCCTTTGATCAATAGCCATGGGGCTTCTGCTTGAGCGTCGAGGCGACGAAATCAGGATTACAGAGGAGGTAGTCAAAGCAGCGACACAGAACAGGGATAGTGAGAGAGAAGTCATGAAGCTTCTTCTGCAGCAGGACGCAGCAGGACGTAGAAAGATTTGGGATATTCGTGGCACTAGTCGCCGAGATGGCAATGTCTCTTGATCAAAGAGCCATGGAGCTTCTTCCTGATCGTCGAGGCGGCGAAATTAGGATCACAAAGGAGGTAGTCAAAGCAGCAGAGGAGAACAAAGAGAATGGGAAAGAGCAGAAGAGGACAAAGAGAGTTGAAAAGAAGTCATAGAGCTTCTTCTTGAGTAGGGCGTTGGCAAATTTGAGCTATCGATGAGACTAGGGGTTGAGAGAGTAAGGTCCTATGTTTATACTAGAACTTGGGGTACTGACATCAATACCCACCCGAGTGGCCCACGCGCCATACACACTGTGAGCAGAAAAGCCCTTAATACCTGCCAAGAATTCACTTTACAAGCCGCTCTAAGCCCAGGCTACTCACAGCCCTCAGAGAAACAAAAACGTAAATGTTGCCTGGGCGCTCATGGTCCTCGGGCGGCCTAGGTAGCCGCAGCCACCCAGGCAGAGGGCAATTTTGAATGTACGCGCCGTTGGGCAGAGCTATTTTCCAAGTCTACCTGGATATGCAGGGAGCCGTTCGATTTAAGCTTGATTGGGAGAAGTGGGGGACATATGGTCTGTGCGTAGTTCTGCTTCTGAATCCGTGGATGAGGATGCTGGACTGGGATGACAGTCAGGGAGAGAGGGGGGACCCGGGGGAGGAAGTAAGGTATCCCAGTAATATAGGTGAATATGTTAGAAGGGTCTTGGTTGTCAGAGTACACGTCACGGTCAGTCAGCAAGTATCTACTAATCTTCATGCTCATCTTCCGTATTACAGACTCGTGATCTGAGTCGCTTCTCGCAAATGTGCACATCAGTGATCCGAATTAGTTTTACTTTCGATTCCATTAAACTACTGTATTACACTTTCCAAGGAAAGGCAAGCTGCATGATGGTCAACCCGGTGATGCAGACCGAGGCAGATGACGCACGCAGTCAAGAGTTAGACCGTGAACAACTCGTCGCGTTGCAGACAAAGAGAGACAGAGAAGGACCCCCAGCGCCGAGGCTATGTACATTGGAGCTGTGTGTGCAGAACCTTTCCGTGATTTCCTCACCTCGCCTGATCTCGCACTACATCATTCCTCGTCACTACGCCCAGATATCCACCCTGCAACTCTGGAATACCCTGGAATACCGAAATTCTGTTGCAACATTGAGTAGCTAATCTGACTGACTCACATGATTGGTGATATCGTACTCTGTAAATCGAAATGCGCTGTCCTGTCCAAACAAAATGCCCGCTGGATATCACTCCCCCTACGCCGAACACCATTCCAATTCCAATTCTGTTCCCCTAAATCGCACTGAAAGATGGATGATGAGTGAAGATCAAATCAGATCAGGCCAATTGGTTTAGATCCACGTAAGCCACGACGCCATGACCAATAGCAGCGGTAGGGCGAAGGAAACGTATGCGTTGACTTGAAGCGACGGGTACGCGGCTGATAGACTAGTGGTTGTGAAGACAAGGTTGAATCCAATTCTGTCTGCTGCGCCTGTTGAGTTGAAACAATTCGAGGAGTTCACCTCTGGGACGTCCTTTGGGTCGGCAAATGTGATATCGGCGCACTAGGGAGAATCGTTAGTGAATATTCATGCCTTTTATGGACGAGAACGAGGTGAGACTCACATTATACAAAGCGGCGCCATGTTGCGCAAGCTCGATAACTTGAATTGTCGCATTGTCTCCAATTTTCGGCGTGTAGTTCGCTGGTAACGGGACCTGTGGGAGACAGAAAGTGCCAGGATACTCATTGTTGGTGGGTCCGGTGATCTGGAAGACCGGAAGCATCGAATGGGACATGTTAAGGGGTTCATTGCCGAAGCCCATGTTAATGTAAATCTGAGCGAGGGCATGTCCTGGGAACCATCCGGGTTGGACAGAAATTGCACCGCCGCTGATGGGCCATTTTGTGCGGTTTGAAGATGTGGGCATGCCGCCGCCTGGAAGCTGGGAGTCAGTGGGGAGCTCGGCATGATGAGTTCGGAATCTGCGGGTACCTACATGGATACATCCATTGCATTCCATAGGGAAACCCATATGTGCCGTTGTCGTAGTTGATGCCTAATGAGCCCGGTATTATGTTTGGATCGGTGTCTGATACAGTTCCGTTGGTGTGGATGTTGTTTCCTCTCCAGCCGGGATACACAATAACTGTGTGCGAGTATGCGAGGGGCAAGCTGGCGACGAGAAACACCAACTCTGTGAAACGAAACATGATGAATGAGCCGGGCCGACTCTTTTCTATTTCTCTTTCTCTTTCTATTTCTCCGTCGTTCACACACAATGCAGAGTCCCGATAGAAGCTGCGGCGAGGAGAGCTGGACTGGACTTGACTTGCAGCAGAGGCGACGCAGGTCGGAAGCGTGCGGTGGCGGGGGCAATCAGCAGTCTTATGGAGAGGCCAGGACTGCCTCGTGCGACCACCCAGTTAACAATAAAGGACAGGGCCTCGTCGACAGGCGAATTGGCAGCAACTGGAATCGCCCGAACGGTGGGCATGGCTTGCTAGCCAGTGCATGTCAGCTTCTGAGCGGGCAGACGAGGAGCGAATGGGCGCCGTGCGTGCAGATTGAGCCGGCAGGGATGCGCAACCACTGAGCGGATGCGATGCAAGTCTTCACGGCGCGGGCGGGATCCCCCAAGAGCGGCCGAGCCAGAGGGTGGCCCCTTTGGCGATGCCCAAGATGTGATGGTGTGTGCAGCCAGATGCCCACCCCGTCGGCAGTCGGTCCTGGACAGCAGTTAAGCGCCCACCATCTTGCCCTCACACCTTCGCACCCCCGCTTAGGGCAGTTCTCGAGGCCAGAAACGTGGATACCGCCTCGATGTGACTCTGAAGGAGTCGATGAGATGGCCGTTGGCGCGCGGCCAGCCCTGCGGTGATGTGATACAGGCGTGATATAAAGCCGGCCGTGCCGCATTTCGCAGGGAGCTCAGCACATTCACTGACATTTCACATCAACCCTCGCTCTCATCCACCGTCCTCGCGCTGTGCTGTGCCGGTGGGCTTGGCAGCGGACTTCGTCGAAGCCACCTTACCTCGGGACCTTCCACTCCCAATGCCAATGACACGGCTACCTGCATTTCATCAGCACATCTCAAAGCCGTTTTGAGAAGCGTGGTGGGTAACACAGCACTCAAGCGGCACAGTCAGATCGCGTCCTCCCTGCCGTTTAAAATAACCCCTCATGCGTTGATTTGCAGCAATTCAGCCCTGGGGGAAAGGAACAATATACATCCTGTACACTGATCCTTCAAAGCTGCAAACGACCCTATTTCGATGCATGATATATGCAGTGAAATTACTATTCTCAGACGGGTCCGTGTGGTTTTGATTGGGAGAGTGTTTTCTTCCCCCTGATATTCGCCCAGTCGATGGATGGATTTCGCAAGCGAAAAGCGTTGTGAGCGAGCGAGCAGGCAAGCAAGCTTTTGATGAGGAAACATTGGCATTGTCGACTTAGCCTTGGGAGGATGCTGTTAACGAGCACACCACCAACCAGAACCGCGAAACCCGCCGCTTTGGGAATCCCGTTTTCGATTCGCTGGCCAATTACTGCGCATCATGATATGAAATGTTCGAAAATCTGCACTTGCAGCAGTCCATTCAGGGGGTTTTCTAGCCATTAACATCACGACATTTGTCCCCGTTCCAAGGTTTCCATGGACGGTCAAGAGATCAATTGATGCAGTAGATGCTTTTTTCAACACATAAGCCTCAGACCCAGGTCACTTTATGCAAAAATTACCTGGGCAGCGCCAAAATTAACGAGGTCAAACGTTCACCCGCATCGTACTGAGCTTCCGACAGCGTGGTTGACAGACATGGCAACGCCTAGCATGGTGGGCGCCAGGAACGCGAGAAAAAAAAAAGCCGTTCACGATACTGGTTTGACGAACTTCTTCTACTGAGTCAAGATCCCCTAAGTAGTGTACACATGAGCATATCTAGCGTACCACGCCACACTCCTGGTCTCGCCTCAACTCTCCTCAGGTATTGAAATTCCCATGCTCCTTAGCCGATTCGTCGCGGCTTCAACCAAGTCCGATTCTCGCTGCAGTAGCGCTTCGATATGCTCATTCTCCTGTCTCCGCGATTGTGACGGCACTTTCACACCACCGGGCGCTTGCTTCTGCGCCTGCTTCTCCTTTCCATCCTTTGCCGCTTTCTCAACGGCGACTGTCAGGTCGACTTTCGCCGTCTTGACATGCTCCAGACGCTGCCACGCTGGTACTGCGCTGCCATCTTGATCATCCGTTAGCCGCTCTGCTGATTGCTCTAGACTTCGATCCATCGTCTGAAGCTCCTCGATCCAGTCGCTCTCCTTTTCGCTGAGATCGGGGCCGCCGACATTGACCATTTTCTTGCGAATAGCTTCGTATCGTGCATTGAGGTGTTTTTGCCTCGTCTTGACTTTCTCAAGTCGGTCCTCGATCTTTGCGTTCCCATAGACGAATGCATCAGAACCGTTGTCAGACGGAACTTCATCCTCCCCGGTGATAGAGTCGATCCGCGTCGAGAGTTGCGCGGTTCTGAAGATCTGGTTTTTGAATTCATCTTGCAGGCGTTCACAGCGCCTGAATAGGTCCGAGACTGCAAGGCCGAGTCGGTGTGTTTCCTGGCTCAGGACTTTGTGAACTGTCATCAGAAGCTCGAGGTTCGCAGGAGACAGGCGGACTTCTTCTTTGAGTAAGGCTTTGTGACGAGATGGAACGACCTGGTCGAGAACGGCTGCGACCTGGGATGGAGCATACAGTTCCTTGGGCGCTTGGTACACTGGCCGGATCTCTGGTACTGGCCCCTCTATTGCAAGGTAGTCTTTAATTTCCTCCTCATTTGGTAGCCCATCTTCGGGAGCATCGAATATGACCGCACATGGCTCTTGTCCTATGATGGTAAGAAGGAGATACCCAATGTTGCCGTTCTCGATGGCGACACAAGAGGTGACCTCCTCGGTAGGTTTGTTTATGCATGTCTCAACTAAGGTACTTGCGCCCTCGAAGAGAAGCCTTGAGCGAAATTCGGCGCCCTCCTTCTCTGGTTCTGAGAGCTCGTTTTCCAGCTTTCGAATCCATGGTTCCAGGGAGATGTAGAACACACCGCTAGTGCGGGAGACGTAAAAAGAAAAGTCAGTATGAACATCGGGGGTGAAGCATTGATTGAATGACGGTGCGTCACCCTCACCCCCAAGAGCTATTATCTCCACAATGGCAAACGTGTGATCTGGAGTGTCCGACAGCGCGTATTGATTCTGATAAATGTTAACTCTATGCTTTTTTTTTCAAAAAAAAAAATAATTTTCAAGAGCATGTTGTAAGCTTACCGAAGAAGAGGGTAGCCAGCGCCCTACAATGCCCTCAAGATCAAGACATACAAGGACCTGAGACGTATCCGTGAGGAGACAGACGACCGCCGCTGGCACGCCCTCCGCCGGCTCGTCCGCGGTGCCATCAGAGAATGTCTTTAAGGAAAAGGCTATAATGTCGCTAAGCTCAAACTCTTCGACTTCTGGGGTGAGGGAGAATGGGCCTTGGAGGAGTGGACAAGCTGGGGCATTCGTCGGACGGGAGTACACCTTAATCGGCTCTCCATAGCAGGGCTCTTCTCGCACAGATTCGTTATAGACAATATCCGACAGCCACGAGAGCTGCTTATTCGCAGTGGCTTGGCTTTCTAATGTGGCTTCAGGATCATCGTGCACTTCTGCATAGTTGGTGTTGATTGAAGTAGCCAGTGTCTGCAAGAAGGTAGACGCTCCCGGTGATTCCTTAAGCTGCCACTTCTTTGGTAGCAGCGGGCACAACGCGTAAACTTCACCCTCCACCATGGCAATCCATAATGTCATTGGCGCCCACCCGTGAACGCCCTCCTGGTCAGGAAAATCTCCGAAGCACGCCGACGCCACCTCGAGCTCAAAAGAATCGGGAGAGAAGCCTTTAGGAGCTCCGTACTTTGACGCGCTCAAATTCTCCTCATCATTGATAGCGTTTGCCAGCTTCTTGAGATCGATCGAGAGCGAAGGCTCATTGAAAGTTGACCGATCAGACCGATTTATCTCCCACAGACGCACTACACCTTCACGAGTGATGGTGACAAGACACCGCCCATGGTACCCGAGAGGGTGCCACAACAGGGACGCAATAGGCGATTCCTCTAGCACGTGCGCCGTCGGGCCTACTTGAAATGTCTTCGGTTTTAGCGGGGCTGCATCGTCGGATGATTCGAGGTGGGTTGAATCGGGGAGGAGCACAACATGTACCGTATGTGACGTTGCGACTGCCATATAATCGCCAGAGGGAGAAAGAGCGAGCTGTGAAATGGGGTAGTGGATGGGAAGTTTGAGGACCTGATATTTAATTTAGCAAGAGACCTCTGGTTAGCTGTAAATACTTACGCGGTAGGTGGATTTGCCCGCGAGACTCGCAAGATGCTGACTCCGCGAAGAACCCAAGTTCGCAATGCTCTCATGGTCTTCCTTGAGCTTGGTAAGATCTGCCCATCGAACCTCATTCCCTACTGCAACAAATACCTCTGTATTGTCGCGGGTAGCAATAGCCTTACTAGGCCGCTTCTGCTCATCCTGCATCGCCCTGGTGCCATTCGAAGTGCGTGCCGGGGTCTTCGGCATGAAAAGGTCGAAGCCCGGATTTGGCCTGGACAGCCATGCTGGTGTATGGCAGATGACCTTGGGCATGTTGGGTGTTCCTCACAGAAAGCAAGCCCCTCCTCAGCGTATAGCTCTTTCCACCAGTCGAGCAACGGGCTGCAACGATGACCTATGTTCTGTTGATGCTAGCTGGACCACCTGAGCGCCTGCGCAACCTGCTGTTGAGTCCTCTGGCGCGGAATTGGCGGAGAAATGGGTTAAATGGGCAGAATGGACGGTGTTGGAGCCAGTGGGTGAGTCTACAGCGCGGCAAATCTGTCAAATGGAAGCGATGGGATTGTTTGTTTCGAACAGCCTCTGGTCGAAAGTTTGGGGGAAGACGCGCCGCAACCTGGCAAAACCTCGGCGGAAATAGCTCCAAGCTTGCCTCGCTCCCAAACACTCCCCAGCACTCCCCCTTCCTTCACATCATAAATATCATCCTCGACACGCTTCCAGAGCAGCACAAAATGCCTCCAGTTCGATCCACCGTAGAGCGCATGGACAAGCCCAGCTCATACGCCTCCAGCAAGGTACGTGGATGACAGTGTCCAATCCCGACATCCTTAACCAGAGTATGCAGAAGCGCCGAAGGTATCGCGACGATGACGCTTCTCGGGTGAGCCCTGAAGTCGAGGACAAGCTAAAGGATGCAACCACCCTCTACGTCGGAAATCTGTCCTTCTATACCACCGAAGAGCAGATTCACGAACTTTTCTCAAAGTGCGCTTGCTCGAGTCTAACTGTCCTCCTCTCAATCCCGGTGCTAACTGTTCCCAAGATGCGGTGAGATAAAGCGCCTGGTCATGGGCCTCGACCGATTCCAAAAGACGCCGTGTGGCTTCTGCTTCGTCGAGTACTACAGCCACCAGGATGCGCTGGACTGCATGAAGTACATTGGAGGTACTAAGCTTGATGAGCGCGTCGTTCGCACAGATCTAGATGAGGGCTTTGTAGAGGGCAGGCAATATGGGTACATATGGACTTGCTCAAGGATGATTCAGAACAATGCTAATTGGGCCCAGGCGAGGCAAATCTGGTGGTCAAGTGCGTGATGAATATCGCCAGGAATACGACCCCGGCCGAGGTGGATTCGGCAGGGCTCTTAACGATGACTATGGAGAAAGGGATGACTACCGCTAGGTGTACTTCACGAGAAGTCGTGCGTTCATGGCATGGGCTGGGGCTGGCGTTCATTCATCATCTATTGCGGACTTCGTCTCCGCCACTTCGATACCCCTCGAGGCTCTAACACCATGTTCTAGTCTACATCTAACTAAGCAGTTACCCCTCCAACGCCTTTTGCAAATGGTGCATGTGACCGTCTGCAAACCCGTTACCGAGTGCGGTCTGCAACCTCGAATTGCTCCCTTCGCTGGACCGCCTTCAGGACCTCTTCCAACCACCACACGTGTATTCGCGGATCGTCGGTCAACTCAGGGTGGAAACTTGTCCCGAAGACATTACCTTGCCGTACCGCAATGATATCTTCAGCGCCAGGGTGGTCATGCTCTTGATTGTTTTGCAGCGCAGGCGAATGCGTCGACAGGGCAGCCATGATCTCCACCTCTGCTTGCAATTCCTCTTTTGCCAGGTCATCGGCGGGTTTTTGGGAAGGTGCCACAATCGTACCTTCTCTCGACGCCTCTTCAGTCTGTATGCCCGCCCGGTGCGGTAGAATCTTCTCAACGACTGGAGCCCGAATGAAGACACACCGGAAAGGCTGGTTGGCTCTTTTCCCTAGAGAGTCTCCTAGGAATGGAAGCGATAGATTTGTTTGGAAGCTTTCCACCTGTCTCCCAAAATGGTTCCTGTTCACCCTTACATCCAACCCTCCAATCAAATCCTGTCCGCCCTTCTTCGTCCTATTTGCAGACTCGGCTAGTAGAATTAGACCTGCGCATGTTCCCCAGGTAGGTTTGCGCAGGACCCTGTACACCATTAGCAACGAGTCACGCGACTCCTTCCATTCACTCACTTGACAAACTCCCTCAACGGCTCCAACATGCCCGACCTCGCTGCAACAAGGGACATAGTCGTGCTCTCACCCCCAGGCAGAATAAGTGCATCGCATAGCCTCAGCTCCTCCGGCGTCCTGATCTCTAAAAACCGCCATTTCGAGCCGTCGATATTCTTTTTCTCGAGCGATGCAGCCGCTTGGCGCAAGAGCTGAAGATGCTCACTGAACGCACCCTGCAGAGCTAAGACGCCAACTGTGACGTCGGGTTCGCTGACTGTCATTCCTTTAGAGCCGTTTGGCCAAATGCGGGCGCACCGATCAGGATCGTAAGACAATACGGCGTCGGAGTCCGATGGATGGTTGTCAAGAGTCAGACAGACATCGCACAGAGAAAGTTGTTATCGATAAGCCGTGCGAAATCGTTCATAAGGCGGGCTTTGTTCCGGCCAGCGTTTCCCCGCCGAGGGGAGCTAACCTCCACCCCAGCCGCTTCACCTTCCGTGAATATCCTGATACGCCCAAACGTGAGGTCCGAATCATGACGAGGGCTGAGAGGAAGCCGAAATACACGTGTTGGTTGCTGGATACAAGAAGTCTTTGGCCTGGTGATAAAATTTCACAAGCAGTAAAACTTCCCTACCCACTGCTTCCCACCATATTGATTGAGAAGGAAACTTACAAGGCCAATAGGCTTCAGAAGCGCTCCAACTAATCAGCCCCCAAGAGCGTGAGACATGCATCCGCAAATTCCACATCGCAGACGCCAAAATGAGTCTGGGCTCTGCCCTCCTCAAACGCCTATATATCCATAAAACGCTATCAATCCCCTGGTCCGATATCCGCTTTGGCCGCAAACGCGACCCCAAGCACGGGAAACCATGCGCACTACTACCCGACGGGAAACCTGCACCCATTGAATTCAACGTGTCGCACCAGGCCGGCCTTGTCGCATTGGTAGGCTGCAATACGCAGGATGTCGAGCTCGGCGTCGACATCGTGTGCGTTAATGAGCGCAATGATTACCGCCTTATTGACCAAGAAGGGTTCGGCGGCTGGGTCGATGTGTACGCTGAAATCTTCTCGCCTGAGGAAAGCTGGGATATGAAGTACAACACCGATCCCTTCAAACTCCTCGACGGTACCGAAGTCACAGCGGAGATGCTGGGACGGTATGATCGCTGCTGTGTGCGGAACGAGCAGCTCGTGGCCACCTTGCCCGGCTCAGGCGAGAAGCGCAAGTTTTCAAGCGACCTGTTGATTGATGCGAAACTCCGCCGTTTCTACACCTTCTGGTGTTACAAAGAGGCGTATATTAAGTTGGACGGGGAAGCGCTACTCGCGAAGTGGATTAAGGAGCTGGAGTTTAGGAATACGAGGGCACCGCGTCCAGGGACAGTACCGAGGTGTAGTACGCATGGGGTATGGGGGGAGGAGGTGAGGGATGTGGAGGTTTGGCTTAAGGGGGAGAGGCTGATGGATGTGAGGATGGAGATTAGAGGATTTGAAGAGGATTTTATGATTGCGGTGGCAGTGAAGCCCGAAACTGGGGTTCCAGAGGCGTTGACGGGGTTTGAGAGTTTGGATTTGGAGGGGGATGTTTTGGAGGTGGCGAGGGTGGGTTGATGTATGAGGGGTGACGATGTAGATGTATTGTCCTTAGTGGTATAGGAGACGGGGGGCTAGGTATTCCTATAATCCATAGTGAATTGTAGGCATGCAATCCTATATCTTCTTCTTTGCCATCTACTAATCAATACCATGCAGTATAACACGAGGCCTTCCGCAAACTCTATCCAAAATCTTTCTCATTCAGAACTCATCACTACTCCCTTCTACCCGGCCCCCCTTCCGCCCTCGATCCTTTACCTAAAGTTTCGCAACCCCCCACCTCTCAGCAAATCGATCCCGCCCACTGTCAGTGTTCCTCTCATACTCACTGCTATCCGCAATTAAACTCGCCACTTCCTCTCCCCACACACTACCCACCCATGCATATATCAAGTCAATACCCGCGGAAATTCCGGAAGATGTCCAAATATTGCCGTCAACTACCCAGCGAGCTTTCGACACCCAGTGGACGGCAGGGGATTGCTGTTTCACCTGTTTGAAGGGTGGGTGTTAGAATGATGGGACAGACGGACGTACGAAAAGGGAAAGGGGTGGGAGGCAAGAGGAAAGGAGAGAGAGGAAGAGGGCAGTATAAGAAAGAGAGAAGTATACCCAAGCAAAAGCCTTCTTATTCGACGTCGCCCTCTTCCCATCCAACAACCCCGTTCGCGCCAACACCGCACTCCCCGTACACACAGTAATTATCCACCTTAACCCTCCCAAACCCTTAACAAACCCAACCACGCTCCCCATAACCTCCTCATCCCTCGTCCCAAACCCACCAGGAATAATCGCAACGTCCAGATCCTTGGGTGGATTTGCAAAGGTGTGCGTCGGCACAATTGACTCTGCGAAATCTGATCCTGGGATCGTAGGCTCGACGTTATGCGCGGTAGACACGGGATCTAGGGTTTGGGCTAGGATGGAGAGACGGAGTGGATAGGTTTTAGACAAGATGTTTAGGACATCAAGGGGTCCCGCGACGTCGAGGAGCTGGAAGCCGGGGAAGAGGATAACGCCAATGTGTTTCGGGGGGTTGGGATGAGGCATTTTTAGAGCGGTGAACTGTATTTCGTGGGACCCGTGCAGGTATGGGCACGGGTAGAGGGATGTAGAGCTCTATGTAGGCAGTATTTCTCGATTTGGAATAGCGCTGGATAGAATGGTTGATGTAACGAGTTGAAGAAAGCTGAAAGGAGTTTCACCTATTAGCGGAGACCATCGAATATATAAACGGGGCAGATTAAATCCATTGAACCTTTTGCTTGCTAGATTTTGGGAAGGGTGCAAGTTGAAGAATGCCAATTTCTATCCTGCTATGTCTTCAAATTTTTCATCTCCAGTTGTTGCGATAGAATTTTTCATAACGTTCAATCCTGCACCTTTCCGAAACTAACGCTTGAGACGACTGTCAAGTTATACACGGTAGCCCAGCGGCACACACAGGAAACTAGAAATAAAACAGTTATATTACTAATAGCGGTGAAGGGAGGAAGCTAAGGCGTGCCCCGCAATTGGCTGGAAACGAGTCATGTGCTTTGGAGTGCTTATCCATCTGGGGCATTCTGAGCCTAAATGCAGGGCATAGGGCGTATATATGCAAGCACTCGGAGAAACTTCTGAAGCTGCTCCACGGCCGAGAAGCTGGATGAAATGGGAGATTGGGAGACTGGGATCGAAGGTGCGCTCTAGAGCTAATTGAATGGGTTGTTGGATGGTTAAGCACTGCTTCGAGGTTGTGAGGTTTACAATCTGGTTGGAGCTTCAATGGATATGGAAGAGATATCTACACTCTACTAGTCGCAGAAATCCCTTCTCGGTCTTGAACCTCAACTGTGGGCCACATCCTCGCCTTCGCAATTCTCTCCTTACTAATGACATAGCTCTTCGGCAGCTCCCCACCCTTGACCATCTGTTCCTGTCGCTGAATAACATCCTCCCCAGCCTCTTCCCCAAGCACCATATCCACCACCGCCTTTCCGCACAGGGTTCCGTTAGGCATCCCATGTCCTGTGTATCCCGCACAAAGCCACAGCCCCTCTTTATCCGGCACCTTGCCTACCCATGGATGATTGTCGCGGGAATAGCCCATAATGCCCGTCCATTGGGCAACTGCTTCCAGTTCCTTTAGGCCCTGGGTTTCTCCGGAGAGAGAAAGGACTTTGAGGAGAGCGCTGCGGAGATACGCGGCTGATCCTTCGTCGATCACGCTATCATCGGAGATGCCGACGGTAGGGAGGATGCCGGATGCGCGGCCGCCGCCGAACATGAGATGGCCGGCAGGGTTTGGGACGGAATGGTAGGGACGTTGGATAAGGTAGTCGTCATTATTATCAGGCTGGCTTAGAGCTCCAACCATGCCGTACGAATCAGGAAGAATAGTGGAGTTCTTGGGTGGAAGGAGAGCAGACATTTCGGCACGCACTGGAACGATTAGGTCGGCGAATTGGGGGATGAGAGCGGAGGTGTAGCCATTTGTTGCGAGGATGACGGTCTTTGCTTCGATTGTACCACGAGAGGTGTGGAGGGTGTGCTTGGAGTCTGACGAGGTAATTTGTGTCACAGGTGTCTTGGTTTGAAGGTTCAGCTTGCCGTCCTTGACGAGCTTTTCAAGAACGAAGGTTACTAGTTTGTACGGCCATAAGCTCCCGGCTCCTTGGGTGATAGTCGCTCCAACACAATCTGGGCTCACGCAGTGTTCCTTCAATGCCTCCTTGTCTTTGATTATTGTCACTCTCTGTCCGATATCCGGCGCGATCTTGTTGAGATATGTGACTTCTCGTTCCGCTTCCGCCATAAGCTTATCAGACCAAAAGGTGCGGCAACCGGAGACGCTGCGCCATTCACAGGGAACGTTGTGAGTTTCGATGTACGATCTCACGGCCGCAACGTTCTTGAGTTCGAAGTCCGCTACATCGGCGGCGCGGTCGAAGAGGAGTGGCTGGCAGTGGCCGCCGTTCTATCAAGCTTGTGAGCTTAGGATCCCATTATCTGTATGTTAAAAGAGCATGACGATTTTGTTTTCGAACAGAAGTCTGCATTCTCTTGATGGCATCCTGGAATGCAGCGCCGGTATGCATCTGTTCGTCAAAGAAAGCAGTAGCTTACCCTCCCAGTAGCCCCCCAACACGCCTCTCTCGCCTCCAGCATGACTACCCTCTTCCCCTTCGCCCTCTCGTCCTCAGCCAGAAACCTCGCCACAGAGCTCCCCGTAATCCCACTCCCTACAACGACAATATCGGCTTCGGTTGGCAGTTCATCCGTCGTCCGATGGCCTAGGAGGAATGCATTCGGTTCGCTATGCCAAAAGGAGCTGGTGGACGTGGGCGTCGGGAGTGCTGCGCGTTCATACTTCATGTTGGAGGAATGGATGATAGAGGATGGGCGTGAGTGGTGAGTGGCGGGGTCGAAGGTTGGAGGACTACCTGCGAAGCCTTGGAGGACTGGAGGCATGCATGCTGAGTGGGTCGATCCGGATGTCCCCCACTCCTAGAGGACACGGAGTGACATGAATGAAATCTAGACATTTCTCTCACTGCAAGAAAAATTGGAATTCATGCCGCCGGCGCAGAAGCAGAAACAGAGCTCTGGAGGATAGGGCATGGAGGTACACCCCCCGAGCGGTGAGGTAGCTAACTACCCTGAGCTGGCTTAGGTAAGGGGGCAGTGCAATTCTGAACCCGACTTGAGATGCGACAACCTCACCTCTCCAACTCTAGCCTTTGATCTACCGTGCGTCTGATCGGGTCGCTGATCTGGTGGTTTGACTGTCACTTCAACGTTACATGCTGCACGCGTTATCGTGTCTCAATACCCTTTTCATCTCAAAACTGCAACCAACCAAGGCAGTGGACGTCCCCAGGAACACATCGGAATCCGGCGTTAAACATAGTTTTGATATCGCAAATATGTGTATCTCTGTATCAAGCTAATATACATGATAGGTACAGGAAACAACAGGCCAAAAGGTTCTCAGAATACACAAGCCCTCCAAAAGAAACCAAAGGAACCCCATTCATCAGCCAGTCCTGTATCAAAGTGGGCCTATATTTCGAACCGGCTGCAATTTCTTGATGCATTCTGATCATTACCATCGATGTTATTAACATAAAGATTGTACGGACTTTTGCGACGCTTCGTCAAGAAGTAGCCGTGCCTCCCAGCAGCATTCTAGCCCGAGTACCCATGCAAGGCGTGTCGCAGACCACCATGCAATGCCCTAGTCTGTGGGTCATGATTTTCGTCGAAGATGAAGGATGTCCTTTGCCGTGTCTGTCACGGAGAAGTCGTTGAATAGCCAGGAATTGGAATGGCGTCCACGCCACATGTCGCTGCTGCTCGTGCTTCTCCTCGTCGGCCCTTGGAGACTCGGTCTAGAGGGCTTTGAGGTGGTGGAAGTTACTGAGCTTTGGCTCGCATGCGACACGTGTCGTGGTTGCTGCTGCCTCTGCGTTGTGTATGTTGGGCTCATAGGCTGGGCACTCGAAGTTGGAGGCATTTGCTCAGGCGGCAGCATGATCGGAGACTTGGATCGCTCTCGAGAGGAACGATTTCGGGATCGACTCCTTGAGCGGCCGCGAATCCGCGAGGCGATGGCCCCAAAGAACGACTCCTCGCCCGGCGAAACGGGGGAACGGCCATCTCGGGAAAATGTGGAAGTTGGTGACATCATGTCAGAGGCAGGAGACACAGTCCCTGACAACTGAGACTTTGCAGAGTCGTGGGTGGAGGTACGGATTGGTGGCGGGGGCTGGAAGTGCGGTTGCTGGCGGGATGGCATTGTGTGTTGGCTGTCTCTTGGCTGTCTCAACCCAAAGATGGACGACGAGAGGTGTAGATAGCGGGGTATGCACAGTGCAGACAAAGAAGACCCAAGGCTTAGAGGGAGTAGGATTGCAATTGAGTAACGGGCAATTCAGAGTTCAAATAGAACAGGAATGGAGGAATGAGCACGGGCTGGGGACAGATTTGCGGCTCAATCGCCATGTGCCTTCTCTTATGTATCGTGCACCATTTCACGATCCCACGCTGGAGGACAAGACTGAGTGACCCAGTCCCACAGCTTGGCGCATAGCCTGCCCGAAAGGGTGTCGGTGAGCACATCCTCCCCCCAGCCAATCAAGTGGTAAGAGTCCTGCGTCGGCCACGCAAAGCGCAGGCTAGACTGGCTGCCCGCAAAGACTTCACCGACTCAGGCTGCGGGTGTCCAGTTTGGAGCTGCAGGTGGCGGGGCCAAAGACTGCAACGACAGCGCATCCAGCCGAGTACCCAGACAACCACAACCCGACGGACTCCGACTGCTGAGATAAAGGGCTACACTCGCTTTTGCAAGGCCAATGAGAGTACGCCAATAGATGTGGTTGCCTTGGAACCAAGGCGCGGTGTCACCGGCTGGAGGAGAGACATCACGCCAACACCCGTTATTTGGGCATGTTGCCCACGTCTGTGCTCGTGCAGGAAATCGTCGCTAGCTGGTGATCGAGTGCGAAACAGGCTGTGCCGCGGGGGAATGCTTTTAGGATGCTGTTTCGAAACGTGCGGGGTTGGTGTCGTGCCAATTGAATGAAGACAGATGGAGATAAATAATCGATTGCTGTCCTTTTCTTCAATTTGAGATGTGTTGTTCGAGAGTCTGAGTAAGAGTCATCCAGACGACCAGGGTTGGTCGCAGGCTTGCCTGCTCGTCTTAAGACTGTTTCGGTAAGGAGTCGCAGAAGCAAAATATAGCCCGCGGGGTTCATGACGTGGTTTGGAAAGTTATCAGGGGCAAAAAAGATAGATCCCCAAAAAGGAAGTTGCATTGTCCGGGAGTCGAACCCGAGCCATTTGCTCGCCCTAGCTAGGCTAGATGGAAGGCAAATATCCTACCTGAAAGGAGATTAGAATGAAGAACGTCGAATGAGAACTTGATAGTACGAACCGCTGGACCAACAATGCTAGTAGCTGATTGATGCAGGATTTTCAATTTATTTAAATAATATAGTCAGTAATGACAGACTTTCCAATTCATACTAAAAACAGTCGTGTAAACTTCCCCGCTCTACTACCCCGCCCAAGGACCACCCATGGCTTTCCAACGCTTACAAGGCGCTAAAAGTCGCGTTCCGGAAGAACGCACCGCCTCGACAATTGCAGTCCTCTATTACGGCAAATCCCCGGTTCTAGCTTGGAGGAATGAAGGAATCTCGTCAGCCAGGAACCCGGAATCGTCCTGGAGGACTTCGAGATGTCTGGTGATACTTACAAATATTCCTCCCATCTTGAGTCACCATTAAAACTATTCTTTGAATCGAGTCTCAGGAGTGTCCTCCTTGCCTTCATGACGTTTTGCTTTAAGTAAATCAATTACTGGCACATACTGTTACTCGCATTCCCGTGCCCCTCATCGGGATACTTGATGCTCTTCAAGAATCAGCCCTGCCCCACTGTTATGCTGTATGGACAGACTACTACTCCAAACTTTCTAACTCAAAATTAAGATACGTATATCTTCATCTGGTGCTTCCTTTCGTTAGATCGTAGCTCCCCTTTGACTCTCTGCTTCCAATGGATTCTCCGGTTACTCTTTCACCAAACTTGAGGCCGAAAATCTAGCCCGGTGCGCTCTCGGATCCACTATACTACCACGACACATTGCGATAGGTCTCAGTGATTTGGTAGAAAGTTAGGAGGATGCAACTTGCTTAACACTTAGTCAGCCGAATGCACCACGAAGCTTGCACCTCAGCTCTTCTATCTTTCTACAAGTCTCATGATATCTAATATTCCTCAAGCTCTTGTATCTCTCCAGCAGCTAGCGGTATCAGCCCTCGCTCCTCCAGCTTTCGGGTTCCCATCCTCCCCAAAATCTTTGCCTCTTGAGTTTTTTTTTTAGAATTTATTCCAGTCTTGCTTGGTTCTTGGTTGATCATTTCCTAACTTAAGACTTTCTTTCCTCATACAGAACGGCATAATGCATACCTTTGTTGTGGAGTCTGATAGCACAGAAGACCAAGATTATTGCGTCAATGAAGGCCCGGTTCATAGTTCATTCAATAAACTTACCGGCCGGGCTTGAGGCTCAGGTCGTCGGCTTCACCAATGGAGTGTTCAAGTAAACGGAACAGGTGTGGCGTGTCAAGCATGATATATAAATCTCAATCATTCCCCGAGCAGTCACGAAGGTTCGTCCCAATCAAACTCCTTATCTGTGCCCTGTAATAGTAGCAAAATAAGAAGGTATGGACACCGCCTAAAGCCCATTGGTCCAGATTTGAATATGAATAGGCTGCAATAGCCTCGACAATACTTTCATACACACTCGCATTCAGCTGCTTCGCATACTCTGAGCAGATTGGAATCTACGTGAGGGTAGTAAGTGCCGTTGTATAGCAACACCTCGACCCCACGCAATGCAGAGACAATAGCACCGCCAATCAAAGCACTCTCTCCATCCTTAAAGGACGTCTTCGGTGCTGGCTCGCTCGGACACCTGGCCATCTCCAATACTCTCCCTCTCTTTCAAGATAGGGCCCTGGGTGAGCAAAACAGCTCGACTAATAAGAGTACTGTGCAAAACTTGGTGGATTCTTATGAACTGACTGAGTGCGATCGCGACAGCATCGGTGCCGCACCGCGCTAGGAAAGGCAAGATAAATGCAAACAAAGGTAAAAAGACAGTCAAACTGATCCCTATACCTTTGAGTCCATTGATAATATCGTCCAAGGGGGCCCGAATAATCGCAATACCCCGTTTAGAAGCCAAGACACCGATCAGTTTTTGCGGAAGCTTGAAGGCTCCGTGAGAGTGTGATCTTGTTGAGAGCGTCGATGACAAGCTGCGCCGTTTTGATGACCTTTGCTGAGCAGCCACCTTCTGGATAGGCAGCGGCTATGGAATTAGCTGGGGGCGGGGGCTCCGGTCGAAGTTCCTATTGGCGCCGGATAGGGGAAGTCTACGTAACTTCTCAGACTCGATCCCAAACAACATATGGAAATAGCTGTTCGTCTTACTCGTTTGCTTCTCTCCAACATAACAATACTCTTGATATCTAGAAACTCGGCCTCGGCTTTTCCTTCATCGCCTCCTATCTCGCCTCTTAGACGTCTGAGGATATAACGCGCCTCTTCATCGCGGCCTGCCTTGACGAGCCAACGAGGAGACTCGGGGAAGAACAACACTGCGCCAAGAATAGCAAGGAGTGGGATGATTTGGAAGGCGATGGGGAAGCGCCATCGAAACGCAGAGCGCCCACCATCGATGTAGGAGAGACCAAATTCGAGCCAGTAGACTCTAACAACACCGAAGGTGCTGAGTGTGAATTCTATGGCGATGAACTGGTCACAGGATGTGTACTCCCGTTCGACATGTGCTTTATTTCCGGGTATCATGGAGATGCTCACTCACGCTGGAACAATTGCGTTCAATATGCCCATTCCAATTCTATTTACGGCGCCAGCTACAATATGTTTTCGCACAACGCCTTCAATAAGTAGCAATAAACCGAGAAGGAACTTACTATAGACCATCAACTTATGATTCTGAGCACTAGCCTTTAAACTTGCTCCCAGAGTTGCCCATATGGCCCCGAGCACAATCGTCTTGATTCTCCCTACTTTACCCCCACCTAACCTCTTAGTAAACGCCTAAACAGCATTCCAAGGTAATAAACGCCCACAATCCCCCTCTGGAGTAAACTGTCTGTAGTGACGGGGTCGTTGGTAGCCGGACCGACGTACCCAAATCCCATCTGGTCGATGTAGTTTTTGGCGTTGTTGACACCACCCATCATGCCTTGGTCGTAGCCAAAAATATATATATAGAGAGAGAGAGCGCTGCGAAGAAACTGAGAGCAAGCAGGAAGGAGTACTATTGGAGACAGTGTGTGACATTCCATTTTCTTCCTAGTTTGGAGGTGCCCATTGGGGATGGATGATTGGGATATTCAATGTTAAGTGAAGGCGGATTCCTTGGGTGTGCCAACAAGGGAGAACACAAATACCATTTTGTATGCTCTGTAACCATCCACTAGATCAACGATATGATCTATTGCGATGGCCATCCTGGTGTGTAAATGCTTGCGATCGTTTGTTCATGGTAACTTGACGCCAACATAGGCGACGACTCCACGAAAAGTGTTTTCATGTGGAGAATAACGGCGCCTAGCGCGGAGCAAGTGTCCCTGTGAACTCTAAACAGCAAGGACTCGCCCTCTAAACGGGCAGAATAGTCGAATCCGGGGAATCCGGGGAATCTGGGGATCAGAGGTATATGGGTCCCAATTGGGAAGGTTTTCCGAATTCTATCCCATGAAATGGTTAACATCACGGAGACTCGACCGACTTCTGCGATGGGTCGGTGCTGGAACTTCGAGTGTGTCCCGCCGTGCTGCTGGTCTAGGGGAGGCTGCTGTTTCAATGCGTTCGATATCCAGACTGGACGGGGCGTTACTGTGGAAGCTACTCGCTCTGGATCTCACTCCTCGAAGCTCAGGCGTCACATTTCCATCTGCATCTCGAGGAGGGTTATAAGACTGCCTAATCTGAGCTAGCTGGGGATTTTTCCACTGCTCTCCAGGAGTTTCTGGATAGTTTCGCGCTTCGTTGCGCTTAAACTCGCCCACGTCGTCGTGCGCTGCGGTGCTCAATTTGCTCCCGATGGCGGTTAACGTTCGAGAAATTTTGCGTCGGGTGTTCCCTACCTCGGTCAGAGGTCGATTGCTAGTTGTGGGTACCAGTTCAGATATTAAGCTGGGACTTCGAGCGCCCTGCTCCATGGGAGATCTTGTCTTGGATTCGTCCTCATTCACAACCTCAACATTTGTTGTCAGCAAGGACATAGCCGAACCAGCAACCGCTAATACTGTGCCAGCAATGGGAGCCCATTGGCCTACGACTATCAGCGAATTGGAAACACTACGAGTAAGGGCAAACTCTTACCGATGCTAGCGATGGGTTCAGTCTGAAACCTGACCTGTTTACTAAAGAAATTGTTCTCGCCTATTGCGAGAATAGCAAGTACTGCGCCACTGAATAAAGGTATCTCCACGACGCCCAGCAGCATCCTGATCGTGCTGTTGACCCCCTTCATCTTCCCGATAGTGGCACCGTTCGTGCCCTCAATCGGCTCGTCAATTCGCTCATCTTCACCATCGTCGCGATGGAGTTTCCTCCAGTTCATCTCGAGGATCTTATTAAACATGAAAGCCAGTGAGAGAATCGCGGGGATACAGCATGCAGCTGCGAGAAGCATGGCGGTGTTGAAAGTGAGCTTGTCTGGCGCGGGGATCACGTAAATGTTGTTTGCCGAACCATCTCGCATGGGAGAGCGCGGACCGTGCTCAACAGAACAATTGAGGCCACAGGTGGTCTGGTCGTAGGAAAAGTTCTTACGAGAGAGCGGGTTGCCTTGTTCGTCATGGCAATCGGACGGATTAATACGGTAGAATTCGACAGTTAGGCTTAGTAGACCTTGAACAGCTGTATCAGGAACTTTTGTTGGAAAATATTATTAAGATGGCTACTTACCAGCAAGAACAAGGCCGGTCCACAAGAAGATGGTATTACGGCCCGGATCGAAGAAGTAGGTCCGAGATAGCCGGACCGTCAGTGGAGCGGCCAAGATGCCAATCGAGCACAGTTGAAATGCTCCGAAGACATCCATGTCTACAGCACCTAGGGTATAGAACTATTAGTTGCAAGAATGCAGCCTCTAAATGAAGTACTGACCATTAACGTGCAGTGTTGCGAGCACGATACCATGGATGGCAGCCACAGCAGGAAAAAGCAACGCAGCCGCCAAGCACGCGTTCCTGAGCCATACTGCTTTTCGAGCAAAAACACAGGCTGCTACAAGAACATAATATCTGTAGAGGAAAGAAATGATATGTCAGTGAGTTTAGTACAAACTATTTGCGAAATCTGCATACAAAAATCTTGTGCCTGGCCCATATTGACCAGATACCGGCCAGGCGCAGACAACTTCCAAAGGGTCACTAGTGGCGTTCGCAGACTGATTTGATGCTGAGAAAGTGCTTCGATCAACGAGAGTCTGTAAGAGCGAGGCTGAATTGAGAGCTGGCATTACCTCTCGTCAGCGATGGATGGCTCTGGGACAGAATAAAGTAGGTGGGGAAAGATGTCGCCGACGCTTGTTGATAGGTCTTGCAAGGGGTTTATGGGCAAGAGTCGTATTGCTCTTCGCTCTTCAGTACCGAGAAGAGAGCGAGGCATTTCGGTTGAGTGAGGTGTGGTCTGCAGGATGGTTTGCTTATTAGCTCCGCCTCGCAATTGCACGCCTCACTGTACAAAGTTGGGGTGTGCTCTGAATGAGGTTGACCGGTTGCCGCGTCACGTGGGATTACATAGCAGGGCGAGCGAATGCTCAGCCTCGATCTTGCTCACCGGTTCATCTTGGCGGCAAACTCAGCCACGGGGAAGAGCCGCCCATCATTAGACCCAGCAAGCCCATCAACGTCGTCAGAGTCCGAGTTTCCTGGTCATTCCTTTTAATCAGTTCTGCTCTCGCAGTTGCAGAACATACCTCGAAAGGTGCCGTGCTTGACTCCGACGACTGCGGGTGGTGGAGCTTCACAATGTAAGCTTCGCATGGCGTTTGCCTTCTGCGCAATGGCTGACCTGACACAACCAAAGGGTTGAAGAAACGGCAATAGATCTTGATACCAACCATATCAAACAGTGGCGATCAATTGTCACACTCGTCGTTTTCGTTATCACCAATGTCATTGTGCTTTTCCCTTTCCACATTCCCATCTACATCCCCCGATCAGTTGCAGATGCTTTCCTGAATGCCCTGAGCACCTGGCGAATAATATCGCCAAGAAACACCGGGGGTCGACATGGATCTGAAGATGATAATGGCAAGTTTAAGCCATTTGTACGGCTCAAATTCCCCCTGAACTTTGTTACGGCCCCCTTGATTGGGGATCTCTTCTTGCTCGCCATCCTGGCTATTGGCCGAAAAGAAGTACACGATGGTACAATTGGCTCGAACCACATCTCGCCGATCGATATCATGGCCTTCTTCATGTCGTTAGCATATATTGCCATCTCCATCGACGCTTCCGGCCTCATCAGGTACCTGGCCTTCAAAGTGCTTCAATGGGGCGGCGACGTTGGGCACAGGTTGTTCTTCTACCTATATGCCTTCTTCTTCGCCCTGACTGCTTTCATCGGAAACGACCCCGTCATCCTTTCAGGTACGGCATTCCTAGCCTACATGACCCGGGTTTCGAGCAACATTGTCCACCCGCGGGCATGGATCCATGCGCAATTCGCTGTAGCAAACATCGGCTCAGCCATCCTCGTTTCGTCCAACCCTACCAACCTTGTCCTGGCCGGTGCTTTCAACATCAAGTTCATCAACTACACCGCGAATATCATTGTCCCTGTCGTTGTCACAGCCATTGTTCTATTCCCTTTCCTGCTATATATCGTCTTCGCAAACGAATCCCTGATCCCATATTCCATTAAGATGCACGAGCTTCCACAGGAAGTCCGAGACCGAAAGCCCGTGAACCCCAATATCCCACACGCGCGGGGCAAAGATGAGGAACAGGAGATCAATGCCGCGAACGATGAACCAGGCCAACTCCTCTCCCTTGAAGAAATCATGAATCCATTCCTGGACAAAGGAGGCGCGGCATTCGGCGGCGTCGTCATGGCCGTCACGCTCATCACCTTGTTATCTCTCAACGCTGCAACCCAGAGCACCTACCCGCGTCCCGTCTACTGGGTCACGTTGCCGGGCGCGTTCGTCATGTTCTGCTGGGACGTGTGTTTCGGGTGGGTCCATCGACACGAGACGCGCGATATCTCTCGTAAGGGTCGCCGGGAATTCGAAACTGCGCGAGCTGAGAGAGCGGCTCGAGGGCAAGGCGGGCAGGACGCTATTCTCATGTACGAACCCGTTCTACCCGCTCTGGCGCAAACATATTCGCCAGAAGTGCAGCCGCATGCCGAGAGCCGCGCAGGCAGCAGTAAGAGCAAAATGGCAAACGCCGACGACGAGAGGCAGGAGTTGACGCCCACAGTCTCGAATAATCCTCCACAAGGGTTGTTAATCACGATACCAAACGGCGAGGTAGACGAGAAGAAACCTGAGATGAACCTGAACTTCAGTAACCAGGGATCTGTATTACAGGAACGGCCGCCTTCCCAGACGCCGGAGCCACAAACACTTGTCTCGCTGATCACGGAATTGTGGCGGTGGTTGCAGGAGACATTTCCAACCTCGACGACCGTGGCTGCCCATTTGCCATACGCACTTGTACCTTTTGCGTTCTCTATGTTTGTGCTCGTGCAGGCTTTGGTGACTAAGGGCTGGGTACCTGTGTTTGCATATGGATGGGATCATTGGGTAAATAAGACAGGGACTGTTGGTGCTATTGGAGGCATGGGCTTCCTGTCTGTGATACTCTGTAACGTGAGTCTTCGTCTCCATCTCCAATTTCAAAACCCCCACCCCATTTCTCTTTAACCCACGCATATAAAACAACAAGCTAATGTCCACTCCCAGTTCGCTGGCACAAACATTGGTACAACCATCCTCCTCTGCCGCGTAATTCAAGCCTGGCAACAAATTCATACCAAAAACGGCACCACCATTACGGACCGCACCTTCTGGGCCACCGTTTACAGCATGGCACTAGGCGTCAACTACGGTGCTTTCAGCGCTGCCTTTTCCGCATCGCTAGCCGGGCTTCTATGGCGGGATATCCTTGCCAGAAAACACATCCGCGTGCATAGACTGGATTTTGCGAGGGTGAATCTGCCGATTATTGCGATTGCGATGACGGTAGGTTGTGTCGTTCTCGTAGGCCAGATTTACATCATTAGGAGCGACGATCCATACTATGCGAGGAGATGAGCACGGATTATATCACCTGGTCGCAGACGTAGACGAGCATAGTTACCCACGCTGGGCTCGCCCACCAACCATGGTCCAGCAGTGACTCGCATCTAGCATCGAATTTTGGAAGCGACGAGGTCCGAAAATCCATTTCAAGTGCTATTAGCATTTAGAACGATTTTCTGACGTCATTTGACCCGTCCGTATGACGGGGAATGTTTTTTCATGTCTCGGAAGACAAACAGGGGGTCGGGAACCTAGGTAGTAACCCCTTGCAGAATTTTCGTCAGAACCATGGAGTGTCCCTGTCCAAGCTAATTCTGAGCTGCCGGGAGTCCTCCACCTGAAAACGGCGTACAGGGGGCTACATAGACGAGGATTGGACGGCAAGGGAGGAGGCAGCTGGGGGGACGGGTTTGATTGCCTCAGACAGCCTTACAGTGCGTTGATCTCCGATCCGCAATTACACTTCCATAATCACACCTGATTGTATATAAAAAGCAGGGCCAAGTAGGTTATAGCGACCAGCTTGTCTGTTAGTCATCTGGACTAGATCTTTGGGTATTGTGAATGTCAAACAAGTCCGTAGCTCAGCATCATAACATAAACTATGTAACGTACATTGCATTATTCATACTACCAACGCTCCCCTTCCCCATCCTAACCGGCCCTAAAAGCAGACAGAAGCAGAAGCAGAAACCAGCTGAACGACCAACTATCATGGATATAGGGGAATCAAGCAAAAATAGACCGCCAGGACCAAGTGCAAGAGCAAGAGTGCTCGCCACAGAAGAAAGGAAATAGACCTTAGGGATGAAGTGGGGGAGCTGGCTAGTTGTACATCTACAGTAACAGAACAGAGCAGACAGATACAATTATTCCACGTGCTCAAGGAGAGAAGAGAAGGGTATTCGACTGGCGAACTGAATCCAGGGGTGTGAAAAAAAGGGGTCGGGAGGTTCTGCAAATTTGGGTTCATGTTCGTTTTTAGTGAGGGATTCGTGAGAAGGCTCTGATATGATATCCAGCCTAGTGGGAGGTGAGCGTGCAAGCTCAGGAGCCACCCTATCATCTTCCTGCCCATTATTGATGCAGGTGTTGTGTCGTCTTGCAATTCCTCCACCCTTCATCCATCTTCTCTCGTTCACCTACAACTCATCCTTGACTCTTTGCGTCGCCGCTGTCACCACGCTCGACATGCTGTTCGCACCTTCTTCCACACTCTTCGCTGCACCTGCATACATTTCACTGATGCGGGAATTCGCTGCCTCAACTGCAGCCGCTACCCTACTCCTCGCGCTCTCTACAGCCCCTTGCTCAGGCCTATAGATAGCCTCACTAACAGCATTTGCCACATCCGCCACTTTTTCGCTCGCAACAGATGAAATAGAGCTATACACGCTCTCAGCGCCACTAGTAACTGACACCACATATCCGCTCGGCGTAGGCGTGCCAAAGACAGCCTCATTGATCGCCGCTTGCGCACTCGCTGCAATAGCGGCGAAGCTATTCTGGGCCTCTTGGGTTCCAAAAATAGCTTCACTGGCTTTAGATTGCAAGGATGCGTACGCGGACGCAGCGGATTCACTGGCTTCTTCGATTCTGCCTTTTGGCGTGCCATACAGGGCGATAGACGCGCTTTCGACGGCCATGCTGATCTGCTCGTTGACCTGGCTCAGGATGTTTTCGACAACGGGGGGAGGGGTGAATGCGGGGCTAACGACGGAGGAAGCCGAAGAATACGCATCTGCTGCGTAAGATGTTGCAGCTTCGTAGTTTTCACTAGCGTAGGAGTTCATTGAAGATACGGCGGCTGGGAATCCGATGTAATAGGCAGAGGAGAACCTGAGCATCACGCTCTCTGTGAAATCAGGCTCTTTTCCGACAACAAGCTCGGAGATGAGGGCTTGGACGGCGGCGTACTGTTCTCCGGCTTGGGTGGTAGCCTGAGCACCATATGCACCGGCTTGAGAGTAAATCGATTCAGCCCATGGTGTAGGTGCGCCGTATATTTGTGTGCTGGCTTTCGCGATGAGAGCTTCCCAGTTTTGACTTGCTTCCGAGGCGACGGACCCAGTCAAGGGAGTCTCAGTGCCGATGACACCAGAGCTGACGCGTGAAGCAGCAGATTCAGCCGCCTCACTGACTTGGGAAGCAACGGATTGCGCAGATCCAGAGATCTCCGACGCAATTGATGACGCCGACTCTGAGACTACAGAAGCAATAGACTCAATAGTCCCTTGTTGGGGTCCGTACGCAGCAGTTGAAGCAGCGTTAAGGAATTCTGAGTACTGCGCATGAGCGAGACCGAGAGCTTCGTAGTATTGCCGACGTGCGCCTCCAAGCGCGGGTGTTGTTTGGAGGGAAAGCTGGGCGGATGCGGCACTAATGCCCTCAGACAGCTTTGACGACGCAATCGAGGAGACAGATTCGAAGTATCCCTGAGTGGGACCGGCAGCATAGCTTTTGATTGAATCGGTGTACTGCAAAGCGACCTGCAATCTCTCGCTAGCAGCAGCAATGGAATCAGAATAGGCCTTTTCAATCATCGACAGCATAGTCTCATGGGCGGGTTTTAGTTTTCCTGAGAAGAGCTCTGAAAGCTGTGATTTGGCGTCGGAATACTGCTCGTTCGCCAAACTAATGGCATCATTGTATCGAGAACTGGCCTGGATCTGGACAGTCTTGATTATGGCAGTTGGAGTGGGGGTGCCATATATAGCGTACGATGCTCTATGCAAAAGATTAGATATGGTTGGAACTTAAATAGTTGAACTTACGCAGTTACTGCCTGAGCAAACTTCTCGGAAGCAACGCTCGTCATACTTTCGATTGGCTGCTGCTCGGTGCCGTACAGAACGCTCGACGCGGCAGCCATAGCCCGCTCATACTGCTCACTAGCCAGCGAAGTGATCGACTCCACCGATCCTTGGGTCTTCGACGGGCCCAGAAGTGCTTCACTGACAGCCCTGCTGAGGTCGGCGGCACGATCACCGGCTTCAGCGACCATGCTTTGAACTTTCTCCGAATATGTTCCCGCCTCATCATCCTCAATGACGTCATCTAACACGATTTCTTTAGCTTCGGCCATCACCTGAGCCATCGCTCCTCCCAGCACCCTCTTGGGCTCGTCAATTACGGAAGAAATAGTTTCCTTAGCTTCTTTCGTAACATCCTCAACCTTCTCCCCTACTTCAGGCGCCACGCTCTCTGCTGTGGTTTTGGAGCTAAGGATGGCTTCGGATACCTTGGAGGAAGCATCGGCAACTTTGTCTTTGACAACGGAAGCTCGGCTTTCGGTGGCTGGCTGCTCTGAGCCTACAATGGACTCAGATACCTTAGAGGCAGCTGACTCCACACTATCGACAACATCTTTGGCGACCTTGAAAGCCCTGGCAGGGACTTTCTTGTTCGTGAAGTCGTCTGTCGCATCGTTGGCCCAGATCTTCCATTTCGCGACCTCCTTCAGTCGAACCAATTCGCTGACCATCTTCGCCGAGATGGCCATGGCATCGTCTTCAAGCTTCTTAGACTCTTCGTGCGCAACCCTAAGACCTTCGTGTCGTGAGCCGACGGCTTCGACTTCTTCTTCCCACTCTGTAAGCGTATTTCTTAGCTTATGGTAATTCTGCCAATCATTATAAGTCACACCGTCGGTCCAAGCCCACCGCATTCCTACCTCCTGAAGGCCTAAGCCGTGAATACGATCAAGGACAGCGAGAGTGTTCTCGACCGCGGCCTTCACAAGGTTATCTGTCTCTTCATCATAGGAAGCCTTCCAGGTTCGAACCGCCTGGGCCTTTTCTTTGACCTGAAGTCCGAGCTCACGGGTCTTCCCGATACACTTTTCATAGACGGACTCCAGCTGTTCCTCGGTAGCATCTTCAGGAAGATTCTCCACAGCCTGCTTAATGAACTTCCTAAACTTCTCGATGGTTGATTTCGACGTCTCCTCAAGCTGGACGACCAGAGCCGCTCCGTGTCCCTTGACACCATTTTCGACTTGGCGCTTGGTAAGTTCGGCAACTCGCTGCTCCAGATCCTCTGCACCTTTATCAGCTGCCTCCGCAAACTTGGACTGCCATTGCCTCAGATCGTTGTTAAGCTTCTCTCGCAGCTCTTCACCTGTAAGTTGGGGTTCAGTGGACCCTGCCGGCGCCGTCCCCGTCGCTGTCGTGACCTCGGCGGTTGAGGTATCGGAGGACCAAAGAAGATCCATCATCTCGCGAGCCGAGTCGGCATCAATGTCAGACGGTATCGCTACCGTGGGCATCATCTTTGTGGTTCCTGACGCATTGGTTCTATTCCATGTTAGTGGGCGAATGTGCTATCTGGACTTCTGCGCTTACGGATCCGACTCGACGGCGCTGTCGAAAATGGACTCAATCTTCTGCCCGTCTCGGTACCTTCCAAGCCTTTCTCGGATCCGAACTAGCTGAGGCTCAACATTGTCTCCATAGAGCACTCGGAGTTGAGGCCACAGAGTTCGAGTAAGAAAGGTCCAGCTAATTTCTCTGGCAGAGCGGACGTAGGGAAAGATTATGTGGGAGACAATGTGGTGGCCATGGCGGTAACTTTGCTGTGCATAAGGCAAGGCGGCTTCGTATGCCGGGAGTACGGAGAGATGATATATCTCCAACATGCTCTCTTTTGTCTGCTCATAGTAGGGTGCGACGTAGTCGGAGGCCTGCTTGACGTGTGGCGCCAAGTGTGCATCGTATTGAGCCGTTACTTGCTTCTGAGCATTCTGCAACTGAGGGCGAAGGGTGCTATCCCACTCCGCTTCCAGATACTTTTGGGCTTGGTCTACTCGATGGGCGCCATAGACCGCGTACTTATCCTTGGCAAAGGTCGCTACGGGAGTGTACACCTGAGCGTCGAGACGGTCGACGTACGGTTGGACCTTCTCGATTTGGGGGGCTATGTAGGTGTGATAGTATGGATCCAAGTATGGCGCCGCGTATGATCGGGCGTGGAGATAGGGCTTGCAAATCTGCGGCGAAGTCTCCGAAATGGAGGAGAGAGAGGAGGGGCAGCGGAAGAAGACGGTGATGAGGATATACCACGACAATAGTCTAGCGACGAGGTTAGCATGGGATATTTGTTGTGATTGTTGTAATTTTAGTGATCTTGGTGATTTTGGTGGGTTTGATGATTAAGCTTCCATATAAGCCTCCACGCTCCCTCTGCAGTTAGCATAGCTAGAGACTTTTCATCTCTATCACATGCCAAACCGAACGAGGGGGGACCCCAGCATTTCCTGGGTGGGAGACAAGCGTACCTTCCAAAGACGTTTGTGAAGCCTTTCATGACGCCCTTCCTCTGCCGCGCCTGCGTCGGCGATCGTGCAAGTGGTGCAGAGATGCTCGACTTGCTTGCGTGGCCGTTCGGATGGCCGTTCGCAGCAGATTTCTTGGGCTTCTTCGCCCTCCCATTGCTTTGGGCAGCCATTGCTGCAGCACCCCGAGCGGGTCTTCGCAGGCAGTCTATATGGCAAAAAAAAGAGATGATGAGTTGTTTGTTCGCGTGTTGATCAGTCTAGTTCGGCGGTGAAGACGGGGGGTGACGGGCGTCTGCATGGCATCAGTCGATGAATCAGCACCGGAAGGAATCGCTGGTGGATTCTGGGAGGACTTACGAGAGTGGATCCGCTCGTCGTCTGGTGCAGAAAAGGCGCAAGAGAGCGTACTGATGATGGTGTTGATGGAAACCAGATTGCCAGGGCACACACCCCAACCGAGCTTCACAGGGATGATGTAATGGCGGCCTGCAGCTCTGCCCTAGCGTGGCTGGTTGACGCGATTGGTTCGTGAGGGTACAAATAGCGAGACGATGCAGGTCGAGGAACCGCGATGGGGGGGGAGAGGGGGTGGGCATTCACTGGGCACTTATGGATGAAAGGCCAGAGGAGCCTTGCAGCACCTGAGGCAGATGAGACAGCGCGAACCTCTCCGTGCTGCGAAGTAGTGCTTCAGGTCTGCATGCAGAGATGCCCATGGCCCAAAAACATTCTTGCATACTACTTGGTGTGGGTAATTTGTCGAGAAGGCAATTCTTTCTCCCATCAACGCTCAACGAAGAGAAGGTTAATACCCTGTGGCCCAGATATTTCTGACTTTCGTCATGTTCAGTGGCTGCGATCCCATGCAGTGCTTGGGACATCAAAGCGTTTGCCAAAACGGCCTTCCTTGTGGCGCGCCACTCCCAGCCCTGCACGGCCCATTTCCACTCCCCCCCCCCCCATCGTCACCTCCCGACCCGAGTTCGGCTCTAACTGGGCTTCACTCAACCACATCCACCGCTCTTTCCTACTCTTCACTGCTCCGGCTCTTCGTTCGTCCGCCCTACAGACCCCTCATACCTCAAAGTCACCCTCCGCCCCGTCGCTTCTCTCCTTCAGTTCGAACTATTGGACCCTGCCCGTAAATACCAGTCCCCAACTTTGTGCTCCCACGACTTGCTCCCACGACTGGGCTTCCGATGCCTTCCTCACCTCCACGCTCCCTTTCGCGTCTCCGATGAGTCCTTGAATCACGTCGCGGCGGCTTCCCCCGCGATCACTCAATTATATAATCTCTCCTCCTACATCCTCTCCTCCTCCCCCTCCTCCTCAACCCTCTTGTCCCACCAATCCCCCGAGAACCACAGCCATGTCCACCCCGGGTCCATCCTCCGCAAGTGAGCCAGATGTCATGAACGATCCCGAATACGCCACAAACACGTCCAAAGGCTCCGGCGACGATGGCGATACATGTCGCATATGCAGGGGCGAGGGTACCACAGATGAACCACTCTTCTATCCCTGTAAATGCAGCGGGAGCATCAAGTTCGTCCACCAGGAGTGCTTGATGGAGTGGCTGTCGCACTCGCAGAAAAAGTACTGTGAACTGTGCAAGACGCCTTTCCGATTCACCAAGCTGTACCACCCCACCATGCCGAATCGAATCCCGACCTCCGTCTTCCTCCGCCGCGCCGCCATACACGTCCTGAGGATGCTCATAACGTGGTTTCGTGCCGTGCTGGTGGCCTCTGTCTGGCTGGTTTTGCTTCCATATTGCATGCGTGTAGTTTGGCGGAGTCTATTCTGGGTCGGCGACGGAGGCTGGACTCGGGACCTCTACCCTGCCACGGCCGAGAAGGATCCCCAGGCTTCGCCGTCACAACCTTGGGATCTGGAGACGGAGCGCTCTGCTATCGAATCTGCCAAAGCCGCCAATATGTCCGTGTCTCTTCCACTCCCCAGTCTGCTCATGCCCTTCTCTCCCACCCTGAACATGAGCTCTGGCGAACCCACCGTCTGGACGTTAATAAAACACTTCTTCTTTGGCGCTGCCTATTCCATTCCTGATTTCAAAGTTCCTTCTGCTACGAACAGTACTGACCTTAACACTACCGCCGATGCCCTCGCACCGCGGAATCCTTCTCTGCTCTCCGACATTTCTTTCTTCAATTGGTTTCCCTCACAGGCTGCGAACGGGTTTCTAATCGACGTGCTCGAGGGCCAAATCATCACCCTTCTGGTCGTGGTTGCCTTCATTCTAATATTCCTCATCCGAGAATGGGTGGTCCAGCAACAACCCGTCATCAATATGGTAGCACTTGGCGACGACGATGCTGCCGCAGACAGGGCTAGGGAAGCTGCAGAACCGGACCTGGAGGAAGACCAAATTGATGATGAAGAAGAAGAAGAGGAGGGGGAGGAGCAGGAAGGAGAACGAGTTTACGACAATCCACCTGCCGAAGAAGTGCCAGAGAATAATGGGGAAGAGGAGCCGACTCGGCCCCTTCCCCAAACTCGCCGCTCGTCTTCTTCTAACAGGAAGCGCCAAGCTATTTTCAAGTTGTGGCAAGACAGCGATGAGATCCCAGAAGACCTTCGACAAGCCATGCAAGAGGGCTCGGCTGAAGATGTCGCAAGGGTCATTGAGCGGATGCCTTTGGAGGAGTCAGTAAGGCTGAAAGAACAGCTAGTCAAGCTTTCCCAGCGCATAACTAACGAGCGCATTACTGACGGGCGCATAATTGATGACCCTACGAACTCTTCTAAGACCACGCACTGTGACTCAAATACGGAAACACAGGTCGGCAGTGAATTAAACCCCCAACCGTCCGGATCGAGGAGACCTCATTTTCCCGAGAGATCTAGTAGCCTCCCCACACGATCTAGCAGCCTCCCACCAAATCCGGAGAGAAGTTACTCGTCGGAGAATTTCGAGTCTTTCGGCCCTCTACAGAGACCCAACATGCCAGCGAGAGATCAGTCTTTCATTGCAACTGAGATCAGGCGCAATTTAGAAGAGGCCAATATATGGTCCTTTGAGAATGTATCTGGGGATCCCCAACATTCTCAGAATGAAGATGTGCCTGAGTCGTGGGAGGATGAAGAAGCAGCAGATAGCCCCACACACAAGGGGGTCGATGGCACGACGTCCGATCAAGAACAGAATAGCGACCACAGCAGTGAAAGTTGGCAACAAGTCCCTGATGTCGTTGTCTTCGACAACGTTGACGTATTTCATGATGCAGACTCATCAAAAGGGAAAGGAAAGGCTAAAGTACACGAAGATAGTACAAACGAGCCACATGTGGGACTTATCACTCCCCCGCCATCAGAAAGAGAGAGAAAATCACCGGAAACCGCCTCTATGGGTGAAGACGGATCTCACCCTGTACGAAGCCTAGAAGAAGATACTGCCATCTCCAATCAATCCGTGTGTGGTTCTGATTCCTATCGCCAAGAGTCCGACATTGAAGAGCAGCAATTACCGACCGAAGAGGAGCCAGAACCTGCACGCCCGGCTGCACGGCCCCAACCAGGCTTGCTAGATCGCATAATGGAGTGGTTATGGGGGGACGTCGCTCCCGGGATCCAGGCTGTTGAAGACGACGGTAATGACGAGCGCATTGTCCAGGACCTAGCAGACGAGGCCCCGTTTGTTCCCTTCGGCGGCCTTAACGACCGAGAGCCTGCGAATGCGCTAGTACAGGACCCTGAAGTAGCAGCGGCGGCTGTAGCAGCCGGCATTGACGTCAACGACCAAGATGCCATTGATGACGCCGAAGATCTCGAAGGAATAATGGAACTGATAGGCATGCAAGGGCCCCTCACTGGTCTTTTTCAGAACGCCATGTTCAGTGCTGTCTTAATCTCTGCAACTCTAGCTTGCGCTGTCTGGTTCCCATATCTATGGGGCAAGGTGGTACTACTCTTTGTCGGCAGTCCGATATCGCTTTTTATAAAGCTACCTCTCCAATTAGTTGCTGCTCTCGCTGATTTCGTTGTTGACGCCGCCCTTTGCATCGGTGCTGCTGCAGTATGGCTGCTCGCTCAGGGTATTCGTTTATCTGTGAGAATCTGTACATGGGGAACATTATCCGAATTCGTGGACAGACCGATCAACCTTGTTACAGCCCCTGCACGGTCAGTTGCAGAGAGTGCGAAGGATCGAATTGGTGATCTGGTCGCCGAGTCAGCCCTCCTCCCTCACCCAGACTACTTCCGACTATCAACCAACTCCCATGCAGCATTGCGGACAATACAAAACACAACTTCTTATGCTTTCAACCAGACCAGTATTATGGTCGGGGCATTGTACGGAAATATCACAACAGAATCTGCCTCCCACACCATCTTACGAGTAGTTCAGCAGGCGCCCATATCCCTGCAAGTTTTCTTCATCTCCACGTACAGCAAGGCTGCTCAGCTGGTCTCCTGGATGTGGAATTCGAAGTCGTATAAGATCACTCTCGACTTAAACCTTGGCCACAATGTTACGTCTGCGTACACGGCAATGGAGCAATGGAGCCCGACTGACCGACTAATAGCTATTTTTGCTGGATACGCTTTCTTTGCTGTAGCTGGTGCCGTGTACCTCAAACGCGCGGCTCCCATCAGCACCTCCCCCCAAGGTCGGAAGCTCGAAGGCATCATTACAGACATCCTCCAACAGGCTGGAGGCGTGCTGAAGGTCATTCTCATCATCAGCATTGAAATGCTCGCGTTCCCGCTCTACTGTGGCCTGCTTCTCGACTTAGCCCTCCTCCCTCTCTTCCAAAACGCAACCCTGTACACGAGGTGGCAGTTTACTAGGGAGAGTCCTTGGACATCCGGGTTCGTACACTGGTTCATTGGTACTTGTTACATGTTCCACTTTGCCCTATTTGTCTCCATGTGCCGCAAGATCATGCGACGAGGCGTCCTCTACTTCATCCGCGATCCCGATGACCCAACGTTCCACCCAGTCCGCGATGTCCTCGAGCGAAGCGTTACCACGCAGCTACGGAAGATCGCATTCAGTGCTCTTGTGTATGGCGCGTTGGTCGTTATCTGCTTAGGTGGTGTGGTATGGGGTCTGAATCGTGCGACAAGCGGCGTCCTTCCGATCCACTGGGCATCTCACGCCCCTTCACTAGAGTTCCCTCTCGACCTCCTCTTCTATAATTTCCTCACTCCCATCATCATCAAAGCTTACAAGCCGAGTGATTGGCTGCATACGATATATGAATGGTGGTTCAAGAGCTGCGCTCGTCTCCTCCGGCTGTCACATTTCCTTTTCGGCGACAAAGCTAAGGAGGAAGAAGGCCACCACGTCAGGCGTACCTGGTCAGGTTGGTTCGCTGGCGAGAAGGGAAATCCAGAAAAACCTGTGATAGGAGAGGATCGTCGAATTCTAGCCGAGGACCGCGGTCTTCGAGTATACTTTATGTTTGATGGTAAATACGTTCGGGCTCCAGCCTCTGACCAGGTCCGCATCCCCAAAGGAGAGCCTGTCTTTGTCGAGGTCGACCGTTTCAATCATCGCAAAGATGGCAAATCTGAGGAGGGCGGAGTACATAATTCCGATATGGTGACGATGGTCTATATTCCACCGTGGTTCCGTATCCGCATTGCTCTCTTTGTCTTCACCATGTGGATCTTTGCGGCGATAACTGGCGTCGGTATAACCGTCATTCCACTTCTCTTCGGTCGATATCTGTTCTCTCTATTCCTTCCACCGACGGTCGAAATGAACGACATCCACGCATTTTCCCTGGGGATCTACACTCTCGGTAGCGTCGCATACGGAATCTACCACCTGTACAAGCTCGTTTCGACTCTCCACCGGCCTGTACCCTCACCCCTATCTACTCTCTGGGCCCTCGTCATCACTGCCACAAAATTTGTGCTTCGCGTCATCCGCTTCGGATACGTGTGGACCTCGCTCGTAGTCCTGATCCCCTTCCTCTTCGCCCTCCTCCTCGAACTCTACCTCCTAATGCCCTTACACGCCTATCTAGGCCCCCACGAACCCCACGTCGTCCATCTCATCCAAGACTGGACCCTCGGCTTCCTGTACGCCCGTCTCGCCGCCCGCGTCGTCTTCTCAGACCGCGCATCCCGCCCCGCCCGCGCCTTCAGCGCCGTCGTTGCCGACGGCTACACAAATCCCAACGCACGTCTCGCAACTCGTTGCTTCCTCGTCCCCGTCCTTGCCGTCTTTGCTATCGCGCTCGTCGTCCCGTCATCCATTGCTTGGACCTTGAATCGCACACTTTGGGCGGGCGCGACGGATGCTACTAGGAGCCAAGTGTGGCGGTTTAGTTATCCATTGTTGGGACTGGCGGTTGGGGCAGTTTGGACGGCGAGGGAGGGGGTAGGGATGTTGAATCGATGGAGGATGGTGGTTAGAGATGAGGTTTATTTGGTGGGGGAACGGTTGCATAATTTTGGAGAAAGGAGGGCTCCGATTGGTTCGAGAAGTACGATGATTAAAGTGTAGATTGTTTAAGGTATGCATGAATGTTCGGCGTTTTTGGATGGGGTGGGGTGCGTTGGTGGGCGGGGCATTATGGAACATCAACTTTACTCTTGGGTGAGAGAAGGGGAAAGGGGGGAGGGGGGAGGGGGGTGGAGGGGGGTGGAGGATGGTTGCATCGGTGGCAGTTTGATTGCTATGTGTGTTATTATTATGTGAGCGATTGCTCGGAGCGGATTTGTAGACGTCTGTCTCATGGGAGAGATAGGTACAGAAAGTGTTACACATACATACGGAAACAGAAATTGGCACTCCCCTTTTCGATAGGATGGCAACTTGATTGTTTGATGATTGAAGACTTCTATTCTTCCTAGTCGTGCATGACTAGCTGACGCTGTAGCTGGTCCTCTCCATCGAGAATGGTAAAGCTAATTTGGGAGGCCGAGCGTGGGTAAATAGCACTTCGAGCTCCTAATGAAGGTAGCTGTGCTTTCTTCCATAGATGTCGGGGGCCCTTCACAGGTAGTATGGCGTAATGCGCGGCAGATAGTAGGTGTGGGTACCGAGTTTCATAGGCCCGCAAAGGTCGTCGACTCGCGTGCCAATGCCAACCGCATGGTCCGGCTCCAGCATAATACCTTATCCATCATTCAGCATCCAGCATCCACACTCCCTCCCTCTCTGCACACACGCATATGCATATCTCAACAACCATTCCCAGTCATGCCTCACCCAAATACTAAATCTCATCAACGCAGCACACGCTCGGAGAATGCCCTCATTCATAAATACTTCTTCGCCGCCGCCTGCACCCTCGCCCTAAAAACCGGACTTTTGACCACATCGCCATGGCCCACGGCAAAAAACGGATTCATGATCGTCTTCACCCAGCTCTCATACACATCAACGAAGAAATTCTTCACCGCCTCTTCGGTCGCAGGACTCGTGGGGTTGTACATCCCCGCGCCGCCGCCAAGGCCTGCGCGTCCTCCAGCGAGACTACCCCTCACGGAGCCAGCACCAGATCCGGTCGAGTAGATGGACGACGCAGAGCCAGAGGAGGGGTTAGCAGCCGATATCCCCAACGCCTCATCCCGCGGCCTTGTAAGTAACAGGAACCTGACATTCCCACCCGTAATCCAACAGCTGATAAAGTTGTTTTGGTATTTGTCGATGTGTTTTAGATACATGGGTGCAGAGCCGGAGGTGGATGACGGGCCCCATTGTACTTCTTCGACGATGTCGAGGGCGGAGTGGATAATGAAGGGGTTTAGGGCTAGGTCGGCGGTTGTGAAGGCGGGGGTGCCGGTGCCGGAGGAGCGGGAGGTGCCGAAGGTGTGGGTGAAGAGGGGGGTGTCGTGCGGGGAGAGGATAGTGAAGGTGTAGGACATGGTGGAGGGTCGGATGGGGAGATTATGAGTGGAGATTTGAATTTGGATTTGGATTTGGTGAGTTTGAGGGAAGTGTGTCTCTAGGAGGTATGGGTATCTGGCTTAGTAGAAGGGAATCGATTGGTATTTGGAGAGCGACAGAGCAGTCCGTGTGGACAAGATTTGTCTGCATGGGACTGTGCACTCGGGAGTGCTGCGGTGGTCGGTAATGAGGCTCTGCAAGCTCCACCACAGCCCGCCGCAGGGATCAGTGCGTTGCCAAGCTTTCTGCCCAGCACTTTTCTACCGAGAACCTCACCTCACATCTTCAATTGTATATCGCTTCCTTTGAACTACAACACGACCATAATGTTTGGACCCTTCCGCCTCACAAACCCGCTCTCAGGCGGCCTGTTATGGTTTGTTCCCTTTCCAATTCCCCCCCAACACCACAGCCATCTCCAGTCCCCCAATACCTCCTACCCGCCTCTCAAATCAAACGCCCTCTAACCCTTCCTTAGGAAAATCCCCTTCCGCCTCTCTCGCCACCAAAAATCCCGGCAGCGCCTGCGCCTCCGCCATGTCGACCACGTTATCTCAACACTCTCGTCCGCGCTTGCAAAACAAGCGAAAAGCATCCGGAAAATTGAGCGCTGGAAGGAGGTTATGCCCATAGAGCAGGAGATGTTAGCGAAGGACAAATATTCCGTGTTTGATCGCAAGGTTAAGAGATATCGGAAGGGGATGCATAGTAAGTTTTTTTTTTCATTTGGGGTTTCCGGGTTTTTAACTTGGATGAGTGCTAATTGCGATTCAGAGGTTCCGAAGTGGACGAGGGTGAGCCAGAGGTTGAATCCGCCGGGGTTCTGAGCATGCGGGGCCGGTGGAACAGGAATTGTCGGTCTTTAGGGGAGGGGGAGGATGTACCATGTACTCTATGTGTTTCAATACGGTATAGACCGAAAGGAACGGCGCTATTTGACTAAGGCTGGGAATGTCATCTCCCAATGCCTATGGTGCTCCACGTTATCGGATTTCGAGCGAAGACATATTGGTCTGAAATCACTTCGGGTTTTTAAAATAACCCAACTGAATTAAAACGGGCACTCATAGTCTTTTCCGTCTCGTTTTGCACACCTTCATTCAACAAGATGAGCACAAAGCATCCGACCTTGGTCTACGTCACATTTCAGCTATTTATTCATGCTTCCAGCATTCCGAGGCCTTACGTTGCACTGCCAATAACACCCGAATGAAGTATTCTATTCAACGTTTTATTTCACCTCAAGTCTCCCCGCTATTTGTTCTTGTTTCCACAAAACAGTATATAGGGGTCTCATTTTCATGTCATATTGTAATTCCCGTCAATATCTCTATTTCTATGACTACCGCAAACATGCCACTCCTCACTTCCACTCTATCAAATCTTCACCACAACAATTTTCTTTTCCACCCCTTCAAACTCACTTCTCATTCCCCTCCACTTTCCCACTGCAATAATTTCGTCCCTGGCCTAGAGTTTTTCACTATTTTAAGCTCGCTAGTCTTTCACCTTTACTGACTACCCGCAATCAGCAGGCCTGGATTCACCTCGCTTCGCGAATTTTGATTGAATAACCTTTCTCTGTTTCACCTCCCCTTGCTGCTCTTCTTGCCCTAACCTCACCTCTCGACCATCACTGCGAGATCGCAATACAAAGATTATGATGGCGACAAAAGATGAGGATCAAGTCCCGGGTCTGGGCCAAGGTCCAGATCCATCGCATCTGATGTCACCAGAGCTTTTTGATGAGTTTATAGCACTGCAAACTCGTCAGTGGAAAGAGCGGGTTGAATTTGAGGCTAGACAACAACGAGAATGGTTGGATCTTCGGGCAAGACAAGTAGGAGAGGGGAATCAGACGGTATGGATTATAACCACAACCATGTAGAAGGCCTTGGGCCTCTCGAAAGGGAAGGCAAGACTAATATGCGACCCAGGCGCTGGATCCGACGACCCAGCCACAGAGGTCTGGAAATGCTCTAGCTTTAGGCTCGGGTTCTAGGAATCCCAGTAGAACCATCGTACGAGCAACGCCCTCCGTGCAATCTCCAACAAACATATCGATACTAGCACCGCAGCCAGTTCAAGATTCACTCTCTCAAGCAAATACCAAATCCCGAGTGCCCCCACCGGCTTGCTGTCCGAATATCTCCAAAGGTGCTAAATCTATCGATCTATGTGATTCAGAATCGGCAGACAATGAAGATCTTAGTGATGTTGCGACTCCAACGCAGATACAGAAATCAGGTCAATCAGCGACTCAAGATTGGCAAGCGGGCAAGACAGCCAATACCAGAAATCTAGTAAGCGTTTCAAGTATCGACAAACCGCGAGGGCAAGGCCACAATAGCCTCAACGACCAGGATCAGGTCGTTCTCCAAGACTTATTGAGGCCCTCTAGTATTTCCAGACAACAAGGACAGAGCGACAGCCAACTTCCTCGGCTCAACGAGATTGAACTCTTCAACCCTATCAAGCCGGGAGGGAAGGAACAAAATCAACAGGTAGTGAAAGCCTACCTGCATGCTTCAGCGCCATGCAACAATACCATCCAGCTATTCCCAAGGCAGACACCACGACAGTCTCCCGCAAAAGCTTCGCCAGTTCAGAAACAAAGCCACCGAAAAGGACCACTGCAACCAGACCCGAGGCCAGAAGTTAGCATGAATGTCTTTTATGAGCAAGTTAACAACCGATCCGGAATCGTAAGAGATCCGCCTTCTCTACCACGTAATCCAAGCCTTCTTTCGCTTCAAACCCAACAAAAGAACGGTGGCTTCATCCGAAATGCTCTGAAGGATGGAGGAAGTCAGATTTGGTTCCCTGAGATACAGAGTATTCTTCAAAATTACAACCCTCATAGTGTACAACGAGATGTAGAGTTGATAGATAGGATCTCAGATATCAAACCAAGCCGCCGAGCGGATTCTCCCGTGCATATATCTGCACTGTTGGCGCTACAGAAGAGGAGGGACTCCAGGGCGCAAAGCGACAGTATGCAACTAGAGACGACTCAATGTCAACCTTGTATGGGCACTGTTTATGATCCAGTCACTCCGCCTGGCCACCTCTCGTCTGCCGAACAACGTTCAAAAATCCGAGAGCTGGGTGGACAGCTTCGGGGCACTTGGGGTGAGAAGCCTCATCCTCCGCGATCTTATCCAAGCACGCCACCTTTATACACACAGGACCTCCCTCTCCTTGATCGTGAGATGGCTATGCACCTATCGCAGTCTGAGGAGAAACAGTCTGTTCTAGTCAAGGCCAAAGTCTCGAAAGGACTCAGTGATACCATAACCTCACTTTCCAGTATACCAGCGCCACCAAGGGCTCCACAAAACGCGCCTTCAAACCTACAAACTTCACCACCCAGCACACCAAAGGTTCAGCGAGCTATCTCACCACCCCCACAATTCAAGACCCCGGCTGTCCCAAAGATCGTCTTCCCAAACAATGCCACATCTGAGCTTACACAGCGACGCCGTATGAGAGAAGCCTCTATCGCATCTCAAAATTCGGGGTTTTCAACACTCTCGCAAACTACCAGCGCATCGCAGAGCCGGAAAAGGAAGAATACAATTAATCTCAGCGACGACGGGTCTGATTCCGTGCTTTCACGATCGGCTTCACCAGCTAACAGCAATGCAAACGAGGTGCTAAAAACCTTGGCTACAATTACACCTCCAGCTACCAAGAAAACGAAAACAGAGACAGGAGCAGCACACCGGAAAGGCGTTGCCCGGGTGGTCAAGAGGCAGACAGTTGCTCCCACGACACCGACAAAACCTAAGGCCAGGATGACGACGCCAGCAGCACCTAGGGCCCCTGTGGCGAACAGGAATCGGGACTTTAACAACATGCAAGTGCAAAGCCCAGGCTCGCCGTCTGTTCGCGCTTGCTCCAAAGCGGCCGTTAAACTAAGTCACCGAGCAAATCCCTCCAGCAGACCAACTGAAACCCCAGTGTCCCCACCCACGCCGAATCTATACAGTCCTTCTGGCCGCCAAATGCGAATAGCCGGCGCTCAAGCTAGAGCTAGAATTCGAGAAGCAGCGAAAGAGCTGGCGGAGGCTCAACAGCATGCTGGATTCGCACGCGTGGAGGATATGGAGGCGGGGATGAGGAGCGTCAGCTTGACTGCTTCTCGGAGGGTTCAACGCCGTCAGATGGGCGGAGCGAGTGAGGGTGAGGGTGGTGAGGATGATAGTGGATGTGTGTATGACAGGACGGCGTGGGTGGACGATGGGAACAACGGGGATCGGGCGTTGAGCAAGAAGGCTATGGGGATGGGGGATCAGGAGCTGGAAGGAGATTAATATGGGGGGGGTTGGATGTTCAGCACCTCAGCTCGTTCAAGATGGAGAATGAGGTGGTTTTTAGTGTTAATGAGGAGATGGCAGACGGTTGAGCAGCGCTGAGATTTCTCATCGTTGTCCTTCTATGCATGGATTGGGAGATTCTGGGAGTGCTGAACAGCATACAGAATGTTGGCTGTGGGAACAAGACCAGAGATTGGAGTTCCGCTTGGTAGGGCTGGGGTCCAAGCCGCCGAGTTTGTTTCTGGCTTTTACGGTCTTCTTTGTATTCATACATCCATTTGCGGGAGGAGGTATTGTAGCCGGACACCAAGGCTTGAAGTTGGCATGCGGTGTAGGGCCAGCTCTTCGACATGCCTAGGTGTGTGTACAGTCCCGCGGGAGGCTTCACATAGCCCGCAAGATTATATTCCCGTATCAACTAGGCGTTTTCTAAACCTAACAGTAATCGTGGGATCGCGCAGAGAGCAAGTCGCTCCATCCCTTCCTTGCAGATAACTATATGTCTTTTACATACAGAGTACATTTAATAAAACCTTAGAGATCCTAGATGTGTCTCTAGTGTACAGAAAACCACGGTTGAAACTGATTGATGCGAAATCCTTGACGCGGAGCATGGAATACCCAGAACCTTGTGTTAACGATACGACAGCCACCATCCACTTGCAACTAAATACAAGATATGAGCCTTTCTTGAATTCTCTAGTCTCTTGGGATCTATTAAGTTATACTTTGCGACATGCTATGCTCCCCACTAAGAATACAAATGACGAGAACGCCTGTTGGCGTTTAGGAAGATGCGAGATTAGCTACACCCGCCAAAGCAGGCTGTGGGTACAGGTCAGAATTCTTCCAGACACTATAGCTGGGAGATATCACTGCTAAGAAGAGTAGGACTAAATTTCTACATTAAGATAACTCCAGGTAGCACTAGCATTTTTCCTCCACAATAGAGTGTCCTTCTGTATTAGCGTCTTACGTTATGCCCTTCCACCTCCCCCAAGTGACCCTCGGTGTGGCAGTTACAAGCACAGCTACAATTCCCAACCACCTACTCGACTCCCAAACCAGTTGAACAAAGTCGCCGATGTGAGTCGAGGTTACTCAAATGTAATCAGATGAGAGTCAAGTCCTTGGTCAACACCTCAATATCTGAGGCATGTCTTCGAAGGCAGGATCGGTACACCGCCTAGGGGAGGGTTTTAAGCACTTAGGAAATGCCACCCACTGAGGATCGACTCCGATTTTGAGTATGTTCAATATTAGGCATTTTAAGCTTCGGAAAATTCTATGACACCCGAAGCAACTTAACGACGTCTTGGGCTTTGCGCAGGCGGTAGCTAGATTCTCTGACATATTCCAGGCGATGCGAGTGCCGAAGCAAACGTCTATCAAGGTCTCCCAGCGTATCTGCATATTCAATGAGGTCGAACCCTTCCAAAGTAAGAAGTTCGAGACTGGTAGTCATGGTATCGCTTGTCGAGGTGAAGATAGGTGCAGCGCTTTCTCAACGGTAAACTCAAGGTGAAGATACCCCAGTTTGGGCATACACACCAGTATTTGGGGCAGTGCAGAGAATTCTGAAAAGGCACGGATTACATCTGAGGCTTTGTTAGCATCCCCAATCGCCAGAAAGCCACTCTATTGACGAGCTTACCAGCTGCCGATTCTGTAGAAAACCAGAGAGTAATTTCTCTTAGCCTTGACAACATATTCGACGAATCGGTCTTCAGAATATCGTTTGCCAATCCTCGGGTTCTATTGTGCTTCAGGTTGTCCACATGGAGATCTTCCAAGGCGACCTCTGCGAGAGCGACAGCAGTGAAAACGAATCATTATATTACTAGAAGCTAACGAGATATCGTTGTACTTCCCCTTTGGGTCTTGATAGAGCGCAGTTTGAGAAGCTAGACAATGGCGTTTGGGAGCATTGTAGTGGGGATTCGTGCGGCTGCGAAGGCCTGTCGAGCAGACAGTGCTGTTAGCGCAGTCTATAGTTGACTCATTTGTTTGGTACCCAAGTAGAAATCAAGTCCGGAAGTTTCCTGAGAGAAAATCCGACTAAAGATTAGAGAAAGCATTGTCCAGAGGCCAGAAGATCAACCTCTACACCAGATGATGGAACGTCGGGCGACCTGAGATTTCAGGAGTTGCTGTGGTAGTTTTCTACCTAGCTGAATGCGTATAATCTTGAACTTCTCGATGAAGACAAGGCCTGATAAGAGATCAGTATGCGGCGGCGTAGTCTGAGAGACCCTATGCCAACAAACGTTCGATTGTCAAGTTTGTCGTACTCGTTTGTGGAATAAGAGGCAACACGGTGCACGAGCTCTGTGAGTAGGTTCTAAAGACGAGCTGATGTACTAGTGTTTTGAAGAAGGATGCTGGGTGTCGGCTGTTCGAGTCCTTTGTGCTCATCCTACCGTCGCTGCTATCCAACGTGGGTAGCGCCTGCGATTTGCATAAAGCTTGCACAAGGTCACTGCTATAACCCCGATATCCTAACGTACGTCAACGACGAGCTGCTCTTAGATTGTGAGTGAGAGGTGGCGAAGTATGAGAGGGGCGAACTGAAGCTGAGGAAAGTTGCTATCGCTACAACGCGTTCATTCTTTGACAGATCGTGACGGCAAGAGCATCCGACGACTCAGTATTCTCAACTATATTGTCCATTCATTGCATTACCCTGCCTCAGTCGCCGTCGATAGGTCAGGTGGGAGAGCGAGTGGCCGAAGCGTTATCGTGAAGAAGCGCAGTGTCGAGGCAGAATAGGCTCGGAGGAGTGACGCGTTGAGAGTCAGTGTCGAGATGTGGACAACAGTGAGTGAGAAACGCAGGTTCTGCCCACGGGTATCTTGAAACCGAAGTGTTAGCTTCCTAGAGTTTCTTTCGCCTTAGGAGAGACATATGGCGAATTTTTGCGACTGAGGCACCACAGGAAGCCCTGGGAGCAAGGCCGGGTCCCACTAGCACTTCAAAGCGACTTTAGATTGGATTAAAGGCCATAGAGAGGCAGCTGGTATCCAGCAAGGTCTTTCTGATCACAATGAGCTTCTCTCAGGGCCTAGGAGGCATGAGTGGGCATTAGCAAGCCGGCTGTCAAAGCCGGTACAATTCAAGCGGTGAACAGGTCATCAACAACACACTCTTCATGATCAAGTGCATGGGTATTTGCTATCCGATATCTCGACAGCCTCCTTTCCAGTTTCAAAGTGGCAAAATCCCCGATAAACGAGGCGCAGGTCATGGATATCCCTCACTTCAGAGAAAACGCAAGGTCGCCAACACACTCCACACCTTTCCCGGCATCCATTTTTTGCCTCCTGCCCCGTTCTAACTATCGAGCACAAGGAATGCCTCTAGAGCGATAAGCATCGGCCTTAGCTTGGGTATCAATCATGGAGCCCCAAGTATATCACATGAATATTCTTCACTGAGGTTCTGTGTGCTGTTCGCACCAGAGCTAATAGCAATAACGATCGTCGAGTGTCCCTTCCGCCTCTCCCCACTGGTGTTGAGATCGCAACGTTCACTGAATACCACAATCTCCTCTCGCGGCGCAGTAGGTAGCTTTGTAGTACTTCCGAGTGTGACACCCAGAAAAGTTAGCGATGCTTATAGTGATGTACGCTGGCGGCGATCTGAGGCGCGGGAGGACTCTAGAGACACAGTACTTGCCAATGTAGCATCTCTACCCATTAGAATTGTCAGCTTTTATTGCTTTGGAACGTGCATACTGGGTCGTTGGACACTCGAAAGCTTTCAGAGTGTGTGAGCTAGATGATACCAGAATGTGCTCATGCGCACGCTCTCCGGTTGCACCACACACTTGCTCACAAAGCAGACTCACTACTGCGCAGTGTCAAATGTATCCTCGGCGCTGGTGTTGACATCCTTCTCGTCCATCGGCCCCCATTGTGTCGCACGATGCACGTCAAGAGCCGATTGCTTGGACCTCTGCGATTTGAAATGGTACACGTGTGCCGCCAACCCAAGCCTTTGAACAAGCACAGAACGAAAGCCAGCTCATGTGAGGCTGAGGGCACCCGTCATGCACTCCGCCTCCTGAAACACTTACTTGGTCGAGTACTAGACGACTTGTCCAAGTTTCGTGAACCCGTCGGCTTGTGTACTCTCCGTACCGAGCCTCCACACGGCCGCACTGCGCTTGGCAGACGAAAACCCCTCCTCTCTCCCAACAATGCGCTTTGTTCATCGGGAGTCGCAGGATTTGTAAACCTGCCTTGCTGTCGCCAGCTTCAGATGCCATATGTTAGGTGTCGTCGTGCTAAGGGGCTATTTTCAGGAGCGCGTTCATGGTTGGGGGTTGGAACGATCACACAGGAATCAGCTCGGTACCAGAACTTGCCCTGCATTGTTGGACAGGAGTCTTTGAACTATTATCAAAGCGTCGCTTGTGGTGATACAGGCTACACAGCTACACGCGTGGACAACCTGGATTTTCTCTTGATAGCGTTCTCCAGCGCTTTGGGCATGGAATGCTCGGTCGTTCGGTCGGTCGAGGAAAAGAATCCATCCACATCGTCGGAAACTTTTGCACACGAGAAAGGGCTTTTGTGAGACATTATTTGTGGCAGCAACATCTCGAACGTTGTGAATTGAATTGGAACAGACACGGACACAGATAAATCGCGTCTCTTCTGCCCGGAAAATGTTCCGAAAAATTATCGGCCCGCGACAATATGTTCGAAAAGGGAATTTTGCGCGACGAAATATGACGTTTAAATTTACCTTTCACCGGACGAGAGGCCGCCGCTTTGATGATGCAATGAGGAGACGTGCTTGTGAAACAGACCAGAAGGTGACACAAACCTGGTGGACAAAAATAGAATCCACGACGATGAACGAAATGGAATTGATGGAATTGACAAGTTTTGGCGAGATGAAGGAAATTGGGCGGGTACGTCAACATCTATCACTTTGCCTGGTAGCGATGTCTGTCTGTCTACCCCCCTAAATTTCTAGAAACCGGCTAGAAGGAAGCAAAGTCCATTTGCTGGCCAACGTCCACAGGCGCTCGAATCGCGAAAAGCTTGAAGTTCAACACCAATTGCAATTGGAGGTGAAATTCCTCATCGTTTGCTAATGAATGAGTGAGACGAGATAATGCATTAAGGTTGTGGTTGATTCCAGCCTTTCAGCTGTCCACGTCTAGTATTCGCGATTGCGTAACGCTCTGCACGATGCACACTGCACACATCACTCTACTCACCTATCCCGATCCGGCGCAAATACGACTGCGAATTCCCGAGTACGCACGCATTCGTTCTAATTTCCGGGGAGCCAGATGCCAGAAGCAGACTGAAAGATTAACTTGACGACGTGTGGACTACCGCGGAGAGCATCAAGCTGGGTTTGGGTGGCAAACAGGCATGTCACAGCAGCCTGACAAGTCCACAATGTAACGTGCCAACCAGAAGTCAGGCTCAGTAATTTCGCGTGTTGCTGCATCTTTCAGCTGATGTGGTTGGAGACTCGGCTGCAGGCGGAGCAACCATGCAGCAAGGCTTTTGGGGCCAAATTTGCGAATAGGGAAGGGATGAATGTGTTGAGAGATTAGGGCTGGATGAGGTCTCCTTCCCTCACCGCTGTAAAAGACATTTCCGTCCAGCAGCCAGCCAGAGAGATGAGAGACACTATGCGGAGATCTGGTGAATGCCATATTTGGCGGTGGGAAAAGGGACAGCAAATGGAAGAATTGGAGTGTCAGAAAGTCGGTCAAGTAGGATGTTGCTTTTGGCCTATAAACTGATTCACTTGGTGCAAAGAAGCAATGAGATAGCGAGTCTGGGTCGGAGTTTATCCCAAATTCAATCGCTCGTTGGCGAAAAGATGAGAATTCTCCGTCTCCGGGCTCCACTGTGCTTTGTTTTTGCTTCCCCAGATGAGGCCTGGACTTTCGAGCTCAGATCCACCGTTCTGGTGCCCTCGGCCCTGCGATGTGATGAGAAAGTTGTTTTGATCGGTTTCGCCTTGACAAGGCGAAAACCGCTTTCCAATCCTGATGGAATTCTCGGTCGGTGTGCGGAATACTTCGCTCGAAGTTGCACTAAATACGACGAAGTCACGAGGGCTATCCGGCACTGTGAACAGTAGCTCGAATGAATGTACCACCCTGGTCCTAGGCTTAAGAAATTCGCTCAAGGCTCTACTCAATGCCTAACTCGAAGTGCCTACTCTCATTATCTCGTCTGGAGATCGGCTGTCATGCCACGTCAGCAAGAGGGCCAAATTAGACTGTCTGATCGGAATAAGTTGGAAGAAATTGATTAAATTGTTGCCATGATCGGGAGTAATCACGACTCTGAGATGCGTACTCAGCAAGTCACCGATTCGCCAAGGTGCTTGACGGCTGCCTGCCGGATATAGCACCCTGAAGAGTGATTGGCTGAATGTCGGGGTGCCGACACTTTGCTCACAAGCGCGTTGCAGGATATCGACCAGTTTTCCTTCTTCTGATCAGGATGAAGCTGGTCACCACGCGAGGTAGGCACCACCGAGTCATAATGAGCGTGCTATCTGGCACGACATAAAATTCCAACATCTTTCCAATGCGCTCTGCTTGTCACGCGTGCCATGTTTGAGAATTGTGCGATACGAAGCTAGGTTTGGTCAGTGCTGCCGCCATGGAGAAAGACCACGGCCTGCAACCCGACAGTCTGGTTCGGGCACAGAATGTCTCTCCTGAAATACCCCGTCAGCCAATGAATAGGAGGGCGGCGGCGGGGGAAAGGTCGCCAGAACGGCCTTGAGCCCATGAGCCGAGGGTCCAGCTCGCATCCTCGCAACGGGCCTGGGAGGATCAAATCCGAGGGTGCTCTCCTGACATCATGAAGGCAGAAGAATCTAAGATGTGCTGCCGCGGATGCTGCAGACATCAGCCCATGTCAGAACCCTTCGCCCAAGCTCCCCTCGAATCACCATCGCAGGCTACCCTGTCTTCCGACCAGGAATCAGCGGGAAGCAGGGTCCTCCTTGACGCTGGCTTTTGATATTGCCCGGGTTAGCACGTCCCCGACATCGAGATAAAAGCCGGCAGAAAGAAAATGCCGTGCTGTACCCAATCAGCAAAGCAACTCTTCCTGCCAAATTGACGCTTATGCAGAGACGTTGACATTTGTGAGCTCGGTTAGAGAAAAGAGGCATTTCAAAGCAGAAGTTGTTCTCATCTCAAGGCACCAAGGGAGGTGGCGCCGTCGATGTTGCAAAAAAATCGGAGCTTGTATCCACGCTCGCATTCGGATCGCCCGGCTCCGTTTCAATCGCTCCCTCTGAAGTTGCTTTTGCGTTTGGTCGGCCGGCCCTGGTCGAGACCCGCCTTCAATCCTTCCCAGGGCAGCATGGCCGCCTGGTGGAAATCTCAATGTTGAGGTTGCTGGGCGCCGCCTGCGCTTCGCTCCCAGGTCACTGTGGCAGCGACCCCCAAGGGAATGCGGGAAGCAAGGTCGAGGGGCCCTGAAGCCGATCTTCACGCCCGGTTAGGCAGATGGAGCCCGCGAACAGCTCCAACGTGCAGTCATGCACAGGCGCAACACTGAACGCGGATAATTCCAGCGAGTGAAAAGCTGGTATAAGCAGAGAGGTCCAGAAGTCTCTTTTCGAGTCTTGCTAACCATTTTCGATGGCAGCTTCTGGAGGGAAGCGGAGCAGACCCTGCCGAAATTTCGACCTTTGGACAGAAAACGGTCGCTCCTCGAACTTGCATGTCGATCTCCACCCAGGCACTTCAGCCGGGGGGCTAGTCTGTTTCAACCAAGGTTTAAAGCTCCGGCAATACTCGGGGGCCATGCGGCATTGATTGACCTGTCATTTTTAGATGGGGGAAATTGCGGGCAGGAAGAAAATGCGGAAAAAAGCTGGTGTCGCGTCCAATCGTGAAATTTTGCTGTGTTTCTGAAAAGGTTTCATGGGTTATGGGTCATGGGTCATGGATCTGGATAGCAACTCAATACACACTGAGGGATTCGGGAGAGTCACCGGGATGGAACGCCTGATGCTGTGTTATTTTCCATGTTGGGAGTAAAGTTACGGCAGGGTGGGATGCGCACACCATCAGCTTCCTTGCGATCGCCAGCCGCTGTCGAAAACGGCATCCCTGCTTCCCGTCAGCAACGCGCAACGGTTGAGCCTGGGCATAAACTTTCGCCAAAGGCTTGCCTCTCAACCTCATGAAAGTCTCCTCGAGATACTCACAGGACGCGGCTATGAGCCGTGCGAAAGGAACGGGTATTGAGCCGACGACTCATCCTCCGAAAAACACGTCTGACTCGTGTACCCGTCGTGCGACTGCGATCGGAAAGACCTCGCTGCGGTAGAACCTGCACATGAGACCACGGCATCTCTCTCGACCCTTTCACAGTTAGGACTTTCACAGGGCCGCTTCAGCTGACCACTTTATCGAATGCACGTCGCCGCCAGACTGGACGCTGAGTGACACACCGGCTGCGATGTGCCGACCTTGTCATCATCGAGGGGTCACAGCGACTCGAAGTCCAGCAGCCTGTGTGGCCCACCCCGTTGCGATGAGATCTCCATGCATCCTTCCACGGCTCGTGGCAACTCAACCGCTCCGTCAAAGCGTGGGTGGCAGGGCTTTAGTTTATCATTGCCACTGGGTTTGGTACTGGATGTTACGCGCGGCAGGACGAGTTGAGAAGTGGTGCGCTTTACTGTATCTAGTCTGTTGTGGCGCCTGCGAACACAATGGCATTGTGTCGTACTTGCCGCCGGTGTGTTGTCGTCGAGTCTAGGTGTTGGTTTAGAGTTAATCGTCGCGCTCGGTACCTGAGCTGTCTTCCAAGGTTGTCTCCCTTGTCGCTGGACAGGCCAGCGATGCTCCCAGGGTTTCTCCGCACCCCACTGCGAACGCCTTTCGGAACATTACTTAATCATGTACCATGTCACGATCGCTGTGGATTCGGCAACGACATGTCTTTGAGCGCGAGATGTTTCTGTATCAAATTCTTCTCGAATGCTGTCAAGCGAACTTCACCAATGGTTCCGAAGAAATAGTGGCCGCGCGGCCAGTTTCAAGGCAATGCGGCCGAGTCAGGCGCGAACTGCTCAAAATAGATACTTTGAGACGACTCCTGTTGGTCGCAGGAGACGTTGGGCAATGCCTTCAAAACCAGAACGCGTTGAGATGGATGGTGGCGTATCAAAGCGTCCTTTGGAGCTAACGATGGAACAAGATTTAATTAATGGAGGACGTCCGTGAGACTCGCACGCGACATGGCGGCGACAAGTTGGTTTGAGTCTTGTTGACCATCTGTCCACCAGCTCGTGACAATGGAGATGCAGCATCCATCTGCACGCTCTATCACCCATCACGATCGCCGAGACGGCTATTCTGCGAGCACGTTCATGTTTCTTCCAAGTTTGCGACGCGTGAAATCGCGTCAGACTGAGAGCATTAACGCAATTTAACTTATCATTCTAGATCCTGCCTAACCTTCAAAACGTCGACATCTGCCGGCTTTCCCGACACGATTCTTTAAGGCGCACGGCCTCGTCGCACACAGGCCGGCTTTCTGTGCCATGGAAGACCCCTGGTCGGATCATTCTTGCTCGCGGGAGGCGGTCTTTGTTTGGCCTAAGGATCCCCTTTTGGCAACGCCGCCTCACGATTTTGACAGCGCCCGCACGATCAACAAGTTAGCAAAACTCAGCGCAGATCAAAGGCCCTGCTGCCCTCCCGAGAGCCATTTCCGAAGGCCCTGGTCTGCTCGAGCTGGGCGATCCAAGCCGAGTGCTGGCCGCGCGGAGAATCAGGCAACTCGATCTGGCATGATGGCGATTAGGGGCGAGCTCAGGGCTGCTGTTGATGAGGCCGTTTTGGGCGCTCATCTTCGGCGCATTTGAGGTGGCAGCGGCCAATGAAAGGCGTGGTGGTGGGCCGCTCCGATGGTGGTGCAACTGCAAAACGGTCGACTAGCGGCTTGCGGAGAGGACTCGAGGCAAGCGAGCGACACGATGCCGGCAGCCTGATTGCTTTCAAGCCTGAAGTGCCCTGATCCCATCTACCTGTGGCTGTTCGCCCACGGTTGTCGTTCGGACAGGCCTCGCAGGGCGATGGAATGGAGGGATGAAGTCCTATTAAAAGGAGCGCATAAGGAAGGCATGCAGGGGCGATGGAAGCAGAAGGTGCACAGAAGAGAGAAGGAGCAGGTTCTTGGATTGAGTGGGATATAATGAGTCCGTTATAGGACCCGACAGCGCGGTCGAGGAGTGAGAAGTGTGATAGACCCGTATCGTGTGTATTTATCCGAAAGGGATTACGAGCGGGTTATCTTTCGCCTGAAGCATCATCGCATGGCTCGTTGGCGGCGAATATGGCGGTGGTGGCTCGTGAACCAATCTGCCGCGCAAGGCCTCGACAATTATCGCTCGCTCGGAGGATATGTGTGTGGTGTTCTCGCCTGACGGGAGCCGTCTGCACTCACCCTCGGAGCAACGCATCGCATCGTGGAGGGACTCGTGTATCGTCGTCTCGTCATGTCCCATCTCGTTACATTTCAGTACAAACACCATAAAGACTCCTCAACATTCCAGCACCCATCAGCATCACCATCGTCAGCAACGCGCCAGGCCGCTTCTAGCAGCAACGCGACGATCCCTGCCCCCGGCCGCCGCACACTGCACGACGCACAACCGCATCGACAGCCGCGGGGCTGGGCGCCCTCATGGGGAACTTGGGCCGGGCGCGCAGCCAAGTGCAGGCCAAGCGCAGGATGAGGTCGCAGCGGACAGGGAGGTGGCTGGACTCGGGAGGCGTTAGTTGTTTTACGTTTATTTCACTGCGAGCTCCACCTGGACCTGGGCACCGCGGCCACAGACACAGACCCGCCTCGCTGCAGTCTCCTTAAGCGTGCTAAACCAAGTCGCTCACGCTGCCTTGCCCGCAAGCACTCAAGCACAACAAGCTCCTCCTAGCGCTCGCCCGTGGTGAAATTGCGCAGGCCACACTACTGCACCGCTGCATCTGCCATCCTCGTCCTCCGCGCCCGGGCCTGTCTTAGCCGGCCTCTCTCTCCTCCACCTGGACCACCCTTCACAGTAATAATAACAATGTCGCAGTCGCATGCCCCAGATAGGGCCCGGAAGTATAAGGAAGAGCCGGCTCCTTTGGCGGCGCAGAAGATGGTGAGTTACTCCCTGCTACGTCTCTCCACATCCATACGCCTTCCCCGTCCCTCCCACCATCTCCGTCTCGTCGCTCTTTGAAGTGGGCGCCATTCGCTGCGTTTCGTCTATCCTCGACCGTTGCAGCAGCCAGAGCCCTCGTACGCAGCAGCCGCTTCCCGTTGCTGTCACCACCGCTGTTGGCTTCATCCTCGCTCTCCTTTGCATGCTGCAGCGCCTCTGCAAGCCGCACCCACGCACACCCTTCTGTTACCCCAGCTCTCGCGCGTTTCTTGCTACATGGTATGCCCTTCCCGCCAAGCTGCCTGCCCCAGTGTTCCCCCCCCCCTCCCTCCCTCCAAATCCGCCTGCCCTTCCCTGTCGTCGCACCTCTCCTTGCTCCCTTTGTCCTCGTCTCTGTCCGCCGCTTCTTGTCACCCACCGCCGCAGCGGAATCCTTGCCAGGCCATGAGTTTCCGCCGCCCACCGCTGGCCCGCTCTTCTGTGTTGTCAAACCCTTTCTTTGCTTTCTTTAGCTCGCTTGGGAACTCCCTTTAACCCAATTCCTGCCGCTCTATCCTTTTCCAGACCCTGCCCCTCGCATATCTCTTCGCAGACCAGGCGCCTCCATCTCTGACGAGGCGAATCACCGAATCACCCCCGACCGACCCTCAAACCACACCACCCCTCCCCGCAGCATCCCCCACCACTCAGACCCTTCTGCTCTTCCCTGCCCTATTTGTTTGTCTTTGGCCCCGTTCACTCTTTGCTTTGCAGTCATCCGCCCACTGTCGGTACACAGTAAATTGCTGACTTTGCGTGCGCCTTCCAGCATCACCCCCACCCGGCGCAAGGCTTGCCACCGCCAACCCATCACCCGCAGCACCAGCATCATCCGCGACCCGGAGTAGTCCAGCATCACCAACAACACCCTGACTCTCCACACCAGTCGCAACCAGCACAGTCCCCGGCTCAGGCTCATTATCCCTCGCCGCATCCCTCAAATCCTCAGGTTCCTCCACAGCATCAGTCTCCATACGTGCAACAGATTCCAGGGCCACCGGGACCGCAGCAGCAAGAAGTTCCTTACTATCCCGCCCACCCCAGTCCGTATAGCACCAACAGTGCACCTAGCAGCTACTCAGCATCAGGTATGTTTTTTTTGTTTACCGTGTGAATGCTCGACGCGTGTTGTAGAACTGAGCAACGCGCTGTGCCTCAAACAATCTGGACACTCTTTAACCCTCTCCACTATTGGTATTTCCTCCCATAAGCAGTGATCTGACTTGCACGCAGAAACGCCAGAACTCATGGCAGCAGCGACCATGAATAGGGGCGCCTTCCCTCCTATATCATATCATACGCCACAGTCAAATTCGCCTGCATCTGTTCAGTCACCGCAACACGACCAGCATGGGCGACCAATATATGGCCAGCCAACGAGCCAGATGCCTCAACAGATGTACTACACGCCGTATGCGTCAACAGGAGTACCACAGCAGTCACCGTACCCTCAGCACCCATCTACACAGCAACAACAACCGATGACGACTGGTTCACTCTTAATGTCTCATCAACAAGGCCAGCCAATGCAGCATCCGCATCAACCTCATCCACAGCACACTCCAGGAATGACTGGAAGCCCTAAATCGCGGATGCCCCAGACGCCACTTCAGCGCCCACCATCAGGACTCGGCCCCCCTCAAGCGCCTCCTCAAGCACCTCCAGTTGGTGCGCCGAACATGCACCCAGGAGCTCCCGGAAATGCAAACATCAACCCCAATGCGGCACCGGGCCCCATTCCTGCAACCACTCCGCTCGTTGTGAGGCAGGACCAAAACGGAGTGCAATGGATTGCTTTTGAGTATTCGCGTGACCGGGTTAAGATGGAATACACCATCCGGTGTGATGTCGAATCCATCAACGTCGAGGAGCTCCCTCAAGAATTCAAGCAGGAGAACTGCGTCTACCCTCGCGCTTGCTGTGACAAGAACCAGTACAAAGGAAACCGACTACACTATGAGACCGAGTGCAACACTGTAGGGTGGGCGCTCGCGCAGCTCAACCCTTGTCTGAGAGGAAAACGGGGCCTGATCCAGCGTGCAGTAGACAGCTGGCGGAACAGCAATCAGGACCCGCGGCTGAGGAGTCGACGCGTGAGGAGAATGGCCAAGATTAGCAACAGGAAGGCAGTTCAACAGACGCATGGGAACCACATGGCTGGGCCAGGTGGACCAGGTGCGCCTGGGGTTCCAAATTCTGCCGGACTGGCAGCACCACCCCGACAGCCGAGCATGGGCATGGGGGGTCCGCAGTTGCATCATCACCATGAGCATCCTGGGGGACCTCCCGGAGGAAATGACGACGTTAGCGGTATGTTTCACCAGATGTGATGTTGTGATAAGCGCTTGATTGGGATGGAATTATTGTACCTCCTGTCGTTTCCGCACTGCATGTACATTACACTCCTTGATGTAATCCCCCCTTGATACCACTACCCCACACGCATACACACTCATCACATCACACTTTGTTTCTGCGCCGAGGGAGAGCGTAATTCTCAATGGTATTGGACGTGCAAGCTAATTTCCTTCGTTTACAGCCAATGAGTATCCAGAATCTCACACTCACCATCATCAGGCGCCGAATGGACAAGTTCAGCAGTCCCCGAACGACGTGCGACAAGCGCAGCAATTCTATCCCCAGTTTCCCACCAGCGATTCGGTGGCGGCGCAACAAGGGAGCATGCCGCACATGCACGATGGTATGCACCATCCTCCAGCACCGCCCCATGCATCAGGTGTACCCGTTGCGAAACAAGAGCAGGATGAAGAGGAGCGCAAATTGGCTATGTTTGGAGACTTACCAGAGTCCAAGCGCCGGAAGTTTATTCTTGTTGATGACGCCCAGCGTGGAACCCGAGTGCGAGTTCGAGTTACTCTCGATACTGTCAAGATGGAGGAGATGCCCGACTCGTACCGCAAGTCGAACTCGGTTTTTCCCCGAAGCTATTTCCCAATGCAGATGACGTCTCCGCCAGCAAGCCCCCGGGGAAGTAAAGTTTTCAGTGATGAGGCTGACCCAGAGAATGACCCCGGGTTTCCTTTGTCAGGTTCATCTCTTGTCCCGGTGCCTACTCTTGACGGTGAGGCGCGTGTCCCGAAACCCCGATTGACGAGAGCGAAGCGCACGAAGGAAATTACGCTGAACGACTTGGGGTACCGTATGAGTTGGAGTCAGAGCCGTGTCTTCGCTGGACGGACACTGTTCCTACAGAAGTCTCGTAAGTCAATGCGCCAAAGAAGGTTGTGGAATTGCTATTAACTTACGGACTAGTTGATGCATACCGTAACAAAATGCGAAGTAGCATGGCTGGAGCAGGGCAAGACGTTACCACGGTTGCGCCACACTTTGAAACCCGCGTTGGGAAACGAAGGTGGAACGAAAGGATCGAGAAGAACAGAAAGACGAGGCGCGATGGCTCTCCTTAAAAGCGTCACAAAGTGCCAAAATACCGTGACTCAGGCCCCAGTCAGAATCCGCACTCTTCCCCGCTTTTCCGTGGGACTTGCAGGGCACCCAGACTAGCGACCGGGGGTGTTGACTGCCTTAATCGCGGCTGATATCACAAAGCATGCACCTGCAACGGTTCCCTCCTCTTCTGTCCCTGATCGGTGCCTTCCCCACCTGTCTTGTTTCAACGTTGCCTAGGGTGTCAGATGTCACATCTGATGTACCCTTGACCTCCCGTTACTGTCAGTCGCTACCTCGACTATCTACTTCGGTCTTGTCTCTCCTCTCATGGTCGACATATATACACCTACAAAAATCTACTCGGGCATATACCCTGCGCTGGCATTCGATACCCAACGTCGCTGCAAGCCATGAACTTTTGCAGTCGACTTCCCCGCCAGCCTGCCTTGGAAGCCTGATGAATACACCTTTGCTCATGGATGGGATCTCTTTTCCTTCCCTTTTTTTTTTCTTTGACGTGCCATTTTCTGTTATATATCCGGGTGAAACCTTAATTGTGTGTCATGTTAGTACTCTTTGTTTCATTCCTCTATGATGAACGATGGACAGATGGGTGGGTGGGATTAGTGTGTGTTGCTGTGTCTGGTCTGTCCGTCAACGAAATGGGATAGGGTGGGATGGGATGGAAAAGCTTTTTCGGAACGGGTACATTTCTGGTGTAAAAGTTAGGCAATGGTTGGCATGGCATGGCATGGGGTTATCGAGCGAGTGGGTAGGAGGACGGTGGTTACGGGTAATGATTATCATTATTTCTTTGCTCTCTGTGTGACCTGTCAATGGTTGTTACCTTTCAGCCTGGGATGGGCAGAGAATGGGTTCGGTTTGTCTGTTCCGAGCATAGCCGGGTTCTTCGAAGCCGTAGTTGCGGGAAGGAATTGGCAATGGGGGCAGACAGAAGTTTCTCCATATTTTTAGATAGTATTCATTTGTCTTAGATCACAGCTCGGGTTTATCTATTTTTTGGTGCCGTGCCGCCTCGTGATGAATTGTGGGATATTTTGAGTGCTGTCTAACTATGGATAGATGGCTCGGATATTTGATTCCAATACTTGAAGCAGCTATCCACATTAATACTTTCCGAGCCTCGACTCATGAACACGGGCAAGTCTTTGGTTTAAAGTAAAGTGCCAAACGGAGTGGCCGTCAAACTTGTGCCTGACAAGTCCTGACAAGGAAGACATCCGGTACCTAATACTTGACATGACGTAACATCTAACCACCTGACCTAGAGACAGATAGGCAGAGAGACAGACAGACGGAGGGACTTTGACAGGCAGTTCCTAGTTTGTAATGTAGTCTTATCAGAACTGTCATTAGAATACAAACCACGGTTGAGAGTTGCTGACTGAGAGTGGGACTGAGAGAAAGACTAAGAGGTACAAGAGGCAGAGGGATCGAGCGAGTGAGTATGCGATCCTGATTTGGTTCGGTTGGCATTGTGCCTATTCAGGCTATACTTCGGAGACATGCCTAGTCGATGTGGATGGGATAGCCAGTCGCACAATGGTTGAAAATTATGGGCACGATGTCAATGGATCCATGTCGATGCACGAAACAAGCGTACCACAGATTTTTGAACCTCTCCCCCCTCAACTGTCTCCATCCCTCCCCTTTCTCATCTTTCGATGCATGGCATGTTCACTTTAAGTTTGCATCTGCATCTGCATCTGCATCTGCATCTGCACGCAACGTTCGTCCCTGTCTCCCCCCATTCGTTACCCTCAGCCAGGCGGCGGACTGCGCCAAGTAGAAGCCCCGGGTTTTCAGCGGATGGCTCAGGCCACGCACGCCAACGCGGAGCGAACCATGGATGCGGGGGAAAAGCTCGAACTCTGCACGCACCACCTCGAAAAAAAAGCAAGTCCTGGGATCTGAGCTGAGCGGCTGGCCGTTGCCAAGAGCGGTCAGAAAACCGTTCCAGGGCTGGCAGGTTGGCATGCTGGTAGACAAGCGGTGAATGGGTTCAGGGAATAAGGTAATGTTGTGTTTCGTAACCTGCCTAGCTAGCCTGGGATGGGATGGGATGGGACGATGAGGGAGTTTGAACCTTGAGGTGAGGTGAGCAGCGGGGTCAACTGAAGACTTGGGTTGTGGGTGGTTGTATTCAGGAACAGCAAGCATGGCATGGATGCCTGTGCAGCATCCTGTCCCTGTGTTCCTTGCCTTGCCCTGACGTCGTTCAGCGACATGGACATGGATATGGTTCAACACGAAAATATACTGCGGTACGGATCCACCACGTGGAGACCATGAGGCGTGCGGTCAGGCCAAGGGCAAGCAGGCATGCATGCAGGCATGTGAGTGGTAGGGATGGAATGATGTCAACACCACTTTTAATAGCGCATTTGGAAATGTATTTAATGCTTCATTTTCTGGTTGTTTGGATCAAGAATTTCTATTACATAGAGCATGCAGGCACGAGTAGTACCCTATTGTACAGTGTCAAATACTTCTGATGTGGGACTACCTACAGAGCGCTCCCTCCGCTCAATCATCCGACAATAGCCCCACGTCTGTCACAAAAGCTCTTACCACTTCAGCGTATGAAACACATCGCTGAAGACCACGTAGCCATCGAAATCCCATGGGTAGCCATGCCTGAGGCATCGTGTGTATGGAATTCGTGCACCGACGTCCCATCCTTAACCACAACCCACGATAGTGGTCTGAGAAAGACGCAAGAAAGACGCAAGCGAGCAAGCGGAAACAACTCAAAACTTCCCCTGCAAGCGAGCAGCTCATGAACGTTTCGACCGCCCGCTCCTCACGGTTGACGTGGCTCTAGCCTGGCTCGCTGCTGTTGGAGCGTCATACGACCTCGCTGTTGCTTGTTTCTTCGAAACATTGATGGAACTGCCAACACCCGTGCTTTCTCGTTCATCATCATCGGCTTTTCGCTTGCGGGAGAAGACGCTTTGGACCGCTTTCTCCATGGCATTTTTTTGGTTGAGAGCCTCCGCATTCTTTCCCTTGGCCGAGCTTAGATCCATTGGCTCCTCTACGGCGCGCAAACGACGGTTGGCATCCGATGATGGCGGGGTCAGTGTTCGGATGCCACCGGATTCAATATCTGGGGATTTTGGGGCTGAAAGAGTGCGGCTCGATGGGGTGGGGTCTGATTCGGTGGGTTCGTGTTGATTTGATTCTCGTTGTTTTGAGAGCCAGGACAGGAGTTCTGCTGGAGCTTCCTCGTCGCCTTCTTCATCCCCTTTGTCGAGTATGTTGTCTGCTAACTCGCCTATGATCTCGTCGCCGGCGTCCTTGTCCGTCATCATGCGCATCGCGAATTGGAGGAGTTGCTGGGGATCCATTCCATTGAGAGGGCCACCGGCATCAGCAAGGTTCTTTTGCAGAGCAGCCATCAACACGGCAGGATCAATGCCCACGTCGTCGTCCTCTTCGCCCTCTAGTTCCTGGGTTGGAGAAATGCGCTCTGAGAAGGCGAGTTTTTGATTCCCAGACTTTGGCATTTTCATTTCTGGCGATGGCGGCGTGGCAGAAGCCCATACGGACATGTCTGTAAGACGTTCTCTCCAGTCCTTCAGCAATGCAATGGGCTCTTGACTCTCGTCAAGCATCTTCGGTTTGTTACTCTGGGTCGCCTTCGCGCGCCATACCACTGGCTGCATCGAAGGGACCAAAGTGCCAGGAGGGGGGGATGTCCGCCCAGTCCCCGTCTTCTGCCTCTTTTTCCCGTGGCCGCCAGCAACCGCTCCTGTTCCTCCTCGCTTCCTCTTCTGGCTGTTTTGTGCCGTCTGCGGCTTCTGCTTGTGAAGGTAGAAGTTCGAATCATCGTATCCATCCGAAGCGTATTCCAGATCATTGAAATAATCAAAGCGGTCCCAGTCCGAGACGGCGTCCTCGTCGGCGTAGGTGGTGGGGGGTGGGGAGTTCACGACGTGCTCGGCCAAGTCATCAGCCACCATGTACTCGTCCTCCACATAGAACCAATCCTCGTCATAGTCGGAGTAGTTGTCGTCGCCGTAGTCACTCATATTAGCGGTAGTCGGGTAGGAGAGTGGATGGGCGGGATATATGAGGGCTCAGGTAATGAGGTCGTCCCACTGCGGCGCGGGAGCGGCTGAACGCGTCATTCGCTGATTGGCGGGCTGGTGCACACACCGGTGAACACAGGATAGAAATCGATGAAGTTATGGCGGGTAGAGGGAGGCGGCGATGGAGAGAGGGTGAGGAGACGCGGAGGACGTTGAAAGCGTGCAAGTGTCTGACCGCGTGCGGAGCTATTGTCGTGGAGCGACCGTGCACGATGCCATATTGGAGAGGCCTGGTTACTAATGTATACTAAGATTTCCAATCGAGTCAGAGGGGATTTTTTTTGATATGTTTAGTCCCTTGCTGGGATTAAATTGGCTGTCGAAATGATGCTGTCTTCTGCAGCAGTAAACGTGCATGGTATTCGAAATCGAGGTGCAAACCCATGGCGTCGGCCAAGACTTATTTACAGTACCGGCTCGCGACGGCTTAGAAGCGCCGAGGCATGCTGGACATTCGCTCTTCACTTCAGTACACACTTCATGAAACCTCCTACCTCTTTGCTCTCCTGAATGAATTTAGACTCTTTCATCTACGTAGATTATCACAATGCGTGCCATCCAAAAGTCCAGGCACCTCTCCCGCCATATCCTCAAAGCGCATGCTTTCCCGCACGTGAGATACAGTTCCGTCGCAACATCCACAATCAAGCCTCTCACCTCCATTCTCATAGCAAATAGAGGAGAGATTGCGCTGTAAGCCGACATATATCGTGCTTCATGGCATGGTGCTAACCTAAGCACAGTCGAGTTGGTCGAACAGCAGCAGAGTACGGCATTCGAACAACAACACTCTACACAGACCCCGATGCTCGATCACAACACGCTCTAAGCTCACCCTATGCTGTGAACCTCGGCGAGCCTTCAGCCTACCTTGATGGAGATCGTATAATACAAATTGCTAAAGAGCAGGGTTGTCAGGGTATCCATCCAGGCTATGGCTTTGTAAGATCCAAAGGAGCGAGCTACTAAGTAATTGAAAACTAATTTATTCCACAGCTGAGCGAGAACCCAACCTTCGCGCGGAAATGTACAGAAGCAGGTCTAACCTTCATTGGTCCACCGTGGCAAGCCATTGAGTCTATGGGAAGCAAGAGGTAGTGCTGCTTTGCCCTTATCTTGCTCACAAGCTAAATGAGGAACCCAGTGAGTCCAAAAATATAATGACCGCAGCCGGTGTGCCATGCATCCCTGGGTACCATGGCTCAAATCAAGACCCCGAATACCTCAAGAACGAGGCAGCGAAGATTAGTTACCCAGTTCTCCTCAAAGCCGTAAAAGGCGGCGGCGGAAAAGGCATGCGAATCGTCAACAGTCCCGAAGAATTTTTCGACCAACTCGCCTCTGCGAAATCAGAAGCGCGGAACTCATTTGGAGACGAAGTTATGCTAGTAGAGAAGTACATTACAACACCACGGCATATTGAAGTTCAGGTTTTTGCGGATAAACACGGCAACTGTGTAGCCTTAGGGGAGCGGGATTGTAGCATTCAGAGACGACATCAGAAGATCTTGGAAGAGAGCCCAGCGCCACATTTGAACGAGGAGATCAGGCAGGATATTTGGGAAAAAGCGAGGGCGGCAGCTCTAGCGGTCAAATATGAGGGCGCGGGAACTGTGGAATTCATCTTCGACAACGACACGGGAGAATTCTTCTTCATGGAAATGAACACGCGGCTGCAAGTTGAGCACCCCGTCACAGAGATGGTCACAGGAGAAGATCTAGTAAGATGGCAGCTTATTGTTGCAGAAGGTGGTCGTCTACCCCTAACTCAGGATGAAGTAGAGCAAAGGATTAAGGAGAGAGGTGCAGCCATCGAAGCAAGGATATACGCAGAAAACCCCGACATGAACTTCATCCCAGATTCAGGTATTCTACTGCATCTCCGCTCGCCCAAACCAAGCTCTACCGTACGGATAGATGCAGGTTTCGTTACCGGCGACGAGGTGTCATCCCACTACGATCCCATGATCGCAAAGCTCATAGTCCAGGGCCCGACTCGCAAAGCGGCAATACAGAAACTTCACTCTGCATTAGAAGAATATGAAGTCGCGGGCCCAACCACCAACATCGAATTCTTGAAGCGGATATGTGTGAGTCCAGATTTCATCGCTGGTAACGTCGAAACAGGCTACATTCAAAAACACCATTCCGAACTCTTCACTCCGGAACCTCCACCACCAGAAGTCTACGCTCAAGCCGCACTCGGCCTCATTCTGCAAGAGATATCTTCTTTTCAAGGGGGTGGGAGTGACCCTTTTGCTACACCACCAGTCACGGCCGCTGGTTTCGGCACTGGCTACCAACTCCGCGAATACAATCTCGTAGAAGTTGCCGCCGATGGAAAAACCCCTCCTATCCCCACAACCGCCCAAATCCTGCAAACCGCACCCTCAAAATTCAACATCACCGTCGCAGGTCAAACATACCAAAACGTAGCCTCCTCCTTCACACCCTCAACCTCAACTCTAACAACCTTCTACCCACATACCCGCCTCTCCACCACTATCATCCCCATCCCTTCCTCTCCACCCCTCACCTCCTTCGCCGCCGCCGCCACCACATTCACATTATTCCAAGGCGGACGCCAATATCGGCTCGCTCTCGCCCTCCCTAAATGGGCAGAAAAAGCCCTCGGAGTCAAAGATGAGACGAATTCCGTGCTAGCGCCTATGCCATGTAAAGTACTGAGAGTGGAAGTTAGGGAAGGGGAAGTGGTGAAGAGGGATCAGCCGCTGGTGGTTATTGAGAGTATGAAGATGGAGACGGTGATTAGGAGTCCGGTAGATGGGGTTGTGGGGAGGGTTGTTCATGGCGTTGGGGATTTGTGCAAAGCAGGGACGGCTTTGGTAGAATTTGTGAGTGAGGAGAAGGAGGAGGGTAATGATGAGAAGTCCTGAGGTTGGGGGATGAGGATGCAAGGTCTTAATGAGAATACTAATGCTTTGAATTCTCCATATGTGGAAGGCTAAATAGATGCTATATGAGTAGATGTCAACGGTCTTGTTGCCCAGGCCTCTTGTAGGAGACCTGGTTCGACGAATTTGGCAGCATGCTGCTGAGTGACAAGGCCTGCGTTATCTCTCATGTCCCTGTAACCCTGTTCGTAGAAGGCACCCTTGTTCGCATATCCTCGGTTGTGGTCGACAATCTTGTCACTATAACAGGGTTTTTGAATGTGGAAATATGTATTGGTTCCAATAGGGACAATACTAGGAGCATCCGTAGGTTTAGCTGGATATACCGAAGACGAAACTGTGGAAGCGCAGGCGGGGTTTGAGATATGTGGAGGCCGCCGGGTTGGGATCAGAAATAGCAGTAGAGAGTGGTGACTATTGGATAGGCGAAAAGGAAGGTAGCGGTGGGATTGAGGTTGGTGCAAGATGTCTCCTCCCGCACGGAACTGATGACATGGGAACCCGTCAAGCAAATGTATTTTGCTGATTCGTCATTTCCGTTAAATGTGCCCACGCAGAATCCGTGATTCGTTGCGCCGGGAAATAGGAAATAGATTCCATAGCACCATCCACCAGTGAGATCGCTGCCCGTTTGAGAACACCACTCGCGCTATTGGCATTGCGAGGCTAGAGATGGTAATCAGAAGCCGCGTTTCTCTCGGTCCATTTAGATGTACGGTTGTAACGATAAACTTTATGTTAGGTTTCGCAGTGCAATTATTGGCCACCAGCTTCTTCATGCTGTCAAACGTGCCATTAGGCTCACTAAAGAGACATTTTGAATCATTGAAAACAAGTTGAATGAGCAAGCAACCGGGCATGTAGGTTGTCACGATTCCGTTGATCAAGTTTTTGTCTTGGACCGCCGGTGACTCCATACCGCAAAGTGGTTGGAGTCGAAGCTGCCAATGCCTGCAGCATAGCCTCTAGTATTTTTACACTTGGGATATTAGCTCTAGTGCTCTTGGAAGGTGTGGAGGCGATGGGCGGTGGCATTGTGAGGAGTAGTACGGATATATGGGCTGACAAAATCGACGACGACGACGTTGTTGGATTGACACCATTGAAATAGATGGTATCGCAAAGTATAGTTACCTCCAAAGCCATAGGAGATGGAGCCGCCGATGTTCATGACCTTGATTCTGGTGCATAGCAGGACTGCCCGATGCTCTAGAAGACTAGGTCTCCCCGGGATAGGCCACAATGTGACGCGAAATGGGATTCCCAACGCGTAAATACTGGATAACTCTGTTCCGGCCTCTTCTCATGTCTTCTATCGGCAGAGCGATGGCCCTTTTGCATAATCTTTCTAGAGGCAATCAGGGCTTCCAACGAGGCGTAGTACTGTACGATTGGGCGATTTTGAGGCCTGTACGGGTGAGATTTTGTGTACGTTCGTACGATAGGGAGGAGGAGAGGTAGGTGTACGTATCGTAACTGTTACGGCTCACGTGATCTGTACGAGTAGTACGATTTGATTAAAGTACGCTGTACTCTAGTTAAAACAGCTAAGACTATAGGTCCCTAGAGACGCAAGATTAAGGTCTAATTAACTATAAAATAACTAGTTCTCCCTAGTAACAAGAGCAGATAGGACTAGATAAGGCCTGTAAGGCGGCAAGAGGCGTGGTGTGAGGGGGCGTGGTGTGAGGGGTATTAATCAGGAAACACAAGTCACAGAGAGGGAATGCAGGATAGGGGGTAACAAGAGTAAACCTTAGGGTTGGAGGCAGAGGTACAGAGGCCTAGGAGCCTATATACCCCGTGCCAATCCTAGGGTACTAAGGGGTTGGATAGCTGTAACATAACTGTGTATACAAACTTCCCAAAAGGGTAATACGATCCGTACTACGTACCGTACCTAGGGCATCATTAAACGTACGGTACGGCTCACGAACTCGGTACGTTCGTACTGAACACGTGACCGTTACGGTTCACTTTGTACGGACCGTAGTACGGCCCGTTGGAAGCCCTGGAGGCAATCCCTTATCCCCATTCCCTAAGATGTGGATTTGAAAATACTACCCTGATCATAACACTATCTCATCTACGAAGATGCCCTCAATTTAGCTCTACTATCATCAGGATGTGCCCAGAAACCGAATTGTGGACAACGTCGATGCCTGATGCCGGGCCGCTTAACTTGTCGAGAGTAACTTTTTACTCCCAGCCGAAAGATATGGAGAAGGCATGTGTCCCTGCGTATTTCCATATCCCGAGGCCTATAAGGATAGCGTAAAAATTTCGAGAGAGAGAACATGCGCTCCTTAGAAGGCGATGAGAAGCGCTGCCAGGGTCCACTTGTTTGATTTATATCCGTAAGCCTGAGAGGTGGTGCACGGAAGAGTGTTGTATTGATGTGGAACCTCTAGGGGAAGCCATACAGGTACTAGTAGATAGTGGTACTAGTAGGTAGTGGCTTGGCTTGGTTAAATATCCCCAAATCCAGCGTGCGAAGAGAGGGTGCGATGGACCGATGGGTTGGACTAGGATATGCAACGCTCCGTTGGATGCTTGCTGATCTACATGTCATGCTTATCTCTAAGATTCTCTTACATTATCTAGATCCTGCAGGATTCTCTCCAAATGATAATGGCCGCAGCGCAGCCTTTATGTAGCTTGGAGGGAGATTTCCCAATTTTTTGCCGTGTACGACCAGGGTTTTTCCTTGAGAAAGCGGGCGGGAAGAAGCATACCCAGGAACTTCCAAAATAAATCCCAAGAGTATAGGAATTCATCTCACAATTCTGACTGAATATAAGCCCGGTAAGTTAGCTCTCTAGGTAGCACGAAGTGGCAACACCTTTGGCATGGGACGAGACCTCATGCGTCCAATCCCGGATAGCATCCGAAATTCCCATGCGTAAGCGGCTGTAGCGGGAATAATTTAGACGAAGTGTGACTATCATGAGATAAGGCTGTGACCACGACCGTCATTGTACGAGCCTCGAAGTTAAAGGCTTCGGATGCGGCGATATCTCTGAACATACTCGGCGCGCTTGGGCAGCGCCAAGTGTGCCAAAGGCAAGAACGCTATCGATAAGGTGGTCGAGCAAATACCCAACCAGAAAGCAATCATGGCAAGAGCAGGGACAAGGGAGAGATAATATATATCATTTTAAATGAGGACAAGTGCATCGTCCTGAGTTAAATGTGGAATGTGGTTTCTGCTCGAGAGTGTGCCGCCCTCCCCTAGATGATGGAATTAGCTCCTGACATACCCCTCACACACCGCCAGAGCAAATTCTCTCAGGGCTCTGCTCGCGATTTCCTTACCCCACCCTGAAAATTCGTCGGGCTAGGATTTAGTCGTGATAAAGTGGGTATATATATCGATAAAATGTTGGAATATTTTAATTCTCACTAGTAGAAGCGTAGTACCTCACACGTTTCGAATTACCTGGCTTGGTGGTGTAGTTGGTTATCACGTCAGTCTAACATTGCTCACAATGAGTGTGTTGGGTACACTGAAGGTCCTGAGTTCGAGTCTCGGCCGAGTCAAATACTTTTTTGCCAGTTTAGAGTCCTGCGAGAACACCCCCACGTATCACACACACACATTTCTTTTTGATCTCCCGGGCTAATTTTACCACCCTGCAATTGGTCCATGGTGAGGTGACAGCAACATAGCAAAATAAGACTCAGACGCGAGTGACCTTATGAGTACTCAATCAATATTTATCAATGTCCTTTTCCCTTTTCCAACACAAATACTTGCATTTGCCTCATTCTTTCCGGATCACACAACCATTTCGCTCAGTGACAAATACTCAGATCCAGGAAGCTCAGCCTTCGCTTCATTCCGAAGTAGACAATCTCCCTCTCCTAAATTTACAGACTCTGCATACAAGGATTTGTTAAGTCTTCGTGTATGAAATTAGCAGTTTGAAACAGAAGACTTTGTTCTTGTCTGGAGCATCTTATTGCTGCTTCTAGCTCTGTCAGAAAGAATATCGTATATCTAATAGTGTTTGGAAAGTTTTAGCTCGGTTTGCAACTAGGACTCTTCACTTGTAAGATCTAAGACATACCCAGGAATGACTAGGTGAAATTACGTGGACATTAAGAAAGTGTTTTCTACTTGCAGTAGCCAGTGTTAGGAGAAGAGAATGCCTCTACTTCGTCCCGAAAGCCGCGTGATTGTTAATAACCAGAAAATTACCAGAAGAGAAGCCGCTCTTAGGAGGAGGAGGAGTGGAGAGACCAGGTGGACTAGCAACCGTGCTGACCCAAGCCCGAACGCTAAGGGATTCTTCGAATATGGAAGTCTAATGCCGTCTTTGGCGCTATTCCGCAATGGATATCCATACAATATATTTAATGCTTCCGTTGAGAAAGAAATATCTTCAAATTCAGCGAAACACGTAAGGTAAGCATTACACTCAGCGTTCTTCAGCCACGCCTCTCCATCTTGAGGTCCTTTTCCCGAATCCAGGCCCCGTTCTTGTACGGCTGGCCATTGCTGTCCTCGAGTTGATACTCCCAGTACGACTTTGATTTGTTAAGGCGGCCTTTAGCAATCTTAAAAGTGCCCTTTGTGCGAACCCCTGATTGGACTATGCTGATGTGCACCGTGTCCCTCTTCTTGAATTTCCTTGATTGCTGCACCCAGAGTTAGACAAAGGGATTGAAATTCATGACGAAAAACGAGTGCGTACATCAAGAGCATTCGGCTCTATTTTGAGCCTAGATATATGCTTAGGAATCACGTCATCGCTTGTGATACCCCTATTCACTTCTTGTGCAGTTCCGCCGTAGGATTCTCCAGGAGCGGCTCCTGCTTGTGGTGCTTATGGTGCTCGTGGTAGACTCCACTCAGGTGGAGGCATCCCCAGGGGGTCCCCACCCATGTCTATCCTGAGGTCGGGTTTCGGATTTGCCCTGTTGATGTCGCGTATGCTGTTTGGCATGTTCAGGGTGTTTAATATAGAAGCCTCGAAGTCATTATCGGAATTTAATCCACTCTTTCGCTGAAGGTCATAATTATTCGTGAATGCTGCTAATGAATATTGAGGATATTGAGGATATACAGGGTAATCCGTAGTGTAAGATCCAGGAGGGGAAGTTAGAGAGGGGATATTAACTGTTAGTCCACCAGATTCTGTCACCCCAAGTGATTTGGGCGCTTGGGTGATAATTTCATGATCGTTAGTAGATACTGCTACATTGGACCGTTGTGAGGTCTGGAGGATTGCATGTTCGTGAGGCCTCCTCACCATGTTCCCTATGCCACATACTCATGCCCATCTCTAGCGATGTAGTTATTCTGGCATTAGAGCCAGGAAGCAACTCAGCGATATCTTGGAATATCCCTTCGGCTGGAAGCATATGGAGGTATGGACTTCGGTCGTCTGCCGCGTAAATACTACCACATAGCGCCCCATCGCGGACAACCCAAGAGCCCGACAAGCCAGGAGCTAATAGTGTGTTCAGCTGCAGCCCTTTCCACCAAAAAAAAATAAAAAAATCAACGTACCGCCTGTGGTTACCACCTGAATCTTCTTCGTGCGCATGACGGCGCCCCTGACAATAACTGAAGCATCACCTTCTAATAGATATCCCTCCAAAGGTTCACCACCACAAGTTGCGATTATCCATACTTCTCCACTGGGGAGGTCGCGTGTGGGAATGAATCCCCAGATAGGTGCGACGGCTTTATTATCTGGATTGTGAAATTCATTTGACGTCTCCCCAAGGGAACCGATATCAATGAGAGCAAAATCTGATGCATTTGGCGCCAGGTCAGGGAAGGCATAATCACCGCTTGTAGTTCCGTGACCAAGATACGCAATAATCTGCGGTAGTGGTACTTCCACCCACCTAACGTCCTCCGTTCCATGAATCCGATTCGCATCTAGTGGAGGTCTTCTAGTGAATGATGTTTGTGTCTGAGAAGAACATGGACTATCAGCGAAGGCTTCTGGTTCCGAGTCGGAGCTTGTTTCGCAGTCGGAGCCTGAATCCGAACAAATATTATTCGTCGATTCAACTTCGTTTATGGAAGCGCTGCGAGAGCCCTCATGAAAGAAGTTCATGATAGCGTGCGCTGACGTCAACCCAAATAGAGAACTTCCGACCATAACGGAGCCGCCAAGCGTTGAGTAACGCTCGATGGTACCGTCTGAGGTTTGGATAGTGAATCTGGCTTTAGCACCGCAGATACTCTTCCAACCGGGGCGCGGGCACTGGACGGCGAATGTCATTTTACAGGCTTTCCCTTCAAGACGTGGCGAATATAGTGAAATTTCTCTTGCTGCAGGCCATGGAGCATGTAATGAGGTGTAAGGGGGTTCCATACAAAAAGTATCAAGGAAATGGTTCAGGTAGGCCAAGTTGCGAATAGTCTCTCGAACCTTTTTCTTGCATTTCTTGCTGCCGCAGTGAATCCAAACGGTTGGTTTTAAGGCTATAGGATCTTTCGGACAGGTCATACCGGCTTCGAGTACAACGGATGCGGGCGAGCATTTCTTCCCAGCCATGCACAACACCAACTCTGTAATTACCTCATCGTCACGCATTGATTTCGACAACATACTGGTCGCTTGGCACAGGTAGCTTTCGAGATCCGGCCGGACGTCTCGATCCCACTTGTCCTGAACAACACTCGGAGGTGGTAAGTTTCCTAAGAGACCTACATACAACCTGTCGACCTTGTAGACTTGGGCACATCTCTTAGAGCAAAACTTGGTGTGTTCCTCAGCAGGCCGGGTTGGATGTTTGCCCTTTGCTTGCCCTTCAGCACGAGTGGGTACGGTTAATGTATGCAAAGGCCGGTCTGTGGCAGAAATCGGGCTGTCCAAGCACACAATACCATTCTCCATACTTTCCCTAAACATCACGAAGTTAGAGTGGCTTTGTAATGAGAATAGAATAATCAGACCTAGAACTTACGAGAAATCGTTGGGGCATTGTATGCTGTGGATTTGCGTATCTCCCATGTTGACCGTGCGACGGTGGATGCTCTAGGCAGCGCAGGTAAGATTGTGGCCTTTCATCTGTGCTCTAGCGAGAAAGGGATCTTCGGATGTAAGCTCGGGTCTTAGCGAAACTAATCAACTTAACTTTACCATCGACACGAGGCAATGTCCTACCCAACAAGGCTGTATGAGTGTATCAAGCGTACAGGAGGTGTTACGACAGAGTGTTAAGGACTTAATGTATATAGAGCCTCAAAACATCTACCTTGTATGAGGATTTGTCTGCGCTGATGATATGCCAAGGCCTAAACTTTCATCCTGCAGTCTTGGTGGTTGCTGGCATCTCCGACCGCTCCCTAGGCTAGCAGCTGCACCAAGGTACCAGGCCAATCTCCACTGGACGAACACTACCAGCCCATTGGCGCCCACCTCTGGAGAAACGTTCCATCTCCTCTTGTGGCCCTGACTATCCCGAACATATACTCCATGTTTATTTTCCAAGAATTGACTAAGCAGCGGACGTGGTGAATCTGAGAACGGAGCGGAAGTGCGAACTGATCAGTGCGTTCTGGCTCTACCTGCATTTGGCTGTACTCGACTCTATCGCAGCGGATTATGCATCCTCCTCGAATACATTGGTAGAACTCTCCAAAGCTTGTATCCACATGCATAGAAGTTTGCGACACAAGAGTTGGACGGCTTGCTCACCATCGTCAGAGACTTGAAGGCCAATCGGAATATGGCACAGAAAAAGTTGACGTTGGAAATCAAGAAGGACTATCGGAATACCTTCGACCCTGCTATTGCCCACTAGATGGAGCTTGCGGCTCGTTTCTGGCTTAGGATCTGTGTACGCTTTAAGAGCCTGTCTGTGGGGGCAGAAATCCTCGGGATACCCGTATCGATTGGCAAGACGATCTGTCTCTGGACGACATGTTTGCGGCGCAATTTTCTCATGAAGCAAGTAAGACGGCGCCCTTTAATTTCCCGATTGACGGTTCCTTCACTGCTATAAATTTAAAGAAGATATGTCGATTGCACATTCGTTGGACGGACAACTTGATTGACCACTTGAAATTGGAGGGACGACCAGGACAACGAAGTTTGTCCATTTATCGACAAAAAATATACCTCATCAACCACCGGAGAGAACCAGAAACAACCCGTATCCAAGCAGAAATTCTAAATGAAGCCATCCACACTCTCGATCTCCTTTTCCCAATTGGCGACGAGAAAACAGAAGATTTCCTGGAAGAGGAAAACATTAATTTTAATACAAGAGATGCATCCGAGCTACCACGGGCGACCGAACTCAACGATTTCAAGTATTGGAGAAACAACCTAGGCCAATTACTAACTCTCCTTAACGGGCCTCCGGAGACCGTTGTCCAAACATTGCTCGATACGCGAAATATTACCCAATTCGCAACGCTATGGGTGTCTATCATTGGAATTTTTCTCTTGACTATACTTTTCGGTATCATAACATCCGTATATTCCATCAAGCAGTACCGTGTAGCTATTAAGTCATACGAACTTTCTCTCGCCCTAGCCTGTCAGCAAATGAATACACCGCTACCTGGGTTCTGCAGTTAGCGGCATATATTGGATTCTGTAGAGAAGCCCAGTACAAAAGGATTGGAAATATCTAACTGCTTGCGATTTCCTCAGTTCAAATATCTTAGTGGCCATAGTGGGTGTCTTTAAACTGTGGTATCTAAAATGGTTTAAGTTAAGTTCCGAGTCTAACGAATGCAAATCCAGACTTTCGAAGTTCGAAATTTTTGCATATTTATCAAGGATGCGTCTCTCAGAATTGCACCTACCCTGTACTCAGACCCTTAGGGGCCATATCAGCGCGAGAATCTGGGGTTTGGCCCCTAGTTCGGTCGTTCGCAAGTCGTCGCCATATCTTTTCTACATTCCACCAGGCGTTTTCAAGGCTTGAATGCAAGGCAATTGTGAAAGGCAGAATTCGTCGTATTCTTCTCGTTTTTGTCAGGGGTTTGGTTCTCGTTTTAGCCAACCTGCTTCAGGCAGCCACAATAGCTGTGGCTGTGCACATCCTCCCAGCAATCCATCCTCTGATATTCTATGTATTTGGATGTCTCCTTTCCCCATCACAAGCCTCTTAGACTTCATTATCTGTCTCTTCACTCATCTCCTTGTCAGAGATATTTCTCCCTGCAGCTAATAGGTATTTCCAACATGCCCAGTCCATCTCTCCCTCAAGGATCCCCTCAACCACACACTACCACCACCCCGGCTACCCTCAACCCCATAACACCCTTCTTCTTCGAACAATATCCTCCCGCAACGGCTACCATCTCCTCCCCACTCTTCCATCTCCCTCGAGAAACCCGTGACCAAATTTACGCCAATCTCTTCTCTAGCTCTCGCTACCAATGCCGAGAAGGAAACCTCGACGCCATATATGGTTATCGCAGCCCATCCAATAGCACAGGCCTACCAAGGTGGATACTAGCCTGCAAACAACTGCTGTCCGAAGCCTTAACAGAGTTCTACCGGGGCGCTCGGTGCGTCCACGGGGATGGAGGCACACCCAAGCACACGCCTACGACGTTGTCGCCATATAGTCTAATCTCTTTGCACCGCGTACGGAGACTGGAATTTGGGTACGATGAATCTACACCCATTCCCCTGAACTTCGCGCCCGGCATCCGAAAAACTGATCACTCCGGTGCTGTTGTCACCATCCCCGCCATAGACCCCTCAGAGGCCAATATCCCCAACATCCGCCAACTCAGCGAGCAGCTGCGTGCCACCGTGCACGAAGTCCGCGAACTGCGGTTCCAGCTGCAGCTTCCGGACAGCTGGAAGTTTGCGTGGGTGGAAGATGTGTTGACTTGGAGGGTTGATATGTCTGGGTTTGAGAAACTGGGGGAGGGGTTTGAGCGCGTGGAGTTCGTTGTTGAGACGCCAGTTATTGATGCGGAGAGAGATGGTCCAAATGCGGTACAGGGGGTGGCCATTGTTTATGGTTTGTTACAGCGGGAGCTTGAGAGAGTGGGTAGGCGGCTTGTTGGGTTTTGTTCTACTAACGACAACGGAGAAGACGAGCGTCAAAACTACGCTATCAAAGACTGGCTCGACACTTCCTCCCACCAACACTGGCATATTTCCATCCAGCGCACGCCAGACCGTACTTCGAACCGAACCATCTCTTTCCCTGGTCTGAGAAAGTGGATCACGCCTGAAGGACTCCGCCACTATGAAAGGGTCGGGGAGCAAGTCGACGGGCTCGTAACATTCTGTGCCGCGAGTTGGGGCACGACAATTGAAGTCGACGTACCAACTGATGGGCGACGACCCATTCCCGCAGAGACGGGATATCCTAGGAACTCGTTTTGTCCGGATCCGGCGGTGGAGAAGGAATTGATCCAATGGGGAGTGTTGTGAGATTGTAGTGGACTGGGAGGTACAGTTCTCTCCAATATCTATCTAAAAATGACTTTATCTTCACTCAGAGATAGAGAGGAGGCCTCGGTGAGTGACTGAGGAATCGCTACCACGTCTACGACGCCTAAATATGAAGTACTGTGGCTCAGTGCAGCAGACAAGTTTAATAAGAGAACTACGACGCTACACCAACACTACCCCCTTCCTTTCCCCTCTTTCTCATCCTATTTCATTGATAGTTCTTCCCCAATCGAAATTTCTAGAGCTCCCCTACCGAATTCTATTCGTTATCCTTCTTAGAAGGAGATGAGAGGATGTATTGTGGATGTCTCATGGTAGTGATGTTTGACAAAATAGATTCGTTAGAAGTTATCGGAAATGAATATAGATAACGAAGTAATACGCCATCGCAGATGCACATGTTTGCTGTTGTTCCCGAAGTAAAGTCCAGCTGGTATCGTCCTCCCAAGCAAATCCAATCCAATCCGAGTCGACGCCAGAATCTGAATCCAAATCCAAGTCCAAGTCCAAGCCAAAATACCTTCCCACACTCTACACTAACAGTGGCAGGATCTACACTCCTACTAGTAGAATCTGCCCTCTTTCATCCCCACTGTCTCCCCTCTTCACCACCGATGCACCGGCACACCCGGATGCATATTCAGCAAATACTGGGGTCCGGGCATCTGCCCACCACCATAAATATTCCCATTCCCTCCACTCCCGCTCCTGCCATGTGTCCCAGGTCCCATCCCCGGACTCGGCCTATTCAAACTCGCCGCACTCCCGGCTCTGCTCTCATCATCCAGCTTCTGTCCCGCATAATACGCCGCCAGTACCAAATCTTGCTCGTCCTCCTCTCTTACCCTCCTCATCCCTTTCGCGATCGCATACGCGGATCCCCGTCGTCGAATGCATGTTTGCAGAAGCATGAGGAAACAGAAAACGGCCAGCGCCACGGCAGTGTAGGCAAGAATTATGGGCATGCCTTGTGAGGAGAGGTGGAGGCCCAGTCCACCAGTTAGGGTGAGAATTGTGAAAGTGAAGGAGATAGCGGGGTTATGGAGGCGCGGGATTGTTGGCGAGAGTCGGGAGAGGCGGGGGATGGGGAGGAGCGACATTAGGAGGATTGGGAGGATGGATATGAAGGCTATGATTTGGTGGGGGGAGTTGAAAGTTTTGGACTTTGAGTCATTGTTAGTTGTATGTTTGATATTTACGTTTGAGGCGCGGTAGGGAGAGGGGCTTACACGGTTGTACTCTCCACTTGTGGCAATTCCGAGAGCGTATGCAATAATGAGAAACACAATGATAAAGACGGAGATTCCGACGTGAATCCCGATCCTCTTGACAAAGCCCGCGAAAATCAGGTTCAGCGGCCACAACACAAACAGCGCCAAACAGCCCAATACGGCATGTGCGAGATTCATGCGGTCATGATCTCTAACCATGCCGCCCTTCAACTGGACTCCATTCAGCGCCGTGCTCGCAGTAGGCACTTCGCCTTTACCAGTCGCGACAAGCATGTCCATGGTGAACTTGCCATAGCGGATGTGGCGTTTGAGGGGAGCATTCAGTCCGTTGGACTGTAACCGGTTTCCAGGACCGAAGGCGTAGATCATGGGATGTACGGTGGTTTTGACGTCGATAAAGCCGCCAGGCCAGACACGGCAGTTGTGGCACACTGCTTTGAGGACGAACATATCGTCTGTGATGCCCGTGCCGGGAAGAGTCGAGAATTGGATGTCTTTCGCGAAACTTGGCTCAGAGTGCCCTGTGGCAATCCTTGGACTGATCGTAACATCTACTCTTCGTTAGCTTATATTCATTTTATACACCCCACCTTATCTCCTTGTGACGAGAAGAGGGAATAGGAACGCTGGGGGCCATACTCTTCCCATCCTGACTCGGATACAGCACAAACATCAAACTATTCCTCATCTCCTGTCCAAACCCCACCCCCACCCACGAATAAGCTGGAGACGTGAAGTATATGAAGACATCGCTACTGTCGTTTGCAATGTTGAGCGAGAACTGGGTTTCGGTTTCCGACAGGTAGAACGTGGATGCTGGTGGGGCTTGTGCAAGGATGAGTGAGGGACAAACTGTAAGAAAACCGAACGATTAGCCTTTAATTCCAACGTAAATCTTTCCAGGCAGCTATCCCCTCAGAGGTTCGCATGAGTTCCCCGAAGTCGAGCTTCGAAGAGAGGGAGAGGAATGGAAAGAAGAGCACATACTCGCAACTAGCGTCAGAATCGCAACCCCCCTCTGAAATCGGCAACTAAATCCGAACATCTTCAACTATAAAGGTGGTTACGCACAGCGCATAAAGATCCGCAGATCTTTTTCAGAGAATTAGAAGAATAGAAAAACCTGAAGAAGACAAAATAGAAGAACGAACGCATGAAGAATCGAAACACGGCCCCGCGCCTTGCTTATACGGACATGGCAGCCAACCTCTGTTTCTCGCCCAACGTACAGATCTCACCCTCACATTGAAACACATGAGCGCCAGCAGTGCAGCGCTTCCATTTCATCCCTCATGCGTTGTCTTGTCGCAAGCAAGGAACAACCCGCCCAATCACACTTGCCAAAAACCGTCAAGAACTCGGCGCTTACAGCTCAGTGCATGCAAAGTCAGGGGGTCGCGCCAACCACAATTGCAGTCGCCAGCGCCCAAGACATTCGGCGCTACATGAAATCAATCAATACTTTTGGGGTCCAAAAATAACCTCCCCAAGGTGAAGCCATATTTGTGAGGGCGCGAATGCGCAGTCAGCCTTGTGTCTTGTCGGAGGGATTTTGACGAGTCGCTAGCACAACATGAAGCACACGCGGGGGAAACGAGTGGTCTGCGCCAGGCTAACCGTATTCGGTCCTGTCAGCCTTCAATCTATCGGATGCGCTGCCATGTTTGAAGATACATCATTTCTCATCAGTGATCAGGAAAACAGCCTTTCTATTCATAATCGTGCCAAGATATGATATATGTGACAGTCGTGGGTAAGTTGGGTTGAATGAAATTCCAAAGGAATATACCACCCTCACTTCCGGAAGCCTGCCCAGACCTAAACCCTAAAAAAGAAAAGAAAAGAAAAGGAATTGAAAACAAGAAGGGGAAATTGTGGGGCTAAGACTTGCAAACCAGTTCTACGCGCTCCACCAATGCTGGTCATTAGAGTCGTAAGGATGCAGGGCCCGAGGAGTGACTGTACCCTCAAGCAACTTGAGGAGTAACAGAAACCTACGGACCATCATGAATCGTATCGTAAATCGTCTGGTATCATCCTCCATACTTTTATGAAAACTTCAAAGGGGCAGAACATCTTGTATCGATTCCAAATCAGAGATCAAAATGTGATCAGAAATCCTTCAATGCCCAAAGAGCATGCTGAATTGGTGCACGGTGAAGAGAGACTGTGCAGAGGAACAGTGCAGCTGCTTTGGCAATCACTGGAGACTCCAAGTGAGTTGAGTCTTGTTCATTCGTCCAAGACACTCATCTGTACCGGTGTCGGTGTCGGTCGTAGGATACCTCGCGTTCGAAGAAGCGCTCGTCCCATCCTGGTTTCCGGTCTCGAACCTCTTCGCGCTCGTACTCGATCTGGCGGACTCGAGATTTACGCTTACGACGGATGTCATCAGAGATTTCGACAAGCTGAAGGACATCCTCCTGTGAACGTGTCAGCGACTGTTTCTAGGCAAGGGGTAGAGCAACTTGCATATCGTAGGTACTCCATGACATAGAAGAAATAGTCGGTTTCTTCATAGTCGTACCCCGCAGACTCTATGGCCTCTTTGATAACCAAATCCTTGGTGATTTCGGTCCACATGTCCTTCGCTTTAGGTTTCGCGGCTGGGGGACCAAAGTCAGTTACAATTTCGTCTTCTCCGCTGATAAACTTTGAGCGGCGGACGCCGTTGTAACGCTGCCAGGAGATCTCTTGAGCGCCGCCTCCAATGCCATCCATCCGAACGCGGTTCGTCCCTGGAGGCACATCCACAATCGTCCAGTCCTTGGTAGCGCCATTCCATGCTTCGCCAGGATAAGCACGCTCCAAGGCCTTTCGATTGTAGTAGTCTGCCTCCAACTCAAAGTCGGAGTCGGCTGGAGCAGTGAAGCGACGTCTAGGACCGAGACTGATAGAACGTCCGCTAGAGGAAGCGAGTTCAAGTTCGCGAGACTTACTTTCACGAGTCTCACGCTCGAAGATAAATTCCTCATCAAATCCTCGTGCAGGACCACGACTCCTGCTTCACAAATTAGCAACAGCCACAAGGCAAGAATCAGATGTAGCCTTACTCTCGCCGGCGAATTTCAATCTCAAGTCTATCCTCACGTGGAGGGGATGGTGGTGGCGGAGGAGGCGTGGGTGACCGGGCCCTCTCAACACCTGCATGGTTGTTAGAAGTGAAAGTAACTCGGATGTAGTCGAACTCACCATGGTCGATGTGGCGGTGATGGGTGATGACTTCTTGAATGATCGGAGGCCTGACAATTGGTTCCGGCTCTGGTGGTGGTGGCGGCGGAGGTGGAGGGCTCGGTGAACGCTCCTCCATACGTCGAATGATGATCTCGTCCTTGATCTGTTCACGTGGCGGTGGGGATGTCTCACGGCGACGGACGACGAACTCTTCGCGCTCCCTCGCAACTAGCTCTCCGCGAGATCGTGGAGGGGGCAGACTCCTCTCACGCCCTCGGATTACCAGCGTGTCTTTCTCCACCTCACGCTCTCGACCATGACGGCTCTCGTCGCGACGGTAGATGAATTCGTCACGTTCAACTTCGCGCGGTCTCGCTGGCTCGCGATCCCGGAACTTAATTTCTTCGCGTTCAAAGTCGACTTCGCGGGGACGGGGACGTGCACCATCGCCACGACGGAACTGAATGTCTTCGCGTTCAAACCGAGGCCTGGATTGATCACGGTGACGAATAGTAATGTCGGTCTCTTCTCGCTCAACTTCTCTAGGGCGGCGTCGCTCGCCTTCAGTACGGCGGATGGTGATATCATCTCGCTCAACCTCCCTCAAGCTTGCCGGCGGAGGCGGGGCGCGGCCGCCTCGGATAACCAGAGTATCTTCTTCGATCTCGCGACGACGGGGTGGACCTCTGCTCACCTCTTCCTCGCGGCGCTCGTGCATAACTAGAGGCCCTGCGCTGGAGCGGTGGTCGTCTCGGAGGAAGAAGTCGGGTGCGCTACGGCGGGGGTTGCCGTGGGACAGCTCAAGGTCGAGTTCATCGTAGCTGCGTTCAGATCGATTGCCGTTTTTGCCGCGGAGATCGCGCTGACGCTCCTCATAGAGCTCAGCAGTAGGGAAATGCCGCCGTGACATGGTGAGGGTCGGGTGCTGGCCGCTGGTGAAGGCGTGCTAGCTAGGGAGGGCAGCTACGTGAAGGTAAAAGGTGAGGGGTGAGGGGTGAGGCAGCCGAGGGATGGGTGGCGGGCAAGATTTTCAGAAGAAAGGAAGAAGAGAGACGGGAGGAGGGAGGATGAAGAAGGTAGGAGAGGTGCGAGGCTGAGTCCTGAGACTTGAAGAGGAGAGCTGGCCTTGATGGAATTGCCCAGTTGTTGCGCGGTGGGGTGTCCAGCAAGTTGGTTGGGCTCCTCGGTCGCGGCTTCCGCAGGCGATGACGTCTTGCCCACACCGGCTTTGCACCCTTTGATCAGGCGAGCGCACACCACCAACCACACCGCACACGGCAGCTGCAGCCCAGTCCTAGCCCGTACGCGGAAGCAGCGCTGCCATCGCTCTTGCTCGTGAAGTCGCAAATGGCGGAGCGATTACCAAGAGTATTCACTGCAGAAGGCCTGCCAACCCGTCTATCTGTCATGATCCGCTGACATCCACTCCGCCTTCACCAGCACAACTTCCACATCTCAAACTATCCGCGACGCGGCGGAGGCACAGGAGAGAGCACGCCTTGCTGGAAGCCCATCTGCTGAACCCAAAAACTCAAGTCCGGCCGTGGGCACAGTCAGGCACAGCAGCCACAGGATGATACCTGATCTTAGCCTCCCGCGCGAGGGGTCTCCCAGTACGCTCAAACTGAAATTACCTGGCTTTCACGGCCAGCATTGCATGGCAGGAAGCAGATTTGCCTAACGTAGCTCTCCCGCAGGCTCTGCTGAGCCTCGAGGCGGATCAATGCCTAAACGTGCAACGAGCATCTCGAGTCGATCCGCCTCGTCCGTTCCCACTGACTCCAGCTGTTTGGTTGCACGGGGGGTTTCCGCTGCTTTTTTCTCTGCGTGAGGATTATGATATTTTCGGGCAAACACTTGGGACTGCAAGCCCTGGTCCCCCCCGGTTCTATTTCTTGATCAGCATCCCTGCTAACAGCGCGATGACGTCTACGTTTGAATACACCCGTTTAACTGACTCACGGCATTACCGGCCGTCGAATTGAAGCAAGCACGATAAGGTAACTTGTTCTTGGGAATGTCAATAATTGTGAGGAACGGGGCCACAGCACACATATTTTGCCGGCCTGCATGATGAACGTGGCCTCTGGGCATTTCGAAGGAAGAATTGAAACATCACTAAACAGCCCAGCAGGATTATGGTTTAGGACCTGCGGATCAGTATGCTTATGTTGGTACTGTGCCGCCTTCAGCGTCTCTCCGGGACTGAGACCTCATATAATCCTACTCTACGCGACCTTAGGCGCAGTAGCGGCCACCTCTTCTCTTCGTCCAACGTTGAGTAAATGCCCTCTGTCCGGACCAGTGAACCTCTTCCTACCAGTTGCGATCCAGGTAATGATGCTGATCAGCATCACTACGCCGATAGCTGCTGACGTGTAGTTCATATTCTCGCTTTCCACTGGCTTCAGTGACGGGAAGTTGAACGTAATGCAGCAGAAAGTCAGGAAAATGAACCCAATAATGTTCAGCGCGAGACCGTGTCGACCAAGAGAGTATGGCCCTTCCAATCGGTGCTTCTTCCCAGTTACGTGCGCAAGAATGCGCGCGAGCAGAGGCATTGCGTATGAGAGGTCTGGTGTGGTTACCACTAGCTCGCAAATCCTAAACGAAGCGATGGCAAAACTTACAGAATCCCTCGGTAGCAATGGAGATGACGGTATTGAATCCAGTCAATGTTCCAAAGTAGATTGAGTTGAAAGCGATTTGCACCAGGCAAGTCACAAGTACTGCATATATCGGAACCTTTCGTTTCGGTGACACCTTGCTAATGGTCATGGAGAATGGTAGGCCGTGGTCTCGGGCAAATGCGAAAACGGCGCGGGAACCCTCGGCCATCAAGGAATTAGCACAGAATAGCACGATGACTGTAATCAAAGATGCTAATGCGGACGCCCCGGCAATGCTTCCGGTCGAATTGAAGAAGATTTCGATAACTGAAACGCCAGTAGGAGTCGTTGCTGTTGCCTCGATATCACCCATACAAAACGAAAGAGAGATCAAGAATATAAATCCAGTCACAGCTCCAATGTATACGGACATGACGATTGCTCTAGGGGCTTCTTTCCGGGCATTCTTTATTTCCTCGGTCATATGGGACGGCGCATCGTAACAACACATTCCGAAAGCACTCTGTAGAATACCTAGGATAGCAGCGTAGGCAGGATTGAATCCAGTGAAGTTTTGGAACGTGCCGAAGACGAAACTGGCTGGTTGTTTGTGGTCATTGGTGACTAGGATAGTGATGAAACACACGAAGAAGGCGCAAATGTTCCAGACGAGGATGCCCTTCGAGATCTTGTTTAGCCAATGCGGGATGAAGATGTTGGAGATAGTAGCCAGAAAAGCGATTAGATAGGCTACCAAAACGGTATGCCAACGTTCAATGGTGTAGCCTGGGTTGTTGAGGTTTGCCATTCCCAAGATGAAATTTGCACCAATGAAGTTATTCGTAGCTCCCATAGCAAGAATACCTTCAAGATATTAGTCAAGGCGCCTCTAATTCCTAGATGAAGCTTCTCACCAATAAGCATAAACCAGCCGCAAACATACGAGAAGCCTCGGGCCCATCGTTGGGGAGCCAAAATCGCAACCCATGAATATTGCCCTCCCGCCACTGGGTAGGCAGAGCACATCTCAGCCATGGAGTACGCAACGGATAAGGTGACCAAGGAGATTCCTAGCCATGACCAGATCATGACCGGCGGACCTCCAGATTCTACACCGACGATTAGTACACCACCGAGCGCTGTCCAGCTGGTGACAATGCTGAATGAGAACCCAATCATTCCCAGAAGGCTGAAGCTGCGCTTGAGCTCTTAGAGATATAAGCCAGTACTCTGGATGTTAATTAGGAAAGTAGCATGCCTTGGGTGTATCCAAATTGCTCAAGCACCACATTGTCGCTCGTAGTGTCATTGAAGACCTTTATCGGTGCTTCCGTATTAGTAGCCATGATGAAAGGACGGCTTAACGAGAAGAGTGGAATCTTTCAATTGAAGAGAAGAGAGAAAGAAAATCCCCAGCGGTCCCGGGCAACATACAAAATATGTACTCCTATCCTACCGATCAAAGATTAACCCATAATCGCTTCGAGCCGTTGGAAAGTAGACAGAAACGTATTCGGCCAAAGCACTATGCCCGGCAGGTGCATATTTTCCCGCACCGAACCCGATAGTAGGGACCGAGATGCCTGGGGTGTAAACCGGAAGAAGAGCTTCTGGATTCGTGCATCGACCTTTGCAGGAGGGACACCTTCTTATCGGAGAGTTTTGTTAAGGCGATTGGTCACGATACGGAGAAGAAATGAACGGTCGAGATTCGGCACAATTTTTCCAGTGTGTCAGCGCGGGGATGTGCCGAGTCAGAGGCCTGCAGAACGGGTACGGGTGGGAGCTACCTGCGTTCGTTTGTGGAGGTCAGATAGGTGAAGCTGTATTGCTGTCAAAGGCTTTCTTTGATAGAGTCTTGAGGGGTGAATTGAAGATCAAACCTTTGATACTCGAGAGATGTTATTGAAGGTTGACAGAATCAGCCCTATAACAGAACCAAGGTGCTCTCAAAGGCTTCATCTACCGATCGCCCGAACTGTTACATTGAATCCCACGTTTTACGTACGCACGGCCTATCAAATATCTCTATTTGTAGGATCGCGATGCAGATCTTAGAGATTCTGAGTGCAAGGCCGAAGATCAGGAAATGACACTAAGTAATTTGGTTAAGCTCGTCGCATCTCTCTCATCGTCATCTTCATTTGCTCTATCTTTTCGAGCAGCTATTAACAACAACCCCCCCCAATTCTCAATGGCAAGTCAAATAGTCAGTAGCAACCCATACCCCTGGCCTCACGATAACTCCCTCTCCCCTCAAACCACCGCTCTGATCATAATCGACATGCAACGCGACTTCCTTTCCACGGGAGGATACCTACATTCCCAAGGCTACTCCGTCGCACGGTTCCAAGCTATAGTCCCTCGCATCCAATCCCTCCTCTCCGCTTTCCGTGCTGTCGGAATTCCCGTATACCACACCCGTGAAGGCCACGCACCACATATGAGCACAGTCTCATCGCGCGAGAGGCATAGATCAGGGGTAGATGGTGCACAGATAGGATCACAAGGTCCGCTAGGACGACTTCTGATTCGAGGCGAGAAGGGACACGATGTTATTCCGGAATTGTATCCGTTGCTGGAAGAACCTGTAATTGATAAGCCTTGTAGAGGAGCGTTCACGCACACCGATTTGGATATTATGCTGAGATGTAGGGGGATTAGAAATTTGGTGATTTGTGGGGTAACAGCTGATGCTTGTGTGAATAGCACTGTGAGAGAAGCGAGCGATCGAGGGTTTGATGTGCTGGTTGTTGAAGATGGCGTGGAAAGTGTGAATGAGGAATTGAAGAGGTGGAGTTTGGAAGCAATCAGGGTGGAAGGAGGGCTGTTTGGAGTGACGGAGAAAACAGCGGAAGTTATTAGAGCAGTAGAGACTTGGAGTACAGAAGGGTGAAAAGTGGAAACGGGCAAATAATGGTAGATAAAGACAGATCCAAGACAATATAAACAATTGACTAACATCTACATGATAATACGGCACAGACTAAGGGAACGTAGCAACAAGGCGGCTGCATGCCCGGGCGTGGCTGCGCTCCACAAACCAAACACTCAACATGTTTAGGCCTACCCGCTGCCTGGTTCAGGTGGCAAGAACCTAGGTTCTCAGCATGTTCACATAAAACAATGAAGGTGAGGGTCATTGGAAAGATGTGTGTATTGACTATCTCCTAGCCATATTGAAGAGTGAGTCACGCGGGAGGCGGAGCATCTTCAACTTGGGATCATTGAATCATAGAAACCTCCTCGCACAGTGCCTGAACGCCGAAGACCATAAACCATGCCATAATCCTATCCAGGATAAAATGTCGCGACAGCAGCAACCACCCTTGACAGAGAACCACTTGGATGTCGGTGAAGAGTTGATATAAAGAGTCGAAACAGGAGAGGAAGGTGCTTAACCACCGAAACCGTAAAGGGTACGGCCTTGGCGCTTGAGGGCATAGACGACATCGAGGGATGTGACGGTCTTGCGCTTGGCGTGCTCCGTGTATGTGACGGCATCACGAATGACACTCTCGAGGAAGGTCTTTAGTACACCACGGGTCTCTTCGTAGATCACTGGAGTACTGTTAGCGGGACGTCGAATTAATGCTCAGGTAACCATGACTTACTAGCTGAGATACGCTTGACACCACCACGTCGAGCGAGACGCCGGATGGCAGGCTTGGTGATGCCTTGAATGTTGTCACGAAGGATCTTTCGGTGACGCTTGGCGCCGCCTTTGCCGAGACCCTTTCCTCCTTTGCCGCCTGCAGAGAGAACATGTTAGCATCGTGTCTTGTGGGGATGGGGTGTTGCAGGGAGGGTGAAGTGAAGTGATGCCGTGCATGTGCAGGTATGGGCGGGGTTGCAAGTCGCGATGCATCATGATGTTGGGGTGCGACGCGTTGAGGCTCAACTCCAAGCGCGGCGCCCGTGATCGATCGTGCAGCGAGGCGACGACAACATCGATGCAAATCGCGACGGTGAGATGGAAATAAAGATGTACTTACGTCCGGTCATGTTGAGGGGTGGTAATATGGGATGAAGTTTGATGGAGTGGATGAAATTGCCGCGTGTGCGCGCTGTAGTTGATTGCTATTGATGGGGTTGTTGGCTGGGGATGCAGAGTTGTGGGAGTGAGAAGAGGAATGAAAACTAAAAGCAGGCGGGGGCAGAGGGTTAAATAGGCGGGCGTGGTGCCTCGAGATCACAGCGAGCAGGGCGGCGCTAAACTTAGTCAGGAAGGGCAACGGAGCATGAGCAGCAACATCCCCCTTCAAAATAACGAGCTTGGCGCTCTTTCGATGTGCTGGAAAGCTGAGCTTTTCAAAGGCAAAATGTTTGCGGCAGGAGGGTCTGTGCTTTAGGCATTTGCGCGGAACCAGGGATTATGTCAGCGAGAAGGAACACCAAAATGAAACCCCACCTCCCGACGCGATCAACATGATCGCGACCTTCACTTCTCGATGTTCTTGAACAATCGTTTTGAGGTATCTTGTACGTTGACAATGCATTCCAGTGAATTAAGGAAAATATCGCAGTATGCAGAGGAAGCGTGATGGTTGCTTCCAAAGCTGCTAGCTCACCAACTTCACGACCCGTCTCAGCACACCGCAGACGGCGGTGCTTCATGGCGATAGAAGAGGATATTTACTGGCCCTCACGTAAACTCGGGAAGCGTATAGCATGCTCACCCGCAGTTTGACAGCCTCCTAATGTTAGGCTCACGGTTGTACTAGGGAAGCTGTTCTGAGCAGGGAGTGAGGTTGGTTGCAACGGAGGATTTTTGTGAGTAAAACCCTCCTTCGTTTGTTACTCATGTATTTCTAGCAACCATCTCCTTGAATCCATTTGCTCGAGGTCTTCCGACTTGTATTGTTGTTCGCTTCATTATCATCCGGCGCTTCCATGCAGGTAGTCGAGCTCTCGGAAAGCTAGAACCCATTCACTACACTAGCACCTACCTAGGAACGTTAACGGGGCCTGGAAATTCCTTCAGTGGTATTGTTGGATTCAAGCAGAGTTCCAATAAGAACACCTTCCCAAGTGTTTTATCTACCATGCCTCGCCAGCGGTACCGATTTGCCGTATCAACACCGAAGCTGATCTCTGGCCTCTTCACAGACTTATGCAATGGGCTTTGGAATGACGGATAGAGCTTGCGTAAATTGGGGTCGTCTTGCGTTCGTATCCCATGTCTTCATTGCGGAAATTGACATACCCCCATCCGAAATCGATGGCACAATACTCCGCAGCATTCACGGGGACCAAACAGCCAGAGAGAAATGTTTCACTACCGGAGGGTGAGCCTCTGCCAACTCAATGCGAGTGAGTCACAGTCTGCAGCTTCAGGATCACCAAGGCGGTTTGGGCCATGGCTTTCCCCTTTTAGATACCACTCCTCCCATCCCTGCTATTGATTGATTGGAGTCTTCTACAATCTTCCATATCGGCATGAGTCACTCCTCGAATCGCCAATCTATTTTATCAGGCAGCAGCAAGTTTTGTGCCGCTTTGGCATGCGCCGTGCTGTGATAGAGGGCGACTCGACAATCACAAAGCTCAACAAGGTCCCGGTTGAGAGAATCAAAGCAGATCAACTATTTTTCGTTCCCTCTGAAACGGTGATGGCTATAATAGCTACATGAGCATCTGCATGTTGGATCGTATTATGGAACGCTCGCTTGGCCTACGCAGGTCACTCCGCACCTTCCTCAGGATCGTAAACAACGACAATAGGCCGAAGACCTCTTTGCTCCTCAGTCATGCCCTCTTCCATTCCGTTATATGTCTCCATGCATGCTGTACCAACAGCAACAACCACGGTATGATGTGCCTGTGACCTGACTGGCGGACTTGAATATATCTATATGTTTTACGTCCTGTGACATCTCTTCGGTCAAGATCCAACTCTCTAGTGGCACTAAAAGGCATGCTGATGCTTGCGCTAGACGTAGTTTGATCACAGTGCAAGTTGTCAAATCTCATTGTGTGGTTCTAATAGATGGTTGATAGGGGAGATAAGGGCGAGGGAATGATTAAGGATATCTCTGCATTCCTCCTTGCAACCTAGTCTTCGTTCCCTGTAGCAACATATAGATCGTAAGAATTAGGATAAAGGGGGCAAATGCGCCACTTTACCGGCAAATCACTTAACTGAAATGTAGAAATGCAGACCGCGGTGCAGCGAGGACAGACACAGTGGAGGGATTCGTGGCGGACTTGCAGGTGCTGGGCAGGAGACCAAACATCTGTTCTCGCTTCCTTATATTGTATTCTCGCGAAGTGAAGTCGTAGCTTTGCTTGGAAGCCGAGTCTCACATGTAATCTTCTATTGTTTGCTCTTGGTTTCAGAATCTCTCTTTGTGGAGATCAGCCTCGGAAATGAGGGTCACGTGCCGATGACGCGGCTGGGCAAGAAACAGGCGCAGGCACTCGCAGAGCCAGCTGACAGGTCACTCCACAGCCAACGACCCTACTACTTCCTTTCTTCTTCCTTTCTTCTTCCTCTCCCCCTCCATTTCAACGACCGTACTTTTACCCACCTCCGTTCCTCATCAGCCCTTTTCCGAAATGCTTTGTCGCACCCTTGGCGTCTACGCCTCCCTGGCGCTGGCCGCCAACTCGGTCCTGATCCCGCCAAACGTTGCGGCTGACAGCCTTGGCGACGATAACGCAATGGAGCTTGCTATCAACCCTTTCAAGCGAACAGTTGCGTTGGAGTGCCCTGGATGTGCTCTGGCGATGAAGGAGGGGAATACTTTGTCGTGGACACAGGATGCTGGAAACTCTTTCGTAAGTTGACGTCTTCCGAAGGTCCCGGTCGGGCTAACAAGGCTTAGCTACTGGACTTCGAAATTGGAGCGAAGGAGTCGACACTTGAGATCGATGGTGTTCAACTCTACCCCCCGGCGTTCGGCGGTTTCACGGAACCCTTCTACGTCACCCAAGTAAATCCGAACCAAGAGTCGGAGGATGCGCTGCGGTTGCGGGTAACTGGATACACGTTCCACTACAACTCCGCAGAGACGATCACAGAAGCCGGCGCTGAACTACTACCAATGACCTTCCGCATCACTTCTATCGAGTCCAAGGCTGTCGACCCTCCTGCTCTCACGATCAACCTCCTCAAGGACGTCAACGGACGCCTCATGATTGCCTCCTTCCAGATGGCCCAGTCTAACGAGGCCAGTCCCATCGACCAGGAGAAAGAGTGCAAGGAATGGCCACTGCTGTGCAAGTGGAGGTCCATCCTAGCAGACAAGATCAACGGCATTAAGAGTCACATGGGGAAAGGTTGCCACAAGCACAAGGGTAACCCCATGGAAAGCCCCGAGATGCACGGCAAGCCGCCGCACACGTTCCGTCCTGGCCATCCTCACCACCACCCACACCATGCCCAACACTCTGGCCATCGCCATCATGCTCACCATAGGTTGCATATGTTCCTCCGCCGAGCCGTCTTCACCATCCTGATCCCAATCCTCATCGGCATCTTCGCCGGAACACTCACCTACCTCATCGGTATGGCTCTCGGCTGTGCTATTGCGATCCTCGTGGCCAAAATCCGTGGGCGTGGACCATACGAGAGTGTTGCCCAGCAGGACGATCTCGAAGAAGCTACCGACAAGAGTTCCGAGAAAGAGCTATATGCCGAGCTTCCGGAATACGACGCACCTCCTGTCTACGAGGAGGCTGCGGAGAAGGAGGTAGTCAATGAGTCACACTAAACTCGACTTAGCGTTAGTGCGTTCGATTATGGTGAAATTGGGAGATTTAGGACACTTGGGCACTCAGATATTTCCCTAGGAGGATCGTTCAAGAAGAACATCACTGGACCCGATACACTGTGTTTACATCCGGGGTAATGGTAAGTACTGTGGCTCGGGAGGAGTTACGCTGCTTCCATTGCATATCTATGATTTTGGCGACGACTTCCTTTTGTACAGTACACCAATGCAGATTGCTTTGTTTTGGACTTGTTTCCGTATTCAACGTGCGTATCTTGATTTGGGCACAGCACTTTGGCGACTGGTGCAGAACATGAAAGGGCTCCTGCGAAACCGCTCGCTAGAATTGGGGAACAGTCTGCAGGTTCTGTCTAGAACCACATCGTTTCCATGTTCTCACATAACTCGTTCTTCAACCAACCATCACGAGTCAACCACCTTAGCCAACTCCGTGTTGCGAGAGGTAATCTACCTATCTTATTTAACATTTCTCCCCCATGATCAATCAATCAGCTCTCCTTTCGTGCCCTCATCATCCTCCCTCAAAAACCTTCTTCCGGTCTTGACCAAATCCGTCACATCCTTAACCGCATTCTCGCACCAAATTTGGTATTGATTTGGCGTGGCCAAAGCTTTCCCAACTTCCTTTTCCTCGACCAGCCACTTCTGATCCACAGTCCCGAGAAATAAGTCCAGTGTCTTTGGGTTGTCTTGACTCCGCCAGATCAATGAACTCCCACATTTGCTGCAAAAGCCACGGAAGCGGTTTGAAGAGGACTGGAATTCGGTGTAGGTGGGGAAGTGGGAATGGAAGGTGTAGGGGAAGGGGGTAAGTTGGGAGGGGAGGAGGACGAGGAATTGGGCGCAAAGGGAGGATGTCCATTTTCGGCACATGGTGCATTGGCAAGTTGCGGACTTGGGGGATTAGTAGGGTGGAGATGCAGTCGGAGGTCAGGATACCTCAGGTGGCCACTTTACTTCGGGCGGGAAGTGGATGGCGTAGCGGATTGAGTTGCAGAGACAGCCTCCCGTGATGGTAGCGGGTCGGGAGGTCATGTTGGAAGTGTGGAGGAGAGGCAATGTTCGCTGTGGAATCCCGCCACCGAAATTGACGGGGATCCGAAAAGATGAATTGGGAACTGAAGAAGCGGCGGCGGTAGAGCATCCATAGCAGCATTTTGAGCAACTGCCAAGCTCTCTCCACGCCCTTCAACAAACATGAAAGCGCTTCTTACTAGCCACCATATTTAACTTCAAATTCAAAAGAGAGAGCAACCAAATGTACCATAAAATCGAATGATGATCATGCAAAGGCTCAGCCAATAAAACAATGTCGCAGCCACTACATGGACACCTTCGTTTTCCAGCTCCCCTGTCTGCACGAGGCTGAGCATCCCGCACAGCCTCAGGCAGGCACTTAAAGTACCGCACACCTCCCCAACTATTTCAATCCAGAAAGAGAACCAAAACATACCCACCAAAAGCATCTCAACCATGCGACTCATAAACGCCGAAACGCTTAAACTTATAAACTTCCACACTCCAAATCTCCCCCGCTACGCTATCCTGTCACACACATGGGGCAGTTCTGAAATCACTTTCCGCGAACTCCGCAACCTGAAAATGTCCCTAAAAACCGCGCGCATAAAAACGAAAGCCAAAGCCGGATACTACAAGATCACAAAATGTTGCGAGCAAGCGCGGCTCGACGGGCTGGAATACGTTTGGGTAGACACTTGTTGTATTGATAAAAGTTCAAGTGCGGAGCTGAGCGAGGCCATTAACAGCATGTATAGATGGTATAAGAATGCGGCAGTGTGCTATGTATACCTCGATGATATTGATTTGTTCGATCCAATAAGAGCAAGCGATATAGGGTTTGCGCGGGGGGATCCGGAGAAGTTTTGGACGAAATGTATTGATCTTATTAGTGAGAAGGATCTTGGGAAGGCGCGCTGGTTTACGAGAGGCTGGACGTTGCAGGAATTGATTGCGCCGCAGAATGTGGTGTTTTATATCAAGGGATGGAATTATGTGGGCAATAAGGTTAGTATGAGGGAGAAGTTGGCTAGGATCACCAGTATCGATGAGGCAACGCTTATGACGAGGAACCTGGAGGCTGTTAGTGTGGCGAGGAGGATGGCATGGGCGGCGAATAGGGTTACTACGAGGGTGGAGGATCTGGCGTATTGTCTTCTTGGCATCTTCGACGTCAACATGCCGTTGCTATACGGTGAAGGCGAAAATGCGTTTGTTCGACTCCAGGAAGAGATTATGAAGGATTCAGAGGACCAGAGCCTGTTTGCCTGGAGACCAGCAGACGCATCCGAAGTCTATAACCTCGACCTTCTGCTCCCCATGAAACCAGAAGAAGGCAGAGGAGTCTTCGCTCGACATCCCAGTGAGTTTGTGGTATCCAGTGCTGTTCGTCCGACTTCCTCCCGTGGAGAGCCCTACACCCTAACGAATAAAGGCGTCAAGATGGAAATCCCAATCCTGCCGCTCGAAAGGGGCATTTTCCTGATCATTCTAGAGTGCAATTATGACGGTGACTTATCTCATCGGCTCGGTATCGCTGTTCAAAAGCTACCTGGAGGTAGTACTAGTCAATTTATTCGGCATGATATGGTGGGGCTGATAAAGGTCAGTCAGGCGATGGCTCAGAGAGCAGATATTGGGACGGTGTATCTGTGCAAGAAGGTTCCGAACACTCAAGATTATTCGTCAGTTTTCAAGATCTTCAGGGCGGACAGTCATATGGGATATGGAGAGATCGAGGAGGCGAGTATTGTGTCTAAATATTCCTTAGGTGATGAGGCCTGAAAGATGGAAACTCTGGCACAATTACTGGACGAACCTTGAGCTCCAATATCGGAGATGGGGCGAGTATGAAGTTACTCGCTAGGTAAGACTCTATACCTAGCACTTGTATCTTTTCGCTAACAGTAATGTTCAGGTAGAACAACATTTGCTTCGTCTAGGACAGTTAGAAGAGGAGTGTAGTAGAGCATAGCCACTTCGACAACAGTCAGAGGAGCCTATTACATTATGCATATGATTGCTACCAAAGCGAGGCCGTTTTAACATGGTCTCAACGGAATGGATGTAAAAGGAGAGAGATACGATAGGGTTCAAGATCCTAACAAGCGAAGAGATGCCAAAGGAAACACGAATGAAATCAGTTTGTTAAGAATTATGTGTTGCAATATAGGTGGTGCGGACGCGTTGTAGGTCGTCCTCGTAGTCCTTCATGCGGCTAGTAAAAATCTGCACAAGTTTCGCAACTTCGGAGTTAAACTTTGTCTTCTCACTCTCGGTCCGGAAATTAACTGGCAAGTACATGTCCTTTACATGAACTGGAGAGGCTCCGGTTGGCGACCAGTAGTTTCCAATAACAGCTAGATTCCAGCCGTTGAGTCCATCTGTGGCGTAGAACCTGCGAGCGAGTAGAGGTTTCTTAGAACGATGAAGAACACTGGCATTGCAACGTTTCTTAGCGTTTCTGTAGTCGCAACTAGTTGGATTAATTTTCATCCTTTCGTCAAGCTCGATTATGAGGAACGAGAAGAAGTCCCAGTGAGTCGCTCTCAGGAATGATACGAGCAGCGGTGGTTCCGGCCGCCATATCTCGATACCGTTTGATGAAGGCCCAAGAAAGATTTGGTGAGTGTGAACAGCCGACATATTACTAAGCATACTTAGAGTAGCGAGGGACATGGTGCTGCTCCCTTGGTAGGCACTGGTAGGTCTCGAAATATCGGATGGACGTGGGGTCGAAGAACTGGCCTCACTAGTCGATGGAAGCCGCTGTTCGTAAGAGGTCTTCTGCCACATCTGAATATTTCCAAACTCTACCAGTTCTGGCGAGATTTTCTTTGACTTCAGCCCCTCCTTTAGTAAAAGAGGCTGGAATATTCTGGCCCTTTATCATAGATCTAATCGTTACATGATCCCTGCTCAGTTTAGTTCCTGCTGTATTGAGAGGATAAGGGGCGGACACAGACCTTTGCACTACGTACCGGTGTCCTGTCATCAGTTACCTCAATTCACTATCTTGGCACCGAAACTACTCCATTGGGTTAAGCCCTACCCGATTAGGCTTAGATTGGTGCCTGAGGCTCCTCCCCATGACCCGCCCATGTTAAACGCTGACCATCTCTTCTAAAACATTTAATTTCTCCTCCGGGACAGTGTACCAAACACCCCCTTCTCAATTTCTGCATTCCACAATGTAGCCTCTAATTTCTGCCTTATATTCTCGTGCTAAAAGCCTTATTTGTATTAGAAGGCACAGAGGGTAGAATAATACATGGCGCCAAAGTTCTTCTAAGCGATCAATTGAAGTGGTGTCTTCCGTTAAGTCCTCTCCTTCCCTCCGCTGTCGAATTAGCATTTCTCGGAGATCATATATGGTCGTGAGGAAATGCCACCTCAGTATAATTCTATTTTATTACGAGTGTAGATGTAAGGACGGGGCTCTGTACCACTGCTCCAATACAACCAAAAAGGTGCGAATAATCAACTAACAGTTGATACTGCGTACAGAACAGTATATATACCTGTCGCGCGTAAGGACCGTAGTACAAGTCGCTTCCGGCCTTGCAGTGCATTATCCTTTGTAAGGACTAGCGGCCTTACACTTAGATAAGACAGAAGGGCTAGACTATATACTTAAGAGTAGTTGCTAACAAATAAGAAGTGCACTTACTTAAGACTACCAATCTTCTATTAAGGCCTATAATTATCTGCTAAGACTTGCAATCACCTCCTAAGATCTGCAATTACCTGCTAAGATTTGCAATTACCCTTTGTCCGCTCTAGGTTGTTACGTGATTCCAGGGCACCTTTCCCCGCAGTCTGCCAACTCTTCTGGGTCGTTAGAGTCCCACTAGCCCTGTTTCTCTAGTGGTTGTAACATTAACTAGGTAAGGCCTATAAAGTAGTAAGGCGTGGAGATAGATAAGTCTATAATTAAAAATAGTTAGCAATAAGCCTTTTTAAAATAACAGACTTCACATAAATAAATTAAAAAAACCTAGAAAGAGATTTAAGTGCCTTTATAAAACATATAGCTAATTAGAGCTTTAAAAACTCCTCTAAATGCTTCTATAAGCGTACTGCTTGCTAGAGCCCTTTTACTTCTCTAAAATTGTTATATAAACTTCCTAAAAGGGTAACACAGTCTGTACTACGTACTGTACCTAGGGCATTACTAAACGTACAGTACAGCTCACAAACTTGGTATGTTCCTGCTGATAACGTTACCGTTACGGCTCACTTTGTACAGACCGTAGTACGGCCCGTTGGAGGCCCTGTCTCGGGTTCAGCAGAGCAGCGAGCAAATCATTCAAACCTTATTATCTAAAGGCGCTGCACCTCCGTTGAACTTACTTTCGACGCGGACGCCGGTGCAAATGCCTTCGCCGCAGGAACCTTCATCGTCTATACGAGTGCCTCAGAGCTCATCTCCAGCATTGGGCCAATCTTCCCCTCGCTCAACAAAGAGGAAATCGACGGCAGCCTCAACTCCATCTTCAACACTTCCAATACAACCCTTAAGCTCAATCATGATTCCTAAAACCTCGACTCGGTCATCGATACACTCGGCATCTCCCACGTCGAATTCTCCTCTAGCCACAACATCCCCGTCGTTTTCCGCAACCTCAACACTCACAACAACCACAAGCTACCCCCCGAGCCCGATTGTAAAGTAAAGAGCCGCAATTTTCATCAGCATATCTCTCTTCATTGTCCTCCTCTTCTTCCTTAGTTACATGTTTGTTGTCCGCAGAAGAAGACCCCAGATCCACAGCTCCCCCCCAAAGAAGGACCTAGACGAAGAACAGGAGCAGGTACAATATGAGCTGGCGGTAGTTGGGCGACACGAATTCGATATGCAGAATATCAATGAAATGGACGCGGAAGAAGTGGGGATAAGTAAATTAGATGCTTAGAACATCGGGGAGACGCAAGGTAGAGGAAATCTACTGGAGTTAGCCGTAGAGGTAGATATTGTGGGAGTAGAGGGATGCAAGTTGTGAGTGTATGAGTTGGATGGGGGGTAATTGAAGGATAGAGAGAGGAGATTTGGGATTGATTAGAGTGGCTTGGATTAAAGGATCGAGGAGGAATAGATAGATATGTACGCAAACCATGGGTGTGATATTATGAAATGGGTGAGTGGGTGATGAAATGGGGTCTGATACTGAAATAGTCTAACCGTTCACCACTTGGTGTTTTGGCAATATTCCTTAATTAGTGCTCACAGGTCAATGGTGGAACTATACAGGTGCGTGTGGCTAATTGGTTCTGAGACTATTACACTAACGTAATCCGCCAGTGAGCTGCGTACACCAGTGAGCTGCGCACCCCACCAAAATGCGTGCGCCTTTTTGACTAGTAACTGAACAACAACTAAATTAAACCTATATAAATATATATACAAAATATTCCTAATTACTTCTACATTAAGTCCTCCTGTGGCCTTGCACATGGCACTTTGAGCACGTTGGTGGTGCTCGCTGATAGCTCTGAGATGCCTGGTACTGCTCCCTTATTTCTGCCTCTGCAGCTAGCCTTTGACCTTCCTGGCCTGTGAGAGTCCCTCCTGTAGCAATATACTGCTGTCGCTGTCGCCTCTTTTGCTCTTAGCAATAGTTAGCCTAACGTAGCTTAGTGTTCTCCTTAGTAAGGATTGTTGCAAAGAGCATTGCTATTTAACATTCCTTAACAAGCTAAGCTAGAGCTTAGCTTGTAGGGCTCTGCAATTAATGACTAAGGTAGTTACAGAGCAGCTAAGCCTGCTGCTGCAGCTGAGCAACTGTGTGAGGCGTCTCTGCAGCCTAGCGCCTCTCACTGTCTGCTTCTTGCCTTGGAGGAGACAGCGTTTGGACGACAGTAAGTAACAATAAGACACGCTTAGGACAGTGTGGGACTAAGCCTACTGCTTAAAAGCCACTCTTAATTGTCTGCTCTGTATATAGAGCAGGCCTAATGCGCTTACAGATAGCAAGAAACTTGTTCTTGTTAATGTAGAAAACTTAATTGTGTGTGAGCTCTAACATCTGCTGTTTGTACGCTTGCTTAAGAGGCGCAAAACAGCTGACATCTAGAGGCTGCAGAAGATGAGAGCTATGAGCAGGCATACAGCGTGGCCAACAGTCCGTAGTACGTAACGTAACTACGTGAACGTAGTAATCACGTGAGGCGTACAAACGTAGTCAAAATGTGAGACGTAACTTTTGTACAGTAAATTGCTAAGTACGTACTGTAGTACAGGTCAGAGAGGTCATATTTTAGAAGATTTCCCTCCTGTTTATAGGGCCTAGCAGGAGGAAGCTTTTTAAGCTGTAGTAATAAACTAGGTTATTTCTTAAGATTAAACCTTTAGAAACGCATCTTTAGCTAAAACCCACAGGGTACTTACTTAGAACTGCGCTAACCTTCTTAACACTATACTATCTTCCTACACTACACTTTTAACCTATATCTAGAACAGTCTAGTGCGCTAGAAGCAGGAGATTTAAATAATACTAAAATTAGCCTATAGTAAAATCACGCTAAGTGTTAATATATAGACTTCTCTAAACTACTTATTCTGCCTAGAGGTAGTAGCTTATTTTTTTAGTATAAAACTACAACACTAACATCCTCTACATAGATGCTAAATACTAGCACAGAGACCTTCTTATTAGCTTTAACAATCTATACAGAGACCACACTAGGGAGAATTAAGTGCTAGAGATTATTAAGGTGCTTAAGGACTATAAAATTACATTTAAATTCTATTACTATATTACTAACAACATGTTAAGTAGAGACTATTATAACTTTAGCTAAAAAGCTTTATTTGCCTCTTACTACTAAACACTGTATCTACTGCGCTGGCTATACAATTTAAATTGTTGTTAAGGCAGTTGTATACAGCTAGAGAGTCTCTACCTTTAAAAAAGCTCTAGCCTAAGCTGCTCTAGATAATTAATTTAAGCTATACTAACAGCAGGGCGTTTCATCTAGGCTAAAAAGCTTCTGCTAGAATAATTTTAACCTAGACTAACAAAACTTCTTGCAAAAAGTACAAAAGTATAAGGATTTTAAGAAGTTACTGTTACGTTACGTACTTGCCAATTAATTTACTGCTTACGTACAAAAGTACTACTAAATTGAGAAGTTACTAGCAGAAAAAAGCTCAAACGTAACGTACTACGTACTGTTGGCCACGCTGCAGGCATACAGAGACTGATAATCTTGTTCTCTGCGCAGTACTGATTAAACTCAGGCGTTGCATGGCTGCCATGGCCATCTAGTATAAGCTCTAGCTGAGCGAGCTGCAGTCTGATTGTTAAGGTGCTTAAGCTAGTCTAAGCTAAGCTGGTTAGTTGTCTAGCTATTATTGCCTACTGTAAGCGACTAGTTACTAGGAATTTCTTGATACTAGCTAGCTTAGTGTAGCTTTTTAGACAAGATGATAAGTAGTGGGAGCCCCTAGCTAGACGCGTTCACACACTTAATTATTGTGACCTAGTTGCGATTACTAGGCTGTACAGCAACTGCTTAGCTAACAGTATTAGAGCTTGTAACAACCTTAGACGTGCTTGCAACCCCTATTATAAACCCTGTCTTATTAAAATTGTATATATCTTTATCTAGTATGCTGCACTTCTAACGCGTGTCTTTAATAAGCTTAAACTAGGCTCTAAACTTGACTGGATCCTAATAGAGAGCACGCTAAGCATGCAGCTTTCTGTCCCACTTAGTTATAAGCTCTGCCTGGCTGTTGACAAAGCGTGACACCCAGTTCTTGCCAACAGGCTGTGGAGGCGGGATCTGGCCTTGAGCATGAAGCAGGACGTCTGCCATTAGGCGTACATTAATGATATAGGGTGGAAAGCCTTGTCTACTAAGGTCCAGGATCTAGCAAACAAGAGACTGCTTTTTAAGAGGCGATAGCTTATGTTTAGTGGATGTTATCTTAATTCTAGCTTAGACACCACGGAGGCGCGACCAGAGGGTTAATTCAGGAACATTGTAGGATGCTGCCATAGCGCGAATTGACTAATAAGGATTAGACTTGATTGAGACAAGGGCAAGACTAAGTCTGCCTTCCTTTAATAGTAATTGAGCTCGTCGTTGTAGAGCCATGGTCAAAAAGGTGGACGCGTCGTGTCGCGTTTTGGTGGGGTGCGCAGCTCAGTGGTGTACGCAGCTCACTGGTGGATTACGTTACGTATATGAATGCCCTCCAGATTAGAAAGCTCTCCAGTCTCGGACATGTATCGCCTCTCATCCAAACGTATCCTATTCTTGTGTAGCAACCCAAATCGCCGTCCGTAAATTCTGGTATAAGACCGAATGATACGGGCTTGTAGTAGCCGGTGCTGTGGCAGTGTCTAGATGGGTACGTATCGGAAAAGAGTACTCGTGGATCTTCGACTCCGCTCTGCTTAAGCGAGGTGCCCATAATTTTGTCTCCTTCCAAGGCTTACGGAGAGAGTTGATTTGAGGAGGCGCAATCAATATCATTCTAGGCTTTAGAACGTGCTCAATTTCATGCAGTGAAATATCCGCAGCCTACTCTGCGAGATAGTTGTGATGGTTATCGACGTCTAAAGAATCCCAGGCAACCAATGCTACCACTCCTCTTGTCCAGTCCTCAGAGTCGCCTTGCAAGGTACAAAGAGAGTCAATTCAGAAAAGATACGGACCAAGTCAGTAAGTTACTTGTAATCCACCCTTATGGTTAAATGAAGAGAGTGTACTGGCATGGAATATCTGAACTCCTTAATTAGCGAGGTTTTCAGGACCAGAACAGATTTGTCACCCTAGCAACAGCTTAGGCAAAAAATATGAAGGAGCGCTGTGCTCGAGCCTCCTATCAACAAACCGTGTGTTGTGATCATTGATAACTTCAATCAAGTGTGTCACAACGAAGGGAGAAGCTCCACCCCCTACAGCCCAGATGTTTTAAGGTGCAAGTTGATATCCAACCTTTTGCGAGGTTCATTGCGAGGTTTGACCTGGTGTACATGCTTCTTACAGGTAAAAGTTTTACCAAGCTATTGCTAAACTGCCATGATTGAGTGGTGGTACTAAACTTGCTGCTCTATCGCCCCACTTCGACGCGGCAGTTCAACCCAGGCCTCATGGCTCGAGAACTCGATATGTCATTCGATAATTAATACTTTAAGCTCACACCTAAATTCACAATCAGTAGGTCCGGATCAGTTATACCAGTCTAGATCGTATAATCTAAGAGTCCTCGAAGATCCAAGAAATGTTCCTAAGACTCCGTCTACGTCCATGCCTCTCTGCTCTAAGTTTTCCAGGATGACAGTGCATAGAGGGCAGCCACCAGCGACTGAGTTTCTCAATTCCATAAGAGTGGGTTGAATAGGAATCTGGGTACATATATTGGACGGAGCTTTAACAGGCATTAGGTGTTTTGGTCGGCACTTGGAAATGAGAGCTTGAGGATAAGCTCCTTCCTATACTTACACTTTTAGACTGCGGGTGCTCCTTCTCTAGGGATTACTCGTAGGGGTTTTGGCAAACCCTTACCTTGACGTTGATCCGAATGGGGCACCTAGCCCGACCACTGCAAGCAATAGCCTAGCATTGACCCAACATTAGGAGTTTGCGAGGTAATACGGTATCGCGAACATGGGATGTAGCTGCTTCCAGAGTTGCCTTAATGCCCCTTAAAGTGCATTCTTCTATCGAACTTGGATATATGGTGCAGCTTTCATCACTCTGAAATGCATATGAGATCCCGCTACCTAAATTGTTGTTGGATTGCATGTTCTCACGTCTGAGAGAGTATCCTGGAATATTACCGGGTACAAATTTCAAGTACCAAGTGCCATAAATTATTGACAAGCCTTTGGTTTAACAAAGTGGCTAGGAACTCACTTTTGAGTATATATACCGATAAAGTTTGCCTAAAGCCTTACCTTTGCCCACCAGTCAATTTCTCAGTATATTCCATTCCATACGACAAATACGCAATGCCACTTCCTAACGCCCTATCTGTACCCACTATCAGTATCAATAGTATATCCCATGGCATCCAAAAACAGGCAATCTAAACACATACCTAGAATCCCAATCTACCATATTCTCCTTCTCCTTCATCATTCGTTTCATCCTTCCACCCTCATCCGCCAAGCCCGGCGTGAGCTCCAGAAAACTCCTCATCCAACCCCGATCACCACTCCAACTTTAAACCTCCCCACGTCCTCCCCCTCTCAACCTTAACCACACTCTCCACATTCCCAATCCCCAAATCCGCACCAAAAAAATGTGCAAAACACCCTCTGCCAACTTCCTCCCACTTTAAAACCCCCTTCTTATCACCCTCCTTCCCTTCTGCCCCATCCCCGCCTGCCTCTTTCCCCTCGTCTTTAGCAAGCACCCTATACTCTATCTTCAACAACCACAGCTCCTCAAATCCACTAAAAAACTTCTCAGCGGTCCCGGGAACTTGTTCCGCTGTGCTGAGATGAATGTAACCGTCTGTGCGGTCGAGGTCTGAGAGGGGCAGGCGGGGCGGGAGAGGGGTGGGTGGGGCGGAGGGCAGGATTTTATAGAGGTATTTTGGTGGGGGTGTCGGCGGTGGCATTTATATTATGGGAGCTGGGGAAATTGAGAGTGAGATTAGGAATGGGTGGATTTTAAACGCGAGCTGTTGGTGGTGGTTGCGCACGGGAGGAAATGGTGAGGTTCAGCGGGGCAGATTATGATTGGCCGGTTGGATTTTCGGGGGAAGCTTGACAACAATCGAGCATGGGCCATGGCATTACACCACCTCTATATTACCGCTGTACAATACATACGCACAAGCCTATTCCCATAACGATATGATTCTACTCTACAAGACGAATTATTTCTTCCCTCCACCTTCTCTTATAAGCCGAAGCCGAAGCTCAAGTAGGGGCTAGTCCAGGTGGTGTGCTTATCGGAGATTCATCCTATTTCTTCGCCTTTGTGAAGGACTGCGTGTTTGTATCAAGACGGGAGGAGAAGAACGACTGCCTGTTCGCTTCATGCGCATTAAATCCTTCTTGAGTGGTGCTAGGCCTGGCTTCTAATTCATTCTTCGTTGTGGAAGGGGGAGTACGTGAGGCAGCGAAAGTAGAGTAAGGTGGTGATATGGTCCTCTGCGACAGAGTTGCTCCCTCAACAACACCGAAACTTGACTTATCACCCTTAAGTCCGGATCCATCTTTGCCCAAGGAAGAAGGCTGCAAACCTCTTCCCAACTTTTTACGCGACAAAGCTGCGAGGCTGATCTCCCTAATCCTGTCCATAATCATAGTGCTGTTCCCTTGGGGCCCCATTTTATTTCCGTTTGTCGAAGGTTCATCCTGATCTGATGAAAAGGGAAGTTCTAACTTGTCACCCCGATTCGCAAATTCCTCAGAACCAGGCTCATTATCCTGCACCTCGTCGTCGTGCAGGATACCATCAAGTGTCGGATGCCCCACCATTCCCTCGAGTAAGCGTTTCCTGTTTCCCTTAGGTTCCCGCAAAAGAGGCTTTCCCCATATTCGATTCACTTCACGTACGTATTCTTCATACGGTATGGGGTTAAGTCGCTTTATGATCCTATTCTCAAGCTTGTTTGACTGAACGACCCTGCCGATAGACCTGTTCAGCCTTCCTCGGTTAAAGAGGAGTTTTAATTGCTGCTGTAGAGCCTTGACCACAATGGTCGGGTTCACGTAAAGTCCGGCATCACGAAGCTTGACAACTGTCTGCAGTCCAACGCTCCAATGCAAGTGTGTAAGGACACCCTTTTTGAGAAATCGTTTACGGTAGTGCTTCGCTGGTCTCACCGAAGAGAACATGGTCTGCTCGAGTGGAGTGTTCGGCAGAAGCCCAGCCTTGAAGCCCCAAATAATCAATGCTTGGAGGAAGGCAGGTGAGAATAGCTGACGAAGTGGATGTGACGGGCTAGCCTGACTAATGAAGGGAGGCGTGTTGAAGTAGAGGAGCGGATGATGAAATGTTTGGCGCATCTTAGCCATTGCAGCATCCAAGAAAGGCGACTTTTGGATATCGGCAAATCTTGGGTTGTCTCTGTTGGCATACCAGGAGAAAAGCCAATAAATAAGTCGCCTTTGTTCCCGAACACGTCCAAGCATCCCGTAGCGGCGAAGTATTTCCTTCCAATCTCGAGGGCTTACGTAGCCTATCCCAGACTCTAGAATCATCATGTAATTACGTGCAACAAAGCGAACGTCGTCAAATCTGCCACTTGAAGATGTGCCCGGCCTTCGTCCAGGTTGCCGGCGCCGGAGTATGCTTTGAATCGCCAGTGTGGATTCTCGTGTAACAAAAATATCGTTTGCCCGCATATCCTCCAGGATGTGAATAATTTGATTCGGATACCCTTGCCTAAGACGTGCCTGGAGAAGAAGATTCCAGGATTCGCCACGAGGATCGTTATAGAAAAGAGTCAGGATGGCGAGGGTCCGATGAGCCTGGGTCCAGTCCATTTGCTCTAGATAATGATCAAGAAGCCTTCTCTGAAGGCTTAAGTCTTCTAAGACGTCCGGGTGCTGATCACTACCTAGGAGGCTTTGTACCAAATGGAAATTCTTTTCCATGGTGAATTTCTCAAGGGCGAGTGAGAAGACGCAAGGCTTGATGTCAATTCCAGCTTCTTTGAGCTCCCTAAAGCGTTGTGGTAACTCACTCAAAGGCTCCGTCCTCAACCCCATCATTCGTAAAGCGATTGGGCCTATTTCATTCACCCTGATCATCGAGAGGCCCCTGATGATTGATGCTGGCCCGAATGCCTTGGTAGCAAACAATCGAGCGCAAAAAGGGTCTTCAAACCTTACTGGTTCGATGTCCCGTCCAAGAAGTTTGCGCAGAAGCTGTTCGTTGTACCTCTGAGAATTAGGTTGGGCCTCACCTTTGGTTAGAAGAGGCCTGTAATTTGCCACTATCGGCTCTTTATATATCGGTCGGCCGTTCCGCATCATAGGCCGAGCAGTATCCGCGGCCATAGCATAATCTGACGAGGACTCAGCTAAGAACAATTGAACAACCGGATGAGATCGGGCAGATGGCGAGGGGGTATCACTTCGCTGGAAGCAGAGTATATGCCAATGGCGAGCGAGAGAAATCCGGCTTTGGTTGCAAAAAGGGATCACCATGTCATCGTACAAGTTCCTCTCGTTACTGGTCCTGTATATTTCGGCAAATGCTTCAAGAGATTTGGCCGACAAGGTGGTTGTCGCCAATTGCGTCAAGTATCGCAGGGGAAGATTCCGCAATCTTAGTTTGACTATCATTAGGTGGTGATATTTCAACGCCCTATCTGGATGTCGTGGAAGCCAATATGCCATGCACATCTGGTATAAACGTGCGTAACTCTGGCCGGAGCTTCTTTGCAAATGTGCGGCATGATCTAGGACCGGTATCACAAGATCAGGGTTCTTGATGAATGTTGACCAGAGATACTCGGCGTCTCTAGTGTTCGAAGTCGGGAGGTCGAATCCACGACGGGCCATGCCCAGCCATATATCACGGATGCCATCAAGTCCATAGACTCTCTCCCGATATTGCAGCAGTTCTCTCCAAAGCCCAATTTTTGCAAACCCATGCGCTTTGTCAATTTTTCTCCAAGTACTGATGCCCGGTTCGTTGACATTGGACTCTTCGTCAACGTCGGGTTTCGCTCGGCCTAGGGAAATCCGTGGTTCCAATGAAGGCCATTGTTGTTTCCGTATCCTCAGCTTCGGCAACGACAGGTCTGAAGAGTAAGCGCGGCAACGATGCTTCGATTGGCAGCAATTGATAGCGGGAATCCAAGTTGGAGGGAGCTCATGGGCATGGACGAGAGCTCGAAGGGCTCGTAACGCAGGCGGGCTGGCAAGGAGCCTGTCCAAGGCCGTTGGCATGAAATTTTTCAAAAGGCTGCAGTCGTCGAATCCATTAGCAATGGTAGAGATGGGGACGACGTCGCAGCGGATGACCTCGATAATTTCTTGCCCATGAAGCTCGTGAGCGCGGGCTGACTAAGGGCTTGGCACCTGTCGCCTCATCCGGGATCAGTCGATGCTTCACTTCACTTCGACCGACACCCACCCGCAAACTTCCAATTGCCCCTCCGAACCGCCCGCAACCACTCTCTGCTCTTCACAATGGCCGGGTAGGTCCTCCACACACCTTGTAGACTTAGACACGGCTCCATACGCTCTGCCCATCATTCCCTTCGTCCCATCGCAATTCGCTCATGGCTCGGCACTGACGCTCAACAGCTGGCTCTACCGCGAGAACCGCGTTCCCCACTACCAACGGTATATGCAAAAGAATGACGGACTAAGGCTGTGGGAGAAGGTACGTCAGGTCACTCGTCAAGGGTCTAGGGAACAATCACATAGGCTCGACCCGAAGCAGGCCAGCTCGGATGCTTGATTTTGAGCTCCCAGCTGCCGGAAATTCTGGATGCAACTCCATAACTGACGTGACTCTTTCCTAGTCCCGAGGCAAATACCTGATCCCAGCGTACAAGGTCATCCTCTTCGGCAGCTTCGGTGCTAGCATGTTCATGATGACCCGCATGCTCCTTGTACGTCTTCCTCGATCTGATCGGCGCAGAGATTGCGTCCTAATGTCTGTATGCAGGGCCACAAGACTTGGTTCGGCAAGGGCTAAAGCTTCAATTGGTGATGGGTCAGCCAGCGCGCTAAGAGGGGCATGGGAGGGCATCGTGACTACCTACTTGTACAAACAGCCAACAGAGTCAGGATTGAATCAGAAAATATATTTTCGTTTATTCGAGATACACGACCTTGCATGGCCGAGGCTTTATCTTGCTCACGGTGACACCGGTGCTGCAAGGCGATGATGTCAGGAACTACTTATCATCCCTTGCTCCGAAAAGTAGATCAAGCTTGCATCTGGGCACAATAGGAACGCCTACAGCTATATAAGCCATTCGAACGATTCGAACGATTTCTTTTCCAATTGATATTACGGATTATATGTCATGAAAATCAAGCTCCCCCGTGCAGCTCCGCCTGATTGGTGTTAGCTCCCGCGCCGAGCTCGAAAACTGACGTTGGCGAGCCGAATTCCTACTCCAGCCACGGCGCACTCTCCACAACATCACTACACATTCACTTGTGTTGACAAGATTGCGCTATGGCCGACTTCGTGAAAGGGCTCTTTGGAAGCCAGCAACCAGCCCAGGCTCCCGTAGCTGGCGATGATGGTATGTAGCCTCAATTCCGACAACTGGGCTCGCGGTTTGCGACCGTCTCGTAGCCAGCCTGCTCCTGTCGCAATTGCATTGTACTTCGCTCCTTGGTGGCGCAAGCGCCGATTTATTTAGGATAGAGGCGCTGCAACTGAATCTACTGCATCGCCTTCTGCACTGTCAATTCCTAGCGCTAATATATGTTGCAACCAGACTTCGCCGACTTCGCAGGCGCTCCTTCCCCCGAACCCGCCTCCCTCGACGCCTTCACAACCGACTCTGCACAACCCTCATCTGCTACCTCCACGGTCGGCCAAGTGCCCTACACAAAATGGTACCGGGTGTGGGAGCGCACGACGCTCGATGACTTCAAAACTGAGATGTACATCCTGCCCTTCATCATCCTGGTCGTCGCCGTGCATCTCTGGGGAACGTCCAAGAACCGCAAAAAAGCCACGCACTGGATGAAATCCCACGCGCCCGTGCTACAGCAAGAGTTTGCGCAAGTTGGGTATATTCGTCCGCAGGCCAGTGTCGATGATGTGAGTGCTATGGGGTTGATGCAGGCGACGGAGAAGGCGAAGAAGGATGCTGTGAGTGTGGAGAATATGTTGAGGGAGAAGAAGGCGGGTGAGTATATGACATATGCGACTGGACGGCAGAATATTGCCTTCATAGACTTCAAGGTCACGCTTGCGAAGAGGTATAATCCTCTAATGCGGCTGGGAGAGTCCCTTGTAGGACTCTTCTTTGAGAGTATGCCGGCCCCTGAGGAGAGAATGGAGGCTACTAGCTATGTGTTTGATGGCAGGGAGGCGCTGATCGCGCCGGGTTTTGGGAAAGGAGAGGAGAAGAAGAGTGTGCCGAAGAGCACTTTTGATGGATTCGTCTGGGCTGTCGTTCATAAGGATCTCATGAAGCGGCTCAGGGAGGATCGCTATGATCTCTCTCTCACCACGACCAAGGACCACGCTAAACTGCCCGTCTGGACCACTGTTATGAGCGAGAACGCTGAGATCACGGACACGCTTCTCACGCCCGAGCTAATCAAAGCTATCACGGAAGCAGGCGATAGGTTCGAAGCCTTAGTTGTCAGCGACCAGCCCATGGACCAACCAAAGAAGTAGGCCCCAAAAAACTCTTCCCCCTGTGCAATGCCCACTAACACCCCGCTCACAGACTCGATGACACCGTGCCCAAAAAACGCATCTCCCTCTCACTCAAACTCCTCCCCTCCACCACCCCCTATACGCCCACCCTCCCCCTCTTCTCCTACTTCATCCGCATGCCCGACCAACTCGTCTCCGTCGGCCGTTTCCGCCCAGAGGCCATGCGTCGCATCAAGCAGACACGCGAAGAGCAGATCGCGAAGATCAGGAAGCTAGACGATGACGAGAAAGCCGAGGAACGGAAGCTGAAAGGCGATAAGGAGAAGAAGGAGAAAAGGGATCAGATGCTGGGGCGGATGACAGCGGAGGAGCAGAGGAAGTATTTGGAGAAGGAGAGGGAGAGGGAGGGAAAGAGGAGAGAGAAGAAGAAGACCGTTAAGGCATAGGCGCGTATGTAACGGATATTTATTTTGCGGTTTGGGGCTGAGAACGTGTTTATGGGTTGGAAGTTTTGGCGAAGGGGTTGGAGACCAGAGCTTTGAGGAGATATGTGTGAGTGTGTTTCGTTCGAAATTGTACATTTAGATTATTATGTTGACTACCCTACTATGACAGTCAGACATCGGACAGTGTGAAAACCTGGAATAGCATAACAGTTAATCTTTTGTCCCTCAGCCAAACAGCTATATCCATGTGAATGTTCCATTCCAAGCCCGTTAACGTTAATCAAAATGGTATGTTTTGCACTGTAATAAACACAAATACGTGAAATAAGGACAGAAACTTGTATCTTGTATTCCCTTGCCTCTTCCTATAACTCTAGCAATGTCTCATGGATCGCATTTTTCCTGTTACTCTGCCAAGGTAGATGCATGTCAACATAAATTCCATACTCACTCACATTCGCTCGCATTTACTTATTTGTATTTAACTACTTATTTGCAGTCACTTACTCAGTCAATATTTGTTGCTTAACACAGTTCTGATTGAATCTATCATTGTCCACTCCTAGTAAGTGAACTAAAATCCATGGATCCGCTTACGAGCAAGTTCCCTTGCCAGTAAGCAAGCATACATGCCATGATAACCCCACATTACGAATCCTGATCAAGTTTGCTAATATGATGTGCCATACCAGGCAGAATCACAGCAGTCCCAAATGCTGTAGTGAGAGAGTGAGGAATGAAATGGAAAGGAAAGGAGATGTGGGGGTGCCTACTCCCAGTCCTCTCTATCGGTATCGTCATAATACCACTCCCAAGCCGAGGGGTCCTTATAATCAACCTCCTCCCCCTCCTCCTCCACTATCGACGGAGATGTAGTCGTAGTCGTGGTTGCAACTGTCGTCGTCGTTACTGCACCATCATCCATAACAACCGGCAGTTCCCCGGCAGCCACGTCCCCATCCCCATAACCCGCATTCTTCAACTCCTTACCCATCTGCCTTACATGACTCCAATCGTATGCATCCTCTCCAAGCGACCAAGCTACTACACCCCCAATCCCATACATCTTCACAATATCCTCAAACTTGCGCGCAATCAATGCTGGCGTGTCCCACGTCCAAAACAAATTCTCATTAGCGTCGAAATAATACTGACCGCCCGCTACCTCGTCACAGACGCCGTTCTTCATAGCGCGCTGCCATGAGCCTGCGACATCAGAATCAGTGCACCCAGTGCCGAAGGCATGTTGACATGCGCCGCTGCAGTGCTGTGGCGAGAAACCGCAGTTCCCGTATTGCGAACAACAGCCCGTGGCGCACTTAGTCATTTTTTCAGGCCCGCATGTGCCGTCTATAGACACGGTTAACTTGCTTACATCCACGGGCTCCATGTGTGCTTTCTCGAAGGTCCAAGCGCCAGATGTGAGGGCGTCTTCGCCGGTTGTTGGGTTTTCGGCGGAAACGAGAGCACAGCCGAGAGGCTGGTTGGTGCAGTCTCCGGCGGTCGTGAAGTATTTAGCGTAGTAGGCGAAGCCGAGATTAAGCTTGTCGGCGGGAGCGCCGAGGGCGAGGTAGTTTTCGATGACTTGGCGGGCTCCTTCGACTGAAGTGTGGTGCCCGGTTTTGGTGTCTCGTCGGTTGAGGAGGTCGTAGGACATGACCTGGGGTACATCAGTTGTGTTTGTATTACATTGAGAGGTGTGGTTACTTACGTTGATGTAGTTGACAGGTGCCCAGATCTGAGGGGCATTCTCTTTGGTATAGGCAATCATATCAATTTCCTTTCCAGGAACGGCGATAGACAGGAGTTTTTCTTTGCCAATAGCTGAACGGACGGCAGTAAGGAGCTTAGGGAAAGCTGTGATCTCTCCAACTTTCTCGGGATTTGGGTGTTGCTTGTAGTCCATGCCATTACCGCCCGGATACTCCCAGTCAATGTCTAAGTAAGCGTTAAATACCATTGCACACTCAAGGATAGACTATTATCGACACTTACCAATACCATCAGCGCCAGTATTTTGAAGCATAGTCTGAACATTGTTTGCGAAAGTGGTCATCGCTGTCTCACTGACCACAGCCTGCGAGAATCCCACAGTGTCTCCCCAACCGCCAATAGCGATCATGACTTTGGCATTCGGAAACTCGGACCGAATCGTCGAAATAGGGACCTTGGGTTGGAAGCTCCAAGTTGCATTGGCCATAGCAAATGCCAGAACGACATGGTCGACTCCAGCTCGATCCACTGGAGCAGTTGGACGGGTTGGGTGCCATCTAAACAATTTGTAAGTATTGTACTCATGAAGCAAGATAGTAGAAGCGACTTACTCATCAGCATACATGACAAAGCGAGCGCTAGCTGGTGCAGTGAGGAAGAGGGGCGCAACAAGCGCCAGCGAAGGGAAGCGCATGGTTGCAATAAATGATGAGAGTTATGTCTAGGAAGCTACAATGGTGTAAAGAGAGGGGGTTGGAGCGAAGGTGGAGGTGTTTAGAACGGAATGAGTGTTGGCGTGTGGATTTTATACGGCATTCCACAGTCGCGACTTCCAAAGAGTGACGTAGGTAGCTCCTGACCTGGCAGGGACGACCAGTGAACCTGTAGAAGTCGCGCTAATGAGCTCTTGTGTATGGCACAAGAGCCTTATAAATTTCTGCCAAAGCAGTGACCGGGAAACCACAGCGCCACATTTTCTCGATAAAGGGGGTGAGCAAGGAGATCTTCGTCTTTCTGATCCAGGTCCCGGAGGTGGTGAAACAGGGAACGCCTTTTGCTTTGCGTTGTCCCATTTGTATATGGCATGACTACCGCAAAGCATCACGTCCGGATGTCAGTAGACCTGGAATGAAGCCGGGTTAAGCTCCAAATCCCTGCGCCCAACCCTCTCACTTGCAGCGCGTGAGGAGAGCTGTGATACCTCCTTCTTGTAGAGATTCAAGACCAATCGAAGCACAGGCAGACACACCTCTTGTATTAGTCTCATAGAAGTCTTTTCTGCTCGATTGAAACGCACCATTGAACTTAGATGCTGGACCTTAACTTGACGGCTGTCAATCGGGCGTCTATGGCTTCAGCGCAAGCCCACCGCCACATATCAGCCTCATTGTTCGTTAGTGACGGATACGGTGGGTGCAGAGACTAGACTTGACGAATCCAAAGTTGGTGTTACATGTACACCTCGATTCGACATCGCAAAATGGAACAGTGGGGATATAGAGCACAAACGGAGTGCGTATCCAAACTGACAGTTCCAGATGACAATGCTTAGGCGTCGGTACCACCAATGGCTGCGGTGATTCAGGAGATCTTGTGAGTTTCAGCCAGGTACGGTGTGGATGCAGACTGGTGCACTGCATTCGGTTGGTTTGCTAAATGTATCAACGGTACTGTGTAACGTTTCTCGACCATAGCGGCTAGAAAAGTGAGCCGAATGCCAAAGGCAAAATTGAATACTGATAGCTCACCGTTTTCTATGCAGAGTGTACCACGTTCCCGTTCCCCAAGCTTGTGGACATCATATATGCCTGGCGTCTGCGTTCGATGGGGCGAGAGTTGCAGGTTTCTCTCAGCCTTAGGCTTCGGTTGATATAAGATCCACTTGAAATCCCCTAACATCCTGGCTCCTGACCGATACAAAAGGCCACTGAGGACACAGAACCGGGAGGGTCGAAAGACGAGACTACTAAATGGAAATCAAATCCGGGTGAAGTGTAGGAGGACCCCTTGGTGACAATCCAACGGTGCAAGTGCCACTCCAGGCGTTCCTTGGGTATTTGGGGAGAAGTTGGAGTTTATGTGAAGAACTGGTGTGGAGAAAGGCAGAAAGAAAGAGTAGATCTAATCCGATATCTATCCAGCGAACGTACCTCCCGCCTTGAGGAACAGCCGACTGCAAATCTAGCAATACCTGCAGCGGGTATTCTTGGCCTCAAACTGCAAAACGGAACAATCTTCTACAGCAAAAATGAGGGGAACAGTAAAAATAATCGCCTCACATGGCAGAAACTCTTTTTAAGTCCCCGTAGTTCTCAAGGGGTCGACGGCCTTCACTGTCTCTGCCACCATAAATCAAAAATTAACTTTACCGACACCACCTTACTGGAACCTATGAGACACACACTCAATGAAATTGTATAGTTACTGAAGTAACTTGAAGGTGGCCTTGAAACTAGAAGGATTGTCTGACTTCAACTTCATGAGATAACGAAGGCCGTTCGTGGCTTAGATAGGTTGCTTCCGGATATGGTAAAGGCCGCGACGCTGAAGTTCTGATTCGCGATGTGGTGTTCCTGTACGCCCAATTGACGATCCTTTCATAGCACAAAGCCGAGAAGAACGGCTCCAGGATTATTGAGAGTCAAGGCGATAGGCCATGGGTGGGCCAAGTTGCTTTCAGGATCTGGTTATTTGCAAGCGAATCAATTGCATGTTTGGGTTTTGATCTATTGAATGGAGGATGACGGAAGTTGGCGAGGCTGAGGCTAAGTTGAAGAACGCCATTAACATCATCTGCAGAATTATTAGCATCATGCGACATAAAAGCAAATTGAGTACTTACACTCGTGTGAGATTCCAGCAGTATGGTTTCCAAGAGCACGAAGTATGACATTGCTCTGTTGCATACTGTCCACCTCATTCCCTTTCAGGATATTGTCAAACTCTCCGTTCAGGAAATAGCATAGGAAAGTGCTTAATTGGGGATGCCCGTCTCTGTTGAAGGAAAATAATAGGACAAGGGGGGGGATTTGGGACAGACACGCAACATCTAGTGGCTGGATCCTTGAGCGTTCGATCCTCGTTCCTCATTGCTTGGACAAGACATTTACGCCCTCCTGCAATGAAGACTTATTGCTCTCCGCAGCAATTGCAAATCTTCGCAAGGGTTGGCGAGATACGCGCCGTTGAGGGGCAATCGCACGCTTGAGCGACGACGATGACCGCTCCTATGCAGCATGGTTGCAGCCTCCAAATACCGCTCCGCTCTATGTGCATTGCTGAGGCTATGCTAGCACAGCGAGAATGGTTAGGAATTAATCTGGAGGTATTCATATCAAGATGGTCAGGAAATGTTTCAACGTGCACATATTCAAAACATCTGTCGAGTCATTCACGGATTCAAAGTGGTGTGTTGTCGGAATTCCGTCCATCCAATTCCCAACAACCAAAGTTGCAGCCACCACCTTGGCACTATTGCAGTCAAGGCGAATACATCGTGAGGCAGAATTGAGGTTGTGTGAAAGATCGTGATGTTCAGCGGAAGGATCATTACGCCCGATTAAGCTTTTGAGATCCAACGATTTTTTGAGTCTCAATTCCGCTTATCCCATTTGGGACTCAGTTTGCGCTCCCAATTGGTCCGCTCGTTCAAGAGGATTCCCGCCATCCCCCTTCGAGCCGCTTACAATCTGAGCCACGGCCGCATGCATGCAGGGTTTGTCACCCACAGGGCAGACTTCAGTTGGCCCTGAATACACTCAGTTCCTCTTGGGGGGCCTTTGATTCCTGATGCAGTATCAAAATCAGGAGAGGCCCACTGGTTCGCTCGTTCAATTGAACGAAGCACTGGAATTACAAGTCATCGAAATGGCACCGAACGGCAGCAAGAAGATACAAGTTCGGAAGAAGACGTGGAAACCGAAGACGAGGACTGGTTGTGTTACCTGCAGGTGAGTGGGAATTGAAGCTTTCTATTTACCGATTTGGGGGGGTGCTGCCATAATGCCGGGAAGCGGCGCGAGGCGTCAGACTTCCCGTGATATGCATGCTAATCGGTCCTCTTCGTACGAGAGACAGTGTACATAAATGGAGCGGAAGGCTCCTAAGAAACACTTCTAGAAATCGAATCCGCTGAACTCCTCAAAGCTAATGCTCGGTAGGATCCGAAGAGTAAAATGTGATGAAGCAAAGCCAGCATGTGACCGGTGTTCTTCCACGGGACGCAGATGCGATGGATACGCCACACCGACTCCTCCGCTTTCTCATCAAGTCGCTCTACCACACCAACGATCGCCCCTCTTTGTGGCGCCATCAGAATTCCAGCTGGGGTCCATCGATGAACAGCAGGCCTTCTTTTTCTATAGGCAGCACTCAGCATTTGAGCTCTCTGGATTCTTCGATTCTAGTTTCTGGCAGTTTGAAGTCCTTCAAGCGGCACATTCCAACCCGGCCGTAAGACATGCGGTGGTTGCTCTGGCCGCCATGCACCGAGTTTTCGTCGTCAGTCACATGCCCGTTGTGCCCGACGACGCATCAGACAAGCAATTGCGGTTTGCGTTGCAACAATGCAATCGATCCATTCAAGAAGTCATCAAATCACCCGCTCGGAAAACAATTGCGGATAAGATCAATATGATGACTTGTTGCATTCTGTTCGACTGCTTGGCTTGTATACAAGGCCATCAGAGCATCGCATTCGATCATCTCCGGAGCGGGTTGAAGATCCTTAAGGAGGTTGACGATGAATTGGCTGCCGGCATTCAGGACGGAACTGCGCATCCCGTATCTTTGAGTAGCCTCCGGACGATGTTTGTGGACATGGATACCCAGGTAAGAGGAGTAATGAGTGACGATGATCTTGTGAGCTGGGAGCCACAGCCGAAACGGGATCCTATTGTCCATCAGACTGCCTTCGTGGCATTCAGCCAAGCCCACTCCTACCTTGAAGCAATATTCAACGATCTCCTAGCGTTTGTACAGGATATGGACGTCAGACCCCCAACGAGTGACACCCAAGTCCAGGCAGCTCGTGTGGAGTTTAGGCGATTGCAGAGTCAGTATGAAGCCGGGAATAGGCTTTTGGAGGAATTTCTTTCCCTTCATCCGGCGACAGTCAGCACTGAATCAAGGATTGGAGTTGGACTTATTCAAACTCAGGTCAGAATTCTCCTGATTGCCCAGAAGTACTGCGAGGAAAGGAAGGAGATAGACTGGGATATTTTGGAGCCAGAATTCCAAGAGATACTTAGCCTCGCATGTGAGCTATTAGGAGCGGATCCAAACTGCACGCTGTCCTCTGGAGCTGTCCCTGAGGAATACTATAATTTTCCAGCGGATCGGGCCAGCACTCTGCCAACAATGTTCGCACGACCAGTATTTTCCTCCGGTTCTAAGCTGCTGTCAGGTTTGTGGCTAGCCTCAACTCGCTCGAGAAATCCAACTATGCGTCGGAAGGCCATTGGCCTGATGCTGGAATATCCTCGTCGAGAAGGGGTCTGGGACAGTATATTGGCGGGACGGATTGCCTGGGAACTTAATATGTTTGAGGAGTCCGCTCTAAATGGCGACTTATGCGAATTTCCAGAACAGTCTGCTCGAAACTTTCCGCAGACCTCGAATATACCCGAGTGCAACAGGGTCCGAGACGTTCTTATCACCTACACTGGCTTGCGGCGGGCGGATGTGGAATTTAGGAGTAAGAAGCAGTACGAAGAGGGAGAAAGGGGAATACTAAGACGGTTTGCCTGGTAAACGAAGGGACCAAAGGAGAGAGAGGCAACACTTACTCGCTTAGCGTAGCACAAAGTACATAGTATGGCGTACTGGAGCATAGCACCGATAGACTTGGCGTAGGGAAATGGTTCTTCACGATAACCTGTTGGTAGAGTAAAAGGGTTGTTAATAGGGTGCAAATTGTTCCACAAGCAAGATTCTAGGCACATCGGAGGTTGTCAATACCATTGAAGAGCTGATGCTGGACTTCTACCGTAGGGCTTTCGATGTTCATCAAATTCATCATATCCATCTTATCGAGGTTCGAAGTTGAACGATCTCAATCTGTCCGGTTTCTCCCAAGGTAACAGTTTGGATTCCTTCTTGCAGCGATTAGCATGCACGTCAGCTGCAAGGCGTTCACAAGTCCGGCGGGGGAGAACGGGTCGATGACGCGAAGTGCCGTCCAAGGCGGGCTTCTGGAACGCAGCCTTCAGCGGGGAGATGTTTCATCAAACCGTCCATCGCTCTTCCTGAGGCTGGCTCAGCGGGTCCCTTACCCACAGGTCGCAGAAAGGGCGGCAGGAGCGATGGTTGAGGATGAGGGATTAAACACGTGATCGGACCGTTTCATCCGGCTGGGAGGGAAAGGGAGCGGGCGATGGGCAGGAGAACCCTGCCTCCCAGCCATTCGATTTTTGCCGCGCAGAAAGCCATCTGCGAGCTCCGCCAGCGGCCGACCAATTGGCAGCGGGGGCCCATAATCGAGGAGGCTGGGGAGAGGCTGGGAGCTCCAGAGCTGGCGAGCAGCATGGACGGTCCTCAGCTGAGAAAATGCCTCTCCACAGAGCGTGCCGTGATGCACTATCGGCCGCTGCAGAAAAGGAGCGAGACGCGCCCAATTGCAGCGCTCCACGACTGAGCATGTCAGACCCACTGTCCGAGGGCATTGGCCGTGGTGTGTGTGAAAAGTGAGGTGCTGCAGACGCGATCGGGGAGCTCCAGGCAGCGCGATACTGGCTGCAGCGCCCAATTTGCTGGCCGCCATGGCAATCGCAACGCCGACAGATGCCCACAGCTCGTAGCGCATGCACATCTTTCATGAGATGCCGAGGCGCGATGCAATTGAGTCGAATTGATGGCGTTGCTTTGTGGGACCTGAAATTGCTTTGGCTGCCCCGTGCAACAGAAAGGGGGAGCTCGCCAGAGCATGGGAGCTTGCGAGACGCGCTAGACTCTCTTCCGGGCGCGGCGTAAACAAGGCTAGGCCCCTCTCGGCCAGCTGTTGGAGCTCTGCCCAACCTCGTCGCTGGTGGTGCCCCAGCCCGCGCCCGTGAAACCGCCGCCCACAACAAACCCCCCAGCTTACCGCCTATACCTCCCCTCCCTCCTTGCGTTCCCACTTGCACCCTCCATCACTCCTCCATCCACATCATCGCCCGCTTCTGCACCAATTGCACATCTTCACGTCACTACAACACCTCGCCCTCAAAGCTGGCTTCTTTAAGAACTCTTCGCTCCTCCTCCCCCTTCTCGCTCTGAGACCCCCATCTCAAAAGGAGCCAAGAAGTTCTTTCTTGTCTTCCTTTCGAATTGTTCTTGTAACGGTTCGAGAGGCATTCAAGAAGGAACGCCGCGACTCCAGCCAACCTGGACTTTGACGCCCGCGTACCGATCCCCTTCAGTGTCTTCCCGTCCTCGTATCGGAGTGACGCTGTCACTAAAGAAACCACCAAAGTCAAGGTAGAAGGAGAAGTCAATCCGCACCCTTCTCATCAGGCTTCGCACGTCGGACGGGAAGGTCACGAAGAGCACTACGAATCCTTCTCTGCCACTGCCGTCCCCGCCGACCGCCGCGACTCCCGCGACTCCCGCTACAAAGAAGAGGTCCGCGTCTACGAGGAAGAGCGTGTCCGCCGCCCAACCACCACCCGCCGCGAGGAGCTTCACATCTACGAAAAGGATCGCCGCACTCCTCACCAGCCCGAGCAGCGAGAGCAGCGACGAGAGCGCGTCTCCGAGGTTGAGTTCAAAACCCGCGACCGGTAAGTCCTGTCAGTGCTTCTTGTTTTGCTTTATCAGTTGGTCACGAATCAGCGGAAAAGCCCCTGGAACTTGGCGGAAAACGCCACTTCCCGCTTAACCCTTTTCTTTTATTGTTGTCCGAGCGACACGCGGGCTCCACTTTTCCTGCTCTTCTTCCCTACCCAAGCTGACCCTTCCCCCTTCCATCAACAGTTACCATCAACCTTACCAACGCTACGTTGGGAGTCAAATCGACGTTCAAGACAGGACTTACGACAGAGACTTCAACACTGTCCACGGCCCTGCTACCGACTACACTCCAACCCAGATCGACGTCACCGAGCGTCAATTCCGTGAAGGCACTCGTCCCATCGTAGGAGGCTTTGCTGCTGCTGAACAGGGTTACACCAACATCAGTACCAAGCCCAACTACGAGCAACCAGCCGGTTACACCCACGACAGCTTCACCTCTCGCACCAGCCACGACACCACTCCCTACCAAAGGCAGGACGTCGACGTCGTTGACTCCCGCTACCCTTCCTCTCACCGCCGAGAAGAAGACGTTCGAGTAGAAAAGACTACTCGAACTACTGTTGACGCCCCCAAGAAACACAAGCGTGATATGGGATATTACGACGAAGACGGTCACTACCACTCCCTCCGCCACGGTCTCCACAAAGCCGCTGACAAAATCCTCCATCCCATCCACGGTCATCGCCACCACCACTCTCACTCTCACTCTCACGCCGGTTCTCACTTCGACAACCGCGAAGAGGTTGTAGTCAAGGAAAAGTACACTACTTCCATTCCATCTCCCCCGGTCACCCGCATCTCTTCCGGAGTCCCAGTCGAGCGGATCCGCCACACCGAAACTCGCACAATGGCGCCTCCCAACACCATTACCATCCCCTGCCATCACATCCGCATCGGCGACCTCCTGATCCTCCAGGGCCGCCCTTGCCAGGTCATTCGTATCACTACCTCTTCCCAGACTGGTCAGCACCGCTACCTCGGTGTTGATCTCTTCACCAAGCAACTCCATGAGGAGTCTAGCTTCATCTCCAACCCGGCCCCGTCCGTCATTGTCCAGAACATGCTTGGTCCTGTCTTCAAGCAGTACCGTGTCCTCGACATCCGTGAGGATGGCCGCGTTGTTGCCATGACCGAGACTGGCGATGTCAAGCAAGGCCTTCCTGTCCTTGACCAGAGCGGTCTTTCCAAGCGTCTCTCCGAGTCATTCGACAATGGCCGAGGCAGTGTCCGCATCCTCGTCATTAATGACGACGGCATGGAGATGGCTGTCGACTACAAGGTTGTTCACGGCTCAAGGTTGTAAGCGGTTGCACCCAGTCAATGGTAAACAATTACCCTCAACTCAAATGATCTCAAGCTAATCCCATTCCAGGTCGCAATCAAACGCTCTGCATGTGTCATGAGAGCATTTAGGAGTTTGCTTCCGGTCGGCCAATTCAACTCAAATTGTGTTCATAAATCTTCTTTCCTATAGTTGCTTGACTGGCCCGTCGCCATCCCGCCATCAAACGTCGGCTTCCGTCCTTGACGTTGGCTGATGTTTGATGACGGGACATGCTACCGTCTCGTCTTGGTTAGCATTTTGGCGCAGGGATCCGTGGTGTATGTGGCTGGAAAAGCACGAGCTATAACTGTGGATAGTTAATGAAAGGTGTCTGTTTGCATTTGCATTTGCCTTTGTTTGTTTTATTTGTGACTCGTGCTATGTGCAATTTCATTTGTTTTTCCGCCCGTTTTTCTTTTCTATCTCGCCATGCACCAAGAAGTCGCGTCTCATTTTCACTAGCACCCTGAGTCTCGTGCTGATCCCAAAGGTTGCTTTCACCTTAGCGTCCCTTTCTGTTCTTTCTGTCCTTGGCGCGATGAGCTACCCCGCGTTCTCCACCTCCTTCCAGCAATGCAAACGCTCAGCAGCCATCAGATTCGGCTCAAGCCATGAACGAAACCCTTATTTCCGTGCCATTGATGTGTGGAACGGAAAAGCCATAGGTCAGCTGGTTGTCGACTGCACAGCTCGCTCCAGTCACCTTCATACATAATTTGCTTCTTTTCCCTCAAACTGACTCCAAACACTCTGGTATTAACATCGTCTCAGAATGCTTCACTCAAACTATGCTTTATCCCCGCAGCTGGCCTCTTTTCCGGACCTCCCACCGTTTCCCGACACTGTCCCTACCGCTCCACTCCTTCGTATCTCGCTCCAAAGATTGCTTGAACATGATTGCGAGGAGGAAGAACGGTGTTGGAAAGCATGTTGTGATCTAGGGTTCTTTTACCTTGACCTTAGAACTAAGGATAGCGCTGGAGATGTCAATGGGGAAGCGTTGTTACAGGACGCGGACCAATTATTCGAGGTAATGAAAGAGTTCTTTGACCTGGATATTAACGAGAAGGTCAAGTATGATTTCGCGGACCAAGAGAGCTATTTTGGCTATAAAGGATATGGAGCAGGAATCGTGGACTCCAAGGGTACAAGAGACAGGAATGAGTTCTATAACGTATGCTCTTTCACCCTATGACCTTTGCCTCTTCTCGCTCATGAAGTTCTTGTGCTAATTTAGAGCGTCAGATCTCAAAAGACGACATCCTCGCCCTAACCCCCAAACTCCCAGCTCCGGACATCCTCAACTCGCACTACGCCCTCTACACCTCCTACATCAACTCGTCGCACTCCATCTGCCGCGTCATCCTCTCCCTCCTCTCCACCCATCTCCCGCTCCTCCCCTCAAGTATCCAAAACGGCGGTCTGCCCGCTCTCCACAACCTCCACTCCATCTCCGGCGACCAAATCCGTTTCGTAAAAGCTCCGCCTCAGAAGCAAGACCTCGCGGTGGCGCTAGGGGAACATACCGATTTTGGCAGCGTCACGGTCTTGTTTAATCGCCTTGGAGGCTTGCAGGTTCGACTGCCCGATTATATCGATGCTATACCGCCCGCTTCGACCGACAAGGCGGGAGGTCTAGATGTGAATAACACGCTCTGTGCGAATGGCTGGGCATATGTGCGACCGCTTCCCGGACATTGTATTGTCAATCTCGGAGATGCGTTGGTAAAGTTCTCGAATGCGAGGTTGAGGTCGAATATCCATAGAGTAGTAGCGCCTCCCAAAGAGCAGGGGGGGGTGACGAGATATAGTCTTGTGTATTTTTGCAGACCTGAGGATGATGTGAAATTGGGGTGTTTAGTGGAAGGTGGGGAGGAGCAGGAGGAAGAGTGTGTTACAGCGAAGGAATGGATATTGAGGAGGGCGTTGGGGAGGAGGAGGATTGATGAGTGGGAGAAGAGTGGAGGGACGGAGGGTGTTAGTATGAGGGGTGGAAAGAAGTAAGATTGCTGGAAAGATTACAGGAATTCAGTAACACTCTAGAATGACTTGAATATTTTCTCATGCTCATCCACCAATCATCGATGCAGTAATGGGCACTCGCGCGGAATTTACAACATATACCCTCCCACTTTCAACAATTTAATACATCAGCTTCCATCCACATCTTTGAACAACCAGGAGAGTTCATCTACCCACCCAACGGCATTGCACAAGGTCCATATAAAGCTTCTTCGTCCCAAACGAGGAAACTCTTCACTGCTCACTTTTCTCAGTCTTCAGTGCCCCCACCCCTAAAAAAAAAAAACGAAAATCCAGTCTAAGATTGCCGGAGCATTGTCCAGTGGATCAAAAGGAAATGTCTGCAGTGAACTTTGCATAGAAAAAGCGTCCTCTAGCAAGCAAATAGACACGATTAGATCCAGTATCAAGACCACCCTTCTGTCCACTAAATATTTCAGATCAATCTTCTCGTTCTTTATTAAAACTGACTGCTCGACTGAAAAAAAATGGAAAAATCTCTTCACATATCTCTGGCCCAGGGATGTAAAGAAAAGAAAAAAGGTCCTTCTGCATTGAGCTTTATAGCCAGAGTAGCCTTCGGGGACTAAAATGGGCAGATAAATGATACGCTTCGTGCTCTGATAGTGGAGGAGGACGCTTACATTCATCGACACTGTGCCTGAGGCTCTTCCCTCCTTCACATCCCGGCTCAAAGTCCTTTCAAACTGGACAAAGTCGTTGCTATCCCCGGGGCAGCTTTTCGGTCCTAAAAAAACATGTGAGTAAGGGTAGATCTCATGGCTTGAGCTCCATACCTTGATTCCTCCATAGCTAGGCTGTTTTTCCGTTCTCAAAAAAGTCATGAAAGGTGCGCCAATGACCGGAAGGGAGTCCTTATAACCATCAACTCTTGGATTCGAAGGGCTTCTTCTTTACACAACTCGGGGTCAAGGCGCTTTCAAAACGAACGATATTCGTGGGATGACTGGGGCAGCGTTTCGGGCCTAGGAATCAAAAGGAGAAGATTAAGATGGCCGGACAAAAGACTCGAAGCCTTTTCAAAGTCAACGCTTTCGATATTATGAACGGGGCAGTGTTATTTTCTTTCCTCCAAGGCTGGATCGTTCTTCTGTCTACGAAATGACGTTGGGCTTCCCTCATGGTTCGAATAGACACCGATTCCGAGACTCAAAGCCCTGCTTCTCCTCACGCCTCCCGCTCAAGATTCTAAAGCCTTGCCCCACCAATGTTAGGATTAAAGCAGCTTACTGGATATACAAAAAGCCCCTATCTCACTCTCTATAGTGAGGGCACAGGAGCATTCTTCGCTTTCCACAAGGCTAGAATATTTTCTCCCTTACTTGTGATGAGTCAAGAGAGTTCTTGGGGGCTTTATAGACATCGCCTCCCAGTGTCAGGGCTCTTCTTCTATTTCCGCGGTCTCTGCTTGAGGCTCTCTAGAAATGATCGACATAGCACTTGATGGTTAGAGAAACCCTCCTATAACTAAAAAGATCAACCGGGATTAATGGTTGAGGTGGCCTTCTAATATGAATTCCGGTACCTCAAACATATTGGTGGGGAGTTAGGTGGAAAGACTAGAAGAGAACATGATATTCAACATGGCGGGAGGAAGAGAGAAGTGAATTTGGAAAGGATACTTTAGATTTTAAAATTAAAGGGTGAGAGAAGTTTATAGTGGTCAGAGGGGTTCGTAGTAGTAACGGGTCAATCAATGCTGATGAACTTTATCACCACTGACCTTTCGAAGTCTTGCATATAAAAAGTAGTCGCGCTGAAGCATCTACCCCAAACACTTGAATTCAGGAAAACTACCTTCCCTTATAACAAGAGTAAATCGTATGTCTTCCTCAACGTTCCCAGTCCATATTTGAGTATCCTGCTGTAGTAAGCAATGTAGCTCACCACACCACGCCATTACCGACGCTCTCAAACCTTTACCAACCTACTGAGCCTCCTCACTCACCCCTCGATTGCTCTTCCGATCTTGGTCTGTGTAAACGCCTCGCCCCTCCACCTCAACTCTCTTTTCCTCTACACTTCGTCGAAGCTAACGAGCGAGCAAAAAGGAGAGGAGAAAGCCCAGATGGTCAGGGTGTCCCCCGGAAGACTAAATTGGTGCACCTCCGGAATCTTTGGTGGAAGAGTTCTCCTTTTGAGTTGGAAAAGCATCATGGGTCAGCATAGTGGCTGGAATGGCGGATCGTAGCACCAATGAACGAGGTAATGACAGTTTATTGGAGCCGGGATTTTGCTCGAAGATGTTGAAGTGTGAAAGAAGTACCTAGATCGCTGGATTCTGGTTTTTTGTGACGGTGTTCGCATGTCGACCTTGGTATTGGTGAGGGAGATGCTGGTGAGCACCATAAAGGAATCTGGAAAATAACGATTCGAGATGAGGCAATGTACAGAGTTCGATCGTCATCGGAATGCGCACATGAAGTCGTTCTTCCCAAATCCAGTACATTTTTTTGACAGAGGCAGACCGCTGAATTTCTTGCCACGCTCACGAAGACCTGGGAAAGATATTCTCGGGTTGTATGTGGGTGCGAATTCCGGACGCAGGAGTCGCATTCGCTCATTTGATCTTTCCATATGATCCCGTGTTTTCGTCTCCCTACTACGGTGTGTGGCTACTACCAGTCCAGCTCAGGGGAGGGTTCTCGGCCTTCTTGTTTGACCTACTCTTGCTAATCCAACCATCTCCTAGATTCTTCTTTCCAATCGTAGTCCAGGCATATAAACCCCGAGGCAGAGCCGCTCATCTGGCACAATCTTCCAGACGCCACAAGCCCACAAAATTCAATCTTTCAAAATCTCTACCCGTCTCACACGATCTCCAGCTCCTCGAACCCCTCTACCATCTCACTCACCTTACTAGTAGGATTATACCGAAAACCCTGCCCCCCAAAATTTGCATGCACCGCTGCCCCTTTCGACTCCAACCCCACCGCAGGATACAACCTCCTCCGCGAGATTGGTACATCCGGTTCTGTGCACACCCAAACTGTCAGCTAATCATTCCACCAACCTAATACCTCCAAATTCAGAGAAAATACATACCAAGCCGTTTCCCGTTCACCGTGAAGAACACAACACTCTCTCCATTATCCTTTTCTCTCCACTCAACACCACACCCCACAATATCCTCAGTCCCAAACTTCGGCCAGCCAAGCGCCAGCTTTCGGCCTTCGGCATAACAGTGTCCGTCATCGCCATGATATCCCCAACTCGCCCCGTGCGGCCAGACAAGCCCTGGTTTAGGTTTGTTTTGGAAGCAGCCGCCATCATCGCCACGGAAACCCCAGTTTGGGGTCGCATGGCCGGGGAGCTTGAAAGTTGGGATGTCTTTCTCGCTGAGGCCGATGGCTATGACTCTGTTGGTACGTTTTAGTATGTTATTAAGGGAATGGAATGTAAGAAAAGCTGGTTATGGTCACATACTGATTGCTTCCTTGATCCTTAATCTCCACCTCGAAGTAGAACTCACCATAGATAGAGATCGGGTGGTCTGCGAGGAGTGTAGCCGCAAATGAGAGGTGACGGCCATTCACTTCAACAAGTTAGATTCCAGCCTGGTATCTGTACAATGGCCTCGATGCTGCCTAGTTTTAACTTACTTGAGAATCCTAGCACATGGTTCAAAAACTGCACTCCACATCCACTGTTGTCGATAGCCAGCTGGGGCGATCGATTAGTTAGGCTCCACGCCCCAGGAGACTTACACTCTTTCTCAAGTCGTTCTTGCAGTCGTTCGTCTCCCGGCGTCCAGTTAAGGAGCGTGCACCATGTGTTTGCACTCCAGCCATGTTCGTCGAGAACGTCATGCTTCGCACCTTTATTCAACAGGGCTTGAACGATCTCGGTAAACTTCAACGCAATCGCCGCAGCGAGAGCTGTTCCGTAGTGTCCTCTTGCAGTAGCATTGGGGTCAGCGCCATTCTCAAGGAGAGCATTTACAGCTTCGAGATGCCCTTGAGACGCAGCAGCCTGTAGAGCTGTCCCAAAGAACCCACCCTCTTTATTTACTCTAGCTCCCCTCGCAATTAGCAATCTCAACGCACCAGTATGACCACGAAAGGCGGCAGCTTGCAGTGGATTGCCTAGATGTCCACTCCGGTGTGTAGGCTCGTTCTCGAAGAGTAGGAAGATTTTGTTGTGATCAATCTCCCTGATTCGCATTGCGGCATGTAGCGACGGCGCAAAGAAGGCTTGGAAAATGGAAGAGTGTTCATACGCCAGGAAGCCTTCGCCTTCTTGTAGTTTCAAGTACTTGCCGTATTCCGGATGACCGGAAACTATTTGAGTAGAGTCTTTCCCCAGCCAGCGGCCAGGGCAATTGGGATCGGCGCCACGGTCTAGAAGTAGAGAGAGAGTTTGTTCGTCGCCATGCATGGCTGCAGCGTGGATGGCGTTCCCAAACTGTCCCATAGAGGTGCTGTCCAATTGTGCTCCTCGATCGAGAAGGAGTTGAACTTTTTCAAGATTTCCAAAGTGGCTTGCAATCTCCAGAAGGCTGCCATATGGCCCGACGCGTTCAGAGGGAGAACCGCCCCGATCAAAAATTGCAGTGAGCAAGTAGTTCGCCGATCCCACCCATCGGAGGCAAATAACTCGAGAAGCGCTCCCGTAGTAGCCTCCCGTGACATTTGGGTTGAAGTCCTTGTGATTGATCAAGAAACTTGCCATCTCTGGTTGGCCGCCTTCTAACACGGCCTGCAGAGCAGTACCAAGCCAGCCGTCATTGCAATTTATGTCCGCTCCTTGATCGATTAGAAGCTGGACAAGATCTGTATCGCCGCTCATAGCGGCTGCTTGCACAGAGCTACCGACGGTCCCACCGGGTCTGAAGAAGGAACCACCCTCATTGGGCTTAGCACCAAGTTTTATCAGTGTTTGAACAGCCTCCTTCTGGCCGCAGAAAGTAGCCGATTGGAGTGGACTACCAAGATCCCCAAGGTGCGCGTTGACGTCTGCCCCAGCTTCGTACAGCCTCTCGATAATTTCCGAGAAGCCTCCGACAGCAGCAGCGCGTAGGGCGTGATTGAGGTCGGTGGTAGTGGCTCGGTCTTCGTTCAGCTTCAAGAGTTTCTCCACTCCTGCTCTCCACCCGAACAGCGAGCTGTAGTACAGAGGCGTTATGTTGATCGGGTGGTCTTTTCTTGAGCGATCGCTCAGAATGCGAAAAAGCTGCAAGAATGATTGGCAATTGGGACGGTCTTCAATCGACCTGATCAACTGTTTGCATAGGCGGGTTCCAACGTCTTCCTTGATAGCATCTGGAAGCTCCTCTTGGGCGGAGATGCTAAGATTCCATGGCCAATGTGTGAAGTCATTCTCTTCTGGTGGGAGAAAGGCGGTACATATATACTTGAAAGGGTTGTTTGGTCTGTTATGTTGGCTCCTTAGATCTTGCCAAGTCACCTCACGAACGAGGAGGCCGCTCAGAAGTTCAATCAGCTTGTCGTCTGCGCGATCTACAGGCCAAAGATGCGTACCGCCATGTATGGTCGCATAGTCCATAAGCATATGGTCTTGTCGTAATTGATCAAGCTCTTGTCGGCTGGGGCATCGGTGCGCTAATTCTCGTGAAGACAAGTAGGTGAGGGATACCTGTGCGAGATAGGCATTGGCATCGGAAAGCGCAATGTTATACTTTCGAATGCTAGGTTCTGCACTGTTTTGAAGTTCCCCGGAGAGCAAGAATTCCTTAAGTGAGAAATGTGCCAAAGAGAGCTCCTGTTTGTCAGGTGTCTGGTCGGAACTCAAACGGACAAGCGGTCCACAGAGCTTGAAGAGCCATTGGGCGTCGTGGAGCTTGCTTCCCAGTTCTGTGTTCGTTTCATATTTTTGTATGGCTACTGCAGCTCTGATTTCATTCAGTGTCAAAGGTCGAGCAGCAGCTACAAGCCACTGTAAGATCTTCTTAACGGTCTCGCGGTCTCTTGGCAGGTTCTGAGCAGCGTCAATGTCCAATAACAGCCGTTCCCACGTCTGCGCAATGTTGGGTGGTAGTTCCTCGAGGATGGTCAACACGTCCTCACTGCTATCGGAACCAAGGAATATCTGGAGTTGTAGTGCAGCGAAGAGGAACCTAAGTATGAGACCTTCGTGAGCATTGAACTAGTGTGACAAAATATGTAGTAGACTTACATTCCATTTGCTTTTTCAACAAGCTTGGACACGATACGGGATTTGACAGTAGGACATTCTTGCTCGCCCGCCTTTAATTTCTCTCCCCACTCTGTGTCATTATCCATCTCTTTTTCGAGCTCTGCACGGACGTAGAGCTCAATATCTTCAGAATTTGACTCGCTAGATATTGAAACCCTCTGCACTTCTCTCAGAGTTGACTGGATTTCCATGGTGGGACGGCTTGTGACAAGGACCTTTATTTTGCCTTGCCCATCCTTCTGCAACATGAGAAGGGTCTCTAACAGTGCTTTGCGCCGGCTCCAGTCGCTATGGCTGTTCTCTTTTGGTTTACTCGGCGGAAGGAACTCATCAGCAGCATCTATTACCAAGTAAATGCAGTTGAACTTCTCACATGTCTTAACCATGATCTTTGCAAGCTCCTTGTAGTCCACGGACCGAGCTTCGAGGTGCGAATACTGGAACGATGCGAGGTACTGCCACACCGCGTGGCGGAAGGCTAAGTTTTGCCACGACAATTGGGCAGCTAAGCATCCAAAAAGTTCTGACAGACTCTGCCTTGTGCTATTCTTGTAGTCGCAGTAGAAATAAGCAAGACCTGTGTTTGCTTTTGGTCGGGTTGCGAGTCTTCTGAGCTCGTCGATAACGGCGGAGCTACGCAGGTGGATTAGCTTCGGTAGACTCAACTCTCATGTATAGAACCCAGCTCACGCGAGGACCGTTTTGCCATTGCCCGCTATCAGGTGGGGTTAGAGACCAATCTGGGGAGTGTTCAGGTGAACTCACGAGTGGCATTTATCCACAAGAGGTTTGTCGCAGTTCCCGATACCCAGTCTTTGTACTCTTGCCGTTGGAATATCCACTTGCAAGTTCCTTCTTGTTTAGAGTTTCGAGCCTCTGTATGAATTTTCGTCTCGTCAATAGACGTCAAGCTGTCGATTCTTCCTTTCCAACTATCTTTCTGAAGACCAGAGATCTCCTTGGTGCATTGCAACAGATGTTGGAGATGTTCGCTGAGCTGATTGATGATACCATCTAGCAGCTCCTTGTCTTTGACCACCCAAGCTGTCCGATTCTTAGAGTCGTCCTTACTGCTAAGGATACGAGACCTCCAAGTCTTCTTCGTCTTTTCGTTCCTGGTGTGTTTTCGCAGTAGCTTTTCGGCATCCCCCAAATGCTGTTTGGTGCGCTCCAGTATCTTCAAGATTATCGCCTGATTTTCAGGTGACTCGTAGTTAAACAAACAATCCTCATCAGGGCAACTGCTGCTAACATTGTAATCGGCGCCCCACTTCTCTAGCTGTTTTCTGATGCGCTCAAAGTGAAGCGCACGATCCTGTATTCCGACATCGCTACGAAAGAGTTGCTCGATTAGAAGGTACCCGTCGATAGCACCCTTGAAGGCAACAAGCAGTCCGACAACGCCGACGACAGTTCCGGCAACTTCCATGGTCAAGTTTTAGCAGATAGAATGAAAAATTGAAGACAACGGGAAAATCAGGTTGATTTTACACTTGCACTCATCACACCAGCATAGCCACTTTGGAGCCTGGTTCAGCTGGACAACGATACTAGGAGGCTGGGTCTGTTTCCACGCAATCCGAAAACACATAAGCAGGCGCAGCTACTTCAGGACTGCGCTGGCTGTGGTTGAGTGATAAAATGGCCCCTATGCAGGAGATAGGGCTGTGCCGGAACTAGGCCTAGCTTGGCTAGATCTATACCAAACCATTTAACCCTTGCGGGAGACCTCGCCATTCCGTCTTTAACTTTCTGAAGATGCACTCCTCTGCAAATGGAATCCGCTGTGCAATGCTTTCGATGCCAGGCTATTAGCGATGCTATGCAACGCTGGCAATATGAGTACAATAATTCATTCAGAGTTGAGTTAGGCACTTTTGGCGAGCTCGAAAGCGATTCAAGCTGCAAAACTTGTCAAGCTATTGCCGAGTACTTTCGCACGGAAGAGGACCCCTCGTCATCATACCGTCTCTATTTTGGCAGACTGGTACACAAGCAGCGCTTCTGGATTCGCCTGGTACGCCCTGTAAGAAATTAAATTGGCCGTATTGTGATCGCTAACTTTAAAAGACGATCGATGATCCAGGGGACGGAGACTACGGTGCCGGTGCTCTTGAACTAATACCTCCTCCTACTTTGGATCCGACTCTAGGCCATTACGTGGAGCTGGATCCTTATTGGATAGACATTTCGAGAATCTATCGCTGGCCGGCTTCTTGTGACATTGAGCACCAGGGCGTCTGTCACACGTTCCCTGCTTGGAAAACGTTGGATCGTCCGCCAGTCTTGATTCTCATTGATGTGGAGTCATGGCGACTAAGTTTAGTGAAGCCGGTACAGTATATAGCGCTTAGCTATGTCTGGGGTAGAATACCTAATGTCCTTGAAACTACGAAAGCGAACTTTCAAGATCTTCAGCAGCCCGGTGCGCTGGCCTCCCCCGACCTTCTTGCGCGGCTACCGAGAACTGTTCGCGATGCTATTGTTCTGACGAAAGCTATGAGCCAGCGCTACCTCTGGGTGGATAGATTGTGTATAGTCCAAGACGATTTCGAGAACAAGAAGGAGCAACTCGACAACATGGCGTCAATATACGCAAGGTCATATTTCACCATTGTTGCAGCAGACGGCTCTGATGCAGACTATGGACTTCGAGGCGTCCCTGGTACAGCTTCCCCACGGTCATGCAGACAGCAGATGTATCACTTTTCCAAGCAATGTTCAATGATGAAAGCACCTATACCCGAGGAAAAGCTTGACACTAAGGACTGGCACAGACGAGGCTGGACATTCCAAGAGCGGACGCTCTCGAATCGAAACCTGGTGTTCTTCCAAGATCAAGTATTCTGGGAATGCCGGAGCTCAGTTTGGATCGAAGACATTGCTGACATTCCTGAGGGAGCCAATCCATTAAAAATATCAAAGCGCAAACGAGCAGATCGTCATGACCTTCAATTCCTCAAGTGGCCAGACCTCCATCAGTACGCCAATCTTGTGCAACGATACAACTACAGATTACTCAGCTTCCACTCCGACGCATTGAACGCCTTCTCAGCTGTACTACAGGTTTTGAGTCGGTCTTTCCCAGGAGGATTTCTATACGGGCTACCAGAATTCTTCTTTGACTTCGCTCTTCTCTGGATACCGATATTTCCCCAGAAGCAGCGTAAACATCAGTTTCCAAGTTGGTCTTGGCTTAGTTATGAAGGCGACATGTCATTCATGTATTTCACCAAATGTGATAAACTCGTTTTCAATTCAACCATCGGAAGCTTGATGCTGGCCCCGGGCGTTGAACTTTATCCGATGGTAGATTGGTACAAAACCTCCGAGACAACGGGCCAAAAACATCGCATTGACAACTCGTATTACCGATATCAGAAAATGAGAAATGACTACACCCAGCCGTTACCACCCGGATGGTCGAGGCATATCTATCACCAATCTCACCCTGATATAAGGAGCGACCAGGAGGATGTTGTATACTTTCGGCATGCTGAGGCGTGGGGAGAACGGTTCATATACCCTGTTCCCATGCCTGATGAGCCACTGGTACCTAAAGTAGACTCATGGGGCGCTGAGCTAACCTTCACCACAGTTCGGCGCTATCTAGTACTTGGTCCCGAAATGAAGGGGCATATTGAAAGTGGCGGGCATGGTTGGAGTAACTACTGGAACGCCGAAGTAGCTGGCTGCATAACCTTTTCTCTTCTTGACGATGCAGGCAATTGGGTTGGCATGATACGCTCCAATACTAGCGGCGAAGGAGACGCCCTGATCGGAGAAAACTGCGAGATTATTGTTACCTCCTCTGGTGTTGCTTATGAGGACTCATGGGGGAATGCCAGCCTCCGGTTCATGGAATTAGTGGTGCGAGAAGAATTGAAGGACACCATGGTCTATGAGTTCTATAATGTTTTGTGGATCAAACGAGAACATCAAGTTGCGTACAGGAAAGGAGCTGGACGAGTATGGAAACCTACTTGGGAGAAAGAGCACTCTGAGAGGGCGGACATCGTGCTAGGATAGTTTGTGATTTCCGACTAGTCGCTGGTCCCGAAAGCGTCCATGTTACAGCAGCTGGAGGGTTAGAGGAAGGGAGAGAAGGGAAAGAGCAGTAGAAGAATGAAGAGCGTTGGTGAGTTAGGCGAATCAGGCAGAAATAATTTGTGCGGTATGCCCAAACGCGCAGAAATTATCAAGATAGTTGCTGATTGGCCCGAATTTCAACTGTAACCAGCTTTTTGTAAAATACTGCTTTTGTTTTGTAGAGGGCGATATATAGGGGTCAGTTCGTGGTAGATTATTTGCTCATTTTCTACCTAGAGAATGCATCCTTGGCTAACATAAGTATTTGGGCAATGAGTCCCAATCATCAAATATTACAATATCTCTACCGCCAAGCCCTCTCTCCTATTGGTCTGGATATAAGCCGGTTATTGATCTGATTAGTAGAAAATTAAATAACCAAAAAGCTTCGTTGTTCTACGTTTTTAAGCTTTAAGTAATCATTCTGCTCTGCTACATGCTTGATTTGGCCTTCTTTTTTCCCTATTGTGATTGAAGACGACGCGGTCGGGGGTGTTAAAATCACTTCTGTGTAAAGATGGGATAGTAGATAGCACGGATAGCACTGAGAGCAAGGTTTCGGAGAAAGATACGAGTGTATTGTAAGAGAGACGAATCGCTGCCAAGCCTCGCTTGTCAGGATTCATGCTTATATACGAAGCACAGGTCATGTGACCTCCAAACAGGTCAAGTGAGGCCATACTGGCCCGTTCTGGGACATCCGGCCTTACATTCTGCTGCGTGATTTTTCCCTCCAAATATGATTGGCACTGTCAAGACTTTCCAAGCAAAGCCTGTTGCAGGCAAAAAGGGGGATTCTGGGGGTCTCTTATGGGTTGGGGTTGTTGTTGTTTACAGCCTCTATATTTCCTAATTAGCCCTGGATCTGTAACGGCGCAGGCAAGACAATGGATCCGAATGCAGTAGGAATCCACTCAGAGGCATATGGGAGTGCGTGGGGACTCAATGACCTGGGAATACCATTGACACCTATAGGCCTCGTACGAAAGGATATCAGAAAACTACCGAGCTAGCTAAGGGGAGATGTGCGACTAAATACTTGGGGTAATAGGGGTAACAGCAGGGGGCAGGGCCGAGTCAGGGTCGGGGCCGATACGAGGACCTTTCGGAGGTTCTGAGCGACCTGAGATGGAACGATTCATGAGAATCGTTACAGGATCATGACACGTGCAAGGTAAAACTTACTCTTACCATTAGCACTAATCTCTTGAGCTAAGAGGTCCTAGCTTCCAGTCTTGACCTCACCTTAGGAATCGCTAATAAGGTTGGTATTAATTGTCAGCGATCTAGGGTAATCATCAGGCCGTGACTGACAGTTGTCTGGGGTTGTCATGGCAGTATTAAACGCGATCAGCCACGTTTGAGGAAAGTAGAGGGTGTTAGCGCCTGTTTTTAATTAGATTTTAACCTGAAACGTGCGGACAGGAGGAGAATCTGTACCTGTAGCGTCCTTGGCAGATGGGGATTGGCTGGTAAGGTAGTACGGCCCGGTAGGGAGGGTTGGTGGGCGTGGCAAGAGGAGAAAGGAAGCTGGGTTAGTCAGATTGTTTATTGTGGGGACCGTGCGCGTAAGCGAACTTTTACATAATCCTTCCTAATAGGGACTAGCCACCTTCTTCCTGGAAAGGAAGGCTAATCTGCTCGTAGCCATGCCTTCCCCAGCCTTTTCTTTTTCACTACGACTACCATTGTGAACGTGGGTACCTACGGCGACTTGTGTTGACCAGGCTCTCCCCACGCTGAATTGTAATTGCTGTCCATATTACTTACTGGAGAAATGTGCACCATATTGTGAACGAATATTGGCTTTCTTCTGATTGCTGTCATGGCAACTAAGGCTGTTGATTTTGTTCCGAATCCGCGGTTTAGATCTTGGAGGAAGTTTCCCATACTTGGAATTCAAGGTACTTTCCATTATTTCCCCCTCAACGGATACGATCTCGAGATTTTGGCTGGGGTAGTGAAGTCTGCCATGAGATCCCAGAGGCCGCGTTTCGATTCCAGTGATACCATGAAATAGATCCTAGTAGCATTTGCCAGGGGGACTGGGTTCGGAATTAAAGGCAGAAATTCCATCGCCTCCATTTGACTGCATTTGGATTCACACTCTCTTGACATCATAGCTCCAATCCGTTCTTTTTGGGGAAGGAAGTCCATGAAACAAATCGATAAGCTGTTTTTTTTCGAAGCCATATACTGAGAGAGAATCTACTTGACTCGAGCGTGCTTGCAGCCAAGTTCGGAAATCCACAGAAGTACCATATCACCGCATCGATTGCTGAAGATCTAGAAGTTTCCGAGGTTACAGGCCTTAGTTCGTAACGCAAGCTCCGAGATGCGCTGTAGAGAGAAGGTGTCATGGTAGTGGTGGGTTGGCTTCTGGCTAAGCCATAATTCAGAGTATGGTGACGTTTTACTAGCCGAAGAAGGAAGGAAGAAAAGAAGGAAGGCTCTCATGAATACAACCTCAATGCCTTTTATATCATCTCCTGCTAGAATTGCTCTCATGCCGCTAAATTTCGAATTTTGTGGAATAGCTCTTTCATCAATGGGCGAACGGAGACATAGGGGTTCACAGCGCGCTCGCACTGCCATGAAGAAGAGCCATTTGTCTTTTTTTGGCACTGAGTTCCGAGTTTCTACATGCCGCAGTGGAAATTGAATTTTAAACCACGCGAGTCGCTTGAATGGGATATAGTATTTCTAAGTACTCCGGGGAGGGGCTTTATATATTTATTATATCAGATGTAGCTCAGGGGTCGTGGGTATGGTCCACTTTTCTCTCACATGTCAAGCGAGCTACGACCTCACTTGAATGCATGAGAATTCCCCAAATCTGGAAGTAGCTATTTCTAGCCCTTCAAAGGACTTTCCTATAGCATTTGGAAAGTATTACAAAGTGGAAAGGAGATTGCGGCGTGACGTGTGGTCAAGATCAAAGTTTGTTGAGCATGGATAGTATTTATCTACAAGGCCCACAAGCTTGGCTGCTGTAATCTATACAAGAGGAAGCAACCTTAGAGGAACTGCACTTAAATCTACTAATTTTCAACATTCCCTAACTAATTAATTTCATATAGTGTCATAGAACCTAAAGATTTACATCATTCCCTCTGCCCTGTCGATAGCTCATGAGTCCCTCCCGATGGTAGCTCAACCGGAGGTACACTCAGCTCGGGTGCATACCCGTATTTCTCAGTTCGGGAATATGGTATTTCACTCGCAGCCGGGCTTTTGTTCCGTTGATACCGCGTGAAGAGGAATATGAGAATTCCGACACTGAGAACGCCTAGTGGAATGCCAACTCCGGTACCAATTGCAACACTGTAATCTCGTGGGCTTGATACAGAGGATGGACTAGCGGATATTGCAGGGATTGTGACTGCCGGGTTCGTTGTTAGGATGGTACTTGTGAAGGATGTCGTTGGCACGACTCCGATGGTAGTGATGACCGTCGGCGAGCCTACATGGCGTCAACTTTGCGAATACAGAAGAATACACTCAATCAATGAATGGAACATCTTACCAGAAAAAGTATGTAATTCCGCCGCTCCCGCACACGCACTATCCAACGACAAATCCGTCGTGGTATCGTTCATGCAATAATACACATCTCCATCATAATTATCACATTTCCGCACATTTCCTCCCGATTTCGATGGCGTCAGACAAAAAGATGAGCAGTGGTCTGATTTCCATGATTGGTCGGTGCAGCTGCCTCGAGCGTAGGCTGATCTTGCAAGCCCGGCGCCTGCTTGCTGTGTCAATTTACATAAATTGTTGGATAGACATGCGTATCCACTGGCGCAGCATGTTGATTCTCCGGAGCTGCTGCATGGGACGTCCGAGGTTGCAATGGCGCCGTTGGGATAATAGCATAATGCTAGGGTTCGCGGGAGTAGAATGCTTGTGAAGAGGATGGTTGAGGTGTGCATTAAACGCATTGTGGAAAGAGACCCTTAGCAGAGAAAGGTGCCTGTCTAGAAAGAGGGTGAAGGCGAGTGGCAACCTCTTGACTGATGGGCAAAAGAACTAGAAACCATCAACGAGAAGGAAATGCAACTGACAGAAGAGACGATTCAAGAAATCAGCCATACATATGTACTTATTGGGCTCTGCTGGCCCCGGAGCTCTGCCGCATGGTGCGACCGCAGACGCAGTGTGCGCAAGGAGGTTTGTGGAGCCAAAAATGCAGTTCAACGGGCATCAACCGAGCCAACTCAAATCATGCAAGAACCTGAAGTTGAGACAAGAGTGCTAAATGCGTGATGTGATTGGTTCTCGGAGATAATGGGGCGAAAATGGGCAGGTATCACAATCCATCCGCCCCCAATGCCAAGGCCTCTCGCACGAAACGATTCAGCCCTATATTACTCTGTAGTTAGATATCATCTTCCTTCCGACACGTCTGTATGATGCTTACGGAGGTATCTAACCGATCGGTCTTTCGAGTCTATCTTGGAAATTTAGCATACATACATGGTGGGAAGCTATTGAAAAGCAGTTCGAGTTTACAATTGATCTGTATCATATGGTCAATCATCGGGGGATCCTACCGCCTAACATTCGCATTCTTCCCCTTCATTATATCCTTACACCCCACTCCCAAGATAATATCCACTCCGACTCAATGTCATAAACTTCCCCCGGAACCTTCCATCCTGAGCCAAGGTCTTATCTTCACCAAAGGCCACCCAAAGCCTTGCCGTCCAAACTGTCAACAACAATTCCCTCCACTTCTGATCCAAGTCCTTCTCTAGCTCTATCACAGGCAACACACCTGCATCATCCATGACCTTCAGAATCTCAGTCGCCACGACTTTACCCTGTAGATCTCTCCAGTCACTGCCGTGTTCTTCCTTTTTACGGTGTAAGCGGCTAGAGCTGAAAGAACCGACTTTCATGCTAAGTATTTCGCGCCCCTTTGTATTTGGGCGTGGGATATGTATTACACGCCACTTCCACATGCTGAATCTCAATTCTAATGTCCCTGGAAAACAACTCTTCCTGAACCCTCGAATATGATATTCGTTATTGCGGAGCGGCGGATCATTAACCTCATACAACACACTATCTTTATCAAACGCAAGGGCTGAGGACTGTGTAAGAGCCACTTCTTTCGCACGGAGTCGTCGGATACGAAATTGCGGTCCGCGTTGATCGAGTGCGCGGGAGAGTTGGTAGGCCGGGCCAGCGGGCGTATGGATGAAGGTTCCGTAAATCATGAAGGTGGTTTGATTTGAGTCCAGGATGGAATAGGCGGGAGGTTCGTCGAGGAGGGCTTCGAACTGTGGTGGAGGATTACTAGATTCGGCGTATGCGGTGCTAGATTCTTGGTATGAGGGTATGGGCTCTTCCTCCATTATGTTCGATTGCTGCAGTCTTGCAGGGAAGTTTCCAGACATGGTGCCCGCATTTGAATCCATCTCTCATAAATATGGAATCAGGGTGAAGGTTTGAAAAAGCCATACTGCCGTTGAGCGACTTTGTTCATCATATGTTTCTGTTCGCACTAGTTAACTAAGGGCGCGACGACTGACGTAACAAATGAAGTCTTGGCGCAACCAATCAAGAGTAGCCCCTAGAAGTGATTGTGATAAGCTGACTGAATGTGGCTCGGCGACGAAGCCTCATTGCTTGCGCAGTGCTGGGTTTCGGATACCACAACTCTGCCTTGTGCTGACCGGGGTGAGCTATTTGATGAACACCGCAATTCACAACCTAGGCGTTTTCCTTGTTATGAGGTGAATATGCGTACTTTCAAGGGAATACTTTTTCATAAACACACAAGATCATTACCAACCTGGAAACCCCCTGTCTGCACCACCATCTCATACTTTCATTCAGAACGACAAAGATGGCTGGAAAACAGCTTTGGATCGCTGCATGTCGGCATATGGTAGAACACGAAGGATTCTAATTTATGGAAATAATCCCCACCCACTTCATCTCAACCTAATGCAGGTCATATACTTCAGATAGCTATCACATTCCCATTAGAATTCTTGGTAGGTGTCCGCCTCCTTAGAACACTTCCGCATGATTAACGGAGTGTATACAAGATATGTTCCATTCATTATTAATCTACAAAACCCGCCTCACATTCCCAGATGGGCCCCTGAGTGAGCCCCTACTAGCTACAGCGACTGGCTGTCTAGTTGAAAGGATAGTGAGCTCTCTCCTGTCCGGAAGCGAAGACCTGACATTGTCTATCTAGTTCCATAAAATAATTTACTCCCCTCGCACTCGATCTCATTAGCATCCCACTGAGAAGCAGAGTGCCGCCGGTGATCTTGGATGAAAATGACGGAATCTCAATCAAGCAAGCTCACGCTCGATTGACTATTGAGACCATCCGCCCTCTTGGATGTTGCAACAGGAGCTGCAATAGTAGTAGCTGCGGCGGCGGTATAGAATAATGTGTCCTTGAACTTGTAATGCTGGTTAGACTGCACGTTCTCCTCAAGATCAACAAGCAAACTAATCCTTGGCTTGACGGGTGATACCTTGGTGTTGGTAACTAGTGAAACCTGGCCAGCCGACGGAGTCCTCGCAATTTGTTCGAAGAACTTGGTATCCATTTCCTTAGCGTTGCGTAAAGCTTGAGCATCGTCTTCCTTTGCCCCATCCTTGGCGTATGCCTTCCATTGCTCGACGCTACTGCCTGAGGAGCGATGTGTGCTCTCCGCCTGACTCGGAGATTGAAACTCCAGAGCTGCACGGCACGCTCCTCCTCCGAAGCTACTTCCTCCATAAAAGGTACCGGCAAATGCATTCCTAGAATGCTGGACGAATGATGAAGGTGGCGCTGGGGCGTTGTATGCAGAATTCCTTGGTGTTGGTTTCAGCGTCGCTCTCATTCCGTTATCTCGTCTGCCGCAGAACTGGCATTTGCAAGGATCGCAGCAGAGTTCCGCACAAGGATGGCCACAGAGTTCGACTCGTCTCATGCACTTCTGAGTGCAGTTGACGCGGGACTTGTCGAACGGATGGCACTTTAGCATGCAAGTATGACCGCAAGGCAAAAGGCATCGGCAAGGCTGATCACAACCGCCATTGACGATGTCCCAGTCATCGGGTTCCTTGATCCAGGTCTTGTTCCCATGTTGAGTACATTGCAGCGGGAACCGAAAGCCAACACGGAGCTCTTGGCCGGTGGTAGGCTTGTCCTTCTTGAACTTCTTACCGCACATTATGTCAACAACATCGGCCCATGCCCCACTCTCGCAAGCAAGCATTTCAGCGTTGCCAAAGATATAGAAGCCTCTCTTGGCTCGGGACAATGCAACGCATACGCGGTTGTCGACAGAGAGGAAGCCAATATTGTGGCGTTTGTTGCTGCGAACCAATGAAAGCAAGACAATATCGTTTTCTTCACCCTGGTATGAGTCGACAGTGACGACATTGAATTGGCTAAGATCCTTGAGATTTTGATGCTTCCTGAGCTTCTTCAAAATGGTCTTGCGCTGTCCGTTGTAGAAGGTAAGGATCGTGATTTTAATCGGACTGACATTGTTGAAGATGAGATAATCGACGAAGCCAACAATCATATTAGCCTCCATATCATTCGTGGATGACATATTGCCGTCCCGCGACTCTGGCCACTGATGGTGGAAGAAGAAAGAGTTGTTTCCACCCATTCCCTCAACTGGTGGTCGATTATCAGAGAGCTTTACGGAAGGGTGATCTTTGAGCTCCTCGCCATATATAGGTCGTAATAGGCGACGAATTTCCGGTATCATTCGGCGCTGACGCTTTAAAGTTTCGTACTCAACGTCGTTGTTGACCATCCTCTCAAACAGCGACAAATTGAAGTGGTACGGCTCGTTCTCAAATTCCCTGACGGAACAATGAGGGCGAAGTTGTTGGTGGTCGCCGACCAGGATTAAGTGCTCCAGAGATGGAACACAGGCTGCAGTTATGGGCGCCTCAAGAGTCTCGGCGGCTTCTTCAACGAGAACAATTTTCGGGCTTAGGCTGGCGACGAGGCCCCGATACTTGCTCAATCCAGTCGTTGTCATACCGATAACTCGTTGGTCCTTGAGAATGCGGTAGTCAATCTCCCATTGCCCAACACGGCGATCGAGGACGGCATTTTCGTATGCCTTTGCTAGTTCTCGAAATTCGGCCCGCAAGAGCCTCTTCGTCTCCCGTTGAAAATAGTTGTACACGGCTCCTCGTTGTGCGGTCGGGATTGTCGTGAGGTCTTGCGCCCTCCTGAGGAGTTGCCTGATTTCCTGATCCATCAACGCTGCACCTCTGCCAGTCTTGTTGTCGCTTAAAAGAATATACGGGCCTTTGAGAGCTTCGATGTCGTCGTCATCTCGAGCCACAGCTTCAGCCTCTAGTTCTTTGAGCTGCTCAAGCTCGAAGTCTTCCTCTTCAAATTCGAACCCAAAATCATCCGGAGCAATAGGGCGAAGACAAGGAGTGAGGCTCCTTCCAAGCCATTGCTCCATCTGTATGCCAGGTGTGTTTGGAGATATTCCCATCGCCATCTCGGGTTCCATTTCCAACGACTCAGCCTGTTCATTTGTGATAAGCCCGAGTTTCTCGAGGAGCCTGTGATCTAGGGGAGGTTTGTTTGATTCTAGTGGCGCAAGAAGCATTTGCATTCGTTTTGTTAGCTCCCTTATCATCTTCATCGCGATCGACTTTAAGCCTGTGTGGTTCTTAGGCTGGGAGAAGTTTGAGCGAACCTCGAAAAGAGTCCGCCGCTTGACCTTGTCCGTATCCTTAGAACGACCACCAAGCCGAACGAAGTTTGGCTCAAACTCAGCTGCATGACGAAGTAGCTGGTCTAGAGCATGGTTGGTTTGACAAGTGACGATGATGGGGGGATCCTCTTTTCGCATGTTCGCTAAAAGTATTTTCAAAGCGACAACAGAAATATACGTCTTGCCGGTACCTGGAGGGCCCTGAACAATAGCAAGACGCTTGGTCAATATCCGCTTCAGGGCATTAGATTGTGATTTATCTAAGCCATGTGAGCTGCTCGACGGCCATTCCTTCAAGATGTCGACATTCTCAAAGATATTGTTTTCCTCAAGCGCAACCAGCGAACTCATATCTTTAAAGGGATTCTGCTGGACGTATATCGGAGCGTCGACTTGTGACTGAGCTTGTACGAGATGTTCAGAAAGGGGGAAGGGCTGTGGCTCTTGCATCATGTGTTGCAGCGCCATGAGGGTGTGTCGGCTGGCCTCATAGAAAGTCGAACGACTCTCTACCATGACCCACTTCTTCATGGGATCAATCTCCATATCTGCAGGGTTGGCGAAGAACAGATCAATTTCTGGCGGATTTTGATCAAGCGCAGCAAGAGCGCGTGCGGCAACAGTAGCGAGGATACATTGGGTCTGGAAGCAATCATCTGCTGGACTCAGTGCAACTAGGGTTCCTGGGATGAGTCGCTTGGATTGCTCCCAGCGAACGAGTTTCTTGACTCGACTAAGGGAAAAGGCGACCCTTGTTGCTAGACCTCGGGGAGAGAATACAATCGAGGTGATGTAGACCTTACAAAATGATTAGCGACCAAATGCAGACGGGAACATCACCTAAAGTACTAACTGGGTCATAGATTCCGATATTAGCGCCTTTGGGGTACTGTGACTCGTCAAGCCATGGCGATGCCTGCACTTCCGACACAGCTTCCCGCAGAGGACGGATGGCATCCTCACGGAGAAGAGAGTACTGTGTGCTAAGGTACTCTTCATGGGTGTCATATGCACCTTCAACTTTATTGTGTCGTAGGTCCTCCGATACATCAATGATCGTTTCTCTAGTGCCGATGTTGGGGGTTGGAAGAATTTCGGAGGCAGAAGGAAATTCTGGTTTCTGTACCCATGTTCCACCAGCTACGGGCTCTTGTGAGAGTTTGAAGTATTCCTGTATGTTCGCTCTCGAGAAAGCGGACGCTGGCGCAGCACGTGGCTGAGACTTGTTGTCGTATGGCGAACAGAATCCGGCAAAGCGCTCAGCAAGGTGAGCATTCACCTCTCCTGCAAACAAGTTATCGTCAGAGATGCGGTAGAGCATGATATGAAATGATGAGCGAAGAAAACCAGAAGGAAGGGAACACGCGGCAGAGTCTCTAATAAGAAAAAGGTAACCAGACAAGACATGTCTAAGTTCTCACCGACATTCTGTTTCGAACAATGGGCAATGGCGAACGCAAACTCACCGGTTTCGGTGTCTTCCGCAAGATTCATGTACAAGTTATTTGATGAGATTCCCGCTAGGCTCGCCAGTTAATACTTAAATTAAAATCAAAAGATGAAGCACTAACCTGTGCGATTCTTCGACTCGCGCGTTTTTCGATGGTTTTGCTTATGCCGAGCCATGTTTGCGGTATTCCGGGACGCAACGAAGGAGCGAGACTAGGAGAAGGCGTCGCGAACAAGGAGAGGATGAAGAAGGGAACCGTTGGCGGGGCAATCAAATCCGCGATAATAACGCGTCAAAAGTTGCGGTGCGTTGTCACCTGATCTTTACTTTGCAGTACATTTCTCCTCCAGAACAGGGGGAGAACATGAGAGCGCATCAATGGTGCTGGGTTTCGACTGCCCGAATGCAGGGTAGCAGAAAGAGTTAGAAATAGAGCGGTGAATGGAGGACGGGGACGGAATACCTATCTTGCTGCGGGATCCAAACAGAGGAGCAACTGCCTATCAGGAGCAAGGGAAGGAGTCCGATTCTTAGGTCAATTACAAGAATAAAAGTCTCCTAGACCCGATCCGCCGAATTGTCTAGAGGGTGATGTACAAGGTAAATTGGTGAAGGGGATCTACGATGAAAGACCATGATATGGAGGAGACGGAGAGGGCATGGATGGGGTGCAACGACTCGAATAAGAATACACAACTACTACCAATGTAGATTCGCCCTGGCCTCTACTAAGAGATAAATAGGGAAGGTACGACTAGTCAGCCTGCGCTATGACTATGCCTTCCAAGGTTGCGCCAGCCCACAAGGGTTCCTTTGCTTCTCGCCTCTTGGGCTACAGTTTCTAATGACTATGACAGGCGCGCCTACAGGGTGGTAAACTGCAAATTGAATACAGTCTGCTATCCGAAAGAAAAGTTTGGTGGAGGGACTGCCGACGGACTTCCCCATCGGGGGTGTCTTGATTCTTGTATCAGAGCACATTGGTGTCTGTGGCTTGGGCCCTAGATCCCCCCTGCGGCGTAGCTCCTTTGGGAAAGATGTATTCACATTCTCTTGCAAGAAATCATGGGCGTACACAGTATCAAGGCTGAGTGTGAGGAGCATGTTAAGGTCGATGCAACTGTGAGGTTAAAACGGTTCTGATTATTCAGCCTCTGCACCGATCGCGGTGCGGTCTGCCCGGCGAATCAACAACTGGCGAAGCCGAGCCTCATCATGGTTCAGAACGTAGACGTCTGCGCAACCTTTTAGGTTTAGAACCATCCACAGCCAACCTCTCATCTCCCTCTACGACTGCTGAATCGTCGAGTTGTTGGCCATAGGTTGCTCCCATCGCAACAGCCGGAAGCCTGAAGCCCACATCTCTACTTCAGCCATCTCCATTGAACCCCGCCAAGCTAGGTTGATGGAGCCAAAATGAATTTCGATGATGATGATGACAATGGAGCTGGTACAATCTTTCTGCTGATGAAAGGCTCGCAACTAATTAAGCTCCCAGGTTCCCCAGATACGAGTTCGGAGAACGACAACGACGAGATGATGGAAGACGTTGACGATGGGGATGCGGACGCTGATGCTGATGGAGACGGCGATGGGGATGGTGATGATGGAGAAAATGACGAAGACGATGGAGATGGCGAAAATGATGACGATGAGCAGGACGATGCAGATACTCCCTCTCAGTCCCAAAGACCACGAAGTAGTCTTCCAAATGGAGGGACCCCGGGCCCTTCGCGGACCAGCACGAATCCTACTGTCATGTTGACTTCGCCCTCTCCTAGAGCGGCTTCGATATTAGCTGGAGGTGGTCTGCCTTTTAGGCCTAGTGTCCGCGTCGAGGCCCTTAATGCACCCGTCTACGACATCGTCCCTACTATCGCTGCTCCCCACAGCACCTCCATAAATGCGATTACAGGCACACCGGATATGCGATGGATATTCAGTGGGGGCGCAGACGGCTACATCAGGAGGTTTAATTGGGTGGATACTGCTAACGGGAAGTTGGCTCTCACGGTGGCGCAACGGCATCCGTTCGTGGACAGTGTCACAAAAGCCGGGGTGCTTCTGAGCTATTGGGAGAATGAGGAGCCTTCGGGTAAGCTTAGAACCTACGGGAGACCTTACTATACTGATTATGCTATAGATCGGAATATGAACGAGGATTCCGTCAGTCTCTCCCCAGTTTACTCTCTTGCCGTACACCACCAATCGCTTTGGCTGTTGTCTGGTCTGGATTCCGGTGGCATAAATTTGCAGTCTGTCCGTCACGAAGAGGGGAAACGCATTACCACTCTCCGCCAGCATACATCAGCGGTTTCGGTGTTGACTTTATCGCAAGATGAGAAATCTGTGCTTTCCGGAAGCTGGGACAAAACGATCAATGACTGGGACCTCAATACTGGCCAAGTCAAACGGCGATTCGAGACTAGCGGAGGTCAAATATCCGCCATTGAGCAACGTCCGCTTTCTAGCCTCCCTATTCCACAGGACACTGAAACCGTGCCCCTGTCTAACGGAACATTTTCCTCTAACAACGCCTTGCGCCCGTCACTGAACGGTATTAATTCCAACAGTTTCAGCTCCTCGTTGCGCGCAAACCAAGCGAAAGACGAGAACGGTAATGAAGATGCGCCAGGTTCCCCTGACGACTCTCTGTTTGGGGATAGTAACTCCCTATTTGGAGACGATAAGGATCCTTCTAGTAATCCATCAGCCCTCGCGCCCTTCGGAGACGACGATGAAGACGAATTCTCAAGAGCTATTGCCAACGGGATACAGCAACAAGCTGATGAAGATGCCCAAGCCGACCTCGACATGATGGATGTTGGTGGACCGGTACAGCCACCATTACCTGCCAACGAGACTTCGGCCTCTGCGCAAGTCGAGCCTATAGCCAACGGCGTCAGTAATAGTCATTCAACCATGAACATGAATGGCCTTCCTCATTCCGACGAAGGACCAACTGTCAGCGCAGGTGGTGCAACTGGCCAAGCAGAACAGCCAATTTCATCCGAAACCACCTTTGTCGATGCCTCCCACGATGGCACCTTACGCATTTGGGATCGCCGGCAGCCAAACCCGGTCGCTCGTATCGTTCCTCCAAGGTCTACGCCTCCCTGGTGTATGAACGCCTGCTGGTCTCCAGATGGAAACTTCATATATGCCGGAAGAAGGAATGGCACGGTGGATGAATACAGTTTGCACAAAGGTCTCAGAGAGCCCCGAAGAACATTCAAGTTCCCCGGTGTCAGTGGCGCCGTGAGCGCCGTCCGGGCAATGCCGAATGGAAAACACCTCGTTTGGTAAGTTATATCTCTCCTATGAGCTTTGATGCGACCTACTGACTTTTTTCAGCGCATCATATGACATTCTTCGGCTGTACGATTTGCGTGAACACGACACGAAACATTCTGCAGTGCCATATTTAATCGTTCCAGGACACCGGACGGGAGTTATTTCGCAACTTTATCTTGACCCTACCTGTTCGTTTATGATTTCCACCGGCGGAAATCGCGGGTGGGACGGGGCCACGACAGAGGTGCTACTTGGTTATGAGATAGGCATTGGGGCTTGATTTTCTTTAATTATACCCGGGGGTACGGCGTTATGGGACCATTTAGGATCATATTTGGGAATGCGCCCAGAAGGCTTCTGCCGTAACGAAATCTACAAGCTATGGATGATTGCGTTCTATCAACAGGAAAGCTCATGTAACCCGAAAAAGGAAATAGGAGCGCCTAGGATGCCTTATCTTGTGGTTAAACTCCGCCTGTCGGAATCTAGTTCGCTCGAACATGCCAGCTGACGTTTTGATGACACGGTGGTTGGAGTGAATGTAAGATTAGGTTTCAAAGCTGTCATTGGATAGTTAAGGTGGCAAAAGACCACGTGATGATCTCCGCCACGCGAGAAGCGCCCACTGCAGAACTTGCGAATCGCGACCTTAAAAGGCCGAGAACGCCCTGGCTTTTCATTGGAAAATGGTCATTTTTCACGACGCTTCACTCTCACGCGAGGTTTTAGCCCTTTCCGCTTCACGCGCACAAGTCTCTGGGTCCGCCTTAAGGCACGTCCTTCGCGTGTGACAGCGAAACCACCACTCTTTTCTCTCACGAGAGGACGAAACCCCAGGATTATCTCCATCAACATTAACTAACATCCAAATTCCAGTACACTGCAGTTTAGAAGCTGTCAAAGAGAATCTCGAAGCGCAGAAAGCTGGTTCAGACATCGCCTTAAGAAGGATTATCAGACAAGGAGACATCGGCCCATCTCAGCTTCCGTGCGCGCGATAAGAACACCTTCACTCTTTCTCGACACAATACCCAATGGTTATATCTGGAAAGCAGCACTCTTTACCACAATGCAAGAGATATCAAAGATAGGGGCCCTCAAGGACGCAATTCTCCACCATGATTCAGCTATAGGCAAATCGTTGACCCATATTCCTACCGACGATAACCAACACTCGCTCGACATGCCTCGTGCTAGCCTAATCGATAGAATGGGGCCTCGAATAGAATACGAATTGCGTCAACCGGAATCTTCCTCGGAGCTTGATAATAGCGTAACTGTCCGGTACCTGGCAGAAGGCGCCGCCAACGTCGTTTTCAGTCTCATCCCATACGACCAATATGCACCAAGTTCAAATGAACTGCCATTCGTCTTCTGCGCCCCAGGGACCTACACCGTTTGCCCCCGTAGCGACCTCATTTCGAAAGTCCTACGCGTCAGTAAGAAGGGAGAGAAACTGCTGTCTTGTGACATCATCAAGCAAGGGTTCGAAAATCAGATACGACCGCACTTTCAGAACGGCTTCGACCAACACCTAATGAATCACGATTTGATTAGTCTTGATATTCTAGCTTTAACCGAACTCGACATCATGCTAGCTAGACAGTCGCAACACAATACCGGCTCTCGATCGTTGCCACAACGCAATGGTATAACTTCTCGAATCTTGTCTCCACACTATGGTATTCTGCTTCCAAACTTATCGTCAATTCCTAACCAATCCTTCACCATCGAGATCAAGCCAAAATGGTTAGCGCAGTCACCAACAGCACCGAAGCATTCCTACCGTTGTCGAACGTGTGCGATGCGGGCTATGGTCCGCTACAAACAGAACAAAACGGGCAAGGAATACGATATCTGTCCGCTACACCTAGTATCTGGGAACGTGAAATACATAAAGCGCTTCGTCCACGGCAAATATCTCGAGGCTGCTTACTCGTGGCCCGAGCCAGTCCTAGCTGCCCCAGACGAGGACGAGCTAGTAGACACGATGACGGACTACCTGGCCACGGGGCCGGGCCATGCACTGCTCCAACATCTGAAACACTTGCAGGTTTCCAACGATCCGAATGGAGTCCTGAAATTAGACAAAACGGGAGATTCCGCACAACGATCTGATATCATAAGTCAACTTCGGCTTGCTATGACCCTCAGAGATTGCTCTCTGTTCGTCTCCGCTCGCTTAGGCCCAACCCTCAGCATTGAGAAACGGCCTCGTATTGTGCTCAGCGTTGACTCGAAGCTTGGGGATCTCGACTTTAAATCAGTCGAGAAGGTCGACGACTGGGACAAGAAGGAGATGGAACTGATTCATGGGGGATGGTATAAAGGCGCCGATGCGGGTAACGATTGGAAACGGCAGATCGAGGACTGCCAGGTCGCGGAGGAGTTTAGGGAGAATCTGCCACATCATTGGTGACGAGATAGTATATATATATATATATGTGTGTGTGTGTGGGTGTGTGTCGTTGTTCGCACGCGCACATTATCCCCTGATTTTGGTCTGGATGGCCACGAGACCGTGTGCATACGGGACGGTATTGGGCGACCTGCATTCATTGATGGCAATGTATATACACTGCAGTTGGATCGATGCGCATTATTTCCTTGGTTTTGGCGAAGTAGGAGGGGATATTGGATATTGTTAGACGACAGCTCTCGCGACCGCTCTCGCGACCGCTCTCGCGAGCCCTCACTACGGCTAATGCATAATCTGATACATTACTGATTTTACTGTTTTAATAATAGCTCCTCTGGGATTCAAGACTATGCTAGGTGTTGATCTATGGATTGCAGTTGCATGGAAGGATTGTTTCATTTCATCTGCCACGCGACTCTAGTCCAATGCGGAGGATTTAGGTGGCGGGGACGTAAGTGTGAAACGTACACGTGGGTGCATCTTGACTTGGGCATCGTTGAAACAAATTGTACTGATTGGGTATCTTTGCTGGGGTATCTCGAATATCAAGCTCCTAACCACTAGACGTATCCTCCTGGCTACCACCCCAACGCATCATTACCATTAAAGGACCCTTCCTCTACGGGCCCCGGCACTATTCAATACTAACGACCACATCATGTCCTCGAGTCATCCATCTTGACAACAAACAACTGTTTCGCCAGCGCCGCAACATCCCCTCCAAGCGCTTCTAACGCAACTTTTATCCCGTCCACCGTCTCCTCCTTCAATCCTCCCTCCTCAGAATAAAAATCCACACCGGCAGGCGTAAACATAGTCTTCGCAAAATACGTCACAGCCCACTTATTCCCACCTTCCTCCTCCCCATAACCCAGGAACTCCCACTTACTCGACGCAATCATCAACCACCCCTTGCCCCGCCAATTGTACCCCAGACTCGCTGCGTCCTCTCCTTCTCCGTTTCCGTTTTCCAGAGTGGGAGAGGGCGCGCCAGTAGGGTTGAAGGGTTTGTCAACCCCACACACCGTCTTCCGTTTTGTGGAGGACAGTGATTGGTATGAGACTTCGTCGTCCAGGAGCGCGGGCAAGGTACCGGGGATTCGAGCATACTTGATCACGACGTTCCGACTCTTCTTCCACATGGGAAGGGAGGAGTGCGTGACGTTCCATGAGCCTTCGATCCAGGATATTGGAGGTGCGACGACGGGACTCGAGGTTGAGGACAACAAGGGATTTGTGGATGCGAGGCTTGAGGGCGCGCGCAGGGTTATTGGTTTGGCCATGTTTGGTAGGAGTTGACGTGGGGCTGGGGGGCTGAGAAGATGGTGGCCGAATGCGGTAGGTTAGTACGAGGACGCGGTGTGCGAGGTGAGAGTTGTCGAGGCGGTGTTTGCTGGTGGCTGGCGCTGGCATGGACAGGAGTGGAGAGAAACCGCTCACCGGACAGGAAGGCTGGACTGTGGCTCGATAAAAGTTTGGTGGTACCTCACCGCGAGCGATTGAAGGAGTCAAAACAATTGCGGGTTTGCAGAGCGACAACAAACATGCAGCGTCACAAAAGAAGCGGCGCTTTGCGAGAAGTTAACCTCAAGCAAGCCCAAGCATTCCATAGGGCTGAGGATCGCCATCACTGACCGGGAATCAATCCCGCCGTGACCGGGTCGCCAAGACGCCGAGCCGCTACACCAGAAAAGATCCCACACACCTCACTCCCCCCCCCCCCCCCCCGACGCCTCAAGATCTGTCAGCCCCCCCAGAAAAACCACTGTGCCCTCACACACCTCGCTCTGCACCAGCCTGCAAACCAGCAACGGGTTTCGCACCAACCGGCTAATAATAGGGCATTGATCGCTAACATGACAGCCGCCTACTCACAGGGTTTCGGGATTTGTCGCAGGTGCAGTCCTTCGGCGGCTGACGACGCCTGAAACGACCTCTCGCCCTCTGCGTGTCTCGCGGGGCTGTGCAGCCAGCTGCGGCGTCTCCACAATTCCCACAACATTCGCCGCCTCCAGCATCTGCTATGAATAATATGCAGGCTGAATATCTCTGAGCTGAAAGTACTTATTCTTGTCGTTGGCTGTTCTTCGTTTGCCGATATTTTCTGGCTCCGTTCACTTCGTCGATACCGATATTTGATTCGTCATTTTACGTACATTGCCTGTCGCTTTCACTTCCCTTGTGTGACTCGGCTTTCGTTGTTTCGACTTTGCAAACGTATAATTGTTTGCACCGAGGTCACATTTACACAACATCCACAATCTACTCCCATCATCAACATGTTTCTGAAAGCAGTCCTCCGGACCGCCGCTCTGATACCCTTCCTCTATAACGCTGCCTCTGCCCAGACAGCCTGCAACAACTCGCCGTCATTATGCAACAGGGCGTACAACAACATCACGCACCTCGGCGCCCACGACAGCCCCTTCTTGCGTGACAAGTCAACCTCGTTCTCCACCTCTGGCAACCAATACTACGACTCGCCAACCCAGCTTGATTCCGGCGTGCGGTTGTTGACGGCGCAGGTACACAAGAACGGAAACAGCTCAACTGGCGCGTCGCAATGGCATCTGTGCCATACTAACTGTGGTCTACTCGACATGGGAACACTGTCGAATTGGCTGGGGACAATTAAGACGTGGATGGACAACAACCCGAACGACGTCGTCACCATTCTTCTCGTAAACTCTGACAATGCCAGTCCAGCCGAGCTCGGCAGCGAGTTTAAAACAGCCGGAATCGACAAGTACGCTTATACACCCCCATCCCTTTCCTCAGTCCCAAAACAATGGCCCACCCTCCAATCGTTGATCTCGAACAACACACGCTTGATGACCTTCGTTGCTTCCCTGTCGACTCCCAGCTCAGATTATCCGTGGTTGATGGACGAATTCACCTTCATATTCGAAAATGACTTCAACAACCAATCGCCAACCGACTACCAATGCACCCCCGCCCGACCCACGTCCCTGAACAACTCCACCTCCTCTGCCGCTAGCTCTGGTAGAATGTTTCTCATGAACCACTTCCTCTACAACACCGGACTCTTCGGCATCCAAACCCCAAACAGTGACTACGCCAACATTACCAACGCGCAGACGGGCGTAGGTTCGCTCGGCGAACAGTTGACGAAGTGCACGGCTGTGTACAACAAGCCGCCGACGTTTACTATCGTCGATTTCACCAATATGGGGCCAGCGATGGAGAGTGTGGATAAGGCGAATGGTGTTAGTGGTGCAACGGGCAGAAGGACACTGCCGACTGTAGCACTGAATGAAAAGGTTTCGGGGGGACCACAGACAAGGGGGAGTGTTTTGGCGGTTGTGGTTGCGGTTGTTGTGGCTGTTGCGTTTGGGTCGTAGACAAAAGCAATGAAATTTAGAATGCATACCATCGGCATCGGATGGGAAGGAATGGCTAGAATGGCTCCTGGTCATTGGAATTGGGTTTTAGTTGCTTATCACATGGCGACGGCGTTTTTGGATTCTGGGATGGCATCATGGGCTGGACTGAACTCGGCGTAGTCAGTATCAGAGCCTCAGGTATCATAGTCCGACGGTTGGTTTTTTTTTTTTTGGAATCTCTTCATGTATAGCAGGCAACTTGTAGCAGGAAGTGCTCTTGCTCAGCTAGTTAGATGAGATAGATGTAATAGATGCATGAATAATTCTATATCCAAATCAACGTAATGGCTTGTCAAATTCTTTTCGTCTTTCGTTCGCACATGTAATTTTGTACCAGTATAAATAAAGTCTATGGGTAGGTCTATGGATGATTTACTCCAGGTTCTACATTTCCGAGTCGTGCAGTGAACTGAAGTGGTGTTGACGGCGTTTGCGCCAACTTCCCCACAGTTTGCTCGTCTCATTACGGATAAGCATTGCCAGAGACGCCCAGAGAATCGCGAACAAGGTAACCGTAAACTTCCGGAACACGTAGGCAGATAAAAGCCTAAGTACACAACGTTCGGAATGTTGGTCCTTATCTTCTGGGCCTTTTTGGTTTCCTTGAACCATCTTCCTTTGCTGGCCACCCTAAAATCTCCTTCCCCTCCCTTCCCGGTCTGTAAATCTCAACCGCCCCAGAGCTGCTTTTAAATCCTATACATGCCTAAATCCCTCTATACTAGCCCTCTATGCTATCCTCCCTCCCCCAATTTCCCCTACAACCCGCCTATGTAAATTCCACATAAGTATATACCCCACTGCATCCGCAATGCCCCCAGGCGTCCTCTGGGTTTCCTCCCGCATTCGTAACCCCTCCATCCTCACCCCCCAACACTTCTGCGACTGGTATGAAAACACCCACATCCACGAAGTAACCTCCCTCCCCGGTGTCCCGCGCGCTGCTCGCTATGAAGTTATCCCACAAACCCCTACCCGGAATCCCTCTTCTATCACCACCTCTTCACCCAGCCCCCAAGATGCCAACCCAGATGCAGCTCTGGATACAGGAGCAGAAGCAAATGAGCCAGCACCATGGCTAACCGTCTACGAAATGCCCGACGTGTCGTATCGAGAGACAACAGAGTTCAAAGGATTAGATGGACAGAGTGAGCCGCGGAAGGAGTTGTTGGAAGGGGTGTTTAAGCAGGCGCGGTTTGATACAAGGTTTTATGAGGGGGTGCAGGTTGTTGAACGGGAGGGAGGGGTGCCGGAAGGTAGGCAACTACTTTCTCACTGTGTCCTATTTCAATCGGTTCGGTTTCGAGAAGAGCGAAATTCACTTGCTAGAAATGTTTGACCGTTATTAATCATCGATGCAGGACCAGCACCGCTCCTTATATCCGCCTGTCTCCAACCCTCCCCTTCCTCCCCCTCCCAATTCAACGCTTGGTACACCACTGAACACATCCCGCTCATCTCCCGCATCCCTGGTTTTCGCCGCCTCCGCCGCTTTAAAGTGATAAACGCCTCCGTACTCGACCAATTCGTCCGCAAATCTCCCAAAGTCCCTCAATACCTGACACTTTGTGAATTCGATGGAGAGATGTTGCCTATAAAGGAGTTGGCAGAGACGGGCCAGACGGAGTGGGCGAGGGAGGTAATGGAGGGATTGGAGATGGCGGAGGTGGGGTATTATAGACTGAAAGGGGGATATGGGTGGAAAAGAGGGGCGGGGGAAGGAGCGAGGATTTAGGGGTAGATGGTACTATTTGCGATGACTGCTATCGAAAAGAGACTGAGATATTAAAATGTTAAAATTTTAGTAACACAAGAAACCCAGAAACTATAATACTCTGTCTAGTCCTTGCTCTTGTTCATAAGAAAGGAGTTATTTATTCGTTGAGGAGGTGATTTGGGAGTGCGGAGAATTTAAGGGTTGTTTCGGTGGATGGTAGTTTAGAGAATGAGCTTGACAAAGCTACTTTTCAATAGGTCTTAGTAAGAAAAAGCTGGGTACGAAATGGGGATTGGAGGCATTAAGGAGCCCAGAAATTTAAAATGGCCTCGTCGGTCTTGTCGTACCTATTAAGACCGGGGCTCAAGAAACCGTGACCCCAGTCATCGGTCGCAGTGGCAGCCCAAGATCGCCATGCATGCTAAGTCTCCTTAGAAGGGGAGTCTCGTCTGTGGGTTATCGAGGTAAAGTGGAATGTGTTCGAGCGGGGTAACGCTTTGTGAGCTCTCAAATGATGCAGAGAACCTTTGAATGAGCCAGTCGCATTTGAAGCTCTCCATCGCAGAACGAGTGAGGCATGCCTGAGTTGACTGGATTTATATGTGTCAATAACGATTTTCTCTGTAGTCACTCTTTCTTGATGTTATTCGTACAAAACCTAGCACAAATCTTAAACAAGGCTGTTCTATCATAGACCTTCAAGGAGCGTATCTCTTGTGACCTGGGAAACTAGTTTATAATGCCTGAGGTTGCCATTAGCTTATCAATTCCCTTGGAAATCCCACACTGAGAATAGCATTTTAGCAGTGTCTGCTACGCGGCATAAACCTTGTTTGGATAGTCGAGGTGGTTCTGATTATCGTCGCCCATTTCCACTGGATCGATGGCCAGTCTCTTTACGTGCGGAGTTCCCTTAACCAATGTGCCAGCATCAATGCCAGCATTTTCTTTTTCAGGGTCTCACTAGATCTGTTTCGTGGCACGTCTAGAATACCGAAGACTTTAAGAAATGCATGATTGTATTCGAATGAAATCGATCCCGAAGTACCAAGGCGTGCTGGTGCAGGGAACCCTGGCTCTACATCCCGGGCCCAAGCAGAATCAGGCAACACGTAGTATTCTCCTGTGGTGTCTGGATCTGCAACTGGCGGAGAGAATCGGACTCTGTTCCAATTTGTTTGGACAAGAAAAGTGCCGGCGAAATGCTGAATCGTCGGCAGTATGCGCTGCGTCCTTGATCGCCAGCGATACTGGCGTCACCAATTCCAAGGAGATAGTCACGTGATAGTCTGGCCTTGGCTTCCCCGCATCTCGTTGTGTCTTCTGGTCTGTCCTCCACAATCCTTAACAACACCTTCTGCAGTTCTGCTTAATCCCCGCCAATATTTTGCTTCCCTGTTCGTAATCCTAATTAGACAATGGAAGAATTTAACTTAGAGTTTATTGTGTACCGATTTGGAAAGGCCGTGCGTAGTGATCCTCAACCCACGACCGAACAAGCTCGAAAATGTTCACTGGACTGGAACAGTTTACCGCGCCGTAGACGCCGTTACTATGGTCGCAGGGTAAGTAGTGTTTAATCACTTGGCAAATGCGATGAGCTCAGAATGTTGCTTCAGTCTCTCTATTCCTTATAGTGGTTGGTTGAATTGGCAGGCTGTACCCTTGTTTTCGTCCCTTGGATACAGGAGGTCTTAAAACCACTTACCCCTGCGACGATATTGGATATGCAATCCATTCGGATCACTACTCGGCGGGGCTGCGGGAAGGTCAAACCTTAACTTTGGATCCTCATGCCCCTGACTACGCCACACATGACGAACTCTCCACGGTCTTCCTCCGATTCGCTCACCATTCACCTTGACCCGTAATTTAGGCCTACTAGTGGAATTCGCGCAGGGCCAGAACCTGACAAGGGCGCAGATCCATCAGCAGGCCGAATTGGCATGTGTAGCATAAAAGGTGACAGTCTTTCCCCTGCTGGCAGCTGTCCAGAGTTTATCTTTTCTTACAACGGGCAGCGTAATTCTGCACTATCACTATGACTCCCTCGAGGAAGGAAACATCTCTTGAGCTCTGCAACCGCGTTAGTCTCTTGGGCAACACCATCTCTATTCGCATGCTGGAATACCTCAGCTCTGCCAAACATCCCCTCCACAGCATCCAAACTCTCGCAACTGAATTCCTAGACCTCAGCCGCCTCCTCTGGTCCATTGAGGCAGGCTTGACAGAAGCATCACACAAAGGCAATGCATTCCCCCCCGATGTCACGCAAGAGCTCGACAAGCAGTTCCGCCGGATCAATGATGAGTTTATTGTTGTCAACCAGATGATGCACAAGTTCCTGGACAACGAGCATAAGAAGGGCGGCTTTGGCCGTGCTTTCCGAATGATGTTCGCCGATAACGATGTCGACAAAGTGCGCGGTACTTTGACGAAGAGCCGAGAGGCCCTACGGATGAGCTCGGCCATGTTTCGATGGTCACTCGGAGACGCAAAGGCCGACTCAGCGATGGGTATTGGCTACACTGGCCTTGCAGCTGCCCTCGATCGCATGAATCCGGGCAAGTCCAACATCCTTCCGCCTATGCAGCCCCCGCCTTCCTTATCCCCCCCTGAGCCACCGTCTAAGCAGCCTTCCATCCAAGCTAGTTCCATAGATAGACTTGCGCTGGATAGGTCTCTACTGTCGTCCTCGGAGCGCCCTCTTGAGCGTTCTCTGACCCAGTTCGACAGACGCCCCCCTACGCCTCTCCGGGACCGACCATCCGCGCCTGACCTCCGGAGAGATGAGTACAACTTGTCCCCAGGGGCCATTGATCTTCATAACGAATGGCGGGCACCTAGCATACGATCGGATGGAACAACACACTCTATTCGCGACACAGTGTATCGGCAGAACAGTGCATACCATGGTGAACCTGGCTATGGAGAGCATTCATCGGATGAGTCGACCAGATCGAGGACCTTTGTAGACGAGGAATTACAACAGCTCAGCATGCAGGACCGATCCTCAGTCGACGCACCGTATCGCAAGACGGGGGCCAACTGGATGGCCAGACAGCACATGGGCTCAATGCCGGCTGGTGGCAAGGCGGCTCTAGTGAACGCCGTTCATCAGAAGAAACATAGGACTCTCGAGCAACTGCTCGAGGGCGGCGCCAGGGCGGACTCCAGAGTGGAAGCCAGCATGCTGAGAACCGCCGCGCAGAACCGAGACGCTGAGAGCATCAGCCTCTTGCTGCGATATGGGGCCGACCCTAACGGCCATGACAATCAAGACTATACTCCTCTCTATACCGCTACCCAAGCGTCATTTTATGAAGGCGCAAAGCTCTTGCTGAAGGCTGGCGCAGACCCGAACCGAGACGCTGGTCCAAATTCAGAGTCGCCGTTCTGCTTAGCAGCGTGTGAGAACCGTACCGATCTCGTTCAGCTGTACCTATCTAATAGCGGCGACGCGAACTTCATCACAGAGAGCAGCAGCGCCGTGCTTGTTCAGTGCATAAACAAGACGGTCTCGCCCAAACTTGTTGAACTCTTGCTCAAGTCGGGGGCTGATTCGAATACAAAGAATGAAGAGGGCACAACCGCACTATTCCGGGCCATTCAGGCCAACCGTATCGACCTCATGACGGTCCTTTTGGACAATGGCGCGAACCCCAACCTTCCGGGACCCAAGCACCCTCTATGGCCCTCCACTTACCAGCCAAAGGCGCTTCAGCTGCTGTTGAATCGAGGTGCCGACCACAAAAAGTGCCCAGGCATCATGGAGCTCGCTGCCAGCCTGAAGAAGATGGAATCCATCTCCATCCTTATCAACACCGGAATCTCACCCAACACTAGAAAAGACGGCGTCTATACCCCATTATGCTCTGCCATCCGTGATAACAGCGCGGACATTGTCACCTACCTCCTCGAGCACGGTGCCGATCCCAACTTCAAGGCTGCGGAGTACCCTGCCTTCAAATGCATTACACACAACCGCGCGCACTTCCTGCCCCAGCTCGTTGCTGCGGGTGCAGATCTACGCACACCCAAGGGTATCATCGAAACGGCCGTCGCCCACAACAACAAAGACGCACTCTTGTACCTCCTCAACCAAGGTGTAAGCCCCAATGACAAGACTCCAGAAGGCAATACTGCCCTGACCACCGCCATCCGCGACGACCACATCGAATTCATCGAACTCCTGCTCGCCAACGGCGCAGACCCCGCCATCCGCGGCGCTGACTGGCCCCTCTGCATGGCCGTCAAGCAGCCTACTATTCTCAAGAAAATCCTTACTGCAACACCCAACCCCCGTGCCTTCCGCGGTGTCATCGAAATGGCCGTAGTCGCCAACCAAATCGACAGCATCAAGATGCTTCTTGCTGCCGGCGTGAGCGTTGAAGACAAGAACTGTGGGGTGTTTTCACCGCTTACGACAGCCATCCGCGAGCGCCATAAGCATATTGTGCGGTTCTTGCTCGATGAAGCAGGCGCTGACCCAAATCAGCCTGGCGAACATTTACCGCTTGTCAAGGCGCTGCGCAGGCTTCTGCCAGGCGATACGGAGATCTTGCAGATGTTGCTTACCCGCGGCGCGAACATTAATATGATGCACCGCGGGTGGAATGCAGTGCTACAAGCTGTCGAGAATGGAGACGCTCATATCCTGCGCCTGCTTATTGAGAAGGGTGGGCCTGTTGACCTTCAAGTTACGGATGAGTCTGGACGCCCAGTCATCGATATCGTTACAGAAAGGGGTTGGGAGGAGGGACTTTCGCTGCTGTTTCCAAATGCTCAGGCTAGGCAGTAGGTAGGTGCCTTCCTCTACTCGTAACCGCTTGCTGTAATGTTAATGCGATAGCAGTGGCAACCTGTCTGTTGTCGACCCGGATGTGGATTACGAATTTGATAGCGAAGGACTATATGGATACGAAGACGACGAAGAAGGATCATGGTGGGTATGGGGATGAATCAAGTGGGTCCTTCGCCGACCCTGGTTGAGAGAACACACTTTCGTTTAATGTGAGGGCCGGGTACAATGTTTTAATATTTCTTATGTGGGAATATTTCGGTCCGTTAGACCTTGGGAATTTTGATATCCCCCGACATCTCTTTCCTTTGTATATTTCTATGTATTTCATATGTTCACTCAAGAGTGTAAAATATAATCTACTTAATTACTACAAGGCCTTCACCTCTCGTGAACCTTATCAAGCTTACCTGCATCGCACGATGGGGTTTATTGCAACTTATGCCTCTTAACAATGTGACTAACACTCATACTGCGTCCACAGATTGCCCAAGCAGCATAGAACCCATTAGGGTCGTCAATTACCTCAGTTCCCTGCCAAACAGGATAGTGTCTCATGCGGCAGACAAGTCTAGCCACTTCCAACTCATCTGCCTGACTTTCTCAACTCGGTTAAGAACTAATATGCCCGAGCAGGAAGAAGATGCATCAGAATCTTTAATGATTTTAAGGATTGTACCCATCAAAGACAATGATGTCGTGCTGACGCTGCACTAGAGTCAATGATCTACACAGCCTGGCATTACTGCCACTTATTCTTAGCAAATTGGTATTGAGATCTAACCGACAGATCAAGGGTTAAATAGAATATCAATGACGAGTACTAGAACCGTAAGAGAAGACTATTAGGAATAAAAAAAAGGATGAGAATTTTATGGAGCACAGTTTGCTATTACTATTACTGTACGAGGTATTCGAGCAGGGAGCACAAGGTACGGTGAAGGGAGGCAGGATAAAAGGTATATAGTATGGTAGAGCTATAGTAGGAAGTAAACCTCATGGTCGGAGGTAGAGGTACGGAGGCTTATATACCTGCCCCCAATCACCTTTGCCGTGGCTGATGTACTCGGTGGTTTAGATGGCCGTTGACATAGTGTAAATTCCAAAATCTAGTATTTGCAATCTATAGTAATCTAACCCTAAAGGATTGGACTCGAAACATACCAAATCTATCAAGTAAGTATACTTTTATTCTTTGTTTAGGTAAGCTTTTTGCTTGTTCTGCTTGGCCTAGGCATGCTGCGTAGTGTGAGCGCTGGCTCGGTTTGTTTAATGCCAGAAGAGGGTGATCATGGTTACGTGACTCAAGCTGACTAACCCTGCCTTGTGGATCGTCGTGTTTCTTTTTCCTGGCTCTGAAATCCTCAACACTCCTTCTTTATCGTTGTTTAGCTCTTAATACCAACTGCTAGGATCATTCGTAACACAACGCTCGCACATTTTTAGAATAAGGATAGGTAGCTGTATTAACAAGAAAAACAAGCAAGGGAATCCAATGCGCAGTTTTCGAATAAATGTGGAAGGCGATGCATTGATAGAATTCTATTCAAATCGCGGAGGGCACATCTTCCCAATCCGGCATGCTCAATGTGTACAATCAAACACTTCATAAAACAGAGGCCCTAACCTCAAGTTTCTGCGGTGCTTAATTTAGGATCGACAAGCATATAAGAACATCGGATCAATCAAAGATAGCGGATGTCGAGTGCTTTACAAATAAAGACAACTTCGTCGAATATTTACAGATGCCCATGGGCAGGAATACCTCTCCGTAGGATGAACTCAGATCCTTTGGTAAGATGCATAGTATGCAGATTACCCCAACAATGGTTAAGGCGGAGGATGTCCAATTTCTAGGAGTCGAGCTGGATGCCAAGTGTAGGTCAGATCGGATACCTTGGGACAAGGTTCATGCATCCTCTAACATGTTCCGAATTTCGATGTGGGGAGGTCAATTAAAGAATTAGAGAGTGTATTGTTGAGGGCATGATTTAAAACCCCTTCAGCGTCCACTGCTTTTGAAAGAAAATATTTAGCAAAGAACAGGATCGACAAGGCGCATAAGCACCGTACACGTAGCAGCCAGAATAGCAATTCGAAAATATATGCATACTGAATCTCGTGAGTCTGACTCTGAATCTCGTCGAAGATTAATCGAAGCTCAATCATAAGATATCCATCCGACGGCTGCATGCTGGAATAGTGTATAGGGCTGAATAATTTCCTCAGAAAACTAGTGAAGAGTTTCTGCTGTGCTGCTCTAGTCATTGAGCAAAGGCAACACCGTTACTAGTCGCTTAAGCCGGTAAGGTCGGAAATTAAGAGGACTAAATCTTATGGCGCCTCGCTCAAATTCCTTTAGGTCTGAAAAGATCTGAAAGAAGTCCGGTGACATGATTAGGTATTGTGTAGATCGTAGCCAACATTCTTGGGAGTTGGGAGCGTGAGAAAGGCTTGAGGACTGGAGTTCATAGGTGGCTCTGAGAAGAGGGGTTTCGAGCATGTCTGTCAACAGATAAACGGAGAGCACGTTATAGACACGGAACATTCGATCGAAAGTACAGCTAAAAGCTGATTATACGCATCCTACCCGAAATATTCACCACCGAACTCAGCGCATTACTAGAATGCCATCCCGAGCTCATGGCCGTCAAGCCCTGTGTTATCCCACCCAAGTCCTTGACCAACCATTCCCATGCCCATATCGAGAGGAAGGAAGCCCGTCCAGAGACCATAATCATCAACATTAGCGCCTGATCCTGCGCCATTAATCGCAAATTCCCCAACAGCAGAGAGATCGGTCCAGCCGAAGTCACCCATTTGCTCCGTAACCGCCGGACTTTCGCCTGTACCAATGCTTCCAGCCTGAGAAGGAGTTTGAGCTGAGCCAGTACCAGGCTGCCCTTGTCGGAAACCGTTGTTGTCGAGTGTCGTGTTTGCGATGTGTGTGCCTGGGTGGTGATATGACGCTCGCGTGGCCTTGTCTTTGCGTGGCACCTTTGCCCAGAGCAATTTCAGAAGTTGGCTGTATCTGCTTCCCGGATGCTGCATTTCGGTACCTGCCCCCGCGCTGCTCCGTTGGAGCCTAGCGATAGTTTCGTTGACCATTGCACGGATGGCTCGATCTTCTTCACTCCCGATGACGCCTGTACATCTCGCCCGGTACAAGAAAACACCAGCGTATACTAGATAGAGGTAGTAGCGAAGGGGCATATGTCGAAGTGCCTTCTCCGGATCAACAAAATTGTTTGCAGTAGTAAGTATCGCTTTCGCGGCATCAAGGCCCTCGTAAATGAATCTAGCGTCTCCCACAGCTCCGACATTGTTACAGAATACTCGCTGAGGGGCCTGCATTTTGGAACTAGGAGCAACAGATTGTTGGGTAGATGCTGTAGGCTCTGACGTTGGGGGAATTGCGATGGGCATAGCACGCCTCACGGTAGCCTGAAATGCAAAAGCATTGGTGTACAGTCGGAGGTAATCGTAGGACATCAGTAGGCAGGCCTTTAAAGGAGCTGAACAGGTCAGCGTTCCCCAAACGCTCTTCCAGCCGTAGATTGCAGACCGAAAATCGTCGATGAACTTGATGTAGCTCCCACTCAGATGGGATCTAAAACTTGACCCAGGATTTGAGTAGAGGACATCATGGACATTACTGAAAAGTTGCGTTAACTCCAGATTGGCTTGGAAGATGCTGGCGTGGTCCTCCTCGTTAGAGCTACGTGGAATGAGGGATGGATAGTCTTCGCGGCGAAGGGATGTCATCGGACCAGGTCCTCGAGACCAGAAAGCCTTCCCTATCCGAATGGAAATGTGCCGATCACAAATATAGGCAGCCGTCCAGATGAGGCGTTTCCGGCTGTGATTCGGATCCTTTCCGTCGTCGACCACTCGAAAAGAGTAGCGATCGAGGGCGAGGAAGTACCCAATCCTTAATGCAAGACCGACGTGCATCCAGCTTTCTTTGTCCTCTTCTCCCTTCCCCACTTTTCCAGATCCTCTTTGAGTGTAAGGTGCCCATTCTGCTAGGAGTAGCAGTGCTTCGACAGCTTCAACATCAGCATCGCCCCCAGCGGCCAAATTGGACACCAGGCTTTTCATATAGTCTGAACATGATTCGTATATATGAGATTCTTCGACGAGGTCTTTAGATGAGATGACAAGGATAGCCGTAAGCAGATGAGGTTCGGACTTCGCGGTCTCAGCCAGTTTCGAGGTATCGAAAGTCTGGGCAGGCGCCAAGGGATAGTATGGGTGGTAGTTTTGTTGGTATCGTATGAGCAGCTGGCAGACTGTGGGCACAGAAAGCCTTCCGCTGTCCAAAAGCCAGTAAGAAAAAGACGGTGGCTGATTTGGGCGTTCTAAGGGCTGAGGCATTGAGACACCGGGCGGAGGGTTCCCATGTCCATTTGTAGATGGATCCCTATTCTCAGTACTTGTCTCCGCAACTCGAGCCAGTATACCCAAGGCGTCCGAAGGATTTTGAAGATTCGGGAACGGAATATCGTCCGGCGTGGCAGATCCGGACCGCGGCATTTGACTATCTCTCCGAACCTCCTGCTGATGATTGGATTCGGTTCGAGGCCATGGGCTCGTTCCAACGTTCCCAACGCCATGAAAGCTGCCGTCTTCATCACCATATGCAGCTGGCGTTGGAAGTATTTGCGAGTCAGCGGGCTTCTTACGCACCCTTCTGCCCCCGCGGTTAGATCCACCGAGAACGCAGTCAAGACCATCGCGTTTGCACCGAAGACATGGAACGGAGCCATCAGTGTCTCTGTGAAGGCATAACCGTCAGCGTGAGGCAATTCTGGACAGGTGGTATGAAGTTTCGGCCTCGTGCACATACAGCAGACATCGCGACTTCCTCTTCCGACAGTTTAGGCAGGCTTGATTGGCCCTCTTGATCCTCGGAGAGTTGTCATCAGGCGCTGGGGGCAAGGGAGGTGGTGCGGGCGTCGACGTCTCCATTCGGGCATGTTGTCTTACATCGAAGGTATACAGAAGCTAGCCGGCTTTTGAGACGTGCTGTCCTCTGGGGAGGGACTTTGGAGGGGATCGGGATTGCGCATGTCGGGCATATAACATCAACTGCCGGATCACGGATAATAACTCCATTGCCCAATCAGAGCCTGTCGGCAATTGAACCGCTTCTCAGGTCATATCTTCCACCTACAAGAGGAGCAAGACGGTTCAAAACAGTAGCTCATTAATTGGCTCCGCGAGGAGAAATAGTGAGGATATTTAAATATCGGCAAGAATGACACTGGAGAACGGATCTTGTTTGAGTAGGGATGGCTTTCTCCCCGATACGGGAAGGGAAACACTTTGCAGCCAACTGAGGTGTAGCGTTGTATCTCTGCTATTCCGTATAGACACATGAGTCCAATTATTCCGAGATACGAAATCTACACATGTGGATACTCGACGAAAAGGTAAGATCAGCACATCCTAAACGAGACTAGCGCGGTAATGTTCCGTCTTAACTTCCAACCTCCACGATTCTTCCTCAGATCACACTTAAACTCTACGTAAACCTCTCTTGAAACCCCCGCGTACAGCCGGGCAAAGCTTTGTGCGTTCCTTATTCGAACAATCCCCGCCAACCAGCACATATGCGATCTCCCAGCATCCCCATTCTTACCGGCACTGCCCTGCCCCCATCAAAAGCGGAAGGTCACTCAGTTATCACCATCTCCATCACGGTAGATCACGCATGCCAAAGCGGAAGCTAGATGAAATGTTCCAACTCTGATAAGCTTAAATCTAGGCGACGCCCAGGGGATTTGCAGCGTGTGCTTGATCGACAGGGAAGCATCCCTCACCTGGAGCAACTGAGCATGCCGAATCAGGCATCTGCGTGAAACTGCCAAGGTAGGGCAACGAGCTTGACAAATCGTCACGCGTGCTCCTCCAGATTGTTCGTTCAACACAGGGACCTAGGTACGCATTTTATATTAAACAAGGCCCAGTGATATGGGAAGGAGCGAAACATTAAGTCGCGTATGGCAGGTGTAAATGATAGTCCACCATTTGTCGCTCTTTCACTCAAACAATGGCTCGACGGCGCTCACGTTGTATAAATACTATGGCAGGTAGCTGTAGCTTGTTCGCTCCCCCGCCTTCTCTCTCATCCATCGTTAAGTCATGAAGTTCCTCGCTGTCGGCCTGGCGTCCCTAACGCTTACCTCCGCCGTCTCAATCGCGCAAAAAGCCAACTACGACGGCTACCAAGTATACCGCGTGAACGTAGGCTCAGACCGCTCCAAGCTTAGCGATATCGTTAGCAGCCTTAAGCTCTCAACATGGAAGGGCAAGGTCGAAACTAGCGACGTCGTCGACGTAATGGTGCCGCCATCCCAACTCTCCGACTTCAAACAATCTACCGAAACGCTTAACACCAAACTCATGCACGAAAACCTTGGCGCCTCTATCTCCGAAGAGACAAAATTCCACGTCTATGCATGTATGCACCATCCCATATTTCTGTTCATGCCCACATTTACCCCGAAGACCCGCAATTCATATCGAACCAGCGCTAACGCATCACCCAACATCAGCCGGTGCAGCTCCAAACTCGACATGGTGGGATTCCTACCATTCCATTGCCGACCACACACAATTCCTTAAAGACCTAGCTGCCGCATATCCGGACAATTCTGAAATCATCAGCGCTGGAAAGTCCCTTGAGAACCGGGACATCACGGGAATCCATATCTGGGGAAGCGGGGGAAAGGGTTCGCAGAAGGGTGTGGTTTGGCATGGAACTGTGCATGCGCGAGAATGGATTACTACTATGGTAAGTGAGAGAGCCCCCGATATAAGATTCTTGAGATTGGTACCGCGCGGATTTTGATATGTGGGATAGGTGGTTGAATACGCAGCATACACGCTTCTCGCATCAACGGACGCCGCGGATATGGCCTTCAAGGACAAATACGACTTCTACATCTTTCCGATTGTGAATCCAGATGGCTTTGCGTACACGCAGACTAACGACCGCATGTGGCGTAAGAACCGCCAATCCACCTCATCTGCTAGCTGTGTCGGACGAGACATCAACCGCAACTGGCCGAATCAGTGGGCGCAAGACGGAGGCGCTAGCACGCAGCCCTGTGCACAAGACTACAAGGGACAGGCGGCAGGCGATGGTGTTGAGACTAAACAATTAAAAGCTCAAATAGATAGTGTGGCGGCTGGAAAGGGCGTCAAGATGTACATGGATTTCCACTCGTACTCGCAGCTCTTTATGTACCGTAAGTATAGTATTCCCTATATTTCCCCCATCCTCCTTCTCTCCTTTCCCGTCATGGTACCTGCTTGGACCACATCTTGCTCCTTTTCCTCCACCTCCCAACTCACCAATTAATCCCCCACTTACAATCTCTCAGCATACGGTTACACCTGCAGCGGCACAATCCCCAACTCCGCGACCTATGACAAACTAGCCCGCGGCGCAATCGCCGCCATCAAAGCTGTCAACGGCGTCTCCTTCCAACCTGGTCCCATCTGCACTACCATCTACCAAGTGTCCGGTGATTCTGTAGACTACGCGTACCAAGTGGCAGGCGCCGAGTTTTCTATGACGGTGGAGTTAAGGGACCAGGGGACTTATGGGTTCGTATTGCCGACGAATCAGATTCGCCCGAGTAGTTTGGAGATGTGGGCGGGGTTGAAGTATGTTTTGGGGAATATGTGATGGGAGGGAAGGGGAAGGGTGGATGGGAGTTTGCATTCTTGGAGTAGGCTGGCATGCAAGGAAGGCATATTAGTAATGTCTATATATATGGAATTACTGAACCTTATTCATGAATATTAACAACACAACATTCAAGGATTTATACTTGATCGTCACTGATAGAGCCAGATTAAAAAATTTTTTTTTTTTTTTTTTCAAGACACAGAACAAGCACAAGCACATCCACGAAGACCTTTAGTATAGATAATATGAATTATCCACTAAAGATTATGGATAGCTCTCCTCACCCTCCTTAGAACTCCAAATCCAAAACCGTATCCATATCCATAAAAGATTGGGTATACTCAAACCAACCAACCAACCAGCCAGCCAACCAACCATCCATCCATGCTTTCCATTCCAATGTTAATCCAGATCCACGGTCCAGCCTCCCATATATACAAGCCGACCGACACCAACCGCCCAATACGATTACGACAGCGCGTACAGAAGAAATTTCCGCCACCCGATTTTTTCTTTCTTTCCCAGCAGAACAGAGCAGAGCAACGCCTCTAAACACTGAGCATGTAAATAATGGAATATTCGCACCAACCAACAAAAGAAACAGACAAAAGGACAAGCAAGCGAATGACAAGAGAGATTATTGATCAGCTCAGCGAGAGACCATTGAAACGCCAGATGTCATGAAGCATAACTCATAACATCACGATTGTGTCTCCCTCCTTTTCCCCTCTTATGCAACATACGCCGGCGGCGCATCGACCTCCTCATCCGTCCACAACCCCCCTCTCGGGAGCATGCCTGCCGATTTCGACGTTTGCGGTCGTGGTCGCGGACGTCGTGTCGGAGTATCTGGATCTTGCCCCACGGCCTCTTTCTCCTTCTCCTCCTGCACCTTCCTCGCGATTTCATGCGCCATCTTTAACATCCACGCTTGCTCCAAAATCCCGCCCGTCGACGCCGTCCCATCTTCCGAGGACCGTGGCGACAGCGGGATCTTAGAGCCCGAAGATATTGAAGATACTTTGTCAAATGACAACGACCGGAGGAGGGGAGATGTGGTTTGCTGCGCTGTTCGGAGGCGGTTGCTACTAAGCGGAGGCCTGCTTCGTTTACTCTCATTCTCAAAGACCCCGCTTTGCGATTTCTGTGTATGTTTACTCTTCGAAAGCTTGGGCGCTTCCTCGAGCAGCGGCGCAGCGGGTAACAAGCCGCCTGGAGCCGCCTTCTCCACCACCCTACCTGGTTCTCCGACATCCAGGCTTCCATGCTTGCCTTCGAAGCGTAGCCCACCACCTGCAGCTTTGGTGGGGCTCCGGGGGGGTGTAGTAGGTTCTTCTTCGCCTTCTCTTTCTTCAGGTATGACGCTTGCCGTTTCCGAGACGTTTGTGCTCGGGAAAGGAGTGTTTGTGGCATCGGTGGAGACACCTGAGGATTCGGTGCCGTCTTTGCGGAGGTTGACGACGCGCTTCTTGCGCTTTCGCATGGGGTGGGTGCGGGATCGGTTTGCGCTGAGACTGAGGCCGGCGGGGCCCGAGTAGGCGGATACAAGTGATGGCCGGGTGGCTTGCGTGTCGTTTCCTGTGCTGCCGGATGCGACGGAGGATGTGTTCGATTTAATGCTTCCGAACGTTGACTGGATCCTCGATAGGCTTGAGAGTGTAAGTGCTGGCGTATTTGACCCAGAGTCGGCGCGGTCGGAATTATTCGCCCAGGCGCGGAATACAGCTTCGCGGATGGATGGTGTGAACAGCGAGAGTGTCCGTTGCGATTCTGACAGCGCCGCGAGACGAAGTATGTTCTTCTGTGAGAAGGACGCGTGGACTTCGGAGGCGGGATCGAGGGAGAGGGCGGCGATTTGGTCCTCATCGAGAGGGTTGCCGAAGGCATCGACGGCATCTTGGGGAGGAGTAGATAGAGGGTCGATGGGCGCGGTGGTATCTTTTGAGCCATCCAGCCTCTGCTCTGTCTCGAGCTCTTGATACTCTTCCGACCATAGGCGAAGAGAAAGACGGTGAATGATAGCTGGAAGATCCTCCATAAAGAGCACTCTAAGCTGGCCTTCAATCTCCTTCTGCAGGTAGTCTCGCACGAATGGTATCGAGTCAAAAGTCGACGACACCTTGAGCGACTCGAGGGGATCATTCCGGAAAACCAACGTCAGACCCTTCTGCTTCGAGAAAACCAGTATCACGAACCCCGACAAGCGAATATCCGACAGTGTAATCTGCAGCGGTATCGTCAACCCGGAGGCCGCAGCTAGTGGCTGAGGCGACGCGAAGTCCGGTTTTGTGGAGAGGAGGGTATTCAGCGGGTTCGCCTGAACCTTTGTTTTCAGTGTCAGGAACGCATCACCCGTATACGACATTTTGAATATTCCCCTGAACCGATCCTCTGCCAAATCGCCAATCTCCAGTATCTCTAGCTCGGGGGGAGTGGACCCAAGGTTAAGCTCAGTAACGATGATGTCGTCGACGATAATGGGCGGCTTGGGAGATTTATTAAGGGCGATGGTGAGCATCTCTCGAGCGCGCGAGGTATCCGCAATCAGCGGCGACCAGTTGAAATTGAACGCCATGGGTATGTTCTTCTACTGCGCAGGTGTCGCGTTGAAGCTATAGAGATGGAAGTTAGACAGTGTTGTGAGCAGATGATGTCGCCGTCAGTGTCGCGTGCATGCCTCTCGTCGCCGCGTGAACGGAAACCTGCACCATCCATCCACCAAGGCCGAAAAACCCAAGAGCACGGGGGAATCTGGGGAACTCGGGGAGGGCAATAAACACTGGAAGCGGGGGGGGGGGAACAATGGTGATATGCGATGAAAATAGCGTTCGGTCTGGTGATAGCACGGGGGTGTGGTGTGAGTGAAGGAGGATGGGATGACGGTGAGAGAATTTCTCGGAGTCGGGGATGGGAGGCACGGAATTTGTGATGATGTGAAGGCGCAGAGGGCCATGGCTGGGCTCGGCTGCCGGGGGGCTTCGCGCGAACTCTTCGGCTTTGGCGTGCGCCCCTGCCACACTGCCTCCAATCCTGTCGCGAAGTGCACCGTCCTGCAGATGCTGATTTGTTTGCAAAGACGTTGCGCATCATCACCACATGCACGGAATCATATTTTCATTGCTCTGCTGCACTCCTGCCGCTGCTCTTGCTGCTGCTGCTGCTGCTGCTGCTGCTTTTTCCGCTGCAGAGATCCCACGTCCCACGTCCCGTATGCTGGCTGACATAATCTACCAAAACATGGCAACTCACAAGCAGCTGGTCACGAACTGGCATCTCCTTAATTTACGAAAACGCGCATCCTAGTCATCCTTCGCGGCAAACCTTGAACAGGTCCAAATCTCGATGCTCTGGCAAGCTCGATCCTGGCTTCGGCGAGCTCTCTGCTGGCAATCAGCACGTCCAGCAGGGCTTGGCGGCGAATGCGTGCTGCACAGATCCTGTCTTGAGTCACTCTCTAGAAGTTCAAGCATCGCATTTGCGGACAAGCCTGAATTTCGAACGAAGCCTTCAAGTTTTGTGTGTGTGTGTGTGTGTGTGCACTGTGGGGATCGTGGAGAAGAAGCGAGAGTTAGCGGTGAGAGAGCCTCACACGTCGGATATGTATGCAGCAGCAGCGGTGAATGCAACAATGCACAACCGTGAATCGTGACCACCTGCAACCCTCCATCCATCCACCCATCTGCAACCGTGGACCACTAGTAATAGTCCGCCTTTCCATATATCCCTAGCCTCAGCATCCAGACTCTTGGAATTCCTTTCGTCCCAATTCCACCACCTTCCGCCCAGCCTCTACGAGCGGCTCTCGACGGCTCCACGGGGGCGGCTTCACGTCTCGTCCTCGTCCTCGTCCGCCTTCAGCAGCTTCTCAACAGCCTCCACCTTATCCTTAAACCCCTGTTTCTTATCCGTCCGCGTCCCAATTCTGATGTCGCTCTGGATCCGCACAACGCCATTTTCATGCAACATAGCGTGGCATTGACCGATGACTTTCATCACTTCGTCCCATGACCCTTCTACAAATTCACCCCCCCACAATCGTCAGTCTAGCATATCAACCTGCACCGTACCAACATCCGCATATTTGCGGCATGCCAGTGGAGCATGAAGGACAGTGGGTGGGGAAGACTGGAAGTCGGGGGGTGGTATGAAACATACCAACAGTAGTCCCAGCCGAATGCATGGAGTAATTCAGACCGCTTTTCTTCAACAGCCGCTGTACTTCGGCGACTTCCTTGGACACGGATGCCGTCGGGGTGCCGAGCGGGATGAGACAGAAATCTGCCGTGCATGCTGCCGGCGTCGGGAGAGCTGAGAGGTTGGTTGACGTTGAAGCCATGTCGGAATTATGGATGTTTGTGCGTCGTTGAAAGTAGGCTGTGGTGATTGGTCGAGCGGGTGGGAGGTTTGGGTGTTCATGTCGGAGCTTCGGAAGGGTGCATGAGAGCTAAGTATTCCCCAACAACATCCTTTTAGTTTGCGATGCTGGTGTTATCGACGAAATGTCCCTACGGCCGCGGAATCTAGCAACAGGTTTGTGGGACTTCCTGTTACCTAGTAATAATATTTTGTGAGGTGCTACAGGATGTGGTCGACGGCGATTCTGCAAACATGATTTATTTTCCAAATTTTTTGCTCTAGTTTCAGCTTCATTCACACATTCAGTATCGTTATTAGAGGTTTGTAGGTTTTTTTCATTCTTCCCCAACCGATTTTGCCAACTAGAGCCTTTACCCATTAGGTCATTTTCAGGGTCCCTTTCAACGTCGTTCTCTTCTCGATTGTTCTATGAATACATCCACTTTGAAGATGTCTCATGTCGCTACTCAAGCAGCTGCCTCCTCAACTATCCTCAAAGCCTCCGGAAACTCCCTCCAATGTTCCATAACAACCACTGCCCCGCACTCCTCCTTCAGCACCTTCCTCATCTTCACCTTTTCCTCTTCCTCATACGGCCCCACATACCCAATCAACGGAATCCCCGCCCTCTTCGCCGCCGTAGCCCCCGACCTGCTATCCTCAACCGCCACACACTCTCCAGGCTCAACCCCCAACTCCTTGCACGCATGGATATAAACCGCTGGATCCGGCTTCGACGTTGGCGTCGGCAGCGATGTAGCCGCGGAATACACGTGCTTGGGGTCGAAGAAGATATCCATACCGACCTTTGCAATACTCGCTTGAACCCTGGATAAAGCCGACGATGAGACGACCGCCATGTGGTATGTTTTGTTTGCGTGGATTTTGTTGAGTTCATCCATGACTCCGTGACATGGCTGTGCATCTTTTTCGAGCTTGGCAACGACGGCGCCGAGCTCGCGCGAGACGTAGGAGTCGAATTCGTCGTCGGTGAGCGTGAAGTTGTATTTTGAGCAGAGAGATGTCATCATGCCGCGGAAATTCTGGCCGACAAAGGTTTTGAGGAGAGACGGGCCTGTAAACCTGTCGGCTACGTTCTTTTTTTCGAGGATCTCGTTGGCGAGTTCGGCGCAGGCCTCAAAAGCGAGATCTTCGGAGAGGACGAGCGTGTTGTCACAGTCCAGGAGGATCGTGGTGATCTGGGTGTTGGTGTTAGCTTTGGAGACACAGTGGGGATCCCGGAGAACGGTGCTCAAAAATGAAGTAATGGTGGGGGAATGCGGTGTGCGGCTTTGAGAGAAGCTTGAAGTAGCTTCATAGCTCCAACATGGCTAGCTCTAAGCCGCAGGAGGGTAGAGGCTAGGTCACTTACCTTGCCCTTTGCCATCTTGAACGTCGTGTATATGAGAAGATTTGAAAGGTGTTGGAGCAATCAGAAGCCTTCAAGGTCCAACTCAAGGTTGAACAGGAGGGGATCGAGGCTGGAGAGAAGGTTGAGGTTGAAGAAATGTATTCAAAGAACTCTCCATAAGTGAGCTGCTGCTATCTTATATAGGAAGAGAACCAAGCCCAGTATCCACCACCAAAAAGAGCAACCACAGTACGTAATTTCCGCTCAAAACGTGAAGCTGCAAGGAATAACTACCTTCTCCCTTACTTCCGCAAGTGTTACATTGTACACAGCTCCGCCTTGATCACGCAGGACAAAAGCTCCAGCGCGCGGAGCTTCGTGCCTACTCCCCACCATATCGCACACCCCCCAACAAGCCCCCAATGCCTACATATCCCGCCTCAATCCCGCATCCCCGGAGTCTCCTCCTTCTCCAACCTACCTCCGCCCTGCCATCATTCCATAAGGTGAGGTGAGGCGAACGCCATCCCCCACACAAATGGCCATAGCGCCCCGTCACGAGGGAAGCTCGAATGCCACACCGAGCCTAGCCTCCACTGCATCGTGAGTCAAGAGCCGCGTTTGCTGGAACATCAGGCGTGAGCCTTCTTTTGCTTTTCAACGCCGTGGACTTTACATAGGTTAGAGCTGAGTAGGAGTTAAGGATGACATGAGACGATGTCTGGGGTAGCGGAAATAGCATTGGCAATTGAAGACCTTACTTTTGATATTTCTTAAGGAATATGTCTGTCAGTTCTCAATTCCTCCCGCAACTAGAATAAATTCAATAATTCTCCATTTCTTAAAATTTTCCACGTCTGTCCACATCCCCCCCCACCCGTCTGCATTTGCACCTGCATTAGCCTCCGCGAGAGTCAGATCCCCTTCCACATGACTTCAACGCCAACATTAACCTCTTCGTTGTCAATCATCTACACCGCTCAGGCTATAAAACTCCACCCACCCCTAATTCCGCTTCCGCACCGTCACGCGGTCGCAGGAGACAACACCAACCCCCATGTATCATGAAGCTCGGGGCAATATATCCGGGGAGAAAACATATAAGCGTGGAGGTGGTGGGGAGCTGAGGGGGGCAAATCATGTTAGCTGCAATACCCCAGTCTAATCCATGCCTCCAGACCTCAGCGAAGATGGATATCAATCAAACCCCTGCGGAGACGACGTTAATAGGTGGATGATGTGAAGTCAAACTTGTATCCATTCATTCACAACCGGTCTTCCTCATTACCACCACCAGCTATCCTATAGGTCTCCCCTCCCTCTCCCTCTCAATTCTCCCTCAATTAGGCCCTCAACATGTTCCATCTCACCCCATCCCATCGTATCCCAATCCCAAATCCCATATCAGAGAAAATCAGGCCCCGAACCAGCGTATCCCTACCACTCTGAGAATAAGCACTCGCTGAAGAAGTGTGAGAGAAAATGAGCAGCCACCACCACCGCCACCACCAGGAGATCCCATAACCAAAAAGATATAGTACAACGGCCACCAAAGAGCGGTAGCGAAATGCGAAGAAAACTCTACCGATGCTCAACTCTAGCTGACGCAAAAGTTAAGGCTGGTCGTTCCGAATCAGAGAACAAAAATCGCTTGAACACAACAGATATTATTGAGAGCTGGACGAACAGACGAAGTAGAGCTGACGGCGAACACTGACGGCTGTTGATATGATTTGCTGGTCTGGCTGGTAGGCATACACCGGACTTCCCCATATGTGCAATTATCGTCGGACAAGTGGAAAAGGCGACGAGCCGGCCATGTCGTTGTCGAAGCATTCGATCGAATCATCGAAGCCGACAGGTATTCGTTCAGCTCTTCTCGTACGACCTATTGTTCTCGATCTGCTTCTGGCCGCCAGCGTTCGCTGCCTGCCAAAAGTCCAAACTGGCGATGACGTCGTTGCCGATCTCGTCCTCGTATGCATACAGAATCTATTTGTTATGAGCATGACTTCTATGAATAAGGCCGTGGGAAAACTCACTTCTCTTGTAGAGGAATGGAGCATCCTGATGTTCTTCGCTGTCACAATGTGTATAAGGCCTCCACTGTCCATATGGCGAATCTCAATGAAGCTCGGCTCAAACGCAAGAATGTACGGATGGAATATGGCAAAGGCCTGGGGATTGCCTTCCCATGCGATCTTCCAATCCGCCCGAGCACGCCAGCCGTTTCGATTGACAAAGAAACTGTAATCCGTATAGCAGAGCAAGAACTCACTTGCCATACGCTCGATATGGATCGGCTTGATGTTTTCTTTCCGGGCGACGAAATCGAGCGAAGTGTCTGCTTGATCGAGTAATGATTGTGTTTCGAGGGTTTCGAGACTAACGACTTCGAAGCCACGGGCGCAACCGACACAGAGTTTCGAGCGCAAGAAATGGATCGAGGATGATTCGGTCGGAATGTAGAATTCTTTGTAAGATTTTAGCTGATCCTGTCCAGTAGAAAGCATTTTTGCAAAACCTGATTTCTTTGATTTACCGGCCATAGAATCTTTAGGCTCAAAGACCTTGATCGTTGTAGACAACGAAGTAGTCTTAACAGACGCCACAAGCTGCTGTCCAAGACAAATGCCAGCCTTGAAAAAGTTGGCATGACATATCTTCTTGGGTCGTTTGGCAATGGCTTGTGATTCGTCTGGGTCTAAAGCTTCCATGGCGTAGGAATAAAGAGTCTTGTCGGCTAGGACGAGGACGATTTGATGTTGCTCGAGAACATCGACCTGCGTGACTGATTTGCAGTCCAGCACGCGCCGAGGCTTGAAGGACGCATCTTTTGGTCTTCGCTCTACAACAAAGATGCCAGCTTCCGTTCCGAAGACAAGCTTCCGGCCACCATCTATCTATTCGTCAGTATTGACTCGAAATTGAAGGGTGTGTTGGGTGACTCGCCGATTGGCACAGCACAGGTAACCCTAATTGCAGAAGAGAAGAAGCCTTCATTGAGAATGGTCTTCGTGAAGATGTTGCTTCGCTCCCGCAAGTTACGCTGCTGAGTCTCAATGTGCTCCATCCATTTCTGCTGGGAAATTGGTGTGCTCGCGAATAGAGTTAGTTCGTACCCACCCTTTCCAAGATGCTTGAAAGTGATTGGGTAACCTTGCTGCTTTGTTGTATCGCTCTTTGGAGTTGTTGTTGCGATGGTTTTTGCACTGCTCATCAGATTTCCAGATGGTCGTTTAGATATACCCATCTTAGGAATGATTTCATCCATCTGAGTGATGACAAGAAGTTCGAGCGGTATAGGCTTTTTGTAGACTTTCTGTTCTTCGCGTTTGTTGACGGTCTTTATGCGGACCAGGAGGACCGCATGATCAAAAAGGTAACACGTTATGTCGCCAGTGGTGTCCGTGGGACTCTTCTTCAGCATGCCCTTGAAGACTAATTGACGATTCTCATCTGTCAATTTCAAGTCAACGAATTCGCCAGGACGGAATTTGAGGTCTCGATTCAACTGCATCAGGTTGAAGTGGTTCTCCGCTTTGCCAGACTCAATGTTGACTTTGGATAGCGTTTGCTTAATTATAACAATAGCTTTAGGGATGTCTTGCTTGTCAGGGTTATCATCGGCCGTGTACTTGAGAATGTTCTCCAATAGTAAGGGATACCTCGCCAATCTTGTTGTGGGCTTAGTGAGATAACCGTTCAATTCGAGTTTTCTTGACTCCTTCATTCTCTCAACTTCGTCCACAAATTTCGAGAACTCTATGTTGGTGCGCTTCTCGTGTTCGAATTCGTATTTTCCGAAAAGCTGATTGGAACCATATTTGATGAATGGCGAGAAATGCGGCACATACTCCATGAAGATGTCGCCGATGTTTCGAACAACGGGCTCCTTTTGCTGGCGTCGGGTGAGAGACTCTGCTAGTCTAGAATTGACCATGTACACTTCCTGGCAGTTGGAGAAAACGGTTCGCACGAATTTCTCTCGGCGATGCTCTGGAATAGGAGATCCATTCGCACTGCGCAGTGGTTTCATCCAGAAATCCCGGAGATACTCGAGGTCCTTTACGAAGTCACGCTCGGTGTACATCAATTCTGAAATGACTTCCTGCCGCTTCTGCTCCTTCTCGCTTACGCTCGCCGCCACCTCTTTAGAAACCGTGTTGATCCAGAGTTTCTGTTCGTCGTCCGCGTCGTCATGTAAACTTGCTCGAGACTCTGCCCGTTTGAGACCGAGCTGAGGCTTCATGTTCAGCCTCGCTTGTTGTTCAAGGCGGCGTGGGCACGCAATGGAATAACACAAGCGATCGCGAGTGCAAGTCGGTGAATAGCACTCCGTCAAGAGAGTGAATACACCATTCACCTCGGTTGTATCCTCCAAAAGAGTTTCCCGGAACTGATAGATTTCGTTGGTCGAGTCGCGGAGCCGGTGAGCATAAGTAACATCGTGGAAAAATTTCTGTGCATCCAAGGACCTGCCCAAGAGCAACGCCAGATTACGGTCCGTTGTTTTGATGATGTAGGCAATGAGATCAACAGCTTCCGCTCCTGTAAATGCACTCTTGTACACCAGCCCGTCCTTCTCTTTCTCGGCCAAGCTAACTCGATCCCGGAAGACTTCCGCAACACGTGAAAGAAGGGCAGGATACACAAGGGGTGCTCTGCGCTGCGAGACCATCATTGCCTGCGCTTGCTGTTGTGGAGTTGGGCCAGAAATTCTGTTGGTTTGCGTAGAGCTCGGACGAACAATCGCTGTGCTCATTGAATCAGTTCGTTCCGAGGGAGTGACAACTGTGGATGCCATGGACATGGTTCTTGACGGGATGCTGCCTTGGCTTGTGTTTCTGGTCTTGGCCCCGGGGCCAACGTTTACAGGAGGTGGAGAACCAGCAGGTATTTTGTTGTCCATCGGAGAACCCTCCTGTCCTCCTGACTCTCTCCTCCTGTTTGGAATAACTCTTCCACTCATAGTCTGAGCATACTCGTTGTCCCTCGAATAGGAACTCATGGACATGGTGCGTTCGTCGGGTCGCTCAGGGACAACTCGGCCTTGGGCGGTTGTCCTGGCCATATGGTTCATGTACGGCTGCTGCCGGAACGTATGAGCTGGGGATACTCCGTATCCTGGGCCATTCGGACCGTGTGGGTTGAACTGAGGACGAGGGCCTCCCGCCAGGGACTGAGAACGATAAGTGTCCGAGTTCAGGGCAGGGCCTGGTCCGCCGGGGCCACCAGGGAATCGGGGTGGCATTGGCTTGTTGAAAGGATGCTGGCCAGGGGGAGAGACTCGCGAGTCTAGTCTCTGAGGTTGCCCATACGGCTGGCGCTCTGGACGAAGTGGTCGCGGGAGGTACTGGGGCTGGGGCTGTCGTTGGATGGGGGGAGGTGCACCATCCGAATGCCGCTGCTGGGTATAGCCGTTAGGAGGTGGGCGGCTGAAGGTGTCTGGTGGCTGGTCGTAACTTTGAGGCCGCTGTTGGTCATAATTGCCGGGAGGCTGCTGATTGTACGGGATGGGAGGAGGCCGCCGATCGTACCCATTCATTGCTTGCCGGATTGGTGGAGCACGCTGCATCATATCGACAGTCTGGGTGGACATTGTTTGGGCGCGGTCAGGCGGGCGCATGACGGGCTGCGATGTCATTGTCTGCGAGCGGCCTGCCATGGCGGGATTGGCACCGAAGATGCTGGCGAAGGCGGCGTCCCTCGCCCCGGAAGGGGGATGGCCATAGTTCGGAGGGCGCGCATATTCCCTGCCCTGTTGTCCGCCGTACTCTGCCATGTAGGCGTCTCTATTTCCGAGTATCTAGGGCTTCCTATTGTGCATTCGCCGGGGTGGGAGGGGGAGCGGTCGAAGAGACTTTTGGGGGAGGGGGGACAGTTCGCTGCGTAATCCGGAAGAGCCAACAGGGAGAGGCGCAGCGTGCTAAGGACTCGTCGATCAGGGACAGCAGCGATGGTCACGTATAGTGGCAACGGACCGCGGCGGGGTGCGCGAGGGAGGAGGGCGTGTCGTCGGGGAGGGGGTTGGCGATTGTCGAAACAACAAAACTGTGGTGTTGTGTTCTCGGAGGTAGGATATCTCCCTGTCCAGCTGGCCCGGCGAGGGGCAGACGTGGGCTCCGGCGGCGGCGGAGGCAAGAATGGGCGCGATGGGAATATAGAAAAGTAAAGACAGTGTAGGAGATATCGTCTGGGGGAGGGATGGAGCGCCGTTTCACGTTGCAGCTCGTGGCGGCGAGCAAGTTCAAGGTGCTGCGAATCCGACGAGCGGGCAGTCAGTTGCCAAGGCTAGCAGCGAGATCACGGGCCAGGCCCGGCTTGTGTATCTCAAGGCCTCATCATCGCTGCACCCTCACCCATCGCCGCCCCCTGTCCGTCGCACACCACCACATCGCCGCAAGCCACACCCGAGGAAGGAGTTGCATAGTCACGATGGAGAACGAATTGACGCCGAGCTTCGCGCCGTTCTTTGGCATGGTAGGTTCACCCTGGCCGCTGAAGACCTAAGAGCTAACAGTGCTGCAGAGCGGTATTGCATTCGCCGTGAGTCGTCCCCCCCGTCTGAAATCTTATTAACCTGTTGCTGAAGCTGCCATAGATGATATTTGGATGTATGTAGCTCTGAGCCTTTGCACTCTATGCTCCAGCTGCTGATCACGTACAGGTGTTGGAGCTGCCTACGGGACGGCCAAGTCCGGCATAGGCATTGCGGGCGTTGGAACATACAGGCCAGACTTGATCATGAAGGTAGGCTCCCTTATTATGACCCATATGAACTTCTACTGACTCCACCATCCAGTCCCTGATCCCCGTCGTCATGTCCGGTATCCTGGCCGTGTACGCCCTCGTGATTTCAGTCCTGATCGCGAGTGACATACGGCCGCCCCCTACCAAGAACTACTCGCTATATGCTGGATTCTTGCACATGGCTGCTGGGCTGTCGGTAGGGCTGGCTGGGTTGGCCGCAGGATATGCTATTGGAATCGTGGGCGATGTGGTGCGTCGGGAGATGCTGAACTCTGGGATTCATGCTGACCTTGGTAGGGCGTGCGAGCATACATGCGCCAGTCGAGGATCTTCGTCGGCATGGTGTTGATTCTGATTTTCGCTGAAGTCTTGGGCTTGTATGGGTGCGTACTGTCTAAGCTGAAATGGTCCCAGGAGCGTCATGCACTAACTTGCACTAGACTCATTGTTGCTCTTATCCTCAACACCCGAGCGAGCGGTTGAAGACACTTCTGTTTTAGTATTCTATGTACAACCACTTATGGTAGAATGGACGGGCACAGGCATCCAATGTCACGGAGTTCTGGTATTTCCTTCTAATTCGGCTTATATTGAGCCATTGCATTGGGAGGATTGTGACTGGTCGGAGACGCGGAGGAGACGCGGAGGAGATCGGTGGCCGCTTTCCAGCGTATCGAGCCCTGATGTGTGTATCTTGGACTCTGGAATAGCGGTTCGTGGTACCGCGTGCGCTGCATTGGAAATACCACTTCATATAAAAGCCGTCGATCTTGGGGTACACACTCCGGCGCCTTCCTCCTGCGTGGTGAAGCGATGAAGGTGCTCTGCCAGTTTTAGGCCCATGGCTCGACAGCCTGTCACAGCCCTGCCAAGATGGACCATCGAGCACGGCACTTTGAAGCTGCACGACGCCGGGAAATGCATGGTGGAGCGTTCAGTGCACGGCGGAGCGTCCAGTCTTGTTCAGACGCCGAGCTGAATCTGGGTGTTCGGGACGAATAACAGCGAGTCGTGATTAAGGGGACGCGAGGGTGCGTATTACCTCCATTCCCGAAACACGGTCCCGAATGTTTTACATATCACCACGTGTCTACAGCGCAGCAGCAAGCAGAAGTAGGTGAAGTGCAGCTGTACTGAATGACGATGGAAGAAGGCGTGAACCATCCAGCTTCACTCCCGTACCGGTGGCTTCATCGGACGCACTCCCCACGCCGTGCGTCATCTGTCATGTCTGCAGGCGCTTTCTGACCCATGTAACCCCCGCCATCCGAGTTACACACTCCAGACCTCGACATCTTACGCTGCCCCGTCCATGGTTGAATGTAACAGCACACTCGGCGCCTCCGACCTCTAGAAGGTCCTGACACGGCACCAGCAGTTTACCCTCCTACAAACTCGCCCACGCCCGCACAGCAATGTTCTAGGAAAGAAGCCGCGCCTCTCGCACCTGCAACCCGCGCACACCAGCAGCCATGGCCGCAGCAGTTCGGAACACGGTTTCGAGCGTTCTGCATCACCACCACTCCAATCGGGAGCCCTCACCGCAAGCCAATCAGTTGCCAAACTCTCACGACCGCCAGGACTCGCCGGCCATGGAGCGCGCGCGCGAGGAGGAGAAGCATTCTCTTGCGCATTGGGAGGACCACAAGCGCCCTCTGAGCCCGGATCAGATCGCCAATGACGGGGACCAGCGAACTGTCGGGCACTCGTCGCAGGTGCTGCGACAGGACGACTTCGAGCTTATAAAGACTCTGGGAACGGGTGCGGAGACTTTGGCCCGTCTGCTCTGATCAAGTGCTGACCGTCACGCCAGGAACATTCGCGCGCGTATGGCTTGTACGGCTCAACAATGCCAGAGACGAGGACCAGAACAAGGTATTTGCGTTGAAGATTCTGCGCAAAGTGGACGGTATGCGGGCGTCCCTCCCCCCACAGATCCGACTGCAGCGACTAATAGCCGTGTCTCAGTGATCCGCCTCAAGCAGGTGGAACATGTGCGAAACGAGCGCAATGTGCTCGCTGCCGTCGCGGGCCATCCCTTCATCACGACCATGGTAGCGAGCTTCCAGGATCACGATTCATTATACATGCTGGTGTGTCGCGCCAACTCCTCCCAATCCGGCGAAACCAACTGCTGACACAGCGTAGCTCGATTACTGCCCTGGAGGCGAAGTGTTCAGTTATCTCCGAAGAGCGCGCCGGTTCAACGAACCAACCTCGCAATTTTATGCCGCCGAAATCGTTCTGATATTAGAGTTCCTCCACGAGAAGGAGGGGGTAGCGTACCGGGATTTAAAGCCCGAGAACATCCTCATAGATGCAGAAGGGCATCTGAAACTTGTCGATTTTGGATTCGCGAAGAAGGTAGAGAATAGTGAGTGCAGATACTACGGCTTGTGTGTGGTTACACTGACTGGAGAAGGGGAAACATACACATTATGTGGAACCCCTGAATACCTCGCTCCCGAGGTCATCCGGAACACAGGTACACCCCATCCTCATGTTGGGAATGAGAAATCATACTCATCGCGAATAGGTCATGGAACTGCCGTAGATTGGTGGGCATTCGGCATCCTAGTCTATGAATTCCTCGTCGGCCAACCTCCCTTCTGGGACCATAACCCAATGAAAATCTACGAACAGTAACCCCCCCTACTCTCTCTCCACCTCCGAAAGCCCCTCCACTAACCAACCTCCAGAATCGTCGAAGGCCGCGTGCGCTTTCCCTCCGCCATGTCCTCAGAAGCCCGTGACTTAATCTCCGGCCTCTGCACCGTCGACACTTCAAAACGCCTCGGCAACATCAAAGGAGGCGCCTCAGCAGTCAAATCCCATCCCTGGTTCCGACAGATCGATTGGAACGCTCTGTATAACCGCAAAGTGCATGGTCCGATTGTACCGCACTTGCGGGGGCCTGCGGATACGAGGAATTTTGATGAGTATGAGCCTGAGAGTGAAAATAGAGAGCCATATTCGAGGGAAATGAGGGATAAGTGGGAGGAGTGTTTTAGGGACTTTTAGGGTATATATGGGGGGGGTGGAAGGGAAGGGAAGGAAGGAAATGGATGGGTGGTTGGGATGACTGCACTTGGCGTTTTTGAACGAGGAGGGAGTTGGGTAGTGTTTGAGGTGGGATGGAGTTGCAGTGCTCTTCAAGAGGAGGAAAAGTGCCAGAGGAAGAAAATGCACCAACACAGTAGCGAAGCGCAGTGCTACTCCGATTATGAGGTGGTGTATTGTCGAAATCTTCCATTTGCTTTTTTTCTTTCTTTCTTGTTTTGATTATCCGGTCTTTTCCTTGGGTTTGACTTGGCTTAGCTACCATGCGTCCCCATGATAAGAGGTTGACGCATATCTGAGATGATTGATACCTTGTGACGGACATGCTTCATGTTGATATGGTTCGGTGGGCGGTTAGGTGCACTGGTACTGGTTGCAGACATTATATCATATATAGCGTATCATATTATGTCATATTCTATTTGTTTGTTTGTCATGGGAAGAATGCGTTGGAACAGACGAGATTGGATGCTAGTGATGAGACTCTCTGCAAGGGTGAAAGCATCGCTGCGTGAGGATATATAGTCATTTTCCAACAACCAATATTAGCAAGCGTAGCGTTCTATGAAGGATGTCTGGGTGTGGTAGCGGGAAGGCGCTGGAGAGGGTTTAGCAAAGACTCAGGGACCGTATGACAGATTCTATTTCTGGCTTGTGTGGAGAATTCATGGGTACATGTGCTGGGATTAGGTCTAGGTCTAGGTCTAGGGGTGTACCTTAGATGTGTCTTTTACAGTAAAGTTGGAAAATGGAAAGTTGTATGGGAGGATGTGGAAAGGGGGGTTTTCTTGGGAGATGTATAGATTTAATGGTGAGGTTGATGGAGAGTTTTAATAACAGATGCTGGGCTTTCGTGTATGCTCGTAGTTAGCTTCGTAGGCTAAGATCACAGAGTGGCAAGTATAGTGCACATTGTGCCTGGTAATTTTTCTTAGCTGCTTTCTTGGTCGCGTGCATTGGTGGATACGTAAGCACAATACCTTGCCTATAAGTCTGAACCTTGCGGTAGGTGAATATCTTTCTTCTAAATCCTCTAGATCTAGGCCCGAGACACTAGCGCATTCGCCCAAACTCACACGAGACATCACATCTCCATTTCCCTCAGTTCTCCTCTCCTGATCACCTTTCACATCCCTCTCCCCCTTCCGCTACTCCCCCCACTACCCTCACTACTCTCACTGCCACGCCTCTTCCTCCCCTCCTTAAAAATCCTCATCCCTATCCCTAATGCCCATCCTAAACTCCCATATACACCCCCTAGCATGCCCATTCTCGCCCCCATCCCCATTCGCGTTCCCGTTCCTATACCCGCTCTACTCTCCTCCTCCTTACTTATATTCATATCCACACCCACTCTCCCCTCTTCTTGCCCTGAATCTTGCACACACTCCTCAAGCTCCAACAACCTCGGAAAACTAGTCAATTCGGCCCTATGTCTAAAATCCCTTTCCCTGCGTTCGAAATCTGCAAAACAGATTTTGCAAACAGCGGCAGGATGAGAGCTGTTGGGATGGGAGATAGCTAGAGAGGTAGAGTGTTGGTTTGTGTGTGAGCAGGTGGGACAGATGAAGGGCTTGGTAGGAGGATTGAGGAGATTCAAAGTGGATTTAGGAGGTGAGGGTTGGAGTGTTGGTGCTGATATGAGAGTTGGGTTATGGGAGGTTGTGGGTGGGGCTGTCAGGGGAGGGGTGGGTTTGTTGGCGATGTTGTGGGTGGGAGTGCTGGGTAGATTGCGCATTATGGTTGTGATGTTGGGGCACTGGAGGTGGCAGAGAAACGATGGTTTACAGTTGTAGGGGCGTTGATTGTAGGGGATATTGGTTTGTGGTGGTTTGTTGGAGGCTCCAGGGGCGCAAACGCTTTCTAGATTTTAGATAGATTCTGGGACATGAGAGTGTAGATTGAGAGTTTCCAAGGGTGAGGGTGAAGGAAACTCCTGAGCAGTACTTCGTCATGTTTGGAGAACGTTCGGGGTTGACTGGATGAAGGTGAACAAAATCTGGGGAGTGGGGAGCACTGCCGATTTAATTATTGGGGTATGTAGGAATGAGAATAGATTTAAAAGAAAGCCATGGATGTTTGAAAGAGGGCTGACGGTACACAGGGGAGCTTGTAGGTCGTCTCGTGGTTATTCTCTACGTGTCGACGCTGTCGACGTTGGAAACGAAAGCGAATGAGTGGGTAACCCGGTAGTAAAAAATCAAAGGAAATCGTTTGTGTTGGCACAAATACTTACCTAGGTAGCTTATCATCCTTCGTCAGCTTCAGACGCTTCCTCGACCGCGACTATAATACCTTTGTCATCCTCTCCTACGTAGCTAGAATTGGGGGCAATTCCTTTTCAAGACTTCATGAAACCCTTCCCCAGGGTCTCTTAAGTTTTTCCTCCCCGTAGCATGATTATTTTCCTTACTGGACAATAAAGAATTGGGGGGAGTGGAACGGCGAAAGACGCTTTAAGAGAGGTGTCACCCCAGCAAACGTTCCAATGGGATCTGAGCCACGTGAAGTAGACATTCACCGTTTCGCTGACCTTTGGTGTGCGTACTACTTTTCGTGAAATCGAGTCGGACATGTCGGGATCGCCGCCCAGGCCTTTTCTCCTTTTCAAAAGATTGATCTGCACCATACCTGTCGGCTTAAGATCACAGCCTACGGAAAAAAGAATACTGTCGATTTTCTGATCGTGATCTCGATCTGCGGTGTGGTGGGAGTTAGCTTGCCGCGGAGCTGCCACACCCACGAGGTGATCTTTTCGTCCTCGGGTCTTAGAGATCCTCTATGGAGATTGACAAAATGATCTCATAGGCAATGCCATTTCATCGTTCGTTCTTTGAAATCGGAATGCTGAAGCTGTCTTCAGAAGGGGAATAATGTGAGGTCTTCAAAAAGTGCAAGACGACTAATAGGCTTCTTACTTTCTTGAATCGGAGTATTAGAAGGTGGTATTAAGCTCTTGTCTGCGGAGTCCACTGAACCCTCTAATACCTTTGAGATATTCGCCGATTGGATGGATAGCTTTTGAAATTGGTATCTTTCGATCGGTCAAGTGGCCTAGAGTTTTGGAGTTGCTTTCTGCTTATCCGTTCCCAATCTCTTATCGGTTCCCTTTTCGCCTCAGGATCGAAGGCGAGAAAGGGATGAGAAATTAGCAGCGGGATGACGAGATTCGAATAATTTCCTCAGAGGCTTCTGGCTGTCAGTTCAACGCGTGGAGCGCATCAAAAACGGCTTGGAAGTTAGTATTTTTCAAGTTTATGCAGGTTGAGCATCGTGTGGCAAACGAACCATCGACCAAGAAGACGAAGTGGCCGTTAAGATTACGCGCACTGACCTGTGGCTTGGTACATGTGTGGCAGTCCATTGGCCTCTTATTTCAGTGACGCTGCAGAACGTGCATACGTGTGGAGAGCATGCTCATGAAAGGAATCTAAGAGGGGAGTTTGGCGGAAAAGCGAACAAGATCCGGAGAAGGTGGCAAGTGTACAGCTGTTCAGGCAGCAAACGGCAGCAAGACATACTGGACACAGACGTGGAAGCAACCATGAGAGGATGCGATACTGGGATAGCCCAAGCTGGGTGGTTGAATGGTGAAGCAGTCAAAGAGTTGTGGCCGCAAGCAGCGGGTCACTGGCCAGCGAGTAAGTTTGCCCGGCAGGTATCGTGAGACATAGACTCTGCGTACTCTTCTCGGTGCTTACGCGTGTGGACAGCTGGAGGTGGCGAAGGAGCGCCCAGCGAGGATGGGTTGCTTGAATTGATAGTGGTGAAGGGGCAGCATGCAGCCTCATTTGAGCAAATCGCATGGAAGCACTAGCTTGAATATGAACATGGCATGCCCGACCTGATCGCGAAAAACACATCACCAACTCGCGCGTGTTGCGCAGCCTGCCTTCCTTGCCTCTATTTTGACTTGACCTCAATCCGCTCCTTTGTGTTTCCTGTGCGCCCGCATTTTTATCTTTCCCCCCATTTGCGCGTGGTTTTCCTTCCCCTCAAGTTCACACCCATGACCTCCTATGCTTAGCTGTTGCGCCACAGCTCCAGCCTTCCCGCCGTCGGCTGTCTCGTCGCCACGACCTCACGAAAGCCCTCCTCTGCGAGCTTTGCTGGCCGGCGCCGGTTGCCCGGATTAATTATGGGCGACCTCAAATCGAGGCTCAATAATGCACGAACCAAGCTGCTTCGGAGAGGCAGCGCTGCCTCTGCACGCTCTATCGCCTCGTCGGTCGGCAGCACCGAAGGCCCGCGGAAAGGCAGCCTGCATAGAAGCGTCTCTTTGACAAAGCTGCCAGAGGTGTCGACGGCCGATGTGGCCGCAGACAACTCGGAGCAGCTATCACAGTCGGCTGTTTTGCCAGAGACCGGTGATCTGTTTGGAACGGCCGCTGCCGACAATCGTGCCGAAAGCTCGACCTCAAGGGATCGACATTCACAGAAAAACAACACCGACGTGCCAACTGCGTGTCCCACAGTCACGCTTGAAGAGCCTTCTCCAATCCCTCTCCTCACCCAGCCCGTGCTACCTCAGGCCGTCGAGACTCCCATTGAGACTGAAGATCCCTCTGAACTCCCTCTTCTCTCCGCGACACGCCCCAGCTCGAGGCCGGCACCACCAGGCGTGATCCGACGCCAATCGCTCGTCACGAACTCGAATGCGCGCATAATAAGAACCCTCCTCGAACCTGATCTACCCCCCTTTGCTGCGGCTGGGGTCGACGTTGGCCCTCCTCCTGCCTCGGACTACTTCTCCAGCTCGGCTGGCTTGGCAGGCATGTTGCATCGGAAGATTTGGGTCAAGAGGCCGAATTCCTCCGCGACATTGGTGCAGATACGCGAGGATGACTTGGTCGATGATGTGCGGGACACGATATTGAAGAAATACGCGAATTCATTGGGCAAGAACTTCGACCCACCAGACGTCACGTTGCGGATGTGTCCAAGAGACAGCACGGCGAAGTCCGGCGATAGGATACTCGGCCCAGAAGAGGAGATGTGTAGGACGCTAGATGCGTACTATCCCGGGGGTCAGACAATAAATGAAGCTCTGATCATCGACGTCCCTCAACGGAGGACGCCCAAGCCTTCGCCGCGTGTGCCACTATACTACTCTCATCATGATGACTCGAGGCCCTTCGAGAACTCGTCAGAATACTTTCCGCCGATGCCCATCGTCAACCCGTCGCCAGCTACTATAATGACAAGCTCCCACGAGAGCAGAGGCTCGCTCCCGCATGCTCCCCACTCGATCGCCGTTCTTCAAACAGGACAATTGCCTCCATTGCCTTCTCCAGGCAGCACGAGGAGGCTGCATCACGGCCGACCGAAGTATCCACGCCATAACACTGCCTCTCCGACCACGTTAACAGGTGTCCCTAGCTCCGTCAATGCCGTACGTCCTGCCAATCGCCCACGCCACGACTCCTCCGCCTCCGAAACAAAGCATTCCACCACCTCGGGAAACGCTCCCATAGCTACTCCCCCCGCCCCAACCGAGCAGGCTGTACGGCAAAACTCTACTTCTCCTATCCCTCGCGTCGCGTCCCCCCGGCCAGACAAGAAGCGGAGGAAACCCAAGGCAGTTGAGCCACCCACTCTCCCCGCTGGCTTGCTCGATGGATCGGTGCCACCAATCAATGTGTTGATTGTGGAAGATAACATCATCAATCTGCGAGTTCTGGGAGCTTTCATGCAGCGCCTAAAAGTTCGCTGGCAAAGGGCTATGAATGGAAAGGAGGCTGTCACTAAATGGCGGGCGGGCGGATTCCATTTAGTGCTCATGGACATTCAATTGCCTATAATGAATGGGCTAGAAGCGACAAAAGAAATAAGGCGGTTAGAGCGGGTGAACAGTATCGGGGTGTTCAGCAGCGGAAGCAGTGAGACACCGAACAGCAAGCTGGGAGATGACGGAAAGAACGAAAATGTGCAGGGCGAGGACAAGCTGGGTGACAAGAATCTCTTTAAGAGTCCGGTGATCATTGTGGCGCTCACGGCTAGCTCGCTACAGAGTGACAGGCACGAGGCTTTGGCCGCAGGATGCAATGATTTCCTAACAAAGGTGAGGAACGACTGACTCAATGTGAGCATCGTTCTGCTAATCCTGTGTTCCAGCCTGTCAACTTTGTTTGGCTCGAGCGAAAGGTCAAGGAATGGGGTTGTATGCAAGCTCTCATCGACTTCGACGGCTGGCGTAAATGGAAAGACTTTGCCGCGCCATCAGACACCACCGAAGGCACTTCCAAGATCTCCACCAGCTACTCCGCCATTGCACCCAGAGCAAGAACTAATGCGACTCTTAGCCCAACAGCCGCTGCGAACTCAATGAATGGCAAGTCCGGCCCCACTGCGGCAAATGGTATCATCTCCACGCCCAAGACGAGGGATGAGGAAAAGAAGAATAAGAGGAAGAGTACAGGAGTTGTACCACCGCCGTTGGTTGAGGAGGAGGGGAACTCTCCAACGCCGCCGGAAGCAGATAGCTCGGCGAGCTAGTGCTTAGGCTGCGGCTAGGATCGTACTTTTTTCTGCGGCCTGTTGTTAGGTGATTAAGATTTGGTAAAAGATTCGTTTGGCTTTGCACAGGAGAAAATCCATCGTAGGTTGTAAACTGTTCACGCGCGGCATACATTGGTCTATGGCTTCAACTGGGACTATTCTTATATAGCATCACATCTCATATGGTGTTTCGCTAGCGTTTCCTGGCGTTTGGATCCGGGATTTCTGGCCACCAGCCGTGCTTTGGGCTGGTGATTGCTCATTGCAGGTCCATTGGGCAGGTGGGTATTGTTTCTGACGACGGCTCCAAGAAAGGAGGTTCAAACGTACACGATTACGACATGGGATATGTCTATATGTTTCTTATACCGTATGGCTGTGGAGAGGGATGAGGGGGTTGGGATGGATAGTGCATCCTGTGGGGCATATCTTTGATAATGGTAATCTAGAATGCAGACTCGTTGCAGATGGTGAAAGGGTTTCGCACTTAATGAATGCGAGATAGGACTCACTCGCAGTAGAGCCATGTTCAAAGAGCCTGCTCACTGGCTCATTAACTACAACAAGCTCACACGAAGGAGGAAGTCTGGCTTATGACCGGTTACGAACGACTTATCACAATGTATGAACTTTTCCCTCGAACAATTTTCAAAAGGCATACATGACACAATGCGTCGGGTCCCTTTGGACTTTGGTTACCCAGACAACGCTATCACGCTAGTCTCTAATAGGAAATCTCAACACTCTGCACAGGCCTAGTCCCGCACTTCACTCCGCGGATTTCTCACTTCTAGAGCCTCATCTTCACTTTCACTCGACTTCACTGCTCGCTCATTTTTGCTTCTACTCCAGCCTCCCCCCTCGCCGACACCTACAAGACATTCCTTCCTTGATGCCCCGCCGCTGGGGCGATTACCACCATGCCGCCGAAATCGGTGTACGGCAAACGCGCGAATGCAACCGTAGCGAGTCGAGCCAAGTTCCTCTCGCCGGATAAGGATGACCTTTTGCATGATAAGCCGAAATGCAAGGTCATTGGTAAAAGCATGGGGAAGGAGGAGGCTGTAGTTGTGGCAATAGATGCTGTTGAGCAGCGACTAGAGGCATTAACAATCCAAGATGAGCCGGTCGTTGTCGACGTAGAGCATGTTCGTAAGGCCGAGGAGAAGACACAAAAGGCTCCGAAAACCAAAGGCGCAAATATCGAGACAAAGAAAAAGGGCACAAGGGGCCAGAGAGGCAGGCCAGCAACGAGGCAAACGAAAGAGCCACAGGCAAACAGTCACGTCATTGATGCGCCAGAACTTGTAGATCCAAACTCCCATGAGCCAGCATTCATGCCGTCACCCTCAAGGACCCCACGGCGCATAGACAGTCAGAAACTTAGGTCAAAAGTACAACAGGAGACCAAGAATGTTTCTCTTAACCCAATGCGTTCATTGCCGACTCCACATCGAGCACCTAGCCCAAACGACATCTTTACTGACTACGTATCTCCACTTCTCTCGCTCAGCGATAGACGGGCGATCATCTCGTTCGAGCAATGGTCTTCCGAACTAGATCCCTACTTTGAAGTCACGAAGATCGCCGAAGCATCCTTTGGCGAAGTATACCGCCTGACAGTGAAAAGCGCTATGCCAAACTCCCCCAGCGAATCCGTCCTCAAAATAATGGCCATGCGCTCTCCCCCAGACGCGCCTCTCCCAAGCAACAGGGACGAAGGAAAGCGAACGCGAAGAAAAGCTGATGCGGTTCAAGAAAAGAAGAGAGAGAAAGCCGCTCGAGAAGAGAAAGATCAATGGAAATCTTACGTCGACCAAATCCAATCAGAAGTCCAGCTTCTCCAGAACCTTAACCCAATACCTGGCTTCACGAATTTCCGCGAGCTTACCGTCTTGAAAGGCCGACCGTCGCTGTCGTTTTCGAATGCCTGGAGGACTTGGAATAGGTCACGGCCGAGGAGTAAGAAGAGTGTGTTTCCGGATCCAAGTAAAAAGACGAGTTATGATGACACTCAGCTATGGGCAGTTGTTGAGATGCAAGACGCGGGTACGGACTGCGAGCGGTTGATGGAGCGTGGAGGCATCAGCACCATCTGGGAGGTCTGGGACGTGTTCTGGGGCGTCTGTTTGAGCGTGGCTAAGGCAGAAGAGGGGTGTCGATTCGAACACCGAGATTTGCACTTAGAAAATGTCTGTATCCGGTCATCGCAGTCTATCGACGACATCTCATCACCCGTCGTCAAGAATCCATTGAAGAGGAAACTAGGCTTCACCAGCCTTGAAACCACCGTCATCGATTATACGCTCTCTCGTGCCGACATCATAAACACAGCTGAACCCCATATCCGTCGCCCAGGCTCATCGTCATCATTATCATCCCGTTGTTCTTCGCTATCAAGATCTAGCTCTGACGAAGAATCTTTTCCAGGGCCCTCAGTTGCATACTTCGACCTTAACAAAGATGTCAGCATCTTCTCCGCCGACGCGTCGGAAGAATATCAGTATGAAATATACCGTTACATGCGCTCCATAGCTTTCTACGACGACCCAACCGTCCAAGTCGAAGACCCCCTCTCTAACGATAAGAACGACATCGAGGAGCTGGAAGAATACTCCTTTGAGACCCCCCGCTGTTCACCTAGGAAGAACCCCAGAAAGATACCCAGAAAGACAAGTGAGGGTAGGGGTGGATCTGAGCCTCCAAAAGATATCTGGAAACAGTTTCACCCGAAGACAAATCTTGTCTGGATTCATTTCATTTTGTATAAACTCCTGCAACATATCAATGATAACTTGCCGTCTGCTATAGACACGGTTCGTCTTATCAAAAACGTTAACATTGATGCGAGCAGCGCGTCAGTGGCGAGTCTTGTGCATAAGAAAGCCGTGAAACTGGAGCGAATTTTGCAGAGGGTGGCGAACCGGATTGAACCGTGTGTATTGGGGAAGCCGGAGTGTTTGGGGAGTGTGGGCGAGTTGGTGGTGTTAGCGATTCAGAAGGGGTGGGTGGATATGGGGGATGTGGTTGGGAGTGGTTGATGGGGTGAGGTGGGGTTAATGTGAGGACGTTCTTCTACATTGAGGCGGTAGTATAAGAGGGAAAGGAACAAGAAGGACTAAGGGGAAAGTACATTGCATTCGTGTGTATATTTGGGGATAGAGACAGCGGCGTGAGTTTTCAGAACTGACATGATATGACATGACATGGCATGACACAAAGGGGCGTCAGCAGTAGGAGTTCTTTGTGTTTTCTAAAGGTCGGGGGATTGTTTTCATGCGCATAATTGTCTCTCTCTGAAGTATAGCATCATCACGAAAATACGTATCTACATTACTATGCTAGGCCTCCTTTTGCTTAACTGAGTGAGAATCTGTACTTTTCTTGCCTTATCGTAAGGCTGTTGTTCTATGAAATATTCTCACTCCTTGCTGCTACTAATGCTACCGTTACAGCAAACCCCAAACCACAGAATCCTTCAAACAAGCACGATCTGGAACAACCACTAATCAACAAAACACATTCTTCTAAGATATGCATACTTGATAGCGAATGACAGGCAGCTGAAGGATGACGTCGCAATATAGGATGACTGGACTCTTACAAGCATCAGGAGTGGGGTTACCTTCTATTAATACATTTCTGGTCGCGGAAAAAGGATGTAAAACAAGGTGGGGTGGGGGACTCAAGGGCTGCGAATGATCGGCCAATCTCAACACCTTTCGTCGGTGAAACCTGGAGTGGATCCTGCTATGTTAAGGGGAAAGAAAGAAGGAAAGGAGGTGAGCGGAAGGGATCCCCTATTTGTGAATCTGAATCCGTGTGGAACTTACTCCTGAAGACTTGATGCAAATATGTATCTTCAACTCTGTAAATAGGTGAGGGGAAAAAAAAAAGAGGTAAGAGTCCCAAACAAATTCTCCATCAAGGACTCTGACTTTGAATCCGAATCCGAATCCCCTCCTCATCTCGTTCAGGTGGAAACACACAAAGACTACCGACCATGCTTTGCGTGGCACTATTCTACCGTATGATATGACGCTATTACCTGTTATACATGAAGCGCCTGACGTGCTGTCGTGCCATTCTGCCTTCCGCGGCACCTCCACATACCAACCGTCAATTACTCAAAAAACCTCTTACAAGTCTTTGACAATCTATCTACCTTGATCCCGAGGCAAGTTGTCTTCGCATCCCGAGAATTCGGACGAAAGTGAGGTGAAGGGGGATGGAGGGTTTAGGATTGTGCAACTACTCTAACTTAAGTTTCGAGATTAGGCCTGCTGTTAGCAAGCTGTATTGCGGTGCAGTGCATACACTAAGTCAAAGCCAGAAATGTGTCTAAATCCTTGAAACTTTAGATTCGTAAACTGAGCAGAGCTCCGCATAGGCGCATATGCAGCCTGCTCTGGGCATCCATCGACAAGGCGTCGATCGTGCATTTGTTTCAGCCTTTCCCGCAGCAAAGAGATACGATGTTGGTTCTGGTCCGTAAGCATGACGATCCAGATCGAGATCCAGAGGCCGAAACTGGTGGGCGTGTCCGGCCATGATTCCGTGCGCAGGCGTGAATTGAACCCTGAGGGTGCCGGGAGGTTACGGACAAGCCTCGCCAAGTCCGCCATGCCCGTTACCATACCGCGGTAGTGTTTTGAAGACAGAAACGTTTCTCCCTTCCAGCGGAGGTACAAGGTGCCGCGTAGCTAAGAGAAGGACTTGTAGTCTCACTCCCGGCGGGAGAGACGCATCGAGCACCGGGCCGCTGTGTGCATCCCAGGGTTCTTGGCCGTTATGTGTGCGACGAGTGTGAAGGCCTTGGCATGGTGTTCTGGTACCTTCCTTGTGTCTGCCTGTTCTATTTCTAAGTGCGTCGTGAGACGGAGGGATAGGTTGGTGGATGTAGTACGTTGAGTTAATGCGGCTAGCTTTTGATTCTAGTATGCAGGATTCTTGTCCCTCGAGGCTTTCTCACTTCGTGCGGGATGCTGACAATGTACGGGACAGAAGATTTCTTCGTCCAAATGAGAAGGTCTTCCACTGTGCGTCGGGAATCGGCTTGCGTACCCAGAATGGCAGCCAACTAAATCAGGTTCCGAGTTGAGGTGGCAATGAGAGTAAGGAATTGGGATATTGCTTGCTCGCACCATTCAGAAGCATTTCACCCAATGTAGCCCATAGGGTTAGGCACCCGTGCAAAGGTTCCTAGCCTGAGTTTCCGAGCCGGCTTCGTAATCCAATGCGTGCCCTCGGTGAGCTGTCTGCGCCAAGCGGCGGGTGTTTCATGGCCAAGTGCTCTGCCTGAGCGTCGGGAATCGTGCGAAACACTGCAGTGCACTCCCGACTTGAAATCAGGATTATTAGAATGACTGCAAGAGTATTGATGAGGTCGATCTAAAGCGAAGGATGATTTCACTACTGAAAATGAGCTTGCCAAGCGCGGAAATGGGCTAAGAAAAAAGGAAGAGAAGAGCCAAGAAATTCCGTCCTTGGTGGTGATCAGTCTGCCAAGCGCGGTGCAACGGAAGACTGCAGCAAAATTTAGAGTTCATCAAGGAGAATTGCCAAGTTCAGGAGTACCCGCAATGTTCATTTCTGTAAAACAGGTCGAGGCCACGGAGAGTGTGGAAACATGAAGTTGAGGGTAACGGCGATCACCAAGACAATTGACGTTTGACTTGCATGTTGAAAAGTCTTGGATGTTGAACAGGCCAGTCTTGGATATGTGTGTCCGTTGAAGATCCATGAGGATTGCTCATGCATGATCACCGTGGTTGGAAGGCCGAGACGCCAAGTCAATAGGCGGCATGTAATGTAACCAGTCTTGCTGAAGACCACGACACATCGAGAAAAGGAGGAGGGATGGAGATTGCTCATGAGACAAGCCGGCAGCGCAATCGATACAAGCCGTCTTGGTGTTTCCGGGCCAAGTGTTTTCTTTACAGATGTATGAACATTCAAAAGCGACGTACTAGAATATGGCAGGAAGCTGAGAGTCGGGGCCCGAAGCAAAAGGTGAGGCAAGGAGTGAGAAGAGCAACGATGCACAGCATGATGAGGCTCTTGGCTGTGCCATTGGAACACTCTGAAGGGTAAACGCTCACGTGGGTTGCAACACACCTGGGCAGTCCGAAGTCGCCGGCTGCTGCATTTTCAGGATAGATGCAGTCAGCTTGCCCCGACGCCCCCCACGGATATGCGCGCTCGGACCACTTCTTCCATGGAGTCATGGGTCGATGGGCTCAACATGCTTTGCAGCATTATTCATTAAAAGGCCAAAGGCAGCCAAAAGAAGCTCTCCACTACTGCAGGTGCTGCTGTTTGTGACTGTGGGGGAAGCCACGGGGAGAATTCAATCGTGAACCATTGGCCCAGCGTCGTGAGCTGTGAGATACGGAGACGTCAGACTCACCGCTTGAACTGCTGGTGAATTTCCACAGCGTCGGATTATTCAAGCTTCAATGATTTAGCGAGTCGGGGAGAATTGCTGTGTGACAATGCCGTTTGAGTCTGAAAATGTACGAGGCAATGCACCGTGAATGCGTGTGGAAGTGTTGTCGTAGGAATTGCAGACTTGACGATCCTGCGGGGACCGAATGCAGGAGGTCACCGGGTTCGATACTAACCAATGCTGGAGCGAGAATATAGCGAACCATTAATGGTAATAATTATAGAACTGGTCAACGGTCGTTGCACTACGTCGTTTTGCAGGACGGACGGCTCTGAGAAGTCTTGAAAATGAAAACAAGATGGACAACGGGCAACAAGGAATACTCGTCCGAAGCTTCACAGGTCGTCTGAAATGGAGAGTCGGACAAGTCCGAGGATGAGAATGCCAGTTTAGGCCCGCCTCCATTATTGCGGGGTCGTGTAGCAAGATCCTGTGGGGTTGTTACCTCGGACGCCGAGGGCTTGCCAGCAAATGCGGGTAGCTGGATCGATACATGGATCAAATGTGGGAGGGCTGAGGGTGTTCGTTGCAGTCCGCAGTTCAGCAGTGACATATGGTAGAGCAACGGCTGGCTGCTAGCACACAGGCGGCTGGCGATGCTTAAATTTGGAGGTGAGAGAACTTTATCATGAAAGACGCTGAAGCAGGCGACGTGAACCCCCACTCCACCCTGCCCAATGGCGCGAAGAGCGGCAAAGCGTTGACCCAGGGCACCTAGCTCAGATTGCTCCAGAGCTTCAAACAAGCCTTGGAGGTGGGTGGAGTGCAGCAGGAATGCATGGCAGGAATTCTGTGTCGCTTCGCGCTCGTCTGGAAGCGGCATCTTGAGGCGGCGATTGCCCGTTGGCTTACCCCTTGCTCGTGTCGTTGCGGGAGACGTCGGCAGAGAAGCACTGCAGTTCGTCGCGCGTCGACCAAGTGCCTGGCTAATCAGAGGAATAAGGCGAGGAGCTGCAGAGGTTGTGATGGAGGGCGGTTGAGGTATTTTGTAGGGGAACGCCAACGACGCCTGAGTCGCCAGAATAATGCCGCATTTTTGGCGTGATCTCACCAAGGCCAAGGGACATGCAGGGCTGGGGGAGGATCCCAGAATAGAGAGCCGCTGCCGCAGTTGCAGCAGTAAATTACGGCCGCGAGATGCTGTCCACGTCGCAGAGCCGTGTTGTGTGCGGTGGGTTCCATCGCTAGACTCCGTACCTCATTGGCGGACATGGCCACATCGGGAAATCCGGGAACACTGCGCACGACTTTTCTCACTATTCGACGTCGATGCGGCGCTCAGGCGAGCGAGGAGCAAGTGCGGTAGGTGTCAGAGACCGGGGCGTACAGAGCGTCGGGGCCCTGGCTCAAGGCGACCCAGTTTCTTTATCTTACTCTCCACCGCATTTGCTCCTGGATCCGATCGTCTGCACATCTGCACGAGAATTTGACGCACTCTTGGGGTGGGGTGCAGCCCTTGAGCGCTTGGCTTTGTCGCCCGCACACCGACGCCAGCCTCGTCCAGCGAGCTTGATTGTTAAAACGTCGCCGTCCGGCGGCCTCTGCTGCAGCACACAGGAAAGCGTGTTGTTGAATAGCCGCCACCGGGTTCCCCCTCCCCCCCCCCAAGCCAGCCCTTGATAATTCTTATTGTTGCCGTTGGCGCCTTAAGATTCAGGGATCGCTCATCTCGCCGTTATTCCCTCCCCTCGCCCCTCGCTGCTTCGGCACCTCGTTCCCGACATTTCGTCACTGGGCTTCGGTGCCCTGGCTGCTGGCTGCCACCATCCAAATACCCTGTACTCCCCACCATCAATCGCGCTGCACGCCGCTCAACACCACCGTGCATTCCCCCAGCACGTCGCCGCCAAATCTACTGCCGCTCAATCCCTCTGTATGGTCCTCGCATGGCTCTTCTGCGATTAACAGCCTCCTCCAACTTCTCTAAAACCGTTCCCGCCCTGTCCTTCTTCTCTTGCTCCTCTCTTGAATCCTCCTATCACCAGCCAAGCTCGCTCCAGAGAGCGTAGTTGCACAGTGCTTTCATGGTCACGGCATCTACCACATATTTAAGTACTAGCCGACCCAATCTACTGCCGCTGAACACCGGTCCCAACTTGTGAATTGGCTGGAGCCGACGCCGATCGCAATCACTGTACCATTCTTCGACACCGCCCAGAATATTGCCATGCCTTCCGTGGCTCTACGAACGCCAACTTTGGCGAGCAACCTCCCGAAGGACTCGGTGGAGTCCGCGGCGGAGCCTGACCTTTCCCGTCATAGGGATTCACGCTTGGTCGAATACCAGACTCCTATTCCCGAAGAGGACGAGAGCACAGAGACCGCGAGCGAGCCCGCCGAACCTCTAACCCCAACCAGCGACACTGCTCCCGACTCACATCCGTTCCGACCAGACGGCACCGTGGAGAGTGTCTTCGTCACCGCAAAGTCTGACATGCCTCACCTCCACTCGAAATCGCTGCCACAACCATATTCGGTCGCACCTGCCACACCTGCCGTACCCAAGGAAGCCGCACCTCCCCCAGCAGCAGCGGCGGTGACCCGGACACAATCGAACACCAAATTAACATCGCAGATGGACCCAACAGTAGCTCCCGAAAAGCCTGGTCTCACAAAACGCGTTGGTTCATTCATGCGTAATAAACTTCACAGGACTCCTTCGACCAAGGATGTTCCCAGCGCCTCCAACATCCCAAGTGAACAGGTATTTGTCAAGACTGGCGTAGATGGCCCGGATGAAGTCTCTGCTCCCGCATTGAACATCCCCAAATACAGGAGGCTCAGTTCCTTTTCGCTGTCAGCTCGAAACTCCCCCAAGTCCTCCCAGGGAAACTCTCCACCATCACCGGGCTCACCCTCCAGCACAATCTCCAACGAGGAAACATCTTCGGGGAAGAAGCCTCGTCTCGGTCACAAACACTCATCGTCCTCGACAGCTATTGCAGGCATGGAGAAGCAAACTAGACCCGGTATCACATGGGCTGGTGGGGGGAAAGAGGGAAAGAAGAACTCCAGATTTGCTCGGAGGCGCTCAGCAAGCACAGAGATAGTCCCAAAGCTCCAGTCCGCGGATCAAACCGTTGGTCTTATCGATACTTTCTCCAAGCCGGCCGCTGAGGGCGTTGGTATGAAAGCCCGCCGTTTGAGTCTCAGTCTACCAGACGAATTCGTCGTCGATTGCTGCGAACTGGATAAGGAATTCAAGAGCTCGAGCCTGATGCCTGGAAAGCGGGGCAAGTGCTTGGGCCGTGGCGCTACAGCCGAAGTCCGCATTATGGCGCGGAAAGGTATCTCTGGCGAAGAATTGGTCGCTGTCAAGGAGTTCCGTGGCCGAGAAAAGGATGAACATGAAGACGACTACATCAAGAAGATCCAGTCCGAATACAGCATTGCTAAGAGCTTGCACCACCCAAACATCGTCGAAACTGTCCGCTTGTGCAAGAACAAGGGTCGATGGAACCATGTGATGGAATTCTGCGCCTACGGAGAGCTCTTCTCGTTGGTAGAACGAAAGCTGTTTGCGGCTGGCCTTGAAGGCTACTATTCTGTTAACGATCGACTTTGCTTCTTCAAGCAACTCCTCCGAGGCGTTGACTACTTGCATTGTCACGGCATTGCTCACCGCGACATCAAGCTGGAAAATTTACTCCTAGATAAGGATGGCCATCTCAAGATTTCCGACTTTGGCGTTGCTGAGGTCTTCAGTGGAGAGCACCCCGGCCTTCGTGCAGCCGGCGGCGAATGCGGCAGGAACATGGGCGAAGTTCGTCTTTCCAAGCCGGGCATCTGTGGTAGTCTTCCCTACATTGCTCCCGAAGTGCTCGCGAAGAATGGAGAGTATGACCCAAGACCCCTTGATGTCTGGTCTTGTGCTATTGTCTTCTTGACAATGACGTTTGGAGGTTGTCCATGGCAAGCAGCCAAACCCGAGTTCGAATACTACGCTAGATTCAAGAAAGGATGGGACGAGTGGTTGCCTAACCACCCGGATGGGCAGATCTTTGATGGTCCTGATGGTCAACCGAAATGCGGAAAGCTCTTCAGTTTTATCAATCCCCCGCCCATCAAGCGGCTTTTACTGAAGATGCTCCATCCAATCCCCGAGAAACGCATCACGATTCGAGAAGTCGTCAGCAGCGTCTGTATCAAGGGCATCGAGTGCTGCTGTCCAGAGAGTTTTGAGGACCCAACCGTCAGTATCGACACGTCGAAATGCACTTCTAAGCAAATGTCGAAGATGAAAAAGACTCTTCTTCACACCCACAAACCGCCAAAGCCAGAGTCTCGGGTTGCGAAAGCACTGACCCATCGTTGGGATATGGGAGACGGATGGTCTTGAGATCGATTCTACGAATTTCTTCCTTTTGTTGGCGTCATAGCATGGGAGGCGTTCTGCTTGCAATAGCCTTGCAAGAAATCTCGATTAGATTCTTGTATCCTCCAATATGAAAGAGGTTAGGGAACCGCTAGCAGTGGCATTTACAGGGACAAGGGGGGAAAGGGGGGAAAGGGGGACTGTTTATATGGACGGATCCCCCCTTAAGGCGAATCTTGTGTGCGTTGTACTGTCGTTTCCTCAAGATTGGGTGGGTTTGAAGACCTGGCGGGTTATCATTACTTCCTTTATTATTACAGTCTGACATGGCAGAGGTTCAGCGAGATGTACAATTGACTTTCTTCATTATTCTTATTTTTTGCTTTCTTGATCCGTACATATTAACGGCCTTTTTATTACATCTACAATTTGACACTTTTGCTTCTGCCCTCATATGTGCTCTCCTCTCTGTGATACCAGACGTCGGACTGTGGTACACTGAATGTGATGCCGTCGATGCTGAGCTCTGCCTGTCTCTCAAACAAGATAACGCACGTTGCATATCCTCCGCTTCCATTGGGCCGGAGCCAAATTATCCAATGCAACACGGAGGAAAGCGGTTTGATGCGATGCGCTTGGATGCAATGAATGGAAAGCTAAATTAGCTACATAGCCTCTCGTGCATGCCACGCCTTAATCCATCGCTTTTCCCTGGTTCCAAGTTTTCTTAAACATGGTTGAGGGAAGGAGGAATTTGGTCCACAAGGCGATTACATGATTTCGTGCTGTCATCCAAGGATGTTCGGCCGAGGTGATTTGGAGAGCACGGCGGCAGCAGACTTGCAGTGTAGTAGCGTCGCGAGGAGATAGCTCTGATTGCGCCGATGGTGAGGGCGAGTGTGCGAGTGTGCGGAACTGCACCGGGCAGTTTTCTCAACATCTGGTAACTGGATAAATGTCCCGACAATCTCAGTTCCACTTTTGAAGACGCAGACTTTGCTTCCGCATTACATTAATCTCCTTCCCAACAACCATCCTCAACTCCACGGAGCAACACCAAGCCCTAGGTTGTAAGTACCAAGCACGCCATCAAAGTCTGCTCAACCCGAGCTGGGCTGTCAACGCACCCGAACACGACTAGAAGATCTCGGCACGGCTTTTCCAAGACTCTAGAACACCTTGTTTTCTTAGCCCAAGACTTGGTATCTTAGGGGCTTTTCGGTGGAGATTTGGAGATTATCAGGAGGGTTAGGAGGGTTAGGAGGGAGGGAGGGAGGGATGGTGGATTGGTGCTGGTGAGAGCGCTTAGGAGGGATGTGCTTGGATGTAGTTGTATGCACGTCATGCGGGCATTTCTCTCCTTGAGATTGGAGCTTGTGGTTGGATATCTGTTTCCGACTCGTGGCTTTGAGATCAGAGACCGTAGGTGTCACGAGGTCCACGTTTCTCATAACAGTATTGTGACTGTCTCAAGCGCTCAGTGCAAAACCTGCTAACCGGAGGTGCTCCTTAAGGCAAGGAAGAGCCAATTCCTGATTAAGAGACATTCTTGCACGTGAAAGCCCCTTAACTACAACCGCGGGGCTGTCTACTATATCTTGACTGAGATTTTTTTTTTTTCTCTTCCTGAATCTCTGCGAGATGATAGGTTTCGTATGGGTACATCGAAAATCCATTCCAAGGGTTTCCTGCAGCTCGCGCAGGGCCCGTGATAAAGACCCTCGTCGCAAAACCCTTCCAAGGTTCTTTTTCCCCGACTGCAGATTCTGCGTTGCGCTGCTGAAGTGATGCGACCAGGCTTAGATAAGCGGCAGGGAGTCAGATGATGAGATGGCGGTGAAATCTGCTCCAGTGGTTTCGTTGTCCGAAAGTGGGGATGTACCTCCCCGGAGTTCGGTGGCTGGGGTTGTTGACGCCCAGTCCTACTTTGAGCCTCACTTCACTCAGAGTTCATTTTGTCCGATGCTCGGAGAGACAGTTGCAAGAACCAATAAGTGCGTATGTGCGTGCATGCGTACGAATGCTTTCACTTCTCTTCTCGTTTCTTAGTCAATCGCCTACCGATCGTCGGCAAAAGCTATTTAAATATTACCAATGAAGGGTGACTCTAAAGTTGCTTTGCGAAGTTTCTTACTACGTGGACCCCTTGCGAGAGAGAGAGCGAGGGCAATGATGGCAACTTGACATTTACGAACTGGAGCTACAGCACGAAAGACAAAGGCAGTTCAAGCGATTGGTTTGGTAAGACATCTGCAGAAAAAACGAGAGCACACCACATCAACAGATTCGAGGCATTTGTAGTGTTGCTTTTTTGGCAGATTTTTCAGATGCGGGCCGCTGAGCGTTGATCGCGTGTGAGAAGAAAGAGGAAGCCTTTCGATGGTGCATGTTTGCCTAACCGTCGGGGTTGGAAGAGAGCCAATGAGAGTGAAGAGGCGGATGAACTGGATGGGTAATCCAGGGGAAGATCTCATTATCAGGTGATGAGAAATCTTTCTCGTTGTTGAAGATCTCGCCATTCGATCTGCTGCTTGGATAAGTTTTTTAATGTTGTGTTGTGTTGCGCAAGACACCGTCAAGGCATTTCTCAGCATCCGTCAGTAGCCGATGATTATCATCCAAGGCGAATTCTTGTCGTTCCCAGTATTCTCTACTTCTAATTTGATCCTTGTCAGCACATAGGATATTCTACACTTTCTTAGGCGTCATTTCTTCATCTTGCTATGTATCCGCTTCAAGCTAATGGTTACAGACTTGATAGATGTTCACTCATCGGCAACGCTCTCTACACTTCTCAATCCCCACACTTCCGCCGTATTGCTTCTTTAGTTTTCAATGTAATTTCCACTACGTATTGCCTTTCCAAGTTCTCTGCTACTCTCGGACGTGCCCGCCCATGTTGATTTAAGCTTCAGACCCCACCTAAGCTGACTGCCACCAATTCTCTCCCTGGTCCCTTTCAATCACCCATGTCTAGCCTCCCGAATGCCGACCAGCCCATCAGGCCTTCTCTGGGGAATACTTGCACCAATGCCTGAAACCCCAGATACAATATTGGAGAGGGTGATTGGTTGTTTCCTGGCGTCACGCCAGAACCATCTGACAATCTCCATGAAGAGGGCCGAGGATAAACGGCACTTCAATGCACACGCGCGACACGCTGCTAGTGTCGACTCAGACGCGTTCCTCCGGAAAGCTTGATCGGGCCGCACCGACGAGCAGCGTCCGTGTGAAGCCTTTCGCTGCTGGATTGGGAAGGCAATTCCTGCATTCGGGTTGAGCCGGATGACGGGCAGGAGATCTAGTCAGAGGCGCTCAGACAGAAGATCTATGTTTGGGTCATGGTGGAAAGATGGTAGGGTTTTTGGGCGTAAGGTAAAGGGTGGAGACGAAGAGAATACGGAGATTTGATGAGGCGCGAAGGGTAGCTAGTGCAGGTCAGCTGGCTGGCTGTTGCATGAAGTGCAGATTCTGGTCATGTGCTCCATGCAGGTTTCCTATCTTCACATGATAATTTTAATTTGTCATTTCTTTATCTTTGAGGGTTTCTTGATATTCGTGAAGTCGTTTCCATTTTGTTGATGTGGGATAAGAACATCTGAGCACAACCCCCTAGCCGTTCCGGAAAGAGCTTTGTTACAGAATCTCTGTAATGCTAGCAACACACTAATCACCTAGTGGCACTCATACTGTCACAGGCATGCTCAATAAATTTCCTCATTCACGCTGATCCCTTAAGGTTATTTCCTTTTCTCTCTCTTGCAGTGAGGTATGAGTGAGAGATATCACGCTCTACATGATCTCTGAAGTGGAGAGAAGAAGACTGAATTTATGGGTATGCCCGGGACACCCGCCATCTGCATGGATCCTAAGATGGTCCCCCAAAAGCGACGAATTCCATTCCGCTATCATGGCTTGGCGTGGGTCAGAACCTTCGGATGAAGCCTGAGACAGCCCCCAGCCTAGAACAGATGGGAAGTGGGATATGGACATACCTGACGCTGAAGTTATCCCAGAGCGCAAACTAGCCTATGAGTTTTAAGGCACATTACCTTGCGGGTCTGCTCTCTAACCACATGCACATCATTGTGAAAGTGCTGAAAGTAATAAGGCAATCCCAATCATTCCACTTAGGTTTCGGGAATAGTGAGTTACACGTTTTTAACCACGGCGTTGTTCTTCAGCCTACATATTCTCTCTGTCTGGCCGCAATGGCGACAATATAATGTCCTCCACTTTTGCAAGATAAGGGTTCTCCTATATAAGAAGTGCTTTTCTGGAGTGACTTGGAGAGGCGAGACCCCGGGGGTAGGTTGCACATTTAGCACACGTTATCTTGATATACTGCAGCAGAGGAGAACCTCTTCATTGTCACTATTTGGAAGGACTTTGGCCTGACGGGAAGCCTGAAGTTCGATCACGTCCAATTTATTCACGAACACACAAATATCCTTTCCCCAGCGCCCTTACAGGGGATCGAAGGCAAAATCTGTCTCCTTAGTGCCTTCTATCATATACAACAACAGGGGAGATTCGTGGATGATTACTGTGAGGTCAAGGCCCCTGCCCATAACCAGCACTTTGGTGTCTAGGGCAGAACATGAGAAAGACCTCATTTAACATGGAAATTAGCATGCGGATGTTGCTACCCTAAATTCCGGTAGTGGGTTTGCGGAGCAAAGCATCTTTGTTGATGTTTTAGTTCTACGGCGGGCTCTCGTACTCTGCAACTACTTCCATTGTTCTCCCCTATATGTCATCCCTCATCATTCGTTCATTCCCAGGGTCTCGTTGTGCTACAGAGCCCCGGAGCTGTAACCGATAATTCGAATTTCCCGAAGAATAAGAAGAATGCTGAGGCTTGGTGAAACTTTGCTGTACGCCTTTGCGAGAATTCTATTGCGAGTTAGCTAACCTTATATGCCCCAATTATCTTTAGAGTATCTTCAAAACTCGCGGATAAAGTTCACCTGATAACATCTTTCGTCCGATCTTATGCTGGCCAAGACAAGTGCTAAAACGGCCAGCGAAGAGTCCTTGCCAACCCCAGCCTTGGTCTCTTTTCCACTTACGGCATAAGCAGGGATCTAGGAGATTTTCGAACGGATACTATCCCTAGGTATCGCAGGTTGTACTCATGTATCGCATATTCAAGGGTCTTGATAACTAGAACAGAGAAAGGCCGAGGACGCTCCAGTTCCATGGCTTTGGGTGTCTGATTAGGAGACCTACTTAAGCGCTCCAATGGCCCTGCACCTATTTTTTTCCAGCCTATTTCTCGCATTTAGAAGTGAGGCCCCCCCATAGGAAGCTCACCAAATTGAAATCATGGCTCTCGAAGTGAAACGATCGATAAATAGGAAGAAGTCACTGGATGAGACAATCATCGAGAAAGCGCCATAGACAGCCTTCCAGGGCCACCCTCAGAGCCACATGCTGGAGCTAAGACGAAGGCCAATTCTTGTACGACATTGAAAGTTTTGAAGATACCCTGGGTATGCCAGGAACTCACTACAACTTCGTGTTGATGATGTTCTTCGGTCTATATGTGCTCTGCAAAGTTCCAAGCACCGTATATTTTGCCAAGTTCAAGTGACCATCTTGGTACATGGATATTCCCATTCTCCTGTGGGGAACAGTCATGACCTTGGTGGGTGCCGTTCAAAATTTTGGGGGCCTTTGCGCAGCGCGATTCTTCTTGTATTTCTTCTTAGCTGGATTCTTTCCCGGGCCGATCTATTTCATCTGTCAGTGGTGCAGTTCCGCCGTACCGAATTCAAAATTGCTCTATTCATTGCACTTGTGGTACATCGGGGGCATTTTCGGGTCTTCTTGTTGCCGCAATTGCAAAAATGAATGGTATTAATAACTACGAAGGCTGATGGTGAATCTTTGTCATCGAGGGAATTGCGGCCGTCCTGGTGGGAGTTAGGGATTTCTTCTTACTCCTTGATTCTCCGGACCATACTACGGGCGGTGGCTTACTCACAACGAACCCGATTCCTCAAATTATACTATATACTCAGGCGCGGGGTTGGAAAGAAGAAACTCAACGTAGGGGTAAAGAGGTGCGATTCCAACGCTCAATCCTCTGGTTGGTTCTCAAAGCTTTCGCAGATCTATATACAATCTTCACGTCAAGCGCAGTACGCAGCTATGGCTTGAAGTTTACTCTTCTTCAAATCTTGTAAAATATGGGCTCCGCCTTAGCAAACTTGAGGCTTCCTACAGTGCCTCTGTATTCCTATGGTACCCTCTCCGCGTTAATACTATCACTTGAGGCCGATCGTTTTACCTGGCGCATGCCCTTCGTTGTTGGAGCGGAAGCCATGGCCATTACCGCATATTATATTTTATTTGCCAAAGCTGCAGGTATTACAGACAGCGTCGCTATCTGCTACGTTATAGTTCAGCTCTCTTGCGCTGAAATCTGTCCCATCCTGTCCGGCTGCAACGCCTGGACTATCGCAACCTCGCTGGTCTAGCAAGGCGTGTTATGAGCATCACTACGATGACCTGCATAATAAATCTCGGCGGTATCGTGGGACCTTTTTTTGATTAGGAAAAGGAGCCACTAAAGTATCTGACGGGGTTTGGCACTTCGTCTGCATGTATTGTGGCGGGCATGTTGATGCCCTTATGCTCAAGTTCTTGTTTTATACGACTAATCAGAGGAATGCAAGGAAGATGGAGGGTTAATAGAGGACAGTGTATAATGAGGCGCAGTTGGAGAAGATGGGAGATTGGAGCCCGTTGCCTAAGTATCAACTGTGAAAGGGCCCGAGGAGCCTGGGATATTGTAGACATTGGCCCAATCTAGGGGTGTGCTGGAGGGCATTTTCGCCTACTGCAGTTAATTCACCATGGCTACCAAACGAAGAAACCTAGAGTTAATTTAAGCCGCAGTAAACTAAGCATACCCCCTTAAGGGCCCCTCCAAGGAGCGCCAACTGAGCGTGGATCTGGTCAGTCATTATAGAATACGGAGTTCTAAAGAAGCGTTACGAGTACTTCATTAAAACATTTTGTATCATTTTTTGTATAAACTACATTCAAAAATCAGTATTATCCCTCTATGAGTATCTCTAATCTAACTCAGAGGAAATTTTAAGCAGACTTAAAGAAACCGTCTTTTAGGTAAAGGGCATACTTTAGGACTGCTTGAGATCGTACTAGGATGGACAACGCCGAGACTAACATCGCTGTCAAATCTGGGGATGAATGCAATGACTTAGGCAATTTTAGCGGATTTGAAAATTCCCCCGGAGAAGCCTACAGCGACCCGCATGCATCCTGTGAGCTTTACCTGCCCAAACTCTGCCCTCCACCACAAGGCCGCATTGACTTCGAAGACTGTGAGAATCTGCCGGCGACTACTCTCGTTGACCATCCTCCCATTGTTAAAATGCTAACAGAGGTACTTGTGCGCACTAATGATGAGGACTATCGTTTTTGTAACAGAGTCCTTACAGTCTTGTGAAGAAATAGAAAGGAAGCGTTCGAATCGATCTTTGATCCTGAGATTGTGGCATGCTATTTCCGGAAGAGGGCTGAGAATGGATTCCCCTGGAGACAGTGAGGCGCCGCCAAACTGTTGTGGTACGTCATTGGGCTCCGTATCTTTCTCCTAGGACTGGTATCTGATGTTTCTTGTTTAAGGCTGGAGTATACACTCATGACGACCACTAAACTCAATGGGAGTGGAACGTCATTTCTGAAATTAGCGACTCTGGTAGCTGGAGTAGCGGTTGGACAGAAATATATGCTTCGAATGGAGGGTTCTCACGGTGCTCGAATGGGAATCCAATCCCGGAGACTTCCGCACCCATTCCAGTGGAGGGAGGGCGTCCGAGAGACAGGCACTATGGCTTTTATGGAAGAATTCGACTGGTTAGAATCATATCCGATCACAGTATCTGGAGTGGTATAGCTTCTATTAGCTAGCTTGAGGGACAAAAGCTCGGGTGACAAAGCTTATACTAACAGAGAGACTTCCCTCTAGGTTGGACGATGCCCGCCAGAACTTGGAACCGCTTTCCAGTGCTCTTTCTCTTGGAATCCCTTGCTCGCACTCCCCGTTCTTATTCTTACCTAGTGAAGAAGTACATCTCACTCATCTCGAGTACCGAATTTTGGATCGGGCATGTCAGAATTGGATGTACTCCCTACCTAAGAAGCACTTTATATTTCATTGAACAATACCTATTGCTTAGAGGACTTAGAATGAACACCAAAAGTTCCAGAGTGTGCCCAACTCCTGAAGCTTAGCTCAACTACGTGTCCCTTCAGAGCACGAATAAGTCACCTTTCAGATGCTACATCTCGCAGATATCCACCAAGTCCCTCTCGTTCTCCGAAGTAACATGCCCATGATGAATAAGAATCTGTATGTAAGTCATGGCACTACTGAGCTTGAACTTTCTTCGCAGAGTCTATATCACTTCCGCGACAGATATCATTTTGAGCCTCGCCAAATCGCCATCATTCGATATCGGGACCGGGTAGGGATTCATTTCCATTTCGTAGATGTATTGTACTTCGTGCTAACACTTAGGTACGCTATCATTTTTCAACCTCACCGAATAGGAGATGGTACCACAAGATAGGATGTGATTGCGTGCGTAACCCTCCAGCAATACAGGACTTTATGAAGCTTTGCGGGCGGATGAAATCGAGATGCTTTTCTCTGGGGCGAAGTCTGCTACTGGCTATGCTGTCGTGCTTACTCGGAGATTATGGTGCTGTCTGTGGGCGCCGGGTGACCCAGAACTGCGGATGGGACCGAGTTGCAAATCTCATGGAAGAGCTCTGGCCATCAAATCCGTGAGAAGAGCTCTTCCAAGAAAGTCCGTGATCATGGGGCCGGGGTTTGGGTGAGAGAGAAACAGGAGTCTGTCCTAGTCGTGTAGGGTCTAGCAATATGGCCAGAAGGCGTTCTATACAAACTAATTTTGCACATAACTGATCGGCTTATTGAGACATTCAATCATTAAATACCAGAATTTATGCTATCCACTTCCTACGCCACGGGGTCTTTCAGGAGGTACGACCACTAACCCACGAGTCAGCAAGGCCATGGAGTTTGAGATCAAGTGATCACGAATCGCGTCGTGTAATGTAGTCGATAATGCCGAAAGAAAGTCTTTTGCCCATTGTGGAGTGGATAATAGAACGTTGTTGAAATGATAATGGGCTGAGTGTCATATGAAACGGAGCTTTATTGCTTGGAAGCCGCCAGGGACTATTGCAGCTTGTTTGCTCCTACCACCCCCTTATTTATCTATGTTTGAGTCTGCCTTCTAGCAGGATGTGTCAGTTGCAGCTATGTTTCCGAGATATTAACACATTTCCGATGGAAGGACGTTGGTTCTCAGGAAAGAGAGAATACTCCATCAAGACTGCAAGGCTGGGTGCTCGAATTTTGAAATGCCTACAATATGGTATCTTTAGTCTGGTTCGCTTTTTACAAATGGGTGATCTGTGTCTTCATCTTCTCTTTCCTGTCATTCGACTTTAGTACCACCCAAACATCCTTAAAGTGCTCTAACCAAAGTTAATTTGGGAAGGTTTTCCATAGCCCTCTGAAATTCCAAACCACGTTCAATATTCTGTCGTCGGATAGCAGTTTTGGTCTGCCATCCTGCGCCATACACTTTGCTTGAGAGCTCAATCATTTTCTCATCAATAAATGTCTTCTCTTCTCTTGGAGAGCGGCACAGTCTGCCTTGACTGGATCGTTCCCATTCACCACTACGAAACTTGCTCACCGCTACCTGGCGCACCTTTCGGTGGTCCGAATAGAACGAATGGGGCAATTGGGAGGCCATTTATACTACATCATGGGCCTATATTACCTACTTTGTAGGTTAGACCGGATTTGGCAGAAGAAAATCTGGTAGTTGATGGAAAGTATCGGACGGAGACGACGTGTTTCGGACCTCGAAATGGGTAACATGCCTTGATAAAGGAACGCTAAATATAGAGAGGAGATCCAACGGTAGTAGGACATGGCTCGAAGGTAGAATGATAGGACTGATTTTAAGTGCCGCAAACAGAAAGGTAATTTCCATTTCTCACCAATAGTCACCTTCTTGTGATAGTGGACTCACTAGTAAAACCTCCGAGCACTCGAAGAGGGATGGGAGCAGCAAGGTAGCACCAAACCCGATGCCGCTACTCTCCGTAGCGGAGAATCGAGCTTATCCTGACGTCTTTCATGCCACCTTTGACCTTCGTCTGGGAAGTCGACAGCTTTGACACTCGAAAGTTGGATGCCACCTCCGTTTCGCGTCGTCTAATATTTCGGGAAGTGTAAGCGGTGCTGGAGATATGTGATCTATATTCCATCGTCATTTTCTCTCCTAGATCTCCCCTTTAGCGACTTTTTGTTGGTCCTATCACCTTAATTTGTTGTTATTCGTCACTCTTTGAAGTCTTTCATTCGAACAAACACATCCTCCTAGCTGCACCACAAATTTCGCGATAATTCCCACGCTAATGGAGCCGTTCATTCGGCTATACGCTCTCAGATCACATCTCTTAGACCTCTGTAGATGGCGCCCATATTCCTAGGGCGTGACGCCATTATGGCGCAGAGATGACGCGGTGATCAAAAGTGACTACGGTTTGCAAAGATGTCGTATGGCTGGTACGAATACCTTTCGGAACAGGCCGAATAGCTTCACGCACTCGGATAGAAATGACGTCATTTATCTACCAATGGTGCACGCTATCTGCACGTGCAAGTTTCCTAACGCCTCTAACCTTAACTTTACCTTCACGACGTAAACTGCACCTATTTCGTGCGGCTGCAGTGCAGGAGCTGCAGGCCTTCGGCCAGAAGGTGCAAATGTGGATTGCGGTGTCACTACACTTCAATAATTACTTGCAGCAAGTTTTCGCTTCTCGGATAGTCACCACTCCCACAACGATGGAAATAGCCGTGAAGCTGCAAGATGGGTTTGGGAGAGTCTATCCGAAAATTGATATCCCAAGGGGGCTGAAATGTTTGAAATAGTGATTTCGTCCAACTGCATCGGAATGATTACCAGCGAAAACCTGAATTTGGACGAAAGAACTTAGGGTTGTATTGGCTCCGAGCACGCCTAGAGTACTCCGCCTCTTCTGGAACGCACGTTTCATTAATTTTTCCTCTTGTAGAGTAGCTGTATCCGACACAAATGGATAGCGGACCTGCCTACTTGGAGACAGCCTGCATGTGTTGATGCTGGACAGAGCGCTGGGCCGTGTAACTAGAACCCTGCGTTATCATGGCCCTCATGCTCGTGCGATGGAGGCTATTTTCAGCGCTTCTGCCGCACCACCACTTAAAAATGAGGCCCATTGCATTCGTGTCTCCTCATGCAAGGCCACCTTTGAAAGCTGCCCACCACCTCGCCCCGCTTCACGATACAGACTACAAGCCCCACATCATTTACTTTTCAATCCTTCGCTCGGAAAGACTAGGGTCTGCAAACGCCACCATCATCACCGTGCAGCGGGCGCCAACGTTGCAATAACCCCTGTCGCTTCATCCATTCGTTTCGGTCGATCGCCAGCTAAAAGGTCGATCGATTTGGTCTTTCTACCGGGTCATGTGAGAGAGGGGTTAACCTGGTCTGGTCAGTCGCGGCAAGGCCCGAGAAAAAGCGCGGTTGGGAAGGGATTTTGCGAATCCGATGATGCCTGACGTGAAGAAGAGAGGCTTGAGGGAGGGGTTAGCCTGTTGAAACCATAGGGATGGTTCGCAGGAGTGTAGAAGAACGCATCGTTGAGGTATCTCGATGGATAAATCAATGCGCCTTTCGTATGATGACAACCTAGCGCTTGGGGTGTGGAGCCAAGGGAAATGGCGAGGGGTGCTCGAGATCTGGGAATGAGATGGCACTCTCACAGCATGGGCTTCTTGTCCGTTTCACGTTGACCGTGTAACATTGGTCATCAGTATGACAAGTGCAGAACGCAAAGTCTGCTGGATAGAGGACATGTGGAATATTCGCATTTGCGCGAGGCTACGCGTGGAATCGCAATTGGATATGGACTTTGATTTGATGAAAAGAGAGGAAAGCCTGTTTTCCCCATGTGGAGGGGAAAGCAGTTCTATATTGCTCATGCGTATTAATTGAAACTTGACAGAAGAATGTGGGTTCAATAACCATGACGCCGTCCACCATTCCTAACGCCTGCGCTGCTCCCTCTTGAAAATAGGACTTGCTATATGTTACACAGAATATGCAGAAACCCATCCTGTGTAAATGCTGTAGAATGTCCTCCGAATGCTGCCATGGATCTGTCTATCGATCTGAAGAAGTTGGTGGACAATGGAAGCTGAATCGAAATACCCAACACCGTCGCTAAAATCCGAGCGTGAATCATATCCTTTCGTATCGTATCGTGGCTCTGTGGGTGTCGTTTCGAGAGATGTATGGTGGCTATCGACCCTTGCCAGAGGCAGCAGCGAGTTGCGAGAGCGAGGCGAACGAAGATGTCATCGCTGAATAGGTTGCTCCATTGACGGATGAGAAGGAGGAAGAGCTGTTTGTGCGGATGCCCTGAAGATTGAGGGTAATGCAACTGTCGCATCGGCCGTTTTGGGTGTTGCATCGGCCTCGGCAACCGCGCTCGTAGTTGACACAGGAGAACATTATGTCAAAGTTGATGTTGAAGTTTGGTGAGCGAATGTAGAGAAGTGGAGTGTTTGAGTTTTGGATTCGGGAGGGTTCAATCTTCGAGAGGATCTGCTGAAGCTAATGCAACGGCAGCGGGTGAGGGTAAAGATATAGACACGGATCAAGCGTGATGCCCGATGATGTAGTTTCAATTGAGACTAAAGTGCTCTTGTGCCAAGATATAAGGCCTTAACACGTCGTAGCGCAGAGCCCCCTGTTGGCGTGCCTTGGACGAAGGTGTGTGATGGCAAGGACTGCAGGTGAGCGGTGCCAATCACAAGACGAGAAGGGTACAGGGGTAGTCGGCTGAGGAAAGATTGGTGGGCGAGAGTCCGCTGGCCGCTTGAGGTGTCAAAGAGGTTGTGTTTCTTGGGATTCTGTAATGCGGGCCATTGCGGCGGGCCCCTCGCTCTTTAAAAAAGCATGGAAGACGCACAGTGAAAGACATCCAAGACTTTGAGCTGCAAGGAGGGCTGGGAAGGCGACGGATCAGCCGGATGGTTGAACGGACCTTGGCGCTCGGTCCAACTTTTTGACGCGGCCTGCTCTTACTCACTCATGCACAGCGCCCGGTCGGAGCCTTGTTTCGCTCACTTTATTGCCATGAATGCCGTCGGCCCTGGGGCATGCACCTTAACGCCGCCTCACTTTGCCCGAATTTCCCGGCAATAGTTGCGCGTGGTGGAGGCTGAGCGGCTCATCTGTGTCCGTTTCGAGCACACCACCGAAAAGCAGACTAAAATGGCACCAACCTGCAGAAGAACAAAACTCATCTGCCCCTCTCACAATCTGCGGAACACTGCATTACAGAGTAGTTGAGTTGGGGGCGCATTTGGGCATATGTTATGTCCTGTTGTCAACTGTCTGCATGGATGCCAAAGTTAGGCTTGAACAATGCACGAGAGTGAGCCCATAAAACCCTCACAAAGACTTACACATTTTGGTCGTCTAGACTTTATTTGACACCGTCTCAGCCCTGTATGATTACGTTGCGCCGTGTCGCAGGCTTACTCACGGCATATGTCGAATGAGGATGTCAGACCATTTGGTCCGAACTATCACCATCAGTTGGTCAACTACTTTCTTTCATAAGACGCATACTTTCTTACCTGCCGCATCCAGCAAGTCCGGAGGTCGGCATTTTTTTTCCCATCTTTATGTTAATCCCATCGTAATTTTGCGCGGTTTTCCTCTTCTTACACACAGCATGCTTTCAAGAGTTCATGTGCCCTAATTGAGACAGGTTACAACGAGTCGTCTTTGCTGTATTTGCAAGTTCCTTTTTTGGCCCATCGAATATCGACAATTCCACGGCTTGCCTCTACCAGCCGCGCTCTTGGGGTCATAAGATTGCCTCGTTTTTGAAGCGGAACCCATCGGAGTTCACGGAGCCTCATTTATCGCCGATCGTAGGAGCTAGTCTCTACTGGAACGTGGGTATGCGCCGATGACTCAAGTTATATCCGAGATATCACCTACCCAACGTTGTATGCATCCCACTTCTTAACGTTTTCCTGGAAAACTTTCCTGGAACTCTTTTGCTGACTGTAGGAACACGAACTACAACCGCACCCTCCTGGTGTAACCGGACCAAGCTTGGTGAAATAGGATGCAATGTGGAATCCTATCAACACACTCCAATGCTTTAAAAGCAGTAGTAAATAGTTGTTCTTGATGCTACAGTATGCTGTATCACTGAAACTCAGTATATTCTTCCACTTTCAAGACGTGCTCCATAGGAAGCCTTCCCTTTTCACCCTGCTCTATTGTACGTTTCCTGATTTTGTCTTGGAAATCTTCGTGCCATTGCCTATGAATTACTTAATCGCCACTTCCTTAGCAACATCTCCGCTTCTGTAGCCTTCTACATCAGGTAATTCGATGTTTCGCCGTAGATTGCGGCACTGAAATGCTTTCATAACATACAACTCGAGTTTCCTATTTTGGCTTAGCACGATTCTGAGAAACTCATGATAAATGTCTTTCTCTCAACTTTCCCTTTCCGTGAGGAAATATGTGCCCCTCTCCGCGAACAATCGCACACACGTCAGAGTAGTCAAGTGCTTCGTAGGTACGTTTCAGTTTTGCACCTTCTGGGGTTCTCTCGCTGTCATGGGACCATAAATTTAAGCTTGATTTCAGGTTACGGCGAGACTGCAATGGCTAACTACAACATGAATATCTTCCATCATGGTATGTAGTTTCAGATAGGATTCCTAGGACAATTTCTGACCTGGCTGATAGCAAACCCAATTCATCAGCCACTTTTTCTCCCGCAAAACTTGTAGAGGCAGAAAAGGCCACTCGTTCCCTTCATTGCTCTTCCTGATCCAACATCACTTCTTCATACCCGATTTCACGTCTTCTTCCACCCTCCAAAGGAGGCAAAATTTTGCAAAAACATACGACAGCGGGGATTCGCTAGTGGTCTCCCACCTAACTACTAATCCACCGGTTGCTGGGTTAATTATCGGGGAGCGGACGGGACCCAATTGATTCCAGCACCTATGATCGTATGTGAAAGAAATAGGTTGAAATTTACTTTATATTCCTTTGATATTTTCCGGCAAAAACTGTCCATGAAGGAGTAGGACGGGGGCCGCCAAGAAAACAGATCAAGATAACCTTTGAGATTTTCTCTTGTCCAGTGGGATGGCTGAAGAAATGGGTTATCGCTATTTTTCTGGTAGCGTATGCTGAAAAAGGAGAAAGCAGTGATTCCCTTCATTCCTATCCATTCCCTACTTGTTGACGGTGAAATTGAACTTCGAACCACCGAACTCCCTCCGAAGCAGCTCATTCCGCGACTTCGTCTCCTCTATAGCTTTATGGAATATTTTGGGTTCATAAAATTGTGTATAACTCGGCTCGAATTCCCTCAGGACAGCAAACTCGTGCTTGGAGCATCGAAATATTTTCCAATCAGGACCAGAAGTGTTACAGTCGCCCCGAATGCCGTTGTTTTAGTTAGCATAGATGGGGGGATTGGGTGAGATTCGCTGACACAGGTCGTCGCTGATTACATTGTGAGGGATGTTGAGGTGTTTGAGGTTCTTGAGGGGTTGGGGGTTAGGGCAACCGTCGCATTTAGGGTGAGAGTTCAAAATCGTTGTCTCCGTCTTCCACGGACTACATTGCGGGATTCTCAACATATGGAACGACTGATTCTAGGACCTCCCAGGACTATAATGCACGCGAAGCCTTTTCACATTGAAACGAATGTTAGAATATGTAGTGGCGTCCCTTGGGTGGAGGAAATAAGGGTTAATAGCGAGATACAAAGTGCTAAGTCCAACAGAGAGATGTTGTAATGTCTACGGAAGGCGTTTGTGCCACATAGAGATATTCGTATGTTTGATCCCACTCAGGCTAGAAATCTCTTCGAACAGGGTGTTGCGGGGCTAGGTGTTGGGAAAATCTTGATAAATTCCTCGGAACTCGGCGTGAAACTAGGTATAACGCATAGGAATACTTCTTCATAGAAATGAATTCCCCGAACATTTTTGTCTGCAATGAACTGTTTCGATGTCTCGTTCCCCCTGAGCCCTCTCCCAAGTTCCGAAGTATGGGCCACTTCTATCGCTGACGAGCTTTGTCTAATTTGGGTATAAATTGACCGAAAGATTGCGCGGCCATGACATACCGGGTGTTAAAAATCTTTATATTAGCATGGATTTGTCTTACGTTCCCCTAGAGACCCAGGTTAGCTAGTAGGCTCCGTGTAAAGAGGACAAGCGTATATTCTTCCTGAAACAAATAGTAGGTGAATGGAAGAGTAATTATTGCGCAATTGGATGAAGCCGCTTGCACGCTAGTATTCTGCTTCTAAGGCAGTCTGACATAGGCTTGAACTCATGGTGGATTGCAGCAAGCTCGTGCTTGAGGCCGTCAAGGAATTGGTAGGCACTCCTGCTTTCAGTTGTCCTATTTTATTCCGCTTATAGTGTATCCAAGAATATAGAAGCCGATTCGAAGGAGGATCTTCTCCGGGAATTTAAGGATCGAGGAGAAGTTCGCCGCCATGTTGTCCTTTTGGCACCCCAAGCGCATACCGAAACATGGGGAGAGGTTATCGTAGAAACTCGTGGAAAATTATTGTTTGCGAGAAGAGGAGTTTTGGTACCACTCGTAAGAGTTGGTCTAGGCTGGTCGGGTGGATAGTTTGTGCCTACCCCGCCGGTGCAACCGTTCGCTGGTGCTGAAGGTGAAAGGGATGATTTACTGAAACGTGACTATGACTTTATAATTTTGCACGCGCTGGCAGATTCGTTAAAGTAATGTCCCTCCCTGCGCAACGAGAAACCCCCCCGCAACGAGAAAAATGGACGGATACTTTGACTTTTCACTACTCCAACTCTGCGTGCATGTGGTTATCCGCTATAATATATATAATTTATAAGTTATACTATAGGTAATCCTAACCATGCGAGTGCCTTCGCAACCAAATATTTCAGTCTCCGTGACGCCACCCGCACTTGTTTTGGGCAGAGCCATATTTCGTCGCGGAAGAAACATCCCTCGCTAGAGTACCACCATCGAGCTCTTCCCGCTGTTCAAAACCCGCCAGAAGGGTTCTATCAAGCTTGCATGTTTCATCATAGTACTGGGAAGTCACCATCAGCCTTGTAGTTGCTCCTGCGCACAAATTTATGCAAGATCGCTACTACAGTTGGTACTTCCGGCCAAGCAGCTTCTAATCCTAGCTAGTGAAAAACAACCCCGCTTGGTGTACATAATCATTTAGGTGTAATTTACATATGTTATCTAGTGGGCTAGGCTTGTAGCTGTTAGGTCTGTTCGGCCTATGGATGTGGAAACGACTGTAAGAGACATGATGTCATCTGCTTACTGGACGGGTGCTTAGCGTAACTGGGCATTCTAATACCCTAATTGCAAGCAAGAGTCTTGACGATAACGTGTACAAATGTAGTGACGTGCTATTAGCATAGACTTGTGATTTGCTTCATGTAAGAAGGTTACTCTATTACTGCTTAAGCTTACAAAGGTGTGGCTGATGTAGATTAGCTACCCTAATAGGAGTAGCGTTGCAAGCACTAAACCTTGATTGTGCATTTTAATGAAGTTGTAAATAACAAGACGAACTAAGGAACATTACTAAAAATAGTTAGCGTAGGGCAGGGGCAGCCCCGCAGCTAGTGTAACGGCCACTTAACGTAAGAACTAAAGCAAACGTCTTTGCTCAACCTCATCTCGTACAAGGACTCCTCTCGAGACAGAAGAAGCACGATGATTGATCTCTCCCTGCTCTTAGATGGTTTTGACGAAAGCCTCGCCAACAGTCTCGATGATTCTGGCAAGTACGATGTGACGATACGACTTCTCTGCTCAACAGTACGAAGATACAACAACATTTACAGAGAACTTGAGCGCCTTAAAGAGTCAACAGGCTTTAACAAGCCATTTCCGATCCTGCGCCTCCCTCGAGAGATTCGCGACAAGATATACACCTACAGTCTGCGCGCCGCAATCTCAGTTGACGTAATACCGCGATTGTCTTACATTCACACCGCTGATAATCCCTTTAAGCCTCCAACATCAGGCCTACTCCGCGTGAATAAGCAGGTCTATCACGAAGCCATTGAAATATTATATTCAAAGAATATTTTCAGGTTCCAGAAGCCGGGACAGCTATTTGCTTTTGAACAACAGATCGGGTTGGAGAGTCTCAAGCGAGTGAGGAGTATATGTATTTGGATCAGATTCCCTATGGAAGACGAAGCAGTCCCGGACCCGAGATACTTGCCGCGATCGGAATACGATAGCGTCCCATCTCATTGGACCGCGGCTTTGAAGGCATGTGGTCTAAAGCAAATCGTGCATCTATATATTGAGGCGGAGATGATCCTGTCTCCTCCATTGTCTTTGCTTCCTATGCCTAAGGACCTGCAGGTATGCATTGAGGAATTTCTTGGAAGGGTGGCAGACAATAAAGTCCCACACCTTTCGCTAAAGGGATTCAGGGAGGAGGAAAGGGAGAAATTTCCTAAGAGGTGGGAGGTTGTAATGGATCAGTGGGATGACTACAAGGAAGAATTTGAAGCATTGCAGAGGGAATTGGAGGAATTAGAGGCATGTTCTGACACGCAATGGAATTTCAGTCCTGGGACTTTTGAAGGAGAGGGGTTGGATGATGAACAACAAATGCCCTAGCCTTGCTTGCCAACATATTTACACCCTGTAGTTCCTAGTACCGCAGGTATTGTGTACCTAATGATATTCTTTTCACATAAAAAGTATCTTATCTCTTTTCCTGTGCATGTTAAAATGTGCAAAGTGAAATTGTAGAACATACAGAGTATTAGCCTGAGCAACAGCCTTCACACCTATTCTCCACCATTGGAAACATCACATGTCTCTTTCCCATCATATAACTACCATTAAGTCCTCTTACCAAGGACTTAATTATGGCTAGTGTTGATGACTTTTGTGAGAATGCCTGCATTGTAATCAGAGATAGCTAATTGCATAGCCGGTTCCCTAGGATCTACTATATAGGAAACGCATTATGCAGGTAGAAAGGACGGCAGCTAATAGATGAGATGTTGTGTTTGGAAACAGCAAGTCAAGGAAGTACCTCCTTGTACCGTAGCAAATCACGCGTCTCTAATAATAGCGCCTTACTAAATTTGCCTGAGTGCTAAGGTTCTTGCTTTGCAAGCGGGGTAGTCAGAATGCGTGCTGCAGCCGCGTCGGGGTGCCCAAGGTTAGACAGTTGTAACAGGTATTGTTGGCCTCGGATCTGTACCTCTCTCAAGCCCCATCCGCGTTCATGATGGTGAACGGAAGACTGGGCAACGTTACCTCGTTCTGCTAGAGCTGCGTAAGTCCTGTTAATTATTGAAAATGAAAAGTTGCTGTATTCGATAAGGAGCGCAGCTCAGGCTATATACCTTACACTACCCAATAGCTCCTGCATTTGTTGGTGTAAACATCTTCAGCTGATGCAGCCTCTTTAACCCATCCTGCTTGCCTCACCCTACTGGGTATACCTGCCATTTCAACAAGTCCTACGTACGCTTACAGGGAGCACTTGCGCCAACGCCTGGCTGGCTCGGTCCATGTTCGCGACTATGGTGATTAATCTCCCTGTATTAAACCCCACATGGTATACCATTCGATATACCGGTTTTTAATCCCCCAACCAAATTCTATCAATCATGTTTTGCGCAATAAGACCTTAATACCCACCATCAATTCCTGCTAGGAAAAACTCATCTCCTGCCGCTAGACCACCGACTATTCTTCACTCAAAGCCGAAGACAATGGAATTACTCTATGCATGATGCCCGAATGCAACATGAAACGGAGCTCATATAATCCCGGAAGACCATCTCCGTCATCTACAATATCCTGCACCCATTCAGTCGTATCATCGCCCCCGTTAATGATATCAAGTTTCTCAAGACTGGAGGAAGGAAAGCCGCAATGCTGCAATCGAACAATCCTTGCCACTGTTTGAAGGGGCTGATCCTATATCAGGGAGAGATAAATGATGCAAGCTGTGGGAGACTGCTAGCGAGCGTGATAGCCTAGTTGACATGATATTGAACTCGAACTATATTGGAGCTGTCTTCAAAATCTCCAGAGTTGGCCCGGTGAAATAAGTAGGGTAAAGGAGTTTCTTCGGAGCAGTCGCATTTCTCACATCATGTTTGTTCTAGATTCGGATGGCCATTCGGAAGGGGTGCACGTTGTATAGATCGAGGACCTTGAGGTTCTTGAAGCTGCTCAGCAGGGTACGGGTCTCAAAAAGAAAGTGAGTAGCACTGAGTCGCACCCTGAAGGCCCCAATCCCCATACGAAGGTAGGTAATATGTGTGATGTTTAAGTCTACATCGCAAGGAAATGCCCCCCCAGCCGGTTGGCGCAACGAGATCACATGTCCTCGGAGTGGGATTCTGGAGTAATTGGCTTGGGATGGCGTATACCCTCATCGACAGATAATGTAGAGCTGGGAATGGACTTGAGGATGGTTGTGAGTTGTTACGCTTAGAGGATCGGCATTATCGTATGTAATAAGGCGTGGTGGTGTTAGAAGGCCGGATAGACCGTGTCGCTTGTCATCGACGATGCTTCCCTGCTCAATTAAAGGAAAGGCGAAAAAGAAGATGCTAAATAGCATCTTCAAGTTCGTATTGAGAGTTAATGTGTCAATTGCCACTCTCTAAAGCAAGTTCATCCTTTGGAATGTACTTGATAGCATCACTGAGAGACGTGCTAGTGTCAAAGTCTTTGAACGTGATGAACAGCCTCGACCGAGCGCCTAGAGATTGTAAGTCGCTCATAGTCTTATAGGTTACGCCGTGGGATTCCTCACTTTATTCAACAGATTACAGTGGCAAAAAAGAGTTCCGGTAAGAGGCACTAGATGTGGCAATGCGGACTCATTAGAGGGTCCCAAAACAAGAGTTCCAAACAAGATCTCCAGTGCGCAAGAAAAGAATTCTCGACAGGCAAGGGATAAGTTACGGAAATCTTGGGAGAATCCCCGAGACTTCTTCAAGGACTCGAACTCTAATTTAAACGTCGAGCTCGGACCATCGTGGTGCAAGAATGAAGCCATGTATATAAGGAGTTCGGGCGGAGGTGATGATCAGATAGTATTTACCTTGCATGGACTTCATGAGGGAGCCACCAAGTGGCAGTGCCTCTTGCGTCTTGTTGAGAAGCGACCGTGTTAAGCTGCGAGGTAGAGTACACAGAAAAAGACAAGGGCGATCGAAGGAGCGGGTTTTATGAATAGAATACCAGAGCCGTGAACTAAGCATGAATTAGAGAGAATCTGACTATGTCCTAGTAGAATGTGCGGCATTGTAATGAAAGCTCAATACTGCACAGTGGAATGCACTCGGTGAGGATGACGCACACGTAAGCGTTTTGGTGTCCCCACTATCGTCTCAAAGTTCTCTATGACATCACGCTGAATCCCCATATGAAGCTCTTCTTCGAGGTAGAGCTTGATCTGTCGCAGGCTGTACTTGGAGTTAACGACTTCCTTTAACTCATAACCCTTCCTGAACCGAATCGTGGAGAATTCAAGATATGGGGTTAGGCGCAGAAAAAAAAATACTTTCTTCCAGTTCACCTCTCGTGATCCATCTAGAATGAAAATCTGGGGATGGAAATGTGGCCAAAATGCTAGAAGTTTCTTAAGCTGGGGAAGGTGTGTTATCTGGACAGTTGTGTGCATAGAATTAATATAGTATCTCAAGTTGGAATAGATTTCATGTCTCCGTTAATAAAGTAGTCCATGAATATTCTTCAGGGTGGCGATGCCACCCCGAAAACCGGAGACAGTATCTTCAAGGCATCAGGATCGGTGTGCAAACTTCGGAGTAGTTGAAAGAAGTGTTTTCTGCCAATCTCAAAGGTGAACTTGTCCTTGCAACGGATTCTTAGAATATTGACACTCACCTTTCGTGATCTCGGCTGTTCGCCATTGTATCCTGCTACGGACCAGCGATAGAAATTTCTACTGTCAACAGGGATGGAAGACAAAGCTACGTTCGCGGAATTATTGCAAGGGTGGTCTCGAGATGCTTGATGTTCAACATAACGTTAGTCTGGCAGATCTCGTCGTCGATCAGGTAACCACAGAACCATTATAGAAATCCACCATCGAGTTAAATCCATGCAGACTCAATCGCTCAACATTCAACGTGAGAGTAGTCAGCAACTCTATAACCGCGGAATGTTGGCCCGCAAACTGTCCCATAAGTCGGCCTGCCTGGACATTAGAGGCATCTGGGTTGTCGAGCTTGTCTCTGTCGTGTGTCGAAGAATAGAAGAATCGCAAATTATTTACAACTTCCTTTGATAGCTCCCCGGGCGGTATTATCGGAGTCGCGAAGACAGTATGCGATTTCTACTATGAGCTCATTCGGCAAGGCTTGAGTCGGAGCTAAAATATGCAAGTTATCTTCGTTGTTACTGTCAATTCTGAATGATGGCGAAATTCCGAAAGGTTGGGTAGTGTTCGACCTTGATTAGTTTTGGTGTAGGGCAGAAAGAGTATGGTGTTCGGAATGACCTTTTAATAACTTGAGCCAAGCATAGTGGAAGTGATTGCTACTACAAGTCACAAATATTTCCCTCTTTCATCCTCAACATTCGTAGAGTCACTGCCTAACTCCCTCCACGAAATTCCCCGCCCTCGTTGGAGTACTTCTGCATTGTTGATGCATATGACGGCTTTCCGACCACATGGCGCACGGAGCTGAAAAGCACTAAGAGTGCTAAGTTCCCAACTTTCGTCGGGATCAAAATCTTATTCTGAGATGCCCTTCGCTTCATCCTGGATGGAAAGGAGGTTAAATGGATGCGACTTTCAACCAAGGCCGGTACTGAGTATCACTCTTTTCGACTGAGAACGAATTTGATGGCGGAGGAAGTTAGAGCCATCTGTGGAGATATTCAGCTATCGAGCTACTGAAACAAGAGGACGATTTGTGCGTTCGGGAGGGACTGTGGTGTAGCGGAGTCGTTTCTGACTCGTTTTCAACCGGTTTTCTTAGGGTAGGTACCATGGACCTACTTTCCAGGTGCTAGGGCTATTGGCCTGACTTCCACTGGCGCGCTACTTTCGACCCCTTCCTCCAACGCCCAAGGACACTGCACAACAGCATCATGGTTCGGTCCCTTATTTCTTGCAATATTTCGCTAGGTTCGCCCCCCCTTTGGGGTGTGAAAATCGCCACATGCACTGTTCCCTCAACGCCTGCACCTCCGAAGGATAGCTCAACTCAGCCATGGAGACCGCTTGCTTAATGATTATAGTATATCAGGCCCACAAATCTACAATCCCGCTAGTGAAGAGGGATGGTTCTTTTCATCGACCGGAATTATCCATTGGTTCTTGGGCGATGTAGCGGACGAATCGTGGCTTGCGTCCTCGGCCGCTGTATGATAGGATTGATACATCCATAACATTTCCTACACTTCGAGATGGTCGAGGGCCTTGACCATATCTGCTTCTGTCTTCTCGATACCATCTTTCCCCACCCCCTGGCCAGCAACAAACCCCACGCCTTCACAACCCCCATCATCATCTAGCTCCACCCCAAGCAGCATATTAACAACCCAATGCGCAGTCTCGGCGTGCAAACTTGGGGCCAATTTCCCTCCACTCACTCTACTCCTTCCTTTCGCCAGTGCCTGGAAAACAACGAGTTGGTCCCGCAAATACTCATCCACACAACCACCGTGCTCAATCTCGGCAATCAGATCTGCGAAGACTTTTTTGGCCATCTTAGATATCACGGTGTCGATTTTACCAGTCCGGATCCCGTGGTCATACAGCCAATCACGCGCAAGCTTGTATCCGGTTGACGTGGTGGCGACGAGGAGAAGGTAGAAGCGTTTGTCGTGGCCAGAGGGTTCGAAAGAAACGTCGAATTCTGTCTCGTTTTCGTTTCCTTGATCACCGAAGATAGCCGTGCGTCTCTTATTAAACATAACTTCTAGTTCATCCCGGAAATGCGATTCGCATGCTTTTGGGGCAAGAATAGTAGCCTTGACATGGCGAATTTCGCCGCGCTGGGCGAGTTGGAACGCTGGTAAACTAGATCCCGAGGGCAATGGGGTGATGGTATAGGAAGTAGTACCGAGTCTTGTGGATCCGGTTGACCATCCCCGTGAATGTAGTTCGGATGTTATTGGAGGGATTCCAATACAAGAAAGCATGGGAAGAAGAACTTGCTGGACATAGTCATATGAGGGTGAGTTAGAAACATTTGTTCCACCCGATATCCTGACCTGAATTGGGGAATTTGAGCCGGAGAAGATGAGATAAGGGAGGATTGCTTGGAATACGAGGCTGATGCTGCCTGGGGTGTTTTGGTTGATTAGGATATGGGCGGTTGATGCAGACACCTATATTATGAATCAGACCTCCTGGAAAAACAGACGTTTGTCTATATTAGTTTCCACGTACTTCTAGTTTCCTGCGTTCGATGGTCAAGCAATAAGGATCTGGAGTGAAGGTGATTTCCTTGCTCTTCAAGCCCACGCCACTGACTCTTGCATTCGAAGCTTTGCCGAGCCATTGAACTGAGGTTAAGTGCTGTGCTTTCAGTCCACCACCCCCTGATCGTTTCCCGCGGATGTTGGTGATTTGAATGGGGATTTTGGTGAGGCTGGAGAGACCAAGGGCAATGCGAAGGAGTTGCCCTCCTCCTTCGAGAGTGGTGCCTTCGAGATGAATGGGCGGCATGGTTAAGATGAGCTCTGCTTCTAAGATATAGAACCTAGCATACGTGCGGGGAAAGAAAGAGACTAAAATGACCTGTAGGACGAATGGGCAAGCAGAGGTAGTGAAGAGCTCAGTGCAAGCTACGCAAAGGAAAACCTAGCTAATTATCAATGGAGGAGGGAAAGGGAAAGGCTAATCAACGAGATGAGTCGAAATCGGAGTTTCTAACTTTCACCACAGTCATCCTTCTGTGGCTGTGTGGCTACAAGGCAGCGTTGTTTGCTGAGACATGATTGGACAATGTCGTCACAGATCTGAAGCGAGCTATTTACGTTCTGCGACCTATTCATTTGATGAATCCATGTCTGCAACACCGTGAGAGAGTGAATGATTGAGGAGTTAAGGGAGGTAAATGCTAGGAGGAGAGCAATCTCGCATCGGGAGTTATCGAAACAGATCGGATCGGGCACGTGTTGGTGCCGATTGCCGGTTCGTTTTGTCGTTTCGTCATTCTCCGAGCCGAGAACTTTTGTCCAGAAGCTTGTCGAAAGCTTTTGACTCCCAACCAACACCCACGTCTCTGCTCTCTGCACACCCTATCGACATGCCGACGTCCCTGACAAGCCTTCGGATACCCATTAATACTCGGTAGGCCGTACGAGGCCTCCTTCCACCCCCCGCGCTCAGCCATGCGCGGCAATTTGCCGCTCTCCGCCAAGGCGTGGAATAGTCCTGGTAATGGAGCTCTTTTCTCTAGCATACAGTGGCGACAACAGCTTGCGTCGCCCGTGATATCAAGGGCGTTTTCGTCCCGACCGAGAGCTACCGAATTCTCCGCTCCTCCACGCCACAATGGCATCCTACGTCCTGTCCCGCCGCGATTTACCGCGGCCATCCCCCCTCTACGCCAGAATCTCCCGCCCTTCCGCATATTTTGCGTTTCAAGAGCGCTGACAGAGGCGAAGAAGGATGGCAGCGCGCCAGCAAAGGCTCGCAAATCGTACAAAGATGAGATGAAAGAGAAGGGCATCATCGACATCGAGGAGCACGATGGCACAGAGGAAGAGGTTGGCTTCGGCAGATCTGAAAAGGCAAATGCAGCGGCACACGTCAATCTCAGCGCGAAGCTCAGTAAAGAGGGAACGCCAGGTGGCCAGCCAGGCAGCATGAAGGAAGTCTGGAGGTTAATCAAGATTGCCAAGCCGGAACTGAAGACCCTCTCTGTGGCATTCATGTTCCTCTTGGTTTCGTCTGCTGTGTCTTTATCCGTGCCCTTCTCAATCGGGAAGATCTTGGACATCGCGACACAGCCTGGTGGTGCTAAAGATATGCTCTTTGGATTGGATATGACTACTTTCTACATCGCATTAGCAGGAGTGCTTGCTACTGGCGCGGCGGCAAACTTTGGACGCATCATTATTCTTCGCATCGTCGGAGAGCGCATTGTCGCACGACTGCGATCGAAGCTGTACAGGAAGACCTTCATTCAGAACGCAGAGTTTTTTGACGCCAACAGAGTAGGAGACCTCATCTCCCGCCTCGGATCTGATACAATCATTGTAGGCAAGAGCATCACACAGAACTTGTCAGACGGTCTACGGGCGGCTGTTAGCGGTGCAGCAGGCTTTGCTATGATGGGCTGGGTTAGCATCAAGCTTACTGGCATTCTTGCTTTAGTCGGCCCGCCAGTTGCTATCGCAGCCTTCTTCTCCGGTAGGATGTTGCGGAACATCAGTCGGAAGATCCAGAAGAATCTCGGAACCCTGACTAAGATCGCTGAAGAACGGCTAGGCAACGTCAAGACTAGCCAGGCATTTGCTGGAGAGATGCAAGAAGCGGGGCGCTATAACCGCCAAGTCAAGAGGATATTCGAACTTGGCAAGAAAGAGGCCATTGTGGCTGCAACTTTCTACGGCACTACTGGTTTGATGGGCAACTTGACCGTCATTGCAGTCTTATATGTCGGAGGCAGCATGGTCAAATCTGGAGCTATCACCATTGGAGAGCTATCTTCGTTCCTGATGTATACAGCTTATGCTGGGTCAAGTATGGTCGGCCTATCTGGATTTTGGGGAGAGATGATGAAGGGCGTGGGTGCTGCAAGCCGCCTTTTCGAGCTCCAAGACCGGAACCCCACGATTTCGCCAACCGTTGGCCAACCCGTCAAGTCCGCCCAAGGTCCAATTGAGTTCAAGCATGTATCATTTAGCTACCCAACTCGCCCCGCTGTTTCCATCTTCACGGATCTGAACTTCCGGATCGAGCAAGGTACAAATGTTGCCATTGTTGCACCTAGCGGAGCCGGCAAATCTACTGTGGCGAGTTTGTTGCTGAGATTCTATACTCCTACCGGGGGGAAAATCACCATAGATGGCCGAGACATCACGGGACTAAACGCGAAGCAATTGCGAAGAAAGATTGGCTACGTCGGTCAAGAGCCTGTGCTTTTCTCGGGGACCATTGCGGAGAACATTGCGTATGGAGTTCCTCACGCTACTCGTGCGGAAATCGTAGCGGCAGCTCGTAAGGCTAATTGCCAGTTCATCGGTGATTTCGTAAGTCGCTGATATGTGGGGTGCTCGCAATGAAGGCACAACAAAACTAACGTATGGCAGCCCGATGGCCTCGAAACCCATGTCGGCGCGCGAGGAACACAGCTCTCAGGTGGCCAGAAGCAGCGTATCGCTATTGCACGCGCTCTCATCAAGAAACCTGACATCCTTATCCTGGATGAAGCAACCAGTAAGTCCCACTACCGCTCCCCTCCTGCCCATCGACCGACATCTTCACCCAGGCGCACTTGACGCCGAATCCGAAACCCTCGTGAACCAAGCCCTCGGCGTCCTTCTCCGCGAGAAAAACACAACAATCAGCATCGCGCATCGTCTATCCACAATCAAGCGCTCTGACCGCATCATCTGCATCGGTTCGGATGGTCAAGTTGCCGAAGAAGGGACCTACAAGGACCTCGCCGCAAACCCAGACGGCGCATTTACCAAGCTCATGGAATGGCAGCTTAGCGGTGGGGACGTCGAGACCCGGGAAGTCAGAGTGCAAGACCCGCGCCCGACAGAGGAGGAAGAGATTGAGGAGGATCTGGAAAGAGACGACGATGACGATGGCGATGACGATGGGTCACCCCGATCGCAATTGCAATCGGAAGGCCGACGAAATGGTGAGAGCGTCATGATGCCGTCCACACCATCAACGTCTTCGAGCCGTAGGCCGAGATAGCGGCGAATGGCGACCGGCTCGGGAAATCGTAGTGTAACGATCGTGCGGTGTATGGTGGCGCACAATATAAAAAAACACGAGTCCCTCAACAGCCTTCCGTTGCGTGCTGTGTTGGAGACGGAATATTGGGTGGTTGCCTACAAAAGGGATCCACTTCTTCTAAGAGGCAAATGGTCAGCTGGGCATGTACTGTAATATTAACTTCACGAATTGCACACGGGAACTCTCTCGATGGCCAGGAGTTCCGGAAATCTCCGCAAATATCGACTCATTTGGGCGGTGTCGAATCTCACATGTGTGTTGCGCCCCCTGGCGTCTTGAAAGCTGGGAACGACGGAAAGTGGAGGCTCAACGGGCGGCTGCATCGATTTGCAGGGGTGGGAGTGGGATGAAGTGGGATGCATGGCATGGCGGTGGTGTCACTTCTTGGCTGTCATACGATACCCATCCAACCTCACCACCGAGAAATTTTTGTCAGCGTGGCTGGGTCGTATCATCCGAATGATACAACACGTTCTGCCTCACGCTTCTCACCGGCTCTACTGAAGATAGCAATTCCTCTCGTCCTCGGCCCAACACTTTCAGTCAGGATACCTTGCGATTGCTCACACACGTATCAGATCCACAGCTGAGCTGTGTTCTTGCCTAGGTAGATAGTGAGGAAGTATATTAACCTGGTCTCACCACCACGGCGACGAAAGATTTTCTTTTTTCAATATGTCAGGCCCGACAATATCTATCTTTGAGTTTTTGTTCAACAAGCCTTTTGAATACGCGACGCAACCTTTGAGGTTTAACTACGAGGCACTCCATAAAGAAATCAAAACCACCGCTACCGAACTAAACAAACGAGGCTTTCTGTGGGGAGTCATTGGGAAGGGATAGTGAACGTACGTATATGAGAATTCTTACCTGGGAATGTTAGCATCGAAATGAGAAGTAGAAAAGGCATGGAAGATGTGGATGTCATGGGAATGGGGTAGGAGGCATGGTCGGGAATTAGTAAGTCGTGTGAAGATATGTACACCCCGACCACACACACACACACAAACAAAATGCTACTTAGCAGAACAGCACAACACATCATATCAACAATCACAAAGTCTAGAACGACGGAGCTGACAATATCAATAGGCCAACGAATCAAACTCGACAGCTGGACAAACCCCAGCATTTCGCTTGCAGCATCAAATATCTTGACGTCATCCACACATACAGACGACACCTGCTTGCATAGTAAACCTTGTGCGGAATGGCACCATCTGCCACCTACGAAACCCACGCCACGCGTCGAGTACATAACTCGCCGCCAACCCCCCCTACTGAAGAAGAGCTAGAACCAGAACCCATCCCCTTCTCTCCCATCCCTCACCTCGAACACTGCACGCACTCCCCCATGCTGAAAACCGCATCCTTTACCTCATACCGCATTCCATCACACACCACGCCCTTCAAACGCGCGAACTGGGTCAATATTTCCAAAACCGTGAATATCCATCACTCTAGTAACTTGCACGCAGCGAGATCGCATCGCAGTCACGAGAGGGAAGAGGAGTACAAGATGGCTGGGAATCGGGAGAATGATGTTAAGGCGCTGAAGCATGATATGGTGTATTTCAAGGGATTAATGAGTAGTGTGAGGAGATTTGGAGAGTTTAGAACCGTGTTGCATACGGGGCTGTATAGTCAGGTTGTGGCGATGGAGGTGCCGGTGGGTGGGGAGATTGGGGACGAGGTACGTATATATATTCTTTTTGTGTGGGAGGTGGGAGGCGGGAGGCAGGAGGTAAGGGTGGAGGTTGCCGTGGAGTTCTGGGAATGATTGCGATTGTAAGTGGTTGTTAGTGCTAATGGCCGACCAGGTCCATACAGTCGACCAAATCCTGCTTTTCACATCCGGTAAAGGCCTCGCGACCATCGCTGGCAAAAACCAGGAAGTGAGTGCTGGCGACGTAGTTGTTGTGCCGGCAGGCACACAGCATCAGTTTGTCACTCGGGGTGATGAGCCACTCGAACTTGTTACCATCTATTCTCCCGCAGAGCATGCTCCGTCGACGGTGCATAAGGACAAAGAGCAGGCAGATAAAGAGGAGGGTGAAGGGATTGATGAAGCGCCTGAATGGAGTCAGAGGAGCAAAAAGGAGAATGAGGATCAGGGGTTGGTGAAGTTGAGTGGGAAGTATGATGAGTAGAGGTGAAGTTGAATGGGGAGAAGGAAGATATGGTGGAAGGGTGAAGTAGTGGAAAGCACGAAGAAGAGGAAGAATAGTGAAGTAGAGGCGGGGGTTCAAAAAAGAGGGGTCTTTCTGAGCAGCATACGAACGTGAAAGGTCTGGATATGATGGAAAGATGATACCTCAGAGCCATGTGAAGGCATGTGAGCCAGGCTCGATGACGTTTTCGAGATGAAATCGCATCTAGAACTCTTCTCTTTTCGTTACCTGCATTTTTACCTGGAGTCAGGGTAGTGTAGAGCCATTATTTTCTCTATTGCATAATCATTTCATGATGAATTGAGATTAGTTTCCTTGAGATGAGCTAATCTTGACGATCGCAAGTGGCGAAAAACGGTACTCTGTGATACATGGATGTGGGGAGCGAAAAGGCTTGCCCACTTTCCGATGTCGCAGCGTAGCCGATATTGAACACTGTGGGGCCGCTTCTAGTGATGACCGTTTGATGCCGGGTTGTGGACATTTCCGTGTAAAGATATCCTCCGGATTCCTTCGTAGTTCGAAAGGAAGTGATTCCGGAACATGGCGAGTACAGGGTATATTGTCAGAGACCGGATGTGCTCTAAGGGTTGATTGTGATACTGTGATGGTCAAAATGCGGAAAGTTAATCCGCGACTTGGCACCTGAGAGTGTGGCTGAAGCTGCATGCAAGTGATAGATGAACAAATTGCCTGGCCAGGCGAACGAGGATTGGAACGGGATACTGTGACAAGATAGCGGTTCCGAAACCCCCCATCACTGCTCCTCTAGCCTTCTCAGCTTCTAGGTCGGCGTTCAGTGTTCCCAGCGTTCAGCTCGCTGTGAAGTTTGCATGTGTAGACGTGTGTGGTCTGGAGGAGTGAACGGACGGAGAGTTGTGGAGGCGGTGAAGGTGAAGCCGACCACGGAGCCAGTGAATGTGTTGAGGTCAGGAGAGACTCATGGTGAAAGCGTCTGACCAGCGCGCCGCCGACAGCCGAGACGGCGGAGGCAGCCAGGAGGTACCCAGAGGAACCCCGAGTGAGGAACTCAGTGGCAGAGATCCTAGAAAGGGGAGGGTGACCTCCTTTGAAGGTGGAGGATTAAAGGATGGCTTTTCCAGTCACGAAAGAGGCGCCCACGCGTCCGGGATTCGCAAGGCGCTGTATCTCCCGTGGACAGCTGTCCTTCTGCCGAGTGAGAAAGAGTTTAGTCGGGTGAAGCAGGATAGGGATTGTGAATCAACGGCGGCATATCTTCCGCTCTCGGGAGGGCGGTTCGGCACAACAAGCAATTTGTTGGTCAGGGCATGCAATTGCTTTGCTCATCCTCAGCCTCTTTGCGTGCTCCTCCACCGATCGGCCTGGTGCATCGACGACCTCATCATTATCATATCCTCCCGCTCCCCTCCTCTTTTCCCCGAATTACTCTGACACCTACAATCAATTGCACATTCCTTCATCTTGTCGACATTTTGAATCGCTATATTGCGCAGGGCGGTTCAGCGGCTGTCAGTGTTTTCTTGTTTGCCACCTGTCGGGCTGCAGCGACCCAGAGGTGAGGACGAGCCCCCACGATCTGATAATCTGATAAAGCCCAAATTCCATCACCACCGCACTTCTCCGCGTTCCGCGCTGTTCTCAAGCAATGAATATGGCACAACATCCTGCGGAGGTTTCTCAATGGCGCCAGCATGCACCCCCTTAGCGTAGCCCTTGCTAACCATGGCCCACATAAACAGGCTCAGCGCCCTTTGTTGTGCCCTCAACACCACACGCCTCCCTCGCACCTCGCCCTCATCAACCTTCATTCGCCATGGCCACCGACGCACGACTGAAACATATTCCTACCACCTCCACCTCTCGCTCAGGCGGTTCTTTACCCTCCAAACCGAGGGATATTCCGCAGCTCTCTGCCCAGGCACATCCCGAGCACTCGCCGAGGTCCTCGGGTGAGTCCATAATATGGAGCGGCAACAGCAGCGAGTCCGAGGCGCCATTAACGCCCAATACAGAGCCTCAGGTCGACGAACTGGTCGACAAGCTCCAGGAATTGCCTGCCGCCGCTGTCGATCTCGACGGTGGTGAGAAGCAGCGAGGCCGACGCGCGTCGACCACGCTCATCTCCGAGAGCCCTGAGGACATTCGCAGGCTGTTGGGCGATGGCGAAACGGCCACCAAGCTCATCAGCCAATGTTGCGGCGGAGGGTGCTGTCTCCTGAATGCATTGGCCCCCGACACGGCATCGCCCACCTACGACCCCATACTCATCCCAGACAACCACGCGTTTAGAAGTCTAAATCTGCGGCTAGGTCCGCTCGGACTGGACACTGAGCTCACCAACGTCACACCCCTGCCTCCAGTCAACATGGCCTTCGACTCGATTCCCGCAAACCAGTCTAGCCACGTCTCGCCAGTCCACCACCAACCACCAGCGTACGTCCAGCCGCACCCGCCATATCAAGTCTACTCAGCGCCCGTCTATCACGCCCGAGAATTGACAAAACCGGGAGCCGAGAAACGTACCTTTCACTTCGATCTCGATGTCACAGACTATCCCGACGAGGGCGGCGTGGACTTTAAAGTTGGTGGTGCTATTGGCATCTGCCCTCCCAACGCGCCAGAGATTGTCGACGAACTCTTTGACGTCCTCTGCATTCCCAAGTTCGTCCGAGACAAACCCGTCACTCTCAAGACGACGGGCGGGAGATGGCCGACGATTTGGGGAGATGACAAGCCACGCGAGCTAGTGACGACGCGCCGTGAACTCTTAACTTGGTGCTCAGACGTCCAATCTCATCCTGCAACCAAGCAGCTGCTTCGCGTCATGGCTGAATACGCGGATGCTCCAAATGAAAGAAAGATTCTTCTCTATCTCTCTTCGGCTCAAGGCCAAGCTGCTTTCTGCGACCTCCGAACTACCTCCCATATCACCACCGCTCAGCTTCTCCACGCATTTCCTTCCTCCAAGCCACCGCTACCTGCCCTTCTAACTGTTCTCAACCAATTGACGCCACGCTTCTACTCCCTCTCAAACGACCCACACATATCCTCTGCCCGTCCCGGCCTACCTGGAAACCGCCGCCTTATCGAAATGGCCGTCACCATCCACGAAACTCCCGATTGGCACACTGATAGCGCTTCTCGAACAGGGGTCGGCAGCGGCTTCATGGAACGCATCGCCCACGCTTTCATCAACGCTGAAAATCAAGGAATCGACCCCCGGGCCGCCCTTGACCTCCGCGTCCCCATGTTCCGTGGTCTCATGGCTAACCCGCTCTCCCGTCAATTCGGTGGCGAGGGTCCTATGGTGCTGATTGGAGCCGGAGTAGGCATGGCCCCCTTCAGAGGCTTCATCCTCAATCGACTTAAGAACGCCAACTGTGCGAATAAAATCTGGCTTATCCAAGGTGTTCGCGACTCGATGGTTGACGAGCTTTACTCTGGTGAACTGGGCGACCATGAAGCGGAAATCAAGCGCGTTGTTCAGAGCCGCAAGTTCCGGCCTGGCTACAGCGAGGCCAAATACGTCCAGGATGAAGTCCGATTGCAAGCGGATATTGTCTGGTTTGTCATTAACGCGCTCGATGGCCGTATATTTGTGTGCGGGAGTAGTAAGGGTATGGGAGAGGGGGTTGAGAGAGCTCTCACCGACGTTGCAATGCAAAAGGGGGGCATGTGTGAGACGGAGGCGAAGGAGTTTTGGGGGAAGAAGAAGGAGGATGGGCAGTATATTGCTGTAAGTGATCTAGATTCTAGCACCTTGTCTGAATTGTGTGATTTTGGGACGCTAATTGGTGTTTAGGAAACTTGGTGATATATCACGCCTTCGCTGAACAGCTGTTAAACCTTTCTGATGCGTATTCATATTCATTGTACATATTATCTACGTTTTCGATCCCGAATTCTAGATTAGTGTCGCTTCGCATGCATACCCCACATATCTCTTGTATATATTATATCTTAACGCCGAAATGAGTGTCTCTTTTATCCATTTATAGATAAAATGTGCGCAGGCACACTGATCTTGGATTCTTTTTCACCCATTCATCACCTTTGATGTGCGCTTTTCTGGTTATACGCAAAATGTATGAGCAAGATAGCATGGAGCTAGAATGGTTTGGGGTTTGGGCATGGCGGTGGTGTTGGCATTTGTATGAATGTATGGACCGGTAGAGTGGGCGCATAGAGTGTTTGAATTGCTAGACTAGTGATGAATGAGAGACTGAAGTGTATTAAAGTGCTTCGGTCATGGCTGCATGAGCGTGTGACTGACAGATATATTTGCATCACCCTCTACCCATCGCTGGAAAAATTTACGGAGGAAGCTAACAAACACGGATTTAGGAGTAACTGTTAAACAGAATGTATTGATAGTAGCTCTTTTAGTGTCAGAGGGTTAGTGCTGGAGAATAGGATATAGATAGCTGTGAGTAGATACTAGGTGGGAAGATGGGACAGCAAAAAAGGGAGCCTGCTTCGGTCTGGGCCCTAGAACGCCCGGTACATGCATGTAGTGAAGAAGTTACTAACATAATCCAACCCACCATGCCTTTCACGTCATATTTAGGCTATTTTTAGGGGATATTCTGTTAATGGGTCATATGCCACCAGCGATGCCTGCCATGGTCCTGAAGTCCCTTTACAGAGTGCTCCCAAGGGTTCTTGGGGTCTTTGCCGCGCCATTCACTCCTAAAACGGCCCATGCTTATCCTTAGTAGTCACCCCTAGGTAGATCTAGGGCAAGTTGGGCGCTTGCCAGGTAGTCTTTCCAGAATTAAGAAAGCTAGTCATGCTACAGGTAACATCGAACTAGCAAAAGCAATACAAGCACACTTGCTCTAACCTGGGTTTGTAGCTATTGCCAGTCCTCCCTTGGTCTTGTTCATTCCTAATACACTCCCCCTAAGCTATACACTTGCCCATGTCCTCCACCCCTGAAGATCCAGGTATTTGCGGCGATGAGATTCCTTTTGCCCCCCCCCCCTATGTTTTCCTATCCCCCTCTCCATCACATCTTCACTCTGGATTAGCTCGTAAACTAAAGGTAGGAAAAGCCCAGCCTAAGGTCAGGAAAATTTGTGGAAGGGGAACAGAAGCAGACCGCTTTCCTGCTCTACCAGACGGGTTTGGGGTAGCAACCACAATGACGAGGTAGCTGGCACTACACAGCATACTTTGACTGGAAACTTACTGGATAGAAGACTTGAAGAATAAATGGAAATGGCGAATGGCATTCTTTAGGCGCTCTAGCATGTTCTAGCTAAAGAGACTGAACTACACTTCTCCACCACACCAGACGCCTCCGATAGTAACGCCCTGCCGCCTATTCCTAGGTCCAGCTTGATATGTCAATTCAACCCACCATGGAAAAGCCAGAAGAGGAGGCTCGGATGGAAGCCGAGTCACGGTAGACACGGAAAAAGAGCTTCGCGAGCAGTAGAAAGAGAGACGCAGCCACTAAAGAACATCACGTAGAACCCACCGCCTTGAGCTTAATCGCAACCAGATCCGCGTCCCCACCCCCAACATAGAACTAGACGAGTGCAATTCCATCTCAACGGGGCCAAAGCAGCCGCAGAAGCCAGGGCAAAAGCAGGAGCAGGACGCAACCATCCTCACCCTATAAGGGATCTTCCAGGTCATCGCCGCCGGCCCGCACCAATCTGGAAGGGCAGTAGTGCTCTAACAGACCGTGAGGAGGTTGTGGGGAGGTATTGAAACTGTATCTAGTATTCCCAATCGTTAGTGGCCTATCGATTTTGAGGTAGTTTGGGAGCTGGATTGAGTATGTGGTCATAGGACGCTACTGTACGGAGGGGGAAGGTAGCGTTGTGGATCGTATACAGTATTGACTTGTTTTAATTCGATCTAACTCATTGCGGCAGAAATAGAGGGGGTAAACAGGCCCTCTAAGGGCTTAATAGTAGCAGAGAATCCTAGCGTGTTTATCCTCTGCTAAGGACTTAAGATAGCCGTTCAACTTGTTAACTTTACGCCTCCTCTTAACGCTCCGGTCCATGTTGTTATGGAGGATATCAGGTTAACTAACAGAGCCTTCTAAAGCCTCGCATCGTGTGTGTTTCTGGCTAGTCAACGCCAGGATTAGTCTTGTGACTACTCTAGAGGTGCCGTACGATATGGACACTGAAATGACAAGACCCTTCCAAATGCTTGCTAGCTTTGGGGAAACCGCATTTGGGATCACATCTGCTGCGCTCTTCCTCTTAAATTTGCAGGGACATAGATGCAGACACCTTGGAAGGCGCCAACGCTCTAGCCGAATACAAGGAGGACTGTTAGAAAGCCCAAGACCTTCCGTGCTAGGTACATTTAGGGGAGCTGCGTTTAGAATTGCATTTGCTGTTCTCTCGATAGGTTCTGGATACATCACTCTAGGGATTTTGGTTCGGTCTCGCCCTATAGAATGGATCGACTGAGTCCTGACGCTAGTACTAAATCTCATCTAAGGCGGGTATGGTGCTTGCAAGGCTGGCAGAGTGAGCGATTGGGACTGCTTTTTCCCGCTCTGTTTTACTTACCTCCTGAAAAAAAAGCCCTGCCGTAGGTATGAGCAGGTTTGCAGTATGTCGGAACGAATAGTGCACACAGTGTAAGAAAACAAAGTTTGGGTCCGGGCCTTGTTTCAATAAATCAGATATCATCATACCTGTTTCTGATCCGACCCTATGCCGGATCAGCAGCAGCAGCAGTCCCAACCGATGCACGGATTCGAATTTTCCGTGGTAAGTCAAAGCCTCTGCGGGAAAGGTACTCTTTTAGGTCCCGACTATACGATGCCAAGGACATAGAAACGTATTCACAATGCCAATGGTTGGCCGGACTGGGAGCCGTTTTGACAGTACCTTTTGGCACGGATCAACCCAGCCCCGACGCTAGTGCTAATGGAACCTAAGCTCGTCCCTCACCGCAACCTCGACCTTCTCTCCACAACCTCGAGGACTGTCAGTAGTCCTCGATATGACCTTCACGAAGTTACGACCAGCATAACGAATTTCCTGCCTTTTTCGCTGCACTTTTACTATTTCACTCTCTTTGCTAACATTAGTTGCATAGAGCCTTCCTCCTTTCTCTTCGAAATCGTCCCTGCCCCGCGAACGCCTCACTTCTTTGCCCACAAGTCCCTAGCACCGACAAGATGCCAGCCGCAGAAACGACGAAAGTTGTCCCACTAACCTGCCATGGCCATTCGCGTCCTGTTCCCCACATTCACTTCTCGTCCATCGTCGACGAAGATCAATACTATCTTATTTCGGCATGCAAGGACATGAATCCGATGCTGCGCGACGGCATCACTGGAGATTGGATCGGCACATTTCTTGGACACAAGGGTGCTGTTTGGCAAGCCCGCCTTTCTTCAGATGCTACATTCGCAGCCACCGCATCCGCCGACTTCTCTGCGTAAGTCCTCCATTCAGCCAGATATGCTCCCGTGACTGACTCGGGATAGTAAAGTATGGGACACCCATACCGGCGAAGCACTGCACACCCTACAACACGACCATATCGTCCGCGCGATTGCATTCCCGAACCAAGTTCAACCGCAGATTCTCGCTACCGGTGGTATGGAGAAGAAACTCCGCATTTTCGACCTTTCCCGCAGTACTAGCACGTCTTCATCTCCCACGCATAGCACAGCATCCTCGGCCACTCCCCCAAGCTACGAAATCGGGGCGGGCATACACGGAGGCACCATCAAATCAATCGTATGGGCGGCGGATTCAAGCGTCTTAATAACCGCGGCGGAGGATAAGAAAATTAGGTGGTGGGATCTGCGGACACAGTCAACAATTGGAGAATATGCAGTCGAGGGTGTGGTTGGCACGTGCGAGCTGGATAATACTTCGGCGGAAGGCGTCCTGAGCGTTGCGGCCGGAAAGAGCGTGTACTTCTTCGACAGTAAATCGCCGGGAAAGCTGCTCAAAACGATAAAGACTCCTTACGACATCGCCAGCGTAGCGCTGCACAGTACACAGCGGAAGTTCGTCACCGGTGGCAGCTCCCAGAACGACACATGGGTGAGGGTCTGGGACTTCGATGACGAAAAGGAGCTCGGTAAGCCCTCATTTCCAACTGAAGTCCAGAAAAACATCCTACTGACTACAATCTAGAAACAAACAAGGGCCACCATGGACCGATTTGGTCTGTTAGCTTCTCTCCTGACGGCAAACTCTACGCCACTGGCAGCGAAGATGGAACTGTCAAGCTCTGGAAGTTCACGACTGGTCCATATGGGCTCTGGAGGTGAGATTTGGTGACATTGGTGGCGATGACAATCCCACACTGTAAAGCTCTAGAATACGCCCTAAATAGCAGTCCAATTGGTCCCCTAATGCAAGATGCGCCGTTCCATTGATTTAGCTACCCTGTGTAAGAGCCTCTAGGAGTCACTCTGACAAGCGAAATCGGTTTCCGGTATGCATTTCGATTTGTTCTTAGGGCACGGTCTCCTTGACAGGGATACTATCTATTTTGGGTTAGTGCGCAGCAGAGATTACTCCCTCATCAGTCCTGGTTTCTATATAAAGTTCTGCCCGTTGAACTTTCGATGCCCTAGATCCACAAAGTCATGTGAGCTTAACTTTCACCTATGGTCAATCAATTTCACACTTACAGGATCTGGATGAAGACAACCACGACGTCACATGCCAGCCTTTCACGTGACCATGTAGACCCATTTGGATGATCTGGACAGCTAAATCTAGCCAGATCTGTCCTCACCTAGGTCAGACTCAGCGAGCTTATCTCATTAAAAGGGTTAGGCGCAAGCTTGATAATCGGATTTGAATAGTTACTAGAGACGTGCTATCGACTATATATCTTGCACGACATCAAAGCTCGGCACGCGGGACGTCACAACCATTCAAATCAATGACACAAACCTGGTTAGCGTGAGGAGCTGGGTTACGGCAGACGTTAATTACCGTATATGTAATCTTGGTACTAGTCTCCACTCATCTTTCTATTTTATTTCTTGACAGCCATTTTCAAGAACATCCCGAATCCTGGAGTATTACATAGACAAGCTGTAAATGAAACAAGAGCTTTGAAGAAGAGAAAAATAGATTTCATAATAACAATCAAGGGATTACACCTATCCGCTATAGCATTGAGACTGCAATATTGTTGAGGGTTTCATGTAATGCTGCCTTTCCTCTCTGCTGGCTAGATGGGTTATGAGCTATTCCAAATAAATATTCTCATTTAACATATCTTCAATACTGCGATGAAAAGGTACAGTTAGGCTCCGCAATAATTGGATTGTAGTATAAATGAGATGAATTAGGTGAGTATTCGTCGAATCCTCTGTTGATTCAATCAACTAATAAGTTGCACTAGCTCGTTGCACTGCTGAAGTTAATTCAGCGTTAATTCTTTGAGTTACCCCGTCATTAAAGGTTCTTGCTGTAGTAAATTAAATACGGCTCGGCATATCCGACGAACTAATACCTCATGGAAGATGCAAAATAAAATTATATGACTGTATAAATCTTTGAGTGTTTGACATGAAACCGGATTCCATATCGATCCTTTCGTCAGAACTGAAGCTAAAAAGTTTGCTCATCGGTAAATTTGAATGGCTTTCATGTAAAATCACTGTTTGCTTTGGTTAGATGGAATCACGTACTGTGCCAGGGGCTCTCATTGTGTTCCAAGCCCCCGAGGCTGAAGATTGAGCTTAACCTGCGGGTCCCCAATCTCATTTAGGACCAAAGAAATGACTACTGTGCCCGGTCCGAGAGCCTTTGTTTCTATCACTCTCCGAAATTTTGAAGATGGGCATTCTGGACATTCTGGACATTCCTGCAACTTAGTCAAGGCTCGACTGAGGCTAAGGCCTCCATAACTTACTAGTTTACCAATTCTTGCGAATTAAACCTTTCAACATTTGGTTTCTTTGATCTATATCTACCCCCAGAAACATTGGAAGACCAAGGCCGAAAATTAATGTTGTCCGAGGAAACAATATCTGACTCTTCAAAATCGTCCATAGTTTCATTTTGGTCATTCTGCTCCGAGCGAGGGACCATGATGAAGCGAAACGCTAGCATTCGTAACATAAGAAAGCCGAATTCAGCGAGTGGGATTCCGTGGATACGCCGAGAACATTACGCCACGTTTAAGTCATTGTGGAATAGTTCGTGCCTAGTCCGATCTTTCGATACTTGTACTCCTCCCCTGGTGTGATTGCACTGGTGTGTGCTAAATTCTAGCATCAAGACGCCTTGCAGCCCTTCCGCACGGTGAAACTCTCGGAATGCATTTTCCCAAGGACTTAAAAGCTAGAGGGCGCAGTATTCCAAATCCTTGGCCACTTCAAAATATTTCCTTTTAGTCGGGCCGTTTTACTAGAAGTTCGCACCTCTGGTATGGTACCTCCCATGAGGTCTCGAGGGTAGATGGCGTCGGATAGTATTCATCAATTTCACCAGGCCTTTTCCTCTAAGCATTAACCCTTCCTCTCGTCCCGTGTGTTTTCCAAAGTTGTTGAGGTATTATTTTAACTTTGTTTCCATGTATCTAAGGACTCTAGAATTATAAAAAGTTTGGAAAAGGCGGGCTTTCACGAGCGATCATGCGAATTTGCACCTGAGTGCCATTTTGCTTCGTCAGTATGTGGGGTGGGGTGGGGGGAAGAAGCCGCTACTAGCTCAGATGATCTTGAGGGGAAGCTATCGCTACACAACAGGATGCCATTAACTATGTTGGGAAGTTCTTAGCTCAACGAACAACTTCTCAGCGACATCCTCGTCAACGTCAAAGTTCATCGCCATCACTGAATGACACGGCCACTGTAACGGCTAGTGTCAACTTTATGTGCGCCCACCTCATTTCATGGTTGATAGATGGGCTGATGACATTTGCATTCTCATGTAGATAGCCTCTGAAAGGGAGCAGTATTGTTATGGGAGCTCACGCTACCGGTATGTCTCTTACCCCCCAGTACGAATCCTGTCTTAAAACTGCTTTTCTAATATTGTTTAGCCGTACCTCGAAGCGTCGTTTCAACCTATCTGCACCTAAGCCGCCGGATCTGCCACCAGCTATCCCCTTGCAAATTGACTGCCACCAAGAAGGAGGAGGCGATGGCGGTAGTTGTTTACGGGTAGTCCGGCGTTGTTAGTTATGAGAGAAGTTGTGTTGCTGACTTTGGTGAGGACTCTCATTCAGCGTTTACTAGCCAAGCCAGCTAATTTAATACATAGTTCCTTCACGAGCGCTAGAGGGTCAAACTCCATGATGCGTGATATCATTGCAAGTCTTGCACAAGAGTTTGCGATGGCTTTGCAAGCTACGGTGATCGTTTACGGTTAATATATAGGCTAGTAGCGCCGAATACTCCTGCATCTACAGACTCAAGTATCGCGCTCGCAATATCCTCATTCTCTCCGCTATTAACTTCCGAATCCCTTAATTCAGCTAGAAAGAGGCGCGAGACAGTAACCTGTATTTGCCACCTAGATGGGAACATTTCCTACAGTTTCCAAACGTATTAGCAATGCCTTCTACTCACGAAAGTGCTTGACTTGGATAGAATGTTTATGTAGGACGTCTTTCCGTTTGGGCCGTATACTAACATAAGCGCAACCCGAACTATTCGTTAAACCATCATCTGTAACATTTTAGCGTATAAGGAGCGCTTCACAGAAAGATTTGGCCTGTGTTTAGGAGAAAGTCAAGAGAATACTACCTTCCATTAGGACTGACTGTTTTTGGGGTGGACTTGGGCAACAACCTTTTACCTCTCACATTGGCGAGAAAGGATGGTGTCGCTCTAAACCTTTCAAACCCGGAATTCTTCTCTATATTAAATTAAGCAAATCCCAAAATCCAGGTTGGTGGTCCCCTACCAAATGTATGGTATATATCCTGATAGGACAATGCCGACACTGTCGATCTCCCTACCTGAAAACAGTATAGTCAGCCTTAAGCGAGGGCTGCATTATTGAATCGGGAAGGTGTTACGGCTCCAACCTTTGTATCAGCGGCGCATGTATTGGTTGGAGAAGAGCTTGTGGAGACTTATCAAGGCTGCACGTGGTTGTACCTACATCTGCTCTTATAGCCTGGCAAGTCATCCTTTCTTTCCTTCCGTCTCTCAATCCTTCACCGAGCGATCGTCGAGATGTTGGCTTCGACTCTGTTTGCTCTTGCGACTGCAATCGCAATATCTTTGGCTTGCGAAGGCGGCCACAGCTGCTACGGTCCCCAAAACGATGTCGTCCTGACTCGGAACGTACGCCGGATGCAGCCTGATGCCCAGAATGCAACTACAGGACCAAAAGGACCGCTCGAATGGGGCCAAATCAACTTCCTACACACGACAGACACCCACGGCTGGCTAGAAGGGCATATTAAAGAGCAAAACTACGGTGCAGATTGGGGCGACTACGTGAGCTTCACAAGGCACATGAAGCAAAAGGCACGGAAATTGGGGGTCGATCTCTTGCTGGTTGACACGGGTGTGCGTATTCGTATTCCATTTCAAGACGGAACGAGCCATTCGATTGGCTGATTGCTGACACGTGCAGGACCTGCATGATGGTGCTGGCCTCAGCGACACAACATCACCAAACGGGAAGGTGTCAAATGCGATTTTCGAGAATGTCGATTACGATTTGCTCAGTATCGGGAATCATGAACTTTACGTTACCGAAATTGCGTATGAGACGTTTAACAACTTCTCGAAGGTGTATGGGGACAAGTACCTCACGAGCAATGTCCAGATCATCAACCCGAAGACGGGCCAATTTGAGTATATTGGGGCGAAGTATAGGTACTTCACTACGGAGCAAGGTGAGTATCCTATTCTACTTAATTCACAGTCGTTTGCACGTGGCGGGTCGTGGAAAATGAATGCACAGTGGTAAACCCTGCTTGAATGCTTTCGGGTAGAGACTGCCTATTGAACCCAGAAGAACATGCAAAAGATGAAGTCGTCTATTCTAAACCCGTCGTGTATGACATGTGAATAGTTCAACGTAATTTCAAATTTGCTAACCATATTCAGGCCTAAGAATCATGTCTTTCGGGGTCCTGTTCGACTTCACAGGAAGCTCCAATGTCTCTAAGGTCACTAAAACAGCCTCGCTTGTTAAGGAGCAATGGTTTCTGGATGCTGTAAATTACACCAAACCGATCGATCTCTTCGTAGTCATTGGCCATAATCCAGTTCGAAGGAATGCATCCACCAGCACCTTTGGGACTCTCTTCAGCACTATCCGGAAGATGAGACCAGATGTGCCTATTCAAGCGTTCGGTGGTCACACTCATATTCGTGACTTTACTATATATGGTATGTTGAATTTCTAGTATGTATCATATGCCATTGCCTTCGCATTGACGCTTCAACCGAGGTGTCATGTAGTATGATGCACCACAGTGCATCAAACAATAGAAGCTTATGCAACCTTGGACTTGTTCAAAATTTGTCTAAAAATACTTATGCTAATTGTTATTTTCCTCGCAGACAACAAAGCAACCGGCCTTGAATCAGGTAAGAAAACTAACAGGATTTGTAATGTCATGTGGGGCTTCTGGTAGCTAACTTACGAAAGGTCAATATTGCGAGACGTTAGGTTGGCTCGCAATGTCCGGCATCAAATCATCGACTTGCAAAGCCAAACACAACCCCAAAGGCGTTCCCAACCCCACTCGACGCGCAAATCCACCAGCGAGTACCAGCACAGTAAGTGTAGAGTCGCTCCTTCCCACCGCTCCTTCGGATCTGCGCTACGCCCGACGATATCTCGATTGGAATCGAATGACGTTCGCATACCATGCCGAAGGTAGCCAGCCGTACACAAAATTTGACACCTCGAACGGGTTGTCCGTAACTTCCGAGATCACTTCCGAGCGGGCGAAACTCAACCTTACCAAACTCTACGGCTGCGCGCCAGAAACGTATTGCCAGTTCTGCAAGCCTTTCCTCGCGGAAGGGAATCTCTTCAAATTGCTTCAAACTGCACTCTCGACGGTCGTCGTAAACGAAACTCGTAAGAATATTCCCAGGCTCATCATTATCAACACAGGTAGTCTTCGGTTCGACCTGGCCAAAGGACCCTTTACTTATGATGACTCTTTCATTGTTTCGCCCTTTCAAGACGCCTTCCAGTTCCTCTCCGATGTGCCGTACTCGCACGCATCCAAGGTGCTAGGCATACTCAATGCCGGCCCTTTCCAGAAGAAGAAACGCGACGCCAGTCTTACAAACGAAGATTTGAACTTTTCTCCTGTGCTTGGCGACCGAGATGTTTGCCTCGACCCACCGCTTGTCCATGGGACCTCCGCTCTACATGCTCGAGGTAGGCCCTCAGGCCATCTCATCCGCCGGCAATCCACAGCTCCTACTCCTGGGCACACAACAACCGATGACTTCGGTACCGACGGCGACGATACAGTGCACTCTCGGATTCCGAACTACCCTCAACCCAACGATCTCCAAGCCAATGCATCATTCCCGACTGATGGTTCCACTCCTGAAAAAGTCGACCTCGTGTTCCTAGATTTTATCGCGAGCTATATCATCAAAGCACTGAACACACCTGATGTGGGAGGGAATTATACAACGAGCATGATAACATACTACATGGATAAGAAGTTTACAACGAATAGCTATCTCCCGGCATATGCGAAGATTGCGTGGCAAGCAAATGTTCCGAACTGCCCTGTCGGCGCTGGGATTGGGAGTTCATAGATGGGTATGGGGAAGGAGCACGAGGGAGTGACGGCGGAAGATAAATTCTAATTAACAATCATAACCAGAAAATCGTTCGCATGGGAAGTGACCGCTAGATCATACTACTAGATACAGCATATCTAAAACAAGTGAATGCGTCGATAAAATATGTTGCTAAAATTCGGTAGGGTGTGAAATGGAAATCGGCATCTGCTAACCCGATAAGACCGTCGGTGGCAGCCAATCTCGCATGAAGCAATAGCACAGCAGCCCGCGAGCCACAATAGCAATGAGCAAAGAACAAATCAATTTTGAGCCCAAGAAATTTAGACTAGGCTACTTACCATCAAACTTCTAAAGTCAATCCTAAACACTTCCGTCTCTTACGAGCGGTACAAGTGATACCCAAATCACTTCCTATATTTTCCACCCTTCCCCTGCGTCTTGCCGCTTAACATGGAAAATGATGCCACGATATTTTAGGGCCGATTTCTAGATCTTAGAAACTCCCTCCCTACTTCTAGTAAGACACACACATGTCTGATTCTGCCTTATCATGTTCCACTGTAATTTCAGAATATTAGTACGCTCCGCGTTATACCTCCAGCCTATTCTTAGTATAAGCTTTTTATAAAGAACCAATTTTAACGCAGTCTAGTTTACTATTCGGTCATCTCGCTTTATATTTTTCTAGCACCTATCGTATCTGAGAAGTGAGCGGCCCCCAAGTGAGCGGCCTAAAAACGCGACATGTTAGCTTAAAATAACCATGCACCAACGAAATAACACCTAATTAGGTGTATAGTCAACTAGGTGGCTCCCCGGAATCTGGTCCTTTGTAATATACACATTAGAGAAACTATACAAAGCCAGTCATGCATCTTCATGCACCTACAAATGTGATGTATTGCTAGAAATAGAAGTCCCACTGCAACAGTGCGCGCGGTTATGAAACTCACGATAGCAGGAACGATTTGTGCCGTAGGTTTAGTGTTTGGGGTCACGGTGGGAGACAACAAATGGTACGTCTTTGAGAGAGAAGGCGGGAAATGGCAGCGCCTTCTACGCCTGAGCTTGAGCCGATGGCCGTATGATAGCAGTAATGGAGCACGCTCCTGGGTTGAAGCAGACAACGGGAAGGTCTTCTTTTAAAAGAGGGATACCTAAGTGGGGTATAGGGAAGGTATACATACTACGCCTAGAAATTAATCAAGGGCTAGGGGGCCTATCTACGCAGTACGACATCCATTCTCTCGCAACTCTGGGCAACCTGAACACCATAATCTATGATTCTATGCGAATTCTTCCTGCTGCGTTGACCACAGGTAGGTACCTATGACCGGCTCGGAATGGCAACGGATTGACGAAATCTTCATACTCTCTGGGACGAAGCTTACAATAACTCGGTATACTATCTTCCAAAGTGGGTGATTGCGACCACTATGAGTACCCGAGGTTACAAAAGCCATGTGGACACCGTTTTCATTTAGCCACTTAACTTCATTCCTAAGCGGTGGTATAGCGAACCTCTGACCAAGGACAAGGGTGCATTGGCGCCCTTCAGGTTTGGTATGTATTCGCATCTACTTCTACTATTAATGGCTATCGTTATTGGACCTCATCCCACAGGTTGTAGAGCATAGGTTGGCAAGAATCTTATGCTAACCCAGCTTTGGTTCGTTCTCGAGACGCTTATCTCGAAATACTCGTTCAGATTTACACTTAGAGTTGATATGACTAGTGTTGAACATGACATGAAGTACCAACTCAATGCTTAACTCGGCAGGTATAGCTTAACGTTCGAGAAAAAGGCAATGGCGCCTCCGCTAACCGTCAAACCCAGTCATATTCAAATCATAACTCACCTCAATCATTCCCTTCTGACATTAACCCCTATCTCAATCCATCTACTCTCTTCCGCATCCAACATCCGTACTGTCTCTAAAGCGAGTCAATAGAGCAGCGGAAGATATTGCAACTTACACACCACATTAAAGACATTGTTGATGTTGACTTCTTAGCATCATTCTGGGAGCGACAACGCGGCCACGCTAGTCTAATTTTTGAAGGTAGAAGTGGTCTCAATTGTTGAGTGGTGGCGATAGAGCACAATTTGTACAGAACTATTGAAATATCATTTGTGTATAGATTCTAAACGGATCAGATTTCAGAGTTCCTCGGATTCGGCCCGGCACGCAGAGGTACCCAGCACACAGGTAGGGAGGGCACTTGAGCAGAAGCCAAAAAGATGACGAGAGGATGCACTGTATCTGCCCTGGTCATGCTCCACGTTATGTGGCCACATGCTATACTGACCTCGCAGCATGTTGGCGTTTACAAATAGAAGCCCCTAAAAACTAGAAGCCCTAAAAACTAAATTGATGTAAAAATCTGTCTTGAATCTGATCCATATCCTATTCCATCACGAGTATCAACAAGTAGTATCTCTAATGTTATCGCAGTTCATACACAGGTACATAACCCTCCACTTCCGCCACAACCGCCTTCGATTCTTCAACTTCACTCCTCCCATGGTCCGGCGGCAACTCCTCTATCCCCGCACCCATGAGCTCCGGCTCTAAAGGTAGCCGTCCTGCCGAAGGAATGTATCCTTTCGACTCTGCTTGTAGACTCGCATTCCCCGTCTTCCTCGACCGAAACCAAATACACCAGACCAGCGCCAGCACCAACAAGACCACTACAACAATAATTCCAACCGCGATCCCGGCGATCGCACCCACTGGCAATCTCGCAGCGGCCTGTCCATTCGGTGTGTTGGGTTTTGCCGTGGAGTTTGATGTACTATTTGTAGAGTAGATGGTAACGATATCTGGCGCTGGCATTGGCGTCCCAAAAACCGCTTGACTGAGATTAAAATACTTCCGCTCAAAATCCACACCCAAATACGTTTCTTGCAAAAATACTCGACCAATCATATATTGTGAATCATTTGCTGCACGTCGAATTGGGAAGTAGCTCACCGTCGTCGCGAAAATGGGATAGCCTGCTTGAAGGTCGAATGCTGAGTACGGGATATCAATGGTCGTGGTTTGTCCTTCAACAACCCCCGTGCCAATCACAAACGTCAGTGTTGGCGACAGCTGGCGAAGCTGCTCACGGATGCCGTCTGAGATGATGTAGCGCGTGGAAGGTTCGTGGTATTGCAGACCGAAGGCTTTAGCGAAGTTGTCGCAGATGGATTGTGGAAACCAGAGTTCGGGGATCGAGGAGTCGATTGGAACAAGGAAGCCGGTGTTGCCGGACAGTGTAAGAGTGCCGTTTAGTGAATTGGTGACGAGGATATTTTGGAGGCCGACGGTTAAGGGGCGGTCTGTGTCTGAGCTTATTGGGATGGAAAGGGGTTTGGGGGATGTACGGGATTGGTCGTAGCCACCAAGTGTGAGGCTGGCGGGGATTTTGATGGAGCCCGTTGCAGAGTTAGCATTACGGTATCAACCTCTGTAAGTATTGAAATGACTTACGGTATGGAGCTCCAGCGGTATATCCAAAAGAAAGACTCGGAATAACCCCTCTGTCTCTCAAATTTGTCAGAAATGAATTCGGATGCTCATCCTGTCGAAAATTCATCCGTCGTATCGACAGCCCCATTTGTCCCAGCCAGAAATTCGGTGTAGCATACGCTGTCACCGGCTGCTGGTCAATATAAGTAGCACTGCTATCATTGTCTGAAACAAAGCCCACGATATCGTAACCCGACAACCCATTTCCAGTGAATCCCAGGTTGCTATTCTGGCCTAGTTCGAACAGCCCAATAGGTTTCCACGTCAAAGAAAGATTGGTTTGAAACCCCGGGCTTTGCGCGTTGTGGAAAGGGAATACTCCGCGAGATGCACCACAGTTGGTTGTGTTGAGATTTTGGCAATCATCTGCTATTGGGACCCATGTGTTCTGGCCGTTTGTTGCAGGTAGAACGGAGAAGTTCTGAGCAGGCGTTCCGACCTGAATGACAAACCTACACGTTTCTGGTTAGCCTTAGTGCATTGGTGGGTTGAGAAGAGAGATGATTACGGTGACCAAGATCCATCATTCCCCAGCCAACTTCCAGATGGCTCTACAGAGAGCGCGAATGGGGGGAAATTGTTGTTTGCCATATTTCAAAAGAGAAGATTGGGGTCTGCAGCATCTTAGATTTTAAACGACAGTTATCGACGTATTTGGTCTTATCTTGCGAGGTGTCGACAGGGGTGCAAGTGACAGCCATGAACGAGGCTGAGCGCTTTCCCATTTCTGGCGGCGTTTTCGAGCTAAAGGTGGTTATTTATTGCATCATGCGTCCAGCGTGCAGATTCAAGGCTGTCGAAGAGAAAGTTAACGTGGATACGAATCCTGCAATCCAATCAGCCATCGAGGGCCGAGCCACTCCTCTAAGAGAGAAACTGGCCCCAAGAAAGATTTGCCAACCAGAAAAGTTGCTGCGGGGAGAGAGAACAAATATAAGTTTGAACCGATTCTGGGTCTTCTGGCTTTGACGTAGATACTCCGTGGTTTCTGCAGTTCCGAGAAGGCTCTTTGTTAATTCCCTATTATGCACAGAGCCGCGCTATTATGGACTGCCATTCCCGGCGTCCTCGGTTTCCAATATCCACGAAGTGAGCGACGAAGAAGCCCTTCCTAGAAAATAATCGTAACTAACATCTCCCCATTAGCCATTTCTCCAGTACCTGGGACTTTCACAAACCGTTCCAGCACATCGTTTATAACAACCACGGACTGCATCGCGACCGCCAGAGTGCTAACATGGGGAGTTGTGACGACTATAACGTATACTAATGCGACAATTGTGCCACACATCACTCCTTTCAGTAACGGCACAAACGCAACGAACTATGTCACGATCACTGGAACAGCTCCTTCTGTTTTGCGAACGGTGACCCTGGGGACTAAGCCTTGGTATGTATTCCCAGAATTATTTCTAAATCTAAATATTATTAACTTATGAACAAAAGCGTTTTCCCGACTATTTGTACTGACGTCCAGCCCCCGGGGGCATCTTGTAACCACACCGTTACTGAGGTTGAGTCCATCACGGCTGCAGCGTTGCTTCCAGCACCATACACATCACCGCCGGTCGTCGATCCAGTGGTGACGGTTGATAATGGAGAGGAAACGAGATCGGATGTAGGATCGCCTGGTCCAATCCCTACGTCTAGCACTGGGAATGCTGAGCACCCACCATCTTCGCCTACTTTAAGGTCCGAGACGTTTCCTCAAGTTCCTCCATCAAGCACACAAGCGGCTGGACGTCCTGCACCTCCACTTCCCGCCTCTTCCACCTCCGTCGCAGTCCTCCCCAGCAGACCAACAGACACCGCTCTATTCTCGCTACACCCTTCATCCTTCCCCCCCATACCAGCTGTCAAACCAACGGACAACCCCACAGCCGCCCTCCCAATAGGGTTCTCCCTCCTCACAGCCGCCCCAGGCATCCTCCTCCCAAACAGCCAAACCCTAGCACCAGGCTCTATCACAACAATCTCTGGTATCCCAGTATCCATCACCACCACTGCGCCCATTATCTTAATTGGGACTTCTACGTATACACTCCCCTCTTACGCCTCCTCCTCTTATGCTTCCCAACCAAGCATCACCACTGCTGCCAACATTGGCATCCTCCTCCCCAACAGCCAAACCCTGCAACTCCCCCCTGGCACTCTGGTAACGGTTAACGGTGTCCCAATATCGCTTTCACCGTCTGAATCCCTCCTTGTCGTTGATGGTAGTACTACAGCTCTGCCAACGAGTGCGTTGGATGGGATTGGGAGTTATATCTATAGCGGGATTGGGGGATTCGAGACGTCAGCGCCGCCAGCGCAATTTACAGGGGCGGCTGCGGGGTTAAATGGGTGGTTGAAGAAGGGGGTGATTGTTGGAGCGGGTGTTGGGTATGTGATTGGGAGGTTAGGGGGGACACTATTTTAGCTAATGTGCGAGAGTTATTGGAGATAATGAATGCAAATGAAAGAAGTACAGGACCATGTTCACAAGGAGGAAAAGAGGGTTAAAAGGACTGGATGCCAGAGAGATTTGTGCAGATTTCGGTGCTCTCACCTCATAATCTGTGATACACGCCAAGATGTTGTCGGGGGCGGAGGAAAGTATAAGATAGTGTCTAGATGAGGTGAGCATAGGATGAAACACAGGGTGTGTACATACCATGACAAGGGTTTTGCTCTAAGACAGGAACCGACAGTCTCTCAGTACTCCATTAAATTCTAGCAAGTTTAGCATTTCCAATCCACTCTATGAATACTCCCTCGTACCTGCAAACCAGCTGCAAACCACCCACCCCAATATCAAAACATCAAACACACAGCTCTGCATCCACAATCACATAATCCACCAAATTTAGATGAACAAGTGTCAATTACCAGTGCTACCTACCTACAAACTACCCTCCTCCTATGTGTGTGAGTAAGCCAGCAACAGGAAAACTGAACACCATCGTTCGAGAAGAATCCGATACCGGCTAGACAGCACCTCGCCTATTTTACTTCACCCGCCTATTCTGGGTGAGTTCAAGGTCCTAGTCAATAGGTAGACTCTGGATCGTCTGAATTCGACATGTCTTCTGAGGGGAGTGGGGTTGCTTCAATCCGTTAAGCAGTCGATATGCTCGTTGAAGTGAAAATGGGGGGTTTATTATGTAGTTGTAGTTGTATGATGTGGTTTATGAGTGGTCGGGGATGTTGGAAACGACTGGAATACAGGGGCTCCGGGAAATGCGGGGGATGTACGGGATGCTGAGCTCAAAATAGGGTCGTGAGGAGGGCAAATATGGAGATAATCCACGGGGATAAGATGAACCGAGTCGATGGCTTTTTGGAGTTTATCCAACTCGGTTGATGAAGACGTCGAGGCCAGACTTGTCCCTCGACATTTCGACTTGGTGGCCCGAGGGCACTCGAAATCTCAAGTTGCTGCCGTGTTCATGGAGTTTGTCGACTTTGCCGTACACGTACGCATAGAACTCATCCTTGTTTGTGAAGGTGACGCCGTCGATCTCTGCCTCAAAGTCCGAAGACGAAGGTTCGCCTATATCTTAGCCATGGATCGTCATGCAAAAGCCAGAAAAAAAAAACACAGAACAACGCAAGGACGACGACGGCCCACCCCGTCATGTCCGGAAGCTACGCACCATTAACACCCTTGCCTCCACCGCTCGGATCCCCAAGACCCTGAGCCTGCGTTTTTGGATGGTGCGAATGATGACAGCCTGGATGGTCACATGGCTTGCCAGGGGCTGAGGCTTGAGGCGGAATATCGTCGTACTCATCGTCGTAGTATTCTTCCTCTTGGCCGTCCAATGGTCCTTCATCCATGCGTCGATCATAGCCACCGGCAGGAGCATTTTGGCTATGCTGGGCGTTGTTTGCGTTGTTTTGAGCTTTCTTACTGGCCTTTTTGCCCTTGCGTCCCTTCATCCTCGCTTTCTCTAACAGACGCCGCTTTTCAGCAATACGCTTCCGCTCCTTCCTGTCTTTGATCTCATACTGCCGAATCAATGCTTCCGGTGGTGCCCCGAATATGTCCTCATACTCACAAAACTCGCAGATCCATGCCGGATTGGGTGGGTTGTGAAAATTAGCGTACTCCTGCTGAATGCGGCGCTTGCGAGCAGCGTAGGCATACAGCTTGGAAGCGCTGCGTCGGGGTTTTCGCGGAGCCGGAACTTGCTGGTTCGGCTGGCCATTCTTGGGAGGTGCAGCATTCTTCGCAGAAGGCGGGTGTTGTGCACCATTGATGTTCGGGCTTGTCTGTGTGCCTTGAGTTGACACCATGGGAGCGTCTGGACGGGTAGGAGCACGGGCACGGGTGGGTTGCGTGGGGTGTCCGGTGGCACCCGTCGGGTATGAGCCAGGGGGTTGAGGGTACGGACCATTCTGCTGGCCGGGCCAAACCATCTTGTTGGCTGAGTCAGACCCACAGGTGAAAGTAAATTGGGTCTTGTTGGTGCTGCTCTTCGAAGCCTCTTGCTGCAACAAGCTTACGTTCTCACTGCCGGCGGGAGGGGGAGTGGCTTGCGCGTTGGCGATAGCGGTGGATATGATGCCGCCTTGGTCGGGAGGTCCTAGAGAAGAATCTGTTAGCGAAGGTCCTATAGGAGGTTGGGGGTTTTGGGCAGTGAAAGGTTGGGCCCGTGCGTTGGTCAAGCTCACGTTTGGTGGCCGCTTTGGCGTTGCCGAGGTTGGTGGAGGTTCCCAGCACTCGCCGTTCTGATCTTCCCGATGCAGATCTCCCAAATCGACCTCTGCCAGCACCCGCGATGCCTGTGCCGGGGGTGTTGTGTTGGGGTGTGGAAGGTGCAGATGTGTAATAGCGCCCCACACCATCTCCATCGTCAGGTGCAGCGAGTTCATGGGGGTTGGAAAGCCCCATACTCGCCATCTCAGCGGACAGATTGGTGTGGTGGATGCTTGTCCCCATATTCGGGATCTTTCGCTTCTTCTTGTTGTTTGTATTCTCAAACGACTCGTAACCGTCTGCAGAAGACGACGTGGACCCGGGCTTGGGGTATATGGCTGTCGCTCCGCCTGCGGACTTTCCAGCCACGTTTCTAGCGTAGTGGTAGCTCGGGGATGATGGCAGAGGAGCCCCACGCTCGTCCTCGTCCTCCTCACTCTCTACCTCTGAGTGGTTGTGACCACAGTGGCAGGCGTGGTGGTCACTCTCCCCCCGACGCTGGCCAACGCGGCCGTTGCCCCGGGTCTCGGCTGGCGAGTACGGGAAGCTGAAGAGCGGGCCAGAGGACGGAGGGGCGGGCGGGTAGACGATGGCTTCAGCTTGCTCGGGCGACAGGCGTGCTCGAAGACGGCGTTTTGGCAGAGGGCGAATGGGGCGATCGGGGTACATGGGGGACGTGGTGTCGGGGGAGGAGCGCAGGGGCGACGAGCGGTTCCACTCGTAGCCTGTTTTGGCGACCAGCGATGTCAGAAAGGTGGTGATGGATTTGAAGAGGCCGGGGTGGGCCATGGTGGAGGTAGAGAGGAAAAAAAGGGTAGCGTGTGGAGAGAAGAAGTTGCGGCGGTCCCACCACCATCACACTTACCAGCAGTAGCCGCTGCCATATTGGGCGAGATATCCTCCTGCAGTGCCCCGCTAGCAATATTATTTGCGTGCTTCCAAATCCCAAGGGGTGGTCCAAATTCTGTCTGCCGAGGTGGGTATAAATGGTCCCTCTCTCACCGGTAGTGGATGCAATGCCTCCGCAGTCCAGGTGGTGGTCGCTGGCAGCTCGGCCGGGAAAGAGCAGTCGCGGGGAGTGTATTGACGGTTGAGGCAAGAGGTCGGTGGGTGTGAGAAGTGTCGCTGAAGCCAAAATGAGCGACTACAGATTCGCCAACGCCAAGTACACACGTAGCGTAGGCGGGATGATGTGTCTTGATGCACCTCGAGACAACACACTCGCTAAAATAAATCCAAAAATCTTCGAGGGCCGCAGTCGGTATGAGAGCCGCGATGTATGACGATGATAAAAGACGTTCCGACAGAGGCTGTTGGAGGGATGTGGGCGTTGACTTGCATGTCGGTCTTCTAGAAGGCCGGGCCAGGACGCGCTAATATGAAAAGGGGATTGGTAATAGCTCCAGCTCTCCCTCGGTTTAACAAATGACTGACAGCCACCAGCCGATATTGCTTTTCTTCTTTTTCTATCTCTATTGCTCTCCAGCAAGTTCCCCCCCTCTTCTTTGCCATTTGGGCCCCGCCTTCAATTCCTCTCGAAAGGGCTGTTGTTCTCATTTGGTCAGGAAGCCGAGTCCCGGAACATACCGACCAAACCGATCATGTCTCGAAAAGCACCGTACTTCAGCCTGAGGATCACACAGACACTGTGCCATTTGTACATGCTGACACTTCCATGGAGCAAGTGAAAGGGGTATATCGTTTGATTGACAGTGGGGCTTGATCTGTATGCTGTCCACTAAGATATCTAGCATTTGGTTGCATTCCCAAGTGTTGTTATATGCATTATAGCGCAGTAGGCACTCGTAGAATTCTTGTGAAGTGAATGAGTCTATGGCTATTGTCCCAAATTGCCCTCCGCTCTCTTCTTGCTTAGTCCCGTCTCGCCAAGGTGCCCTTCTGAATCTTGAGAGGTGAAAGGGTAAGTCACGTGCGGCTAAAGCCCGGCTACTAGGGCCGGAAGAACTGCCCCGCCGGAGCCGATATCTGGAAATCGTCACCGTCATCCCTCAACCTCGACACGTCCCCCACCATGGACCACAGTCGAGACCCCTGCCCCTGGGTTGCCCTCAGCGATTTCGGTGGCGCATTTTGCATGGGCGTAAGTTGATTTAATACTCACCGCCGCCATTAACCCACCTTCGCCGTCTTTGCATGCATAATGCTAACGTCGTTCTAAGGCTATCGGCGGCGCGGTATGGCACGGCGTGAAGGGTTTCCGGTACGCCTCACCTTTCTCTCGATGTTGTGGCCCGAACATGATCACTGAATGTTAGGCAGGAACTCGCCTTATGGCGAACGGCGCATCGGTGCCATCACGGCGATCAAGGCGCGAGCACCTGTGCTAGGAGGGAACTTTGGAGTATGGGGAGGACTGTTTTCAACCTTTGATTGCGCTGTGAAGGGTATAAGGTGCGTGGTGCATCCTAGGTGGGGAGGAATTGGGGAGGGAGTGGCTTACTCTTGACCAGGAAGAAAGAAGACCCCTGGAATGCGATCATTGGGGGATTCTTCACAGGTGGAGCCCTCGCAGTTCGAGGCGGCGCTCGCGCAATGCGCAACAACGCAATCGGCTGCGCCGTTCTCCTCGCAGTCATCGAAGGTGTCGGAATCGGCTTCTCACGAATGATGGCAGAAAACACACGTCTCGAAGCTCCCCCTCCCCCTCCACAGCAAGCGGCAGTGGCATGAAATACCCCTGGCACGAGTCTTCTCTATGCAGTTGGGGATTCAGGATCACGAGGGAACATTCCTGCTTTAGGCGTTACGGACGGCTGAGGGTATAAGACCCTAGAATAGCTGAGATATGGAACGATTATATCACATCTTCAGCATAGTTCTTTGGCGTTCGTTCTGATTTGGAAGTTCTAATTGCGTCACACCATCCTCTTTCTTTGTTAGCTCGTGTAAAGTACATGTATCACCACCTGTACCTTGTGCAGCGCAATATTACTCCTCGATTCCATATGCAACAGCACGTCACATTAACCAGTCGACAGCAGTTGGGCTGATTCTCGCATCTCACGTGCCGGTCAAGTACCGCAAGTTGCCGCATAAATTGGAACACGGTTGGGGTAGAGTCTATCCGTGAATCACTCTGCTAGAAGCAAGGTGAACGTCAATGGGATGCCAATTCTTGACCTAAATTGCTCGGCCCCTTGTGATGCCACACGTTAACATGTATCATGACCAACTAGCGATCTCTAGGCTACAGTAAGTCTTGGAAAACGCCTTACCTTAAGTCTGGGGTCCCCCGCTTCTCCGCCGCCACGTCACGCGCATTCCGGCCTCGCAGCAAGGCTGAGAATGATAACCATGATATTAAGCTAAAAGGACGGACGTAGCACGGCTCTCCTGAGACTAGCAACCCGTTATATTCAACGCAATCGCCAACTATGTCGGGAGAAATACCGCCGCCTGCACCACAATGGCTGTGGGACACCTTCCGACGAGAGCACTATTACTGGTGCGAGGTGCAGCAATGCTACATTTACCGCTCCGGATACAAGGTAGCTAAGGCCGGCTCTGCCATCCTTGGGGACACCGAGGTCCGGGACATAATTCCCCAAGAACAAGAGACCAAAAAGGTCAAGCATAGTGCCGTGACATATATTCGAGAAGCCAAGGCAAGGAGCCCACCACACAGTGTGTCCAACTGTTAGTTACAGAGCCTTTTAGAGGTTGTATAGTACAGTTACAGAAGAGTTAGCTATTACTAACTAACTATATAAAAAAGATAACATTAGTGTACAGTTTAAATATAGTAACTAAAGTATTATAAAGTAATTACACTAAAGCTAAAGACTATACTTAATTAGAAAGTTATAATACTTCTTATAAAATCTATAGTTATTAATCTTACTAGTAATAGTAATGTTATGTAACTAATTCTTCTATTATTAACACTAATAGTTAATTTCTTTTTATTATAATAGTTTTCTTAGCCTGTAAAAAGAACTACTTGCACTTACATAAAGTTACTAGAATTAATAAAAAATTAAAAGTAATGTTAACGTACTTCACAGGCAAGTTGCTTACACACCTAAGTTACTTACTTTTGCTAAGACCCTACTAAACTACTCTTCTTACACTAATGCATTCCCTACAACACTACTTAGACGTGCTAAAAGAATGTTAGATACAGCTTACACTCTAAGCTTTTAAATAAGACATAAAACTTTTAAAGAAATGTACTATAGCTATGTTACAGTATCCTCCCCGGATCCTAGACATAACTGTATTAGACGCGTACTAGAGTATTATTAGTGCACGTCTAACACAAACACAACACAACATAGACATAAACTTAAGCATAAACTGCCTTAACACTAACTAAACTTAAAACAGGCTTAATTTATACCTAAAGCGCTTAGACTTTTAAGCTAAGTATTTAATTACTAATTTCTTTTTAAACTTTTCTGTTTTTTATATAATGTCTTGTACTTACTATAATACTTTACATAGTAATTAAACTAGACCTTTATAAAGCTCTATAACCTTACTTGTGTATAATTATAACATTATGTTATGTTAAAACCTTAGCTAAGAATAGCCTTTAAATCTAATCTAATAAGCTTAGTACTTGCATAACTCTAAGCTATTAAAGTAAGCTAAAAAGCCTTTTAAAAAGCACTTACTTTATAAAAAAGCTACTATATTATAAGCTTTAAAGCTTTTTAAAAAAACTTTAAAAAACAGCTTTATTGTCTGTACGCAGCAGCAGCGTCACAGTCTGGATACAAGCGATCGCGCACGAGCAGGACCACGTATCTCTGTCACATGATGCTCGTGCGCGAACCTCTGTGCGCGAACATCTAGATATCCCCCTTTTCCTCTGTACAGAGAAAAGACAAAAGCAATAGAACTAGAAACATGTTGCCCTTACTTTACCTACTTTGTACACTGTGCACACTATACACTACTCTTACTCTTACTACTTAAGTGCTTATACTATAAGCAGCTAGCTGTTAGAGCCTATTTAACACTAATTAATAGTTAATTTAATTAACTATAAATTAGTAAAAGTAATAATAAAGTACTTACACTTTATAAAGTACTTTATTTTATTACTTATTTTTTAGAAAGAGTAATAGTAGAGTACTTACACCTTATAAAGTACTTTATTTAGTTACTTATTTCTTAGAATAGCAGATTAATCCTTTACATTATACAGTAAGCTCTACTACTATATAAAGTAAGAAAAAGATAGTGTAAGATGCACACTAAAGCTATTAAAGCTATACAACCTAGTAGCTAGACAATAGCATATTAATTCTTTACATTATACAGCAAGCTCTGCTACTGTATAAAGTAAAAAGAAGATAGTATAAAGCGCACACTAAAGCTATTAAAGCTGTACAACTTAGTAGCTAGATAATAGCAGTACCTACATAATCTACTAGAAAAGTAATTAACTATACTATTATAATAAAATTTTATTAGCAACTAATAACTCTATGTAATAATAAAAAGAATAAAAAATAATTTTTATTATATAAATAACTTATAAAGAACATAAAAATATTAAAGGCAACACTATAAAATAAGACTAGCCTAGAGTACTAAAATAATAAGATTAACATATTAAAAGCTTTAATAAGCCTATAAACTTAATTATATATAAGTTACATAATTACTAATTTACATATAATAACTTAAAAAGGCGCTACTTTTTTAAGTGCATACATAAAGAATTTTAAAGAATAGACACTATAAGACTTTTTAGCACTTAGCTATGTGTTTAAAAAAGAGCTTATATAAGTGCTAAAGGACAAGGAAATCACACTACAGCTAGGCACTAAAGGTACCTAAGCCTAGAAGCTGTATAATATAGCATAAAAGAAAGTAATTACACTAAAAAGGCTTTATACATAACCTTTATTACTATATAAGGCTCTACACAGAAGCAGACTAAACATAATGCTGCTATTAACACTAAATATACTAGCATTACCTACTCTTACACCTTAGCTAGCACTACACTAATTACTGTATAAATAATACATGCCACCCTACCTAACGCCTGCTCCACACCCTTAATCGTACACACCACCGCCTGCAGTAGTGTATGCACTACTAATACTACCTGCACAATCTATACTACATTACAGCCTGTATAAACTTCTACTTTAAAAAGAAACTACTAAAGAAAAACTTCTAGTAAATAAAATTATATAATTTTAAAAAGCATAAAAAAAAATAATAACTATATAAGTTAACTATATAATATTTTTATAAATAAAATAAAATTTTTTATTAATTTATGTTAATAGCTAGATATTTAAAAAACTTAGTACATAAATATCTTTCTAAACATTTTAAAAGGTTAGGTAAATATATACTATATATATAACATAGGCTCTAGACATAACTAGAAGCATTTATATAACACTTTAAGTAGTTACTTTAACACTAATGTAAACTATAGCTAGTACTAGATAGACTAGATAATAATAACTTTTATATAATATTAATAAAAAAACTTTAATAAAAGTTTATATAAAGTCCTTAAAATAATAATTAATAAGCTTACACTTATATAAAGGGCACTAGAAATAGAATTCTAAGAAGATGTTTTACTACACACTACTATTATATAAGCCTATTAAGAATAACTAAAACTAGAACATGCTATATTTACTATTAAGCCTTTATGCAAAGCCTTATTTAGTAACTTATAAGCATTACTTTAAGTTACTATAAACTAAAGAGTAAACTAATACCTCTAAGAACTGCCTAATGCATACTACATAAACTACTAATATAACTCTGCATAATAAAAGTCTGCACAATAAGAAGAAAGCTTCCCTTTATGTAAAAAAAGATAATGTAAAAGACCTTTATCTAAGTTTAGGCTATAATCTAGAGACAACTGCATATAGATAAAGAAGTGCTTTATCTGCTATAAAAAAATGTTAGTTATTAAACTACCTTTATAATAACTATACATAAGCAAAGAACTAGTACGTTGCTTTATATAAAGATTTTTATAATAAGACTTTATTATATAAAGCTATTACTTTATACATCTAAGACTTTAAAAGTTACTTTAAGAAAAAAAATAATTTACATAATAAAATACTACAACAGTTTATAAATAATCTGTAAAAGCAAAGCTTGCTTAGAGTAATTATTACAGCTACTAATTAGAGAGTAATAAGAAGCAAGTCTATTAACTATAAGAGGCTTATAGAGAGCTTAGGCGCTAAGTGTCTTAGGCTGCTTGTCTGAAACACAGGCGCGACACTAGGCCTATGTGCGCGACAGTAGGTCCCTGTGCTCTTCTTACGCAATAGTAATAGTTAGCGTATTAAAGTAGGTTATCTAGGTTAAAGAATAGTTACAGCATAATGCTTAGCAAAGTAGTATTAAATAGGTAATAAATATATAATAATAATATCTAACTATAGCATGTAACTAATCTATTTGCAGTAGTGACACTTAGATGTGTTGTTACTATAGTTGCACAATAGTTAGATGTGTTATCACATAATAGTTAGATGTGTTAGCACTATAGTTGTATACATCTTAGCACAGTCTGTTGCTAAGACCCACCTAATTATTTTGCATATATATAGACTCCTGTAAAGGACTCCTCTAGTAATACATTTAATGCAGTTTCTTATGTCTCTAGTGCCTTACATAGCTTTACATAATCACTAACACACTAATATAGCTAA